TTCTCAATTTACAACTTTACTTGATGACATTGAAAACCATGAACATGCCTGGAAAAAAGTTCGTACCGTTCTCTTTCATTGACCAAACGAAAATCTTCTTTTGCTTTCTCTCTAGTGGTACGATAGTGATACACCGGAACAAGAGGAACATTTTCCGATGAATTACAGCGAACGTTTAACTTCTTTTCAAAATTTAATGCTGTTGAGATGTTTTCGAGTTGATCGAATCTATTTAGCCGTAACACAATACGTAACGAAAGTGATGGGCGATCAATTTGTCACACCACCAGTCATTCATTTCGAAGCGATTTGGGAACAAAGTACACCAGTCTCGCCGATTATCTTCATTCTAAGTCCTGGTAGCGATCCAACAACGGATCTATTGAAATTAGCTGAACGCACCGAATTCGGTGTAGCCAAAGTCAAATTGTTAGCTATGGGTCAAGGACAAGAAAAGGTAAAATGATCCTTAGAATCAGTCAATTCGTATTTTCTCTTCGAAATCTAGATTGCTATTAGTCTAATGGAACAAGCGATCAGTCGTGGCCATTGGTTAATGTTACAAAATTGTCATTTATTAGTAAAATGGCTTATTGAACTTGAAAAACATTTAGATAAAATGTCGAAACCACATCCTGATTTTCGTTTATGGTTAACAACTGAACCAACACCATTGTTTCCGATCGGTATTTTGCAACGTTCATTGAAAGTCGTTACTGAACCACCGAACGGTTTAAAACTTAATCTACGTAACACGTATTTCAAAATATCCGGACAAGCATTCCATGATTGTCCACACGAAGCATTTCCGTCGTTGGTATTTGTTTTGGCATTCTTTCATGCTGTCGTACAAGAACGTCGAAAATACGATAAAATTGGATGGAACGTTTCTTATGATTTCAATGAATCAGATTTTCGTGTCTGTATGACAATTCTCGACACGTATCTGAAGAAATCAATTGCCAATAATGATCCGAAAATTCCTTGGGGTTCATTGAAATATCTTATTGGTGAAGTGAGTCTAGTCATTTCGTTTTAGCTCTTTTTCTATCTTTGTCCTCATTCGAAAGGTTATGTACGGTGGTCGTGCTATTGACGAGTTCGATCGTCGTGTTTTGCGAACATATATGAATGAATACATGGGAGATTTCATATTCGATACGTTTCAACCGTTCTATTTCCATCATACAGAAGATGTGGCTTATTATATTCCATCAGCAAATGAAGAACATCCAGCAGCTGTTGGACTACCAGTGAAAGATGCCGCATTAGGTAAAGTAAAAGCTGATGCTTTTCTTCTCTTCTCTTTTGACAACAGTTCCGCTAATGATGATCGAATCTGTTTAATGTATAGACAAAGGTTGTCTTCTTTGCAGGAATATGTTCATATCTTATTCATTGACTTGAACACTTTGCTTTTATTAAACAGGAAAATTACGTAGAATATCAAGAAGTAAAAGTCTTTTGTTGTATTCCCATATTTTATCTTTATTTATTGTCAAACACCTATCGTTTAGCATTCCAAACTTTAAATATTCTTTTTCATTCCGTTTGACATGTCTTAACGTCTTTGCTTTTCTACAGAATACATTGAATCGTTGCCACTGACGAATACTCCGGAAGTGTTCGGTTTAAATCCCAATGCTGAAATTGGATATTACACAAAATCTGCCAGAGATATGTGGGAACAATTAATCGAATTACAGCCTCAATCAGGTCGGTTTTTTTTCTCTTTCTCAATCGCATCAACATTACTTTCTCGTCTCGTTTTAGCCGAAGCCAGTGGTGGTATGAGTCGTGATGAATACATTGATAATACAGCAGCCGATATCATAAAACGTATTCCACAACAGTACGATGTTGACAAAGTCTGGAAGAAGTTCGGCGGTGAAGCCATCTCACCAACATCCGTCGTACTCTTACAAGAACTCGATCGCTTCAATCGCTTGACGCTGACGATGTCGAAATCGTTAGCAACGTTACGGCGAGCATTGAAAGGTGAAGTTGGTATGTCCAATGAATTGGACGATCTCTCTCGAGCACTTTACAATGGTCAATTACCACCAATGTGGAGACGTCTAGCACCAGCAACAAAGAAAAATCTTGCAAATTGGATGGATCATTTTCTTCGTCGAAATCAACTCTATAGTGGATGGGTAACTAAATCAAGATTTTCGTTGTCTTTTCGAAAGATTTTCATTCGTCGTTTAGATCAATGATGGCGAACCCAATGTCGTCTGGTTATCTGGCTTTTCAATTCCTGAATCTTATTTAACTGCACTTGTACAAGCAACATGCCGAAAGAATGGTTGGCCATTAGACAAATCAACATTATACACTCAAGTCACCGAATGGGAAACGCCAGAAGATGTCAATGAACGTGCACATCAAGGTTGCTTTGTCACTGGTCTTTATCTTGAAGGTGCATCGTGGGATGTTGAAAAACGTTGTTTGACACGACAGAAACCGAAAGTACTCATTCAACCATTACCAGTTATGAAAGTTATTCCAATTGAATCGCATAAACTTAAACTACAAGTAAGGACTATCCATAGAGAAAAAATGTGTTTTACTTTGACTATTTAGAATACATTCCGATGTCCAGTATATGTCACAAGTGACCGACGAAATGCCATGGGCGTTGGTCTTGTTTTTGAAGCTGATTTATCGACACACGAACACATTAGCAAATGGGTTCTACAAGGTGTTGCTTTGATTCTCAATACAGATTAAATCGTTTTACTTTTTATGTATAGTTTTCGTTTTTTCTTGTTTGATAACGTCGTATGTATTTTTTTATATTAATAAATACTGTTGTTGCACTCCTTGACAAATGAAATTACGACAATTTACGAGTTATGATATTTCTCGCTGATCTACCTTCATATCATTTCTATGTTGACATAACGTCCGTTAGATACATCACTTCTTTTTGATAGAGTACCATCTGTTCACGATGTTTTACATTCTGCTCTCACTTATTTCCGCTTAGTAGGCAAACAGTCAATGATCTATTATATTCTCATGTGAAACGGTAAAACTTTTCTTTTCAATTAATTTTCAAATTTTGCGTTAGAAACAAGTTGATTCATCGTCCTAATCGGTAATCAGCAAGTTTAGACGTGATTTTCTTTTTCTTTGAGCGTTCTAATCCATCCTCTGATCTTTCTCACGGTGTTCTCATTGGCATCATCGAATTCCTCATTTTCTCATACACCGTCTATCCAGATCACACTTGACCCATTCAATGCTGATGCTCTATTATTATCACAATAGGAAATATGTCGTAGATAAATATCTATTTGTTTTCTCTCTCTCTCGTCGAACATATTTCAACACACTTGAAAAAGAAACTATTTCAATTGATTTAAATAAGAAGGAAAGTTTGTAAAACAATCACGTGAAGTGTCTAGAAATATGATGCTGATTTCGATTCTCCTTAACACTTCGATAAATCCATCAAAGGAAAATCAAATTACTTCATGATGAACTCTTCACTTTTTTCGTTGCTATCAATCATCAAATTCGTTTGTGTGTGAACAATCTGCTTCTTACGGAGATTTGCTCTCTTTTTTTGTCAACTAATTAGGTGTCAACTTGTTTGATAGATTCACGCCTTCTTTTTCTTCTCTTCTTATTCAACCGACTCGGTATCATGATGACTTCAAACAAAAAAAGAATGACTGAATATAAGAACCTATTTAGTATCAGTGATAATCACTGATGGCGGCAATCGACGAATCAATTGCGTCATTTCTCGATGTGTTAGACAGAACGGCGCACTCGCAGACGAAGACATTTGAAATTAGAAACAACAAACGATTATTATATATGTAGATGTTAAAGTTTCGTTTGATTTGAGATATGATCAACGAAGTAGACATGATTTGAGACTAGAAGAATGTCGACGAACGAGCGATAAGCATCAATACAACGTTGATTCGTCAATTGTCTTTAATCGTTTCCTCTCTCACACACACACGACCATCTTCAAACGTGAACACTCAATTGACTGCAAAGAAGTATAGACGTGCGCGCTCGCGCTTACTATATGGACATATACTAAATAATTCACAGTTACTGCCTGAGTAGTAAACACACATGCACATTGATGATGAACAATCAATGACACTTTAATGCCGGCGAAAAAAGAAGAGTTTTCCTGTGTATGTGTGTGTGTGCATCATTATTATCCACCGATAAAGAAAAGAAAGAAAGAAAGAAAAGACGGGCAGGTGAAAACAGGAAAGTCAAGAAGCAGAACAAAAAGATGAGAAAGCGCATTGAAGCAAACATACAATCGTTCTCAACTAATTGCGACCAAATGTCTTTTTTTGCGAAGAAGGAGAAAGAAGAAAAAAAACATGATATCTATCGTTTTCGAGACAAACATCATCAAGCAAACTTTCAGGTGTCACCATCGAGTTGACTGTGAAAATGAACAAATTTACACAGACGGTGACGACTACTGCAATTCTTTTCTCTAACATTCAATATTAGTTTAAGTATAAACGCTCATTAGGGTAGCTGGTGCGGCATGGAAAAAGAAAAAGTTGTTAACTTAGATCGGTACGATTTCCCTGATGCATCAACTTTGCATGTTTCGATTAATTTTCGAAGTTAAAGCTAAACCAAAACATACAAGATATTGTCTCTAGCGATCATCGATACTTGTTGTTCGTATTTATGTCGAAGAAAACTATCTGAACAATTCATTATCATTCGTTTTGCTTGCCAGATTGAATGTTTCCTGTTTATCGCGTGATTCTAATTCGATTTGAACATTTTCTTCTCGACTATTTCCACTCATCATCTTGAAAATGAAAAAAAAAAAACGTGCTTTTCAAATATTTATATATATATATATATATTGAAGATGTGACATGATAGATTGGATGCATTGATGGAATGAGAGCAGAATGTAAAACATCGTGAACAGATGGTACTCTATCAAAAAGAAGTGATGTATCTAACGGACGTTATGTCAACATAGAAATGATATGAAGGTAGATGAGCGAGAANGAGAGAGAGAATGCGATTGTTCAGTTAATTTCAGATTCTTTTCATGTTGTTCTTATTGAATGAGTGAGTTGAGCTGAGCTGATTGTTGACTATCGGCATCGGCATCGTCTTTATCACATCCGCTCTACCTTCGATGATTGAATTTGACAAGTAGCACCGGCGATATATAGAAAAAGAAGATCGGACACAAATCAATATTGAGCATTCAATTTCATTCGTCTTCGCCGTCGTCTCGTTTTATCCTCTTTCAAATTTTTGATGAACCATAATTATCATATCACTACATGGTCATTTTCTTCGTTTTAGGTTTCACCAACATACGACGATAACACACCTAGTATACAATATTCCAATTCCGACTCTGAATTAGACAACTCCAGTCAAAACAATAGCTCCAACGCCAATCATCATCATCCTTGCCGAGAATGTGGAAAATCTTTTGCAACGACCAGTGGACTGAAACAACATATGCATATACATTCATCAATCAAACCCTTTCAATGTGAAGTTTGTTTCAAATCTTATACACAATTTTCTAATCTTTGTCGACATAAACGAATGCATGCTGATTGCCGCACACAAGTTAAATGTAGATTTTGTGGACAAACATTTTCGAACAGTGCTGCACTCAACAAACACCGGTAAGGATGTTCGCAGGAAAATTCGAGTTACTGAAGTTTCTCGTCATTTAGACGTTTCTGTGGTGACATAACCTCATTTAATCATCCTTCTTCAAAATCTCCTCTATCAATTCCAACTTCAGCAGCACCGCCTCCCGCACCACCTCTTCCAACAATGTCTCTGAATAAAGAACAAATGAATAATTGGTTATGGAATTCTAATTTTCCCTATTCACTTCTTCCTTATTTACCACGTTTAAATCCATTCCTCAATGGAGCATTATCCCCTTTTTTCTCTCAAACATTCTCTTCATCAACACCTAATTCAACAGATCTATCTCCCGCTAATTCTATTGAAGAGAAAGCGACGTCTTCAAATCCGAAATCGAGTAGTCCAAAACAAGAACAATCAAGCAAACGTTCAAACAATGAAGATATTCCTCTGGATTTAAGTATAAAAAAATCTCGCTTCGATCATTCGCCAGTCACATCGAAGTCCTCTTCACCGGAACGCGAGAGTAAATCTCCTTCAATCAATCAACAACAGAAACTACCCTCATCATCCAAATACAATGTTGATTCGCTATTAAACCACGTTAAGAATCCAAAATCCAACTTAAAATTTGATATGATCAAGCATTTAAACAATTTCTACCAACAACAATCAGCAAGCCTCTCCTATCCACCAGCATCATCATCATCAACATCATCAGCGGCAGCCAATAACAATCCGAATTCAAATAACAATAGTCCCTATGAAAATTGGCCACATCATCAAGGAACCAATAAATTGCAATATTTGAATACTCGAATGAACAATAAAGATAAATACACGTGTTCCTATTGTGGTAAAGTTTTTCCACGGTCAGCGAATTTAACTCGACATTTGCGAACACATACAGGCGAACAAGTAAGTTTTTCTTTTCGAAAACGAAGTCTGAAATATATTTTTATTCGACTTTTTAGCCTTATCGTTGCAAATATTGCGAACGATCATTTTCGATTTCATCTAATCTTCAACGTCATATTCGAAATATTCATAACCGAGAAAAGAAATTTCCATGCCATTTATGTGATCGACGATTTGCTCAACAGACAAATCTTGAACGGCATTTGACGAAACATGAACGAGGCTTGCCTCTCGAAGATTTATCTGGTGATGATGATACATCATTAAATGATTATCCAATTCAATCGGCAACGTCAACTAACCCCACGCAACTGATGAGTAATGCCGCCGCCACGGCTGCAGCTGTTGCTGCTGCATTTCATCAACAACATACCATGGATCTATTTCAACGTTTGCTACCAGCAAACACGAATAATTGTCAAACAGCGACTTCAATGATAAACCAACGTCGATCATCATCGATTTCATCGACACATACGACCTCGACAACAAATTCTTCATTGCAACAAACCAATGGTGATGAAGATGATACGATTCCACATGAAGAACATCCCGATAGTTGTTCACCATCGATTCAATCCGACGAAGATGAAGATATTACATCGCCAATTCATTCTTAAATAATCGATTTCAATACAGTCACATAGTCGAATCTCAATGAACTGATAAGATTTCAAAAGAAAAAAAAAAGAAAAGCCGTTTTTTTTTGTCAATTTTTTGTTTATTATTGCATTTCATCATATTCTATACACACACACACACACCTCTTTCTGTCTCTCTCTCTCTCTTGCTCTCGTTTTTCTTTTTCTTTGTCGCATTGCAATAATCTTCTTCTAGTTCTGTCTGTCTTTGAATGCTTGTTTTTTTTGTGCACATATAATATATGGAAAAAATATTTATTCCGAAACTTTGGGCATGCCGGTACCGAGTGTAATGTAAGGCGGTGGAGATGTTGGCGTGGGAGTTGAAGGCTGATTTGAATAACTTGGGGGTCGATCTAAAGTGATCGTATCATTAGCAACAGTATAGCTACCAATAGGATTAGCAGCTTCGACTGCTTTTGAAATTGTAAATGCTGCTTCAGGGTCAACAGCTGTATCTAAATGAAAGACAATGGAAAACCATCGAAAAAAGAGTTGATTATTAACATACTAAAACGTTTTCCATGTTTAGTGCCGCAAAATCGTTGGTAAGATTGACATAATATGCAAAGTGCTGCAATCGAACAGATGACGCAGACGAGACTAAAAATAAAGTATGAAATATCGTTTTTTCGAGAGGGGAAAGTGCATGCAATTATTTACATTATCCACCAACTATAGCCAAAGACCGTATAGGTTGTTGTAACATTTGTGTAAAAGCTCACGGGCTCGCAACATGTGGTGTTCACGCGTGTATCCATTGTCAACGGACAACAAACACTCGGACATCTAAGAATAGGATAGTTAGATGAGAGAAAGCAAGAGAAACAAGCGACTTATTACGGTTTTATATAAGCCCATGGATCATTCGGTTTGTAATATTGGCAATAAGCATAGGCATTTGCCTGAAAACAGTTGAACAGAATGGAATGTATATTTATAGAAATGGATATTTACGTATTGAGCCTGATTAATAAAACCGATGATGACAATGAGAAATACAGTAGCTGTGCAGCAAGAATAACTACTGAATTTGGTTGCCGACATTGTTATCAAGTGAACAAATGAGTTGTTTATCAGCTTGAAGAATTTTTTAAAATGACGAAGAAAAACTTTGACTGTTCTGGAAAATGTTATGCTAGTTTTATGCTTGGCTATTTTCTCTTGAATAGACTTTAATTACAAAAAGTGAAGTTTTCATGAAATGAATGCACTTTTTCCGTACTGAATACCTAGTTTTTACTTTGACTATTGTTCAGAGTAATTTGCTTATGCATTCTTAGGTTTTTAGTTTGAATTCAACTAAATATTTCTTTTTAGTTTATTAGCAAAAAACAAATATTACAAGAATAAAACACGAAAGAAAAAAATAATAGAAGATGTATGACTAGAAAAAAGAAAACGAAGGAGGATTCTATAAGTAACCGTGGCAGCTATGAGGAAGGCGTATGATTCAATAACTGATCATGTTGTGAACGTTTTCTTAGGCAAGTTTTAGCGATTTCAACGTATTCTTGTAGATATTCAAGGTTCAATTGCAATGGTTTGCGATTGAGAACGAGTTGCTGCATATCAGCTGACTTCGAGACTTGTTTCCACGTTTCTAAATTCAATTGTAAATCGTATTGCCATGGAATCGTGTATTGCGAACGTGGAGTCGTGATGATTTTCGTTTGTTCCTTTTGATTCTCGTCCAGAGAATCAATTTGAAGAACTTTCGATAGAACATCGAACTAAAATGACATTCATTATTGAAAAGAATCAATTGAAAGTTTCATCTTACAGTCGGATGAACAATATGTGAGATAAAACCGATTTGTAACTGTACAATATCGGTTGTTTCTCGGTCGAATGTCGGTTTATCATCTTGATAATTGAGTTTTTCTAAATCGCCTTGAATAAAAAACTCTTCCATGATTTTCTCCGCAGAATGAATATAAACTGGCCATGGTTTCGCAGCATTCGAAATATCAGCTGCGTGTAATAACGTCTGAAGAAGAGTTTTCGAGTCCGTCGACGATGTTGATGAATTGGTTTCTTTGAAGAAGAAATACGTGGACGTACGTTCCACTAATGACGCATGATTAGCCATATCAGTCGCGAGTACAAGCGAGATTACTAATGAGCGAAAACTCCGGTATTCATTAGTATTCATATGTGACCAGATATTGTAACGTTTATCACGTAATAATTTGAAGACTGAACTTGCATGATGATTTTCTAATGAAAAGGCAAACGTTAATGCATATCTTGATTATCGATCAATCTCGAAACATTTCAAAGGTTTCGAGCTTCTTATTGATTTTCTCATCTCATTTCTTATGCTTCAAAACAAATCGAGATTTATGTATTCATATGATTGTGTTGTCGATCGATCAAATCTTACCTAAAACACTGAAATCATTATATGTTAAAGCTAGGTCATTTTTCGTTTTCACGAGATAGACGTTGTTTAAACCAGGATGTTCATAATCGTGTATCGCCGCGGCAAATAACTATCGGTAAGAAAAGAAAAACAGCCTATGAATAAATGATTTTGTTTATCTTACTAATGCAGCAATTTCAAGTTGTGTAAAAACACTCATTAAATTACTTTTTATTAATAGGCAATGTGTTGTTTGAAGAACATCGGCACCATGAAAATCATTATGATACGGCGCACGAAATTCTATATTTGAAAAGAAAAGGCACGTCTTCGATTTCTTCTCTTCTTCATCATCTCGATCCATTGACACTCACTCTGATAGCCGTCGGCTAGTGCTCGATTAAAACTTTTCAGCGTTTCAATATCAATATGAAATCGCGTGATCAGATCATGTGCATCGAATATTAACAGAATGGAGAAATTTAATGGTTCTTCGTATTCCATCATATTGAACGACCACAGATTCAATTTTTGGATGTCGACAGGTAGATCGAGCATTGTAGAAAGACGCTCTTTAGCATTCTGCCGCATTTGCCGTTGCAAAGCATTAACAAATGATGAAGCTTGTATAATAGCTTTAATCGATTCGAATCGGCCGGCAGCTGTCGTGGATCGTGTTTGTTTGGACGAAAATGTTTGCTCTAGCCATTTGCTGATCTGTCCATCATTGGAGGTAATATTGATCTCGCTTTGTCGTGTATCATCGGAAAGGATTTCCACGAGATTATAAAGAATGCCTGAGCAAAGAAAGGATCTTTTCAATGATTAAATAAACAATAAAGACAAAGATCGAATGGTATTTTATGCGTAAGAAGAGAAGAGGATGAAACTGTTGATTGATAATTTATATTCCCGATTAGAGAAGAAAAATAGAAGGAAATATTTGAAACCATTCATTCGTGAGTGTCAGATGAGAATCTCTTTTCATTCAATTGTAATTTGAGTATTAGGAAAACGGAAAAAAAACCCTATTATTGACATACCATCAAGTTCTTTGCCAACTTTATCCAAGATTTCCACTTGATCGGATGAACCTTAAAAAAGAACTGAGCGCAAAATTAAAGAAGAACAACAGTTTTTCTCTGGAGAAATCTTTACGAAAAATTTTCCAGGACGAAGGAAATTCAAAACGTTGAAGGATCGAGTTTAGAAAAGAAGCACCGATCACTTACCATCTTTATCTAGATTGGATTGAACTTTCCGTACTTCTTCAGTAGCAGTTCGGAGTCGACTAAGAATATTTACAGTTGTCATAGGGGAACTCTCAGGTTTCGAAGTATTCGGTGATGACAAATCGATATGGTTCGATTTGTTCATATTCAATTACTGAAGTGATAGTAATGATGATGATCGTTATGACACTACTACTGCTTTGATTCTTCTTCTTTTTCTTCTTCTTCTTCGCTTCTCTTTCTTCTACGCTTTCTTTTTCTTCTCTCGCGTTTTTTTTCTATAATATCGTGTCGTGTCGTCGATGCTGCCGTTTTCTCTCTTGTATAGATGCGTGCATACAAGTAAAAGATGCTTGCACAAACCGTTGCACACACATCCAAACTGGTGTGCTGAATGGAATAGATTCAAAACAGCAGCATTTATGGAGATTTTCTTTCTTGTTGTTTTTTTTTCGCGCGCACGTTTAGAAATACAAGAAAAAAAAGAGAGCTCTCAGAATAGTAACATCCACCCGCTGTGCTTGTTGTGATTGTTAACATTCATTGTTAAGATATATCGAAAAAGAAAACAAGTAAATTCAAGTATTAACCGTGTGTTCAGACATCAGTGAAAACAAATGACGTAATTATTGAGGAAAAAAGGAGAAAGAAAAGGAAAGGAAAGAGAAGGTTTAAAGCTCATATTTTTAATAAAGAGGACTTTCGGCTTTATAATTTGCTATTCGTTAGTAAGTCAGTCGACGAGCAATAACGAGTAAAGAATTGCCAAAGTAAAAAAGAAAATGCAAATGAATTTTTCCCTTCTTCTCTTCTTCTTCTTTTTCATCCTAAGCTTTTCTTCTCCTTCGGCTTTCCCCCATGCTAATTTTTGCTCGTCCACTAGCTTAAGTAATTACCGACAAAAAGAAAAATAGAGAAAGAATATCGTTATCATCACACGCTTCATATCATCATATTACCAATTACATCTTCGAACAGCTGTACCAATTGTACCTCACTCGCGTTGATTATTAGTTCTCTCATTCACTTTTCACGATTCAGTCTTTCATTCGAATCTTCACGAAATGATTGGATAACACGAAAACAAGGAAAAGATTCGCGACGACATCTAACTTGTCAAGTATACTTCGATAAATTAGCTCTATCAGTTGACGACAAGTAATACTTAAACGTATGTGTGTTCTTCTTATATATATTTTTTTCTCGTCCGATTTCTAGTCGAAGATGCTTACCCATTACAAAACAATTCATCATAACTTTCAACAACAAAGTATTTCGATAGAAATCCGTTAGCTTCTTTCTCTTGTTTATAATAAAAATAAAAAACAAACAGATAAAAACAAACAAAATTTAGTTAAATGATTGAAAAATTAATTGGATTTTCATGTCGATTAGCATTGTGTTTCATTCCAATAAGTAGATGCTTCCGAAAAGCGCGAATTACACGAAGCTAAAAGCAAACAAGCAAATCATTTCATAATCTACATAAAACATTATTTAAAAGGTTAAAAATATCTCATCTGACAGTTCGGTGCCAATCTATCCTCAGGTATCATTACGAATAGAAAAGGAAATTTTTATCGAGGAAATATTACTTTCAGTCGTATCCGCTTTAATGCGTCCAGGATTTTCTATTTCCGATAATGCGATCAGCTAGAAATTTGTTATTTTTTACTTTACCTGTATTTGAATTCGTGTGATATTTCTTAACCATAGAACACGGAAATTCTTGATGTCGTCATGATCGCTGCTATTTAAATCGCAAGAGATAGATGATCGAATAAGATGTTGTTCATGACAATGTTCATAAGCGTTGTTGACCATACCGCCGAACTGATTGCCGGTCGATTGTTTGTTCCATTGAGGAAAGCATGAACATGTCGGAGACGGTAAAAGATTGATAACCTGGATGATCATAAAAGAAAAAGAAGAAAGACATGCCAGTCAAAATGATTCCATGGTTAAATAACATTGATGGCGTATGTAAAAAAATCTTTCTTATTTCTTTCCCCTGAGGGCACCAAAACTATCTCAGAAAAATAGGAGATTAGTATTAATATGCCATCAATTCAAGGATTAATTCTAATCTAACCTGATTCCATAATAAAGTGCCTATGCCAAATAGAAAACACCACATCCATTGATCAATCGACAGTTGAACACATGAGAACACTAATGAACCATATTGAATAAGAAGAATTTGTAAAATGAATGTCGTCAACCATATGCTACAAAAGATTTTATTGGAAAACACATGACGAAAGACGTTGATTTCTCCGTGAATTCGTCGACAGTTGATTTCGTTGAATAATGTCATCAAGACAAACGCATTGAAGATCATTGTAAAATGTTCAGACGGAACATAACCACCCGGACCTGGTTGACCATTTTGAATATCGAATGCACGAGGACCTAGAAACTTATCTTGTCATCTTTTTCAATTGAGTCAACGATCCTTACCAGCAAATAAAAGAAACAGAATGATTGTCAATTGATAAATCGCTTGTAAAATAATATTTTTTGCGATTTGATGATTTATCAACGAATAGTTTCGACCAGTTGGTTTTCGTTTCAACAAATCTTCCGTTGGTCGATCGGTTGCAAGTGCTAACGAAGCTAATGTATCCATAATCAAATTCACCCAAAGCATTTGTACAGCACGTAGTGGACTTTCTTTAACAATACATGAACCAACAAATGCACAGACTAACGCAACGATATTGACTGTTAGTTGAAATTGAAGAAATTTCGAAATCGAATCCGTTACATTTCTTCCCCACATGATTGCTTTAACAATCGAAGTAAAATTATCGTCGATTAAAACTTGAAAAAGACATTTTCCCAACGATTTCGATGAAATTCTTCTTACTTATATCTGATGCTTCTTTTGCGACGTCTGTACCTTGAATACCCATTGAGAATCCAATATCTGCTTTTTTCAAAGCCGGACCATCGTTCGTTCCATCACCTGTTACCGCGACAATTTCGCGTGTGAACGAATGCTTCGATTCAACGAGATGTTTAACGAGAAGATATTTGTCTTGAGGTGACGATCGTGCTAATACACGTAAATGTGGACCTACTTTATCAAAGAGATCTTGATCAACATTTTCGAAGCGATTCGGACGTATACGACGATTGAATTCTTTTCCATCGAGAACAAGAAACGGGTCCGTAGGTGTTATAATACCACATTTCAATGCAATGGACCGTGCTGTATTTACGTTATCACCTGTAATCATTCGAACGGTAATCCCAGCATTTTTACATTGCTCAATTGCTTGCCGAACCTGTATGAAAAGGAAGAAATGATACGATCGATTCAAAACGAAATGTTTACTTCCGGTCGAACAGGATCTTCGATTCCACAAATACACACACATGTTAACCCTTCAAACACGGTTGTTTCATCATTCCAATCGTCTGGTGGATGAGTAAAATCCTTATATGCAATGCATATTGTTCGTAAACCATCCGAAGCCATCGGTTCGATAACATTATGTAAAAGATGATGATGATCATCTTTTACTAACGGAATAAGATTTCCGTGTTGATCTAAAATAGTTGTACACTTCTGCAAAACGATCTCCGATGCACCTTTCATATGTAAACGTATTGTATCTGTTCGTTGAATAACTGTAGACATTAATTTCCGAATGGAATTGAATGTATATACATGAAGAAAATCTTCTTCCGGATGCATTTTTCGAATGTCTTCATAATTTCCATTCAGATCAAGAATAAAATTCAATAAACCACACTCAGTTTTGTTTCCCACTTGTTTCGGTAACAGTTCTTTCTCTGATGGTGCCTTTAAGAACATGAGTAACAAGAAATCAAGATCCTATTTAATCATCTTACTACTAATTTTGACGTATAACTACTATTAACAGATATTCCTTCGAAAAGTATTTCTTTGATCTTTTCTGGTAAAACCATTTCTTTGATTTGAGCTGGATTGTGAACATTTTTCCAATGTTTATCGGCGAGATAAGCTTCGACGACTGTCATACGATTGGTCGTTAACGTTCCGGTCTTATCTGAACATATTGTCGTCGCATTTCCCATCGTTTCACACGCATCCAAATGGCGAACGAGATTATTGTCATACATCATTTTCTGAACGAAAATCATCAGATACACAGACGATTATGTTGTACATACTTTGACAGCATAGGCAAGGGAAATCGTCACGGCTAATGGTAAACCTTCAGGAACGGCAACAACAAGAACGGTGATACCAGTGATGAGATGTCGTATGAAACGATTCCAATATTTGCTTTGCCATGGTTGACGTTTTACAATAAATTCTTCCCATGAAAAGCGCACGATAAGAACGAGAACGGTTAACGAAGCCACAATCATTCCTAAATATTTGATTAGAATTCGTAGAAAGATGAAGATGTTATTGCACATACCAACGTAACCGATCTGAATGGCTAGTTTGGTTAATTTTGTTTGTAAAATGGATCGTTCCTTATGTTTCCTTCGGTTCACATGATTGTCATCTGACATTTGTGTTTTTGTGAGTTCATTTTCTGCAAAAAGAATCCAGTTGATTCACAGCAAAATTATAGAAGACAATTGAACAAACTTATTTCAGCTGGCGAACGCAGTAAACTACTGATAGCACCCGTCTGACTATGTTCGCCCACTGCTATAACCAGCATTTTACCGCTACCTTCCATTACATGTGTACCTAAGATAAAATGATGCTCTAAGAAACAATTTATAGTCTTGATGGAACTCACCAGAGAGAAGAAATGGATTTTTATGGAGATTTTTCGATATGAGATCAGATTCTCCTGTCAGAGAAGACTCATCGACTTTTAAATCATTTGATTGTATAACTAGACCATCCGCTGGTAATAAATCTCCATATTTTATATGACAAACATCACCAACAACGATATCTTTCAAATTGACTTGTTCTAATTGATTATTTCGAATCAAGTTGAATGTTTGATCTTGTTCGATACGCTTTTGTAAACCACGAAATTGTCTTTCTTTACTCCAATCATTAAAAGCAGTAACAACTATAACAACAATCACAGCAAAAATAATAGCCGCACCTTCTATCCATTCGACATTTGTTTCTTCTAAAATAACAATCGAAAGGTTTACACGAGAAAGATTCACAAAGAATTTACTATGTGTTTTCAATTGAAATTCAAACGATTGATGGTCAGGGCGATAAAATGCAAGACCAAATGATATTAACGAGCAAATCATAAGAATAATCAGTGTAACATCTTGAAGCGCTTCAAACATTAAACGAAAAAAACTTTTCGAGGATTTTTGAGGTATTTCATTCCACCCGAATAGCTTCTGTCGATGAGATAAATCTATTGGGTTACCTGATAAACCTGATATAAAATTGGTTTGTAGTTTTTCCTCTAAACCAGTTAATCCGCCGAAAGCTTCACTATTAAGTTCTCTTAAACCATCATGATGATATGTCTGCATCAAATGCTCTAAATCTTCACGTGAAATCTTGAATACATTGATCGTATCTGTATGCTCTAGATTTTCATTTGGCATGTTTGTATATTGAGACGGTTGTTCTCGTTGTTTCGAAGAATTTATAGGCAAACGACTAGGAGAAGAAAGAGAACAAGAGACACATAGATGATGAACTACACCCAAACGAATTTTTTCTTCAAATACCCTGGATATCTATGTAGATATACAACAGACCGATCCTTTGTCTATCGCGATACGGCCAATGCGTGATTTTGTTGAACTTTTCACCGTCTAGGAACAAAAAGTCGGTACTAGCAGTGTTATGTAGTAAAATACACCCTACTGATGTACTATTACATGTATATTTGCAGGTCAGAAGCAGAATAACAATTTTTCATATCATTGCCAACGAATTGCTTCTTATGTTAATCATTGCTTAGCAGTTTTATGCGAAAAAAAGTGAAAGATAAGTTTAAACACGAAATATCTGTACGTGCTGACATTGGCATCGAACGTGATATGATGTTCGCTGTTTTCCTTCTCATTTGATATCATTTTCAGAAGTGTATTTCATATTTTAATCAAAATGAGTCGATAGATGTCAGTTTGAATAAGCAGTTGATCGTTTGTCTTAGCTGTACGTTTCGACGAATCAACATGAACTCATTGTCCAGTTCATCAAACAATAAGTCAACAAATTTTTCGTTCATTATTCTTCCTATTGACTTTTTTCTTTTCTTTTGTTTATCTATTAACAAGCAATTCATCTCAATTTCCGATTATTTAACTGCAAACTTATCATCGACGAAAAGAAATCGTAAGACAGTACTGTGTTCTATTGTTAAAAAAAGAAGAATAAAAGACGTTTCCTGTCCGAAGAGAGTAGATTCATTTCCCTCTTGATCGATTTCTTTTATATTTCAATAGATATTTATCATATGTCCTACGCATTTCTCTCTATTCAGTACAAAATATTAATTACATACATATGTATATTTAATAAACGAGCAGCAAAATAAAACGACCATGTACGTGTCGATTAAAGAAAATAAAGCGGTAATCTGCAGGAAAGTAGGTTATAGAATGATCAATAGTTGCTGATCGTGCTCTGTTTTCCTGCTATATCAATGTTATGTTTCTTATCTTCCATTAATTGTTTTTAGTCGCCCGTGAAAATGTTACGAATGTTTTCCTACTCTCGGCGAACTATTTTTTCGAAGCAACTCTCATTGAAAGAGTTCTTTCCCCTTCCACATTAAGATACCATTAAACCCTTTCTCTGCGCATCTTACTTATCAACAGCATCCTTATTATTATCATTTCGAGCTTTTCTAATGATGAAAGACAACAAAGAGGTTATATATCATGCTTATGATGCTTTGACTTCATCACGACAATTGTTTGCCCTTGATGTTAGTATTTATCATCGGCGCATTCAGACGTAAGTGCAGAGAGACAAGGCACAATTTAACGCGAGATGGCAATTGCATAAAAGATAGAAATACGAGTAGCAGAAAGATTTATTTTAACTCGTCGTTAGCTGCTATTGTTGTTTATTCAATACCATCCGGTTATATTGCTTGCTTGTCCGAAAATATGCCGTTAAAACGATGTACGCGCAAATAAAGATATCGCCAAGAATTTTTCTATTCGTTCCCTCTCTCTCTCTTATTCGTACGAGCTATTTTCATTCTCTTATTTTCTTCTGCAGATCTTCCGTGTTATATCTTCACTACTGACTAGTCGTTAATGCTAAGAGTAAGAATCCTGGAGAAGACAAAGAAGAAGAAGAAAAGTCATTATCACCTTTCTTGTTTCTTATGCAGATTTCCACAGGGTATCTTCTTTTCTTTGCGTCTATCTTTTGCTTATCTACTAGTACTATCGTGTCTATTTTCTTTTCCTCGATAATCAAACAACATAAAAAAAAGAGAGGAAGGTTGAGCTCGATATTGAGATTATTGTCGAACATTTCCGTTTCTTTTATCATTGTAGTTATTGTTGTTTCAGATGTAATGTCGACAAGTGAATCAAACAATCACACTGCAACCAATGGTAAGATGCAGTCGAATCTAATCAATTCCACTTCATCATCCATACATCCGTTAAATTCTCAACCACAGACACCATCGCCTCCGCCATTAGCAATCACATATCATGCATCAGTGCCTCCATCGCCAGCACAGTTCAACGAAGATAAACATGGTGAACGATTTCAAAAGAAAGGCAAACAAATTCTATTCGAATTCGATCAAATCGTTAAAGGTATCGATCATTTCCTCCTCTTGCCATCATCATTTACTATAATCAATGAGTGTGAGCAGAAAGATATCAAGTTCGAAAGGGCAAAATACACATATGTCCTTCTCCCATTATATACATACGTATCTATATTTATACAGAGTGTTGTATATCAACAATCATGAATGAGATACGAAACCTTGTTGTTATTCTCACTTGACATCGAAGTTGATGACGATGATGATGAATTGAAGTCAACAAGCTGAGATTAAAACAAAATAGAAGAGAAAGGAAATAAGTAGAAGTTCGAATGGGTCGTCGTATGGTAAATGCTGACAGAAAGAGTTAAGATATTAAGTAGACAAGAGCATGCCTGAAGCCATTAGCAAATGATTCGATTATGAGTTTGCTTAATCACGCAAAAGTACCGTTCGTGATCTTATCAAGAGACTGATTGTTCATAGTGTATCTAATTTATTAATAGAAAGAAAAAACAGTACCGACCTACAATGGTCAAGAATAGTTTGATTGAACCAAACAAAATACGAAAAAGTCAAAGAATCATAAGTAGAAAGGTATCGTGTATATCTAATGAATAGGAGATGTCGAGTAATAAAAAAGACAGAACGAAAGAAAAGAAGAAGAAGTACATAGAGAAAGAAGAATAAAAAATGTGAATAAGGCCGATGACCGGTTCGTGCGTGTTGATGTTAAATGTGCTTGCCTCATTGGAATACAGCATTGTTCCTCTTTCATCGTTCATATCTATATGAACAAATGTTTGCCATTACTCTGATGCAGGGCAGACATATACATAAAGTGATACACTAGGCCACGACATCGTCGTCGTCGTTGAACAGAAGAAAAAGAAGAGAAAAGGTCCTCTACTCACTCGTTCATTCAGTCATCATGCAGACTCACGAGTGAACAATTAGAATAGAGTTGTCTATGCTACAATGGTGAACTATACATGCGGCGTCGCATCAACCAAAAATAATATCCGACGTTCGTCAAATTCGCAGTTGACGCTCTTACGTAAACAAACTGAACGATATAGACTTTGTAAACTCATTGTGAAAATCGAGATATATTTCGTATTGTTTTGATTTTTTGTTAAATAGATATTCGGTTTCAACTTAATGAACAATTAAAATGTTTGGAACAACGTACTGAAACGCAATTGATAATCCTCGCTGAAATTCAAGAATATTTCAAACGTCGTGCTGACGTCGAACTTGACTATGCTAAGAATCTCGATAATTTACATAAGCAAATCGGTCAAAAACATCGTGCACAAAAAGCCAGGTAAGACAAATGCATTCGTTCAAGAACAAACGATGAATTTCTTCGATTATACAGGCGCGAAACCTGGATACTTCAATCCGTGTACAAACTATGGGATACCATCGTTCAAGACACTCGCACTCATGTGAAATACCATACAATTATGTCTGATGTGTGTGGAAAGTACATGTACGATAAATTCAATGAAATTGCCGATGACACTCGACGAATGTTTACAAAAGTATTCCAGAATATTTGTTGTTTTCTCTCTTTATCTTTGTTTTCCAGTGCAAATCCGTCGGTTTAGCTAGTCATGAAGACATCTACAAAGTACTTAATGAATTACAGAGTGTAAGTAGGAGATTGCCGAATGTTTTATCTGTCAAACATGTTGATTACATATGTGCGTGTTTATTTAGACAATGAAAACCTATCATCAGTATCAGAGTGAGAGTAAACAAGCCGAACAAAAACTACGAAATATTCAACAGCAGATGGCTAAAATCAAAAATATCAAAAAACAAAAAGGCATGGAGAACCGAGTTGAAAAAGTAGAACTTCGCCAAATATAAATGAAATTTTAAAAAAATAATCTTCATATTATAGAGACAGCTGAAATATACTGAGACCAAAGTGAAAGCATTCAAAGCGCGCAATGATTATCTGATGACAATTGAATCGGTGAATGCCGCACTGCAGAAATATTGTTTGGATGATGTACCAGATCTGATTGATTGTATAAATTTCGGTTTTCACACATCAGTGGCGAAGACTATCCAAATGTATTTATCTGCACAAGAAAATATCAAACGTGGCCGACAAGCGTATGTCATCTATTCGAAATCTTCAGCAATGAAACGATTTTCTTTAGGACGATTGAAACATTGAATCGAGCGATTGGTGATTTAGATACAGTTACTGATAAACAAAAGTACTTAGAAGCGAATGCATCAGTATTCACAATTCTGAAGAAGATTAAATTTGAACCACACAAAGGTGATGAAGTTACAGCTGTCAATGCTCAAGTATTAATTCGTGATGAGATGCAATCTCGTTTTCTTCAAATGCAAAATCGACTGGCAGGATTAAAAACAGAAAATGACGAGGTTGGTTTTCTTCTTTATCGTCTTGAGAGAGATGCTTAAAACTATAAAATGATTAAATACGCATGCGGAATCACTCAACAAACTAAGAGAGTCAGAATAAAAATATCAAAGATTAAAGATATTGCTTCAGGCAAGAAATGACAAGGACTCGATGAATTACTAGGCCTTTGATTCGATTGTGTGTGTTTTTCTCTTGTTTATTAGATATTCAAAACAATCGAAGCAACTGAGCAATCACTAATGGAACATATCAACACGAAAAACTCGGATGTATCCGATTTATTCAAAGACCTTAATTTACCACAGAATACTTCAAAAGACACACGAAAAGAAATCGAAGATTATTACGTCGAGGTTTGTCGAGACATAATCTCACGCACAAGTTTCATTTGTATTCATTTGATAGAAATTTAAGCAATATACATTAAGCAGTAATCTAATTTCACGTTTACAAGCTCGTCATGACATTATGCAGAAAGCGTTGGGAACGGCGCCAGGGACCAGCGGTGTTGAAGATAAAAAGTAGGTTCATTTTCGAGAAATGATTGAAATGATGAACGGACATTTGTGTAGTTTAATACGTCGACCGATAAAACCGAAACAAATTGGTCGAGCGCCCATTATCGGTCGGCCACGTCTATTTGGTGGGAAATTATTAGACTATATTCAAGTTACTCAACAGCACGTACCACTGATTATTTCATCATGTGTTAGTGCAATCAATCGACTTGGTTTGCATAATCAGGTATGTTTGATAATCGATCAGATTAGACAATTTAGTCGGTAACCGATTTATACGAATGGTTTTGTTTGCTAGGGCATCTTTCGAGTGCCTGGTGCACAAGTTGATATTAATCAATTTAAAGAAGCCTTTGAAAAGGGTGAAGATCCATTAGTGAATATTACAGGTCGTGATATGAATTCTGTTGCTGGCGTATTGAAATTGTATTTTCGAGAATTGAAAGAACCTCTGTTCTCTCGAGATATGTTCGATTCATTTATTGGATGTATTGGTAAGAATTTCTATGAGTTTTTTTCCTGATGAGACTAAAACAAGGATGATCTATTTTAGTTGATGTCGAATCTGAAGAGAAATGTGTGGATAATGTATGTCAAGTTGTGAAATTACTTCCTCGTCCAATCTTCATTGTCATGCGTTACTTTTTTGCTTTTCTCAATCAGTAAATCAGTTATTTCGATGTATCGAACACAATTCTAAGTATTCATTTCTAGTCTGGCCGAATATTCCGATGAAAATATGATGGATGCGTCCAATCTAGCTAGTTGTTTAGCACCTACGTTAATGCCCATCCCTGAAGATAAAGATCAAGTGCAATATTTAACACATACAATTGAATTGATTCGAATCATCATTATACATTACGAAGAAATCTTTCCATCAGACGGCGACGGACCTGTCTATGAGAAATTTGCCATTATGGTTCCAATGTAAGATAAAACTTGACGAAGAAAAAACGAATTTCCATGAGATAAATTTTAGTGATGGCGAAGAAGATGAAGATGATGAAGGAATCAGCGAACGATCGTTAAGACGAACGCCGAGCGACGATGGTAAGAAATGAAGACGATTCTGAGAAGAAAACCGCATTACGGACGAATATTTCATTTCTCTTTGAAATCATTCTAGCATCGCAAGATTCCGATTATTGTACCGAAGATTTGAATCTAATGAATGAGACTGCTGTTTGGTAAAGGGCGAGAAAAAAGAACCCTGAACTTGAGAGGATTATTTGCTTTCATGCAAGACAAGCGTTCATCAACGCGAGCATGTTTAGCATGGCTTCCGCATTTCTTTCTAAAAAGCTATTCATTTCTATATTTGTGTTTATGTATTTGCGATCAATGGAAATTTTTATTGAACAGTAGTCATCTGTTGATTTTTGTTTTTTTTTAGAAGCGGAAATGATTGAAGCACTTGCATTGTTTGATTATAATGGTAGAATTGATAAAGAATTATCATTCAAGAAAGGTCAAACGATCTATATTATCAAGAAAATGAACCATGAATGGTGGCAAGGTTATCTAGCCGGTGGAAACGAGTTGGGCTATGTTCCTGATGGGTATATCAAACTGAAACCAAGGTATGTAACACAAAAAGTGGAAATTTTCGTGGAAATCATGTATTCTCTTTTGTAGACATCGCGATTCGACTCCAAGCCGAAATCATCCCGCATTGAGTATTACTCCTGATCCATCATCGTCATTGAATTCGATAAATTTAACAGCAACCTCCTCATCAGATCAACTCGACGCACCTGTTGTCTATCGACCACCATCGGATTTGTCACTTGTCGATGAACGACGTCTTGAAACCGCGAAAGAAACGGAAATCGTTGAAGTTGATTCTGATATCGATGATGAAGTTGATAATGATGTCGATGACGATTCCGATGGCTCACAAGAAAATACCTATGAAAATACAAATCATACCAATAATTCCCAAGCAGTCCAGCGCTCCATATACGATGTCTTACCACCGAGTCCACCTGTTCCTCAAACTACAGCCGAACAACCTCAATCGAGATCATCGACATCGTCCTCATCACGTTTGACATCCACAAACGAACAGCAAATCATTGATATCGATACTGCATTACGTGAAGTTCTATCAGGTATTCGTACTGTCGAAGAATGTCATGCTCAATGCTTTCGTTCGATATCACTAACAAACAATCATCATGACGAACGTTTATCAACACAACATGAAAATGATGCACCCGATCTCGTTCTCAATTTGCCTATTTCAAGTGGTCTCATCACACCACCTGCTTCAAAGTCGATCGATAACACTATCAATGAGCATCCATCATCAAAATCATCATCAACGAATAGTTCGCCAATTCATTATCCGCCAGATACGATGAACAATAACAATGGATTAGTTCAATCAACTATCATCAGTGAATCAGCGCGCACGTCACGATCAAATTCGTCGTCAACACCGACTGTAACTTTTATTGAAAAGATTCGACCATCACCAGAACCTAGTAATCGAAAAAAGATTCCACCACCAATTATGAAAAAGCCCGAAAAAACTGTCGAATTACTCAAACGACTTGGCCTTCATCCATCTACTGATACATCATGCAGTGCTCTCAGTGTTTCATCATCATCCTCTTCAACATCATCATCGCATTCACATCCGCAAGCTATACCTGCTGCGGGCTCATCAAAAACAACTGACGTCTAATCAAATCTTCTTGTACCAAATACAACTCACTCGATCGGTGCTGCTAGTCGCCCTTTCTCTCTCATTTCTATGTAGATCACTTTTCTCACCCATCTAATCTCATATTTTTTAGCGTGTAAAAATCTTTCTTGGCTTGTATTTATAGGTCTGTCTGAAAAAAAAGTCTATTATTCTGGATTGTTTTCTTTTGTTTATTACCCGTTGTCCAAAATATTCTTTTCTTCTTTTGTAACACAGTTCACTTTCTTTTTCTATCTGAATGCTCGTTGTAGAAAAGAATCTCCTGTTAAAAATGAACAAAGATAAAAATTCGAACATAAGTGAAATACGATAACAAATAAAGATGAATGATCACTGAATAAATTTGTGCTTTTGAAATGATCAACAAAGTTTATTATTGAATCAGCTATCGTTTCGTCATTCGGACTAGTTTTCACTATTGAATTTATTACGAATTGCCTCATCTATCAATCCTCTACTATTTACCGAATGTTTACTTCATCACCCGAAATGACGTTTGTCGATTGTTAAACAAATGTTTATGTCATCCTTCCCACGTATTCATCATCTTCTTCTTCTTCTTCTCCTCTACGAATTCATTTCAAACGTATTCGAATACAATGATCAAAGCATGTAAGTATACCAAACTAGTCTCAGCAAATGTCTTAAACCACAGTGTCTTCTACAATCTGAACAATTCTTTTTCACTATGCTCTAATTGATTTGATTCTTTCAAAGTTATCTATGTGCGTGATCTTCTCGGGCGAGATTTAAATTCATTGAATATTTGTGTGTGACAAACACGTAAATTACCATTTGTTAAACATATGTAGGTGTGTTAATACGAACACGTCAATGAAGAAAACGTCGAAATGACAATCATCACTAACAACAAGTTCATTTTACACGTCAATTGTTCAAATAATGTTTCTCACTAGACGTCATTATCCATCAATATCATTTGTTATTGCTTTCTTTTGCCTGATTTCGTTTACCAATTGTTGTAATATATGGAAAGCATCGGAATGTCCACAACCACCAACAGCTGACGACGAAGAAATTGTAAGAGAGCATTAGATTGAGTTTGTTGATATCGAACAAGTTTTCTTTTAGTTCAAATATGATTTGTACACACGCGAACAACTTTTTCAATTTTGTGATCAAGGAAAAAAATACGCTGAGTGTGTTAATAAAAGACTTCAATGTTGTGATTTGAAAAGTGAACATACAGGTGCACTAGCTGCGTTTGATGTTGGCCTTCAACAAAATGTAAAAATACGATTTGAACTATAACGAACTTAGGATTTTTGTTCGAATTTTAGGGTTGGCGACTGGGACGATATTGTGCTGGTCTTGGAGGCACAACAATTATTCAATATAAATGTAAAACAACGACACTTTCACCATTGAAAACAACAACAACTACTACTTCAACCTCCTCCACGATATCACCCTGTGAAGTTGAAGAAGTTCGTATAGAAAAACACGACTTGATTTCTTTGCAATAAGTTCATGAAAAATCAACTCTTAGGCTGGCAAAGAATGCAATGACATATTGGAAGATCGTTTGAAATTCGACATCACTTGGTCTGTTCAAGAGAAAATTCAATGGTGTAAATCTGTTACAGATTATATTCAATGTGCTGGTAAACACATAAGCAATTGTTCAATTAGCGAAGTACGTGATGATGTTGAACAACTATCGAATTTTATGGAATATATCATGAAACAAGCGAATTTGAATTGTCACGGTAAATCAAGAAATGTTGTAACTATATCATATGGTATTCTTTCGTCTTTTCAAGGTGGATTTTATGGTTGTGAACATGCAATTACAGATGTACGCTGTCGATTAAGTGCGCGAAAGTTTTATAGTGGTGAAGCATTTGATTCTGGTTCAGCAATGATTACTAGCCAATGTTGGTTAGCTTTATCAATAACTGTCATCTATTGGTGGAATATATAAATCATTTCATCGTTTTAGAATCTTTATGAATAAACATTCTTGCTCTTAGAAATAGAAATTTTGTTTAATAACTGTATAGCCATTTGTATTTGTGCACTTCTAACCCTCTAGATATGATACATCTGAAGATACATAGAAAAAAAAACTACATAATTACCATCTACTAAACTAAATAGATTCTTGCTTAGCAATGATTGAAAGACATGATTTTATAGCAAAGCAGTTAATCGATGAATACTTTTGATAAGATACCAAACCACTATAGAATAACAAAAAAGATTAATGTCAAAGGTCAGAATCTTGGCTTCAATAGATTTAAGTATAACAGAATACACGAGATTTTTTTCTGTCCTATGTAAATAAGTTTATCAATGTAACCGATGAAATTCGAAACGAGCTTTGTTGTTGCCAATCGATAATAGCGAATAAAACGAGAAGAATAGATCTTCATTCACTTGTATTCTCTAACTGGAATGGAACAACGCAATGCTGAGGTTTCCCTAAGGTAAGGAAGATTCAAATCAAATCAAGTCCAATCCTTCAAACGCATTTCTACTCTCTTAGTCCCAATCGTCAAGATCAAAAATGGGCTCAACATGTTTGTTACGCTCTCATCGTGATTCTTAATCTGAGTACTTGGATCGATTTGAACAGTGTCTGGATCGAATTACCATTGATATACAACAGTACACCTGAAGGCTGGACATTACCTTCCATATTATCGTTGATCATCAACCTCGCTAATATATTTCCAATCATCGTTGTTCTCATTCGTTTGAGATTACGTGAACGTTTTTCCGAAATACCATACATTTACACAATAATCATCGTAGGTGTTGTCGCATGTCTGGCGATTGGATTATTTTGGAAAGAAACATTGTACATCTTTGGTGCTCAACGGAGTTATGCATTGATTACAGCTGTATTTGCATTAGGAATACTCGATTGCACATCTTCACTCGTTTTTTGTGATTACATGAGACATTACAAAGTGAAATACTTACACGCCATGTTCTTAGGTGAAAGTTTCACGGCAACAATACCGACTTTACTTGCAGTAGTGCAAGGTATTGGCGGCGAAGCGAAGTGTATACAATATAATTCTACGTCACCTTTCGAACCGGTATATTCCGAACCGCGTTTTAGCGTATCGGTTTTCTTCTTTCTGATTATGGGAATTATTATCATATCGTTGGTAGCGTTCGTTATTTTACGAACGTCGCCGATTGTCGGATTGGCAGGGGCAGAAGAACGAATTAATAAAGAAGAATGTATTGAAACATGCGAAATGTTATTAAAATTCGGTGAAGATACTCCAGCAATAAGAAAACTATCCATAACAATACCGAAATCAATGACAAGAAAAGAATTCGTTATCATTCAATGGTTTAATGTTATCAATTCAGGTATTCTTTATGGTTGTCTACCAACAATCACCACATATTCAATGTTACCATACGGTCAACGAGCATTTTACTATTGCAGTATTCTCTATCCATTAGCTTATCCGTTAGCAGCTATGCTTGCTTGGTTTCGTCAAACGATATCAATTTTTTGGGTATCTGCTGGCTCGATCATCGGCTGTTTCATCTGTGGTTTTATTATTTTCATTGCTTGTCAAAGTCCGTGTCCAATTTGGGCAGATACAACACATGGTGGAGTAATAATGGTCTTAGCGTGGTTCAGTTCCACGTTTATTTTAGCATATGTGCGGATCGCCAGTGGAAATAACATCAAATTGTACTGGAAAAAAGAAAGTGGATTGTTTTATTTCGGTTTTACTGTTCAAACAGGAATCATATTCGGTGTTTTGCCATTTTTCTTGATAATTAATGTTTTTAATTTGTTAAAAGATAGGAAACCATGTATTACGTATTGTATCTGACATAGAATCGAATTCGAATAAAAAAAACAATCGTTTTTCATCTCGAATATTTCGTATGAAGTATGAGTGAGTGCAGAGATAAGATCAAGAAAGTTCTCAAATTACATTCGAAATAAGTAAAAGCCTCGTAGTACGAGCGATTTCATCTTATATAACATAAAAATAAATTTAAATATTTCATCCTAAACATCGAAGTGTCAATCTTCGAGACATTATTATGATCAAAACAAATAGACATAGCCGAAAGAGAGAGAGAGAACAAGATTGAATGAGGCGTTCTCTATTCTATTCAATAGTAAGTCATTGCGGTATGTATACATAGACAAATATTCAACATTTACAAATGCTTAGCAGGAGATTTGCTAACGATATCCAAATGATCAATTTTTCTTCCTTCGTGTAAAACTCATATTCGGCGAGCAATTTCCGTTAACACGTTTTCGTATTCATTTGCTCTTCCATTGTGTCAATTTATACAATTTGCTTTTGCTTTAGCGTTGTTTAAGAATGTCAATCATTTCCGGAGATGATCATCCCATAATATATTTTACGTAACGATGAGAAAAAAAAATAGTTTATTTCCAAGGCAACCAGTTTACAATGAACTACATACATACACAAAAGGAATTCTTTCGATTTTCTCATTATTGATTTATCACAGACCGTGGAATCAGTTCGATTGTCATTTAACCTGTCCACCATGGATGATACTGTGGATAATTGATCTGTGGGGTGGAGTAATCACTCGTTGGACCTTCCCTCCATTCGAGTCCTGCTGAAGATGGTAATGATTGTGTTGAGGTCGGCAGCGGTGGCGGTAGAGGCAATGGTAAAGATGATGATCCGTTGTTTCCTTTATGTTTCTGTTCAAAAACAAAAATGAAAAGATTTCAAAGTGGAATGAATAGAATTTCGTTTACCTTTCGGAATTTGGCTCGTCGATTTTTAAACCAAACTTTGACTTTTGCTTCAGTTAGTTCGGTTTGTGCAGCAATTTCTTCTCGGAAGTTGACATCAGGATAGATATTATATGTAAATGTCATTTCGAGATGTTGTAATTGACTCGATGTAAAATGTGTGCGTAAACGTCGTGGTCGTTTGTTATTCTCGTTGGAACTTTTCGTTTTCGAGTCTGACTCGGATGTTGACGGAGATACGACATCCTTTCTGGTTTCATTTGAATCAGACGAACTTGGATTGATACTCAATGGTTCAACATAAGGTGATGACGATGCCGGGGAATAATATTGTGGATAGAATAGATTCGATTGTTGATGGTAATAATTCGAATCTATGTTTGATGATGTTTGATACGAGTATGAAGGAAAATATGATTGGTCTGGCTGTTGTACTTGCTGTTGATTGTAAAAGTAATTGTGTTGGTCGAATGAGACATCGTTTAAACAAGCAAATGAATGAGAGTATGGGCTATCAGATGGATGAAGATCATTAATCATTGAAACTTTTTCGTTTGTATTCATGATTCTAAAGAAGAGAAGAAGGAGTAAGCCTTTGCAATTTGATTATGTACTTTTCTAATACGATCGAAAAGCAAAACGACTAGTGCCATAGAAAATATAAGTACTCATGTCTCTTCTCCCTCTTCCTCTTTTTCTTTTTTTCGTCTCTCTCTCTCTCTCTGCATTATTTGATGTCAACACGATTGGTGTTTTTCATCTTAATTGACCAATAGGAGAGTTTCGAATGAAATGTTCATACCGATTGTTTTCCTTTCTATTAAATACGTACTGGCGTGCGCGTTGACCAAGATGTAGATCATCAACGAGTGCAAATACTATCTATTCGAAGTGATAATTGAAAAGCGACGATTAATTTCGCTTTTCTTTCTATCTCTGTCGCCGAATTTCACGATGAAGAGAAGAGAAAACGCCTCTATTTGAACAGGACACCGGCGTTTGTGTGTGTGCGTATGAGTATCTGCTTTCACAAAATGAGAGATGAGAGAGACAAAGAGACCGATCTAGTTGTGTATACATTCGTTTTATGATCGATGTACGACGTTGATTGGGGATTAGTTGTATAATGAAAAGAACGGTGAAAGTAATCGAAACAGACAGATTTCCTTCTGCGATTTCTTTCTTCAATGCTCGAAGTAAGATCAGTTTGAGAAAATTTCTTTTTCGTGAATGACTCATCATTCTCAATGTGTGTGTGTGTGTACTTTCATCAGACTCATGCAATTACTTAGAGGAAAGAAAATAGTAAATATTCATTGTGTTTTGGACAAACAAAATATGAGTTCGACATCGAAAATATCTCGAGTGAGTTAGAATTTTTGATTTTGCCAGTCTGGTCGGATCTTTTGGCGTAGGAAACAATCACTAAATGCCTCGATCAGTTATTGACATATTCTCATCATGACCACAAGCGAAATTTTCTTGAAACAGTGGAATTACAAGTCGTCCTGAAGAATTATAATACATCACGTGAGAAGCGTTTCAGCGGTTCGCTTCGTTTACCACATGTGATTCGTCCTCGTTATAAAATTTGTCTTTATGGTGATGAAAAGCATTGTGACGAAGCCCGACTGAATCAAATTGCTTGTATGTCTGTCGAGGATTTAAAAAGTTTGAACAAAAATCGGAAAAAAATCCGCCAAATCGATCACAAATATCACGCTTTTCTCGCATCCGAAACAATCATTCGACAAATACCACGTTTGTTCGGTCCGTGTCTTAGCAAAGTCAGTAAATTTCCAACGTTACTCACGCATAACGACAACTTAGTCGACAAAGTTCGACAGATCAAATCAACCTTACGTATACAACTAAAAAAACATCCGAATATCAGTGTAGCTATCGGACATGTTGATATGACTATCGAGGAGCTGCTAACAACGACAACGATGTCGGTTAATTTCATTGTTGGATTAGTGAGAAAAAAATGGCAGAATATCGACAAGATTTTCATTAAAAGTACAATGGGAAAATGTCATCGTCTTTATTAAAAACATTTTCTTTGTATTCATTTTGTTTACATCCAGAAAAGAGAAATGTTAAGCTTGAATATTATCTACAATGAATGAACATCTGACAAAACCACACACGCACACACACACACACGCGCGCGCGCACAGTTCAGTTAGTTGTCTGTATCTTTTTGATTTCGTTTCGATAAATATCACAGCTGAATAGGAGGAAAAGCAAAGTTTGTACTGAAAATATGCTTTATAAACGACCAGATAAGGAAAATAATGTATCAATTATCGATGGTGACATCTGAGCTTTTCTGGCCAAGTCCAACGGTCTAGAAAAGAAAAGATACAAATTTTTCATCAGAGATTTAATGATCCTACATTTGATGTTCAAGATTAACCGCTTCGACGAATGACGATGATGGATTTTTTCGGAGAAGAGTTTCAACAACTGGTTCATTCTTCTACAAGTATCAATCGAAATATATCGAAAACAAACTTTTGTACGAATACATACAGATAAACAAGCATAGTGTAAAATATTGTTTTTCAAATGATCAGTAGCGTCAAAGTTTTTACATTTCGCAAGAAACATATCTAAATACAAACAAAAATCGAACACCTTCAATTCTTCTCCTATGCTCTCACTTATGGTTTGTGAATCCATTCCATTCATAACTGCATACATGATCGGTGTTCGTTGTAAGCGATCTTTTACATCGACATTGACATCATTATAATGAAGTAAGATTCGAATACATTCTGAACCATTTTTTGTCATCGACGCTAAGTGCAACGGAGTATATCTAGAAAGAATCAGACACAATCAATCACTTTTCGTTCAATATTTTCCTTACTGGTCGACTTTGGTCGGTAGGTTAATCATTGTTGCAACACTATCTGTTCGTAGTGCGCTTAGAATTGCTTGTAAGCATATCGCATCAGCGCGCATACAAGCCAAATGAACAGGCGTGATTCGACTGGTTTTCAAACATCGAACACTAACATCAGATGCAAGTAGAATACGAACTGCAGTATCATGTCCTAAGTAATATTCGTTTTCGTCAAAATGAAACCGTCGATTAAAACGCGATGTTTTCGTTACCTCTCAAAACAGCGTAATGTAAAGGACTGAATCCATCAATATCAGCAACTTGTTCGTAATCATACTAAAGAGAAAAGAGATGGCTCATGAAATAAATTCAAGAAATGCTTTACATCAGCAAGGGTCGATAGAATCGTCACATTTCCACTTGCAGCTGCATAATGCAATGGTAATCGATTGTTTTTATCCACGATGTTCACTTGTAGATCATGTGCATCTAATAGTTCTTGCAAACTTTCTTCACCATTATAAATCGCACAATAGTGTAATGGCGAAAGGGATAGTGAATCAGTGATATTTGGATTCGCGCCACCGAAATTTACCAATAAACGTATACAATTTGGAGAGGAATGCTCAACGCAATAATGCAGAGCAGTCCTAAACAAAAAACAATGCTTTCTTCTCTTTCATTCTCTATCATTCCGATCACTTACTTTCCAGTTTTATCTTTTACATCGATAATTGCTTTTAAATCATCTGGATTTGTTTGTAATTCTTGCAATAACGCAAGCATACATTCGGTTTGTCCGTTTAATGCTGCGTAATGTAAACTGGTTTTGCCATCGATTTCATTCACTTGTTTCACATTCACTTTTCGATGCAAAAGCAAATGTACACAAGAACAATGTCCGTAATAACAAGCTAACATAAGTGCAGTCATTCCATCATTCATTGTTTCATTCAAATTGATGTCGGAGAGATTTTCCATGAGATATTCCAACGAATTATCTTTTCCATGAAGACACGAGAGGAAGATTAGTTTCGATTTGTCATATGTAGTCGGGTCTTTAACGGAATTGAAGAGAATTTTCAGTAGATAAGTATCATTCTGCATGATTCCATAGGACAAACATGTTTCGCCATGATTTGTACCTATGGACACATCACTACCAGCTTTGATTAGTTGTTCAATCGTATCTGATGAATAGCAATAGACAAGAATATAATGTAGTGGAATTGCGCTGTATGTGCGACATTTCATATTCACGTCGCCACCCAGTTTTAATAGGATATCGATCGCATCAAGTCCATGCCATTTAATACTAGAAAGAAAGCGGAGAACGTTTTGCATTTATCTGACGCGTGAGTACGTACCATGCATAGTGTAATGGAGTTAAACCAAATGAATCTTGTTGATTGATGATGTCTTTGCTCATTGATTTGAAGAACTTTTCGATGAATGTTGTTAGACCTGAATTGGCAGCATAGTGGAGTGAATGACGGCCAATGGAGTCGACTATTAGTAGTGAACGTTGGGCTTGCTCAAGTAATTGTCCATCTTTTTCAGGCATGAGATAACCAATAGATTGATAATCGAAATTTTTCAGCGCAATATGAAGTGGAATCAATGAATTTTTATTTTTCAAACACAAAAGATCTGGTTGTTGGGAAACTAATGCAAATAGTATATTTGATTGGTCAGATTTCGCCATTAATTTTGTTGATAAATGCAGTGGACTATCTTCATTACTATCAGCCAATGTTGGATCAGCACCTAGAACAAGAAGAATTAACATTCATCAGCATGAGATATTCAAATTTACTTCCGGCAAGTAACTGAAGAACAGCATTTTCGTTATTATGAGCAATTGCAATGTGTAGTGAAGTTTGATGCTTAAAATTCAATGTGTTCACTAACGGTAGTTTTAATTTCGCTAATAATTGAGGAATGACGTTTGAATCGGTTGCTTTCGATGCAGCAGCGAAATGAAGTAAAGTCTTGAAAAGAAGGAAAAAGAAAGAATCGAGATGAATTGTGTTGTTTAGATGACATACATTTCCATATTGATCTGTTTCGATTAAATCTGATGGTTTCGATTGATTACAAAGTAAATCGAATATTTCCATGTTACCAAGATAAGCAGCGAAATGAAGAGGTAAGCTTCCATTATGCGTTCTGGAATTGATGTTCACATTTATTTCAAGTAATTTTCGAATACAATCGATATGATTACCAATAATACAAAGATGTAAAGGTGTCAAACCCTGAAGAATCAAAAGTGAAGACAAGATTGTCATGTTTTAGAATATCTTACTTGATCATTGGTGCAGTTGGGATTAGCATGAGCATCGAGTAAGATATTGAGAATTTCAATTGAACCTACCGATGCGGCCCAGTGAAGTGGATAGTTTTGCTTACGATCACATAAACTCACATTTGCTCCGGCCTTAATCAACATTTTCACCATCTATACAGAAGAAACACATTAGAAACCTTTTGAAATTCTCTTCAATTTCTCTTACTTCAACATTACCCGACATACACTAAACAAAATGAATGAAATTAGTGAACATTTTTGTTTTTTCCAACAAAGAACTCACAGCATAATGCAATGCAGTTGCTCCAAATTCATCAGTGGTATCAACGTTTGTCACATGATCGATAATAAAAGCCCCTGTTGATCCATCCGATGACAAAGCAGATACATGCAATGGAGTTTGCCAATATTTATTCTGAACATCACAATCCGCTCCATGATCAATTAATGTTCGTACAATTGTCTAAAATCTTTTCTTTTCCAACGTCATTCAAACGATTGTTTTTCTCTTACCGGACAATTGGCTTTACATGCATAAAACAAAGGAGTTAGTAATTGATTATCTTTCGCATTCACAAATGCTTGTCTTGCACACAATGTGTCACATGTTGCAAGACAATTGAAGAACGCACATATATGTAACGCAGTTATTCCATCAGTATCCTATTCGGAAAAGAACAAGTCATTAAATAATTTGACTTTTGTTTTCTCGTAATCGTATTATGATTACTTTTGTATTGACATCGTAGTTTTTGCTTATCAAAGATTGAACAGCTAGATAGTCATCGTCGACAGCTGCATCAAATAGAGGCGAAAGTGGTAAAAACACATTTGTTGTTTGATTTCTTTCGGTATTAGTAGTCGGTTGAAACTTAGCAAAAAGAAATGAATTGAATTAAAATGAATGAAAAAGAAAATTTCAATCTTACTTGATTCAATAAAGGTGAAAGAAAAGATAGGGAGGTTTCCAATGAATAAGACATTGAATTCTCATACTAAAACATCAAGTGAAATCGAATTTCTCTCGGACCAAACGTTTGTGAATAACATAAACAAAAAAAAACAAATTCCGTAAAATATCAAATGAGATCAAACTAATTCAAATATTACAAATAATTTGTCAATAAAAACTCAAACGGAGAAATGAAGAAAAAAGAATGGCGACTGGGGACATCTAACGAGACTATCACACTCACCTTTCACGCAACCAAATGAATAATAACGTCGAAGTGTACACTTCATTTACTACCAGAAGTATTCTCACCCCCGAGGTAATCGTCTCAATTCATATCTTATCAAACTTTGAAGAAAAACAAATGCATAATACAAACCTTTGAGTTATTCATCCAGTGAGATGATGAAGATTTTCGCCTTGGGGAAAATCTATCGCATTTCTTGGTCGGTATATCAAGAATAATCATTCTTATTTGGATTTTCAATGTTTATTTATATAATTTGTTTTCAATAGCATAAAAAGAACTGTTTCTAACGGAAAGAATATGTACTGTTTTCAATGCAAATGAACTTGAGAGCGAAAATCGACGAAAATAACGTTCGCTTTCAACCAGACCGATCAACAACAACGTTCGAATGTCAAGAAATTAGAGGAACCACATGTTTCACGAAAGAAACCAGAGAAAGACCAATGGAAAACGAACTCATTCACTTGTCAATATACACAGAAGAGTAGAAAACAAACAACGAGCAGACATTGTGATTACTCTTGCCCGAAGCCCTCGCACTCTTCGATAGCAAATAGAAGTTTTTCTTTTAAAATCTCATATTTTTTATATGGAGGTAAATCCAATCGATTGAAACAGGTATGCGATCGGGGTAATATGTTATCCTTGCCATATTTCTCTATACAGAATTTTTGTGGACCATTCGAACCTAGAAATACAGATAAGATAGATTAACATTCTTGTCGATCTCCATACCGAGTAATTCAGCAAAACCACCAATCGGTACACGACATGTACCAGTAACAAATTGAAGTAGACGTGCGCGTTGTTCATCGGTAATTTCGCGTACGAATTGCCAGAACCATTGGATCGGCTTCGCATTTTCGGTGTAATGCTTATAGATAGTGTTACGTTCCCAGTCGAGAGTATCGATTTTCGATATGCCACAAAGGAGCAATTCTAGTTCACGTTCGTTAAATATCTGAATCCACTGCAATGGAACAACCTAAATACCAAGAAGAAATGATTTCGAGTTTAGAGCGGATCGAAATAGTACTTCGTTAAAGCCGTGTAGAAATGCTTTTGTTTGATCTTCAACTCCTCGTGTAAATCGCCACTTCGTGATCAATTCTAAGTATTCGGCTTTATTCGCTTCGGTTAATTTAATATCATTTCCACCGGGCTTCAATTCGATATTTTCGATTTTACCCAGTAATTCAAATGAAGTATTGAAATATAATTCTAAATCATCATTTTCATCTAGATTATTTTCTCGTATCCACGATAAACTGTTGTAAAATTCAGGATCTAATAATTCTAAATCATGTACTGTTAACGTTTTACCCAACAGTCGTTTATAAAACGATAAACTAAACCCGTTATCGATAAATTTCTCATGAAAAAGTGCCATTGCCACGAAACGACCAATAAATCTAAAGTAACTATTTGAATACTCCGAACTCGCGACAAAAAAAATATCTTACTGAAAATAAACGAGATGATCAGGATTGATTGACGACGCTGGATTTATTTGCAAATAGTAGTTCTTCTTGTTTGCATATTCGAATAAACAATACATTGGATTGAGTACTTCATGTGAGAGACGAAAGAACCATTCGCGGGCAACACCTCCATAATCAAGAGCTTCTTCATTTTTAAATGAGAGATACAATCGACGACGAAGTTCATTGGATTGACAATGCATGATATGATTTAGAGAATCATCGAACAAACGATGTCGACGTATGGTTAACTTCAATTGTCCGTTCGTAGCATTAGTTGAACATAAATAGCGGAATTGCCGGATCTTATACGGTAAACTATGTTTGAGGTTGGCTCGTGAGCTTGCATTCTACAAAGTGATTGTAAATGAAATTGATTGGAGGAGAAAAAGAACGTTCTCACAGTTGAAGATCCAAGCCGAGGATCTTGAAGAGTAGTTGTTTTTGTATTATGGTCAAGAAAATACATTTGTCCTTCTTTGGTATGACAGATTTCGAATCCAGGTGGTAACGAATTATCCAATAGTTTATTTTCCATTTGTCTTGGGTCTTCCCATTGTGTTGTTTTCGATAGATGATTGATATAATATGGTCGGCCTTGATTATCAAACATTCGTTGCCAACCTAGAAATGTGATAGAGTCGAGAAGAGTTTCTCCATCTGTATGATTTATCGAAATTCTCTACCTTCAGGTAAAGGCGATTCATTAGTGTTGCTCGATTGATTATTGCTATTTTCTGTCTGTGGTAAAAATCGATGTTCGAACTGATTAAACATCGAATGACTTCGTGCATATTGATCTTGCCATTGTGCAACATTAGCTAAATGTAGGGCAGTTGGTGGCGTCCAAGTTGTTGTACGAGTATTGTGATCAACGTAATAAACGCGTCCTCGACTATCAACACGTTCTTCCCAACCAGGTGGTAGAACACTCTGTTCAAGCAACCAAGTTGTCCGACGACGGTTGTGATCGACGTAGTACGGACGATTTTGACTGTCTAGACGAAGTTCCCAACCAGCAGGTAACTGAAATGAGAATATACAGAAAAGAAATAGACCTAATTTCATGTTTTCGAACTAACTTGTTGTTTTAAGTGAGCCAATCGTCTTTCATCTATGAGTGAATGCCTAGGATCGGTTGGTCTTGTTAAGCTTGTAGCTCCATTCGATTGGGGTGGTGACAAAGACTGCCTTGAATTTGTTGTGAGGTCATTTGTTGAAGTTGAATCTACTGGTAATGATGACTGATCGGTATTCGCTGTTTCAATTGATGTTTGTGCAGTTCTATTCGATTGCGAGTTTTGTTTAAGTATTGAACCGTAGAAGATAAGTTCGATGATGCCAGTCGAAGAATTCTGATCATTTAATCGGGCAGAATTCGATGATGCAGATGCTGACGAAGTTTGAAATGGCATTTGAACACGAAAAGACGGCGATCGACTATCATTATTCATGTTATTATGTTGCTCGTAAATACAGTAATTATCGATAATGGTTTTAATGTTAAAATCCGCTTGTCCAATATCACTGTTGCCAAAAAGACGAGTTGGAGCAAGGATTTTAAAGCACACTTTCGAGGTTAATGAGATAAGTGCATCAAACGATTCATTAATTATTATTATTGGATTTGTCGCTGTTGATGTTGCTGTATTTGATTTGTCTTTTTTGCGTATAATCTCTGTTCGATATGTGTATTTACTATCGATTTCCATAATCACATAGATATCTGTTAATTTGGTTGATGATGGTAAACGTACTGAACAGATCTTTACAGTTAACTGAGCAAGAGATTCTGGCAGTTGAGTATCTGAAGTTGGTTGAAGCATAATTGAATGTTTTCTTTTCTTCCTTCGAATGATATTAAGTAATCATATTAAGAATTCATTGGAATAAATTTAAGTACGGACGAATTTAGAATAATATCAATGTAAAACATAGTCTTGAACGTATTGTAATGCAGAGCAAAGTGTTGTAATAGTAGACACTCATACAGATGATGAAGTGCACACACACACATGCATGTTTATCTCTGCATGTATTCGTCTATTTGACAACCAATGGGAACTCTTTGAGGGGTGAGGGTGTAAAACGTGAATGAATGAAATAATCCTGCTACGTAGATATTTAACTGTAGATCTACTTATCTGGCAATCGGAAATTCATCTTCCTCAATTACAATTTTGCTCGTTTCAAAGATGTGAAAACGCAATTCGACATCGACGCTGTCGATTTTATGCACTGAAATCTGTAAGAATCTTAAATTCTTAAGACTTAACCTTGTACTGTCATGTAAATGTATCAGTGCAATTTGATATTGAGTTTAACATGTGAAGGGAAAGATACATTGATCTGCGAGAGAATTAATCGTTTATGTAACGTGTTTTTGGTTCAAGTAGAATTCTCTTTGATATAACGATTGGATATTCCTTCAAATAGGTTGTAATATACGAGTCCTGGATTTACTTTCATGACTGACATGTACTTGCACAACCCTTTTTCATTCATTTTAATACTGAATAAATCTGACAAATGCCTCTTATATATTAAACATTTATATTCTCTTCATTAAAATAAAGCACTAGGGCTTGAACGTTTACTCGAGACTACTAATCATATTGATATTATTAAAAGAAGCATTGGACTCGTTAGGGATTAAAAAAATGTACCGACTGCAGAATGTACTGAGTATTTTGGAAGGCAGAGATTGATGAACTGTGACTCAAGCGGTTTTAACGCACGATGTCCGCTATGTTTACATGATTATGAATTTGTAAATAATATTTATCTAAAAGTGGTCGCGTCTTTAGTCGTATAATGTCAGTAACTGGTTCACTGAAGTTTTTCAACAATACTATGAAATCTGTAACATTTCGAGTGCTTCATAGCGAATACTTGTTGATAGAGACGTTCCGCGGTAGCAAAATTTGAGTGATAGTATCGGTCACACATACACACACAAAATCTGATCGCATCGTAATATAAGATATAAATAGACACTTTCACTCTCGCTCATCCTTAAGATCAAAATTAAGTGTCTCTGGCTATACCACCATGCAAATAGATGAAAGTGTTTAATGGTGTTCTCAGAGGCCATCTGAACAAATAGTTCAATTGCTGATTATTTGCAAGATGTCGTGCACAAATACATTTCAGTCGAAGTGGTACTCCTTGACTTTGCAGAAACCATTTCATTTCGAAGGTCGTAGCACAATCAAATGGTGTTTCGTTACGTTTGTTCAGACAATCGATATGTGCACCAGCACCGATCAGAAATTTGGCAATTGGTATAGTCTCATCTGAATCGCTTTGAGAAACAATATGAAGAGCTGTGTTACCATTAACTTTTTCAACCGCATTCAGATCGATGTACTGTGTGCCACTGGCGATAAGAAGTTGAACTGTTTTCAAACTTGGGAATCTTAACAAAAAACAAACAAACAAACAAAGATATGAACGCTTTTATTATTAAGTTATGCTCTTACTTGAGAACCTGTCTAATTGTATATGGTCGGTACGAAATATCGAAATAAGTTTGCCTATTGACACACAAATGAAGCAACGTTTCTTCCTGCGTTGTTGTACGTTGGCATCGACAAATTCTATTGACCCATTGCATAATCAACTGGCGTTCCATTTTAGTTAAATTGGGTTGTTCAAGAACCTTCAAAGAAGGAGTGCTATTGTTAGATAGATGCGATACATATATATATATATAGATTTATACTCACCTGACTGGCGAGTGCAACAAAGTAGACCGCGTTTTTAACGCATGAATCATTTTTAGTTTGCTGTGATGGTTCTAATGTCAGACGACAAATTCTTAAAAATAGTTCTGAAGGAATAGGTACACGTTGTGTAATCATTTCACAAAAGGCCCATAGAAAACAAGGAAGACTTGTTTCATAACCCATACTTTGATATAAGTAAAATGTATGTTCCCATAAGTGAAGACAAAACTCGAAATCACCGCGTTTTACCAAATGATTTCCATAACTAGATAAAGACCTGTATACAGATCTCTTTCTCATCGGTGTCAAAATACGCTCTTGTATTAGCAATACTTCAATATAGACACGGTCATAATCATGTTGAATTTCGTCAAATTCTTCGATAGTTTGACATTCTTGTTGATAATTGTAAGCAATGATCGGTTTTCCAGCTGATTTCAAACACCTTTTCTCCTTTCTCATCTGCAATACTCTTTTCAGTAGACGAACCAAAATCGAAAACAAAGCTTGGTCTCTGATTAACTGTGTTATCGGTGGAAAATATAAACATATCATTAATTCAAGTTCTTCGAACGTCAGTTTTTCATCAGTCAAGTCAAACAGATAATCAACTATTTCGAAATCTGTCTTATTGTACGCTAATCGTAGCGGTGTATCTTGTTGGCGGTTTTTCACATTTGTCGAAGCACCAGCTGTACACAATAACTTTACCACATCGAAATTTCCAAAGGAAGCGGCATACTGCAGAGCTGTTTGATGGTCGAACTCATTGATTAAATCGATGTTCGCACCTTTACCAACAAGATATGCAACGATATCTGTTCGACCTAAAGTGGCCGATATTGTGAGACTATTGTGATAAGGAATATTTGTCTGTCGCGTTCTATCGATGTGAATAAACTCGTTTTCCACCAAGAATTGAACTGTATCCAGACGTTGTTCTATCACAGCGTCGAATAATATCGAATCATTAGGACCATTGTCTATTCTTGCTTTTGCTACTTCAATCAATGTACGAGCTACGGTATAATGACGTCGATCACACGCACACCATAATGCGGTGGCAAACAAAATCAAAGCTTCGTTCGAGTTACTTACTCTTCCAGAAAGTTCCACTACTCTTTCCATGTCAGTTGCGTGCGAAAGTATTGTTTGTACGACTGCATCGTGCCCATGGCAAGCAGCCAACATTAATAAACTAATATGTTCATTGTTCACTTGGTATACTGTCTCAAGGATCTGTTTAATATTGGGCAATGATTTCAGATATATATCGAGTTCATTGGACGGATCATTTTCAGTGATTAAAGTATACAATTTTTCATTCATTTATGATAGGAGGTGAATAAATGTAGATAGCGATATCTTCAAGATAGAAAAATTTCACATCAATAAATTGCAAATTACGTCAAACTGTTTTCTTGATGAATAGAATCTCATTGCTTTGTTTATTTCAAAATTGCAAGACTTACATTCACAATCGCACGTCACAAAAATCGTCTGCTATGTCTTAGTTGATCTCTTCTAATGGTAAAAGATTAGTTTGTTCAGTTTTGGACGTTCTTGTTGTAATTTCCAATCGAATTGCATATAATATAAATGTTTTAGGATCGAATAGAGCAATAGCTTTCTTCTCCTCATTTTCATCTTTGTGATAAATCGAATCGAACGACATTTCAGTTGTATTTGTTTGTCTAGCATTATATTCCATTGTTCGAATGTTTTTCCTACCTAATGATATTGAATAAGAATTTCCGGATGTAATCACTAGTTGATGTTCGTTATCAATATAGATCCCCATGAAAATTCGTTCGTCGCATTCACAATCATCTGCATAAACGAATGCGACGAACTGATAAATAGACGATTGATTATATTTAATAAATGATTCAGATGTATCGTATTCCACTGGTTTGTTTAATTGTTCGACAATTAACGAAGATTGTTTATTGAAATTATCTTGTATAACTATTTTCAATTTCAATGGTTGTGGTAAAGTCCTATGCATACGTTTTCGTTGAAAATTGTCTTGGCCAGGTTTGCCTTTCACACGTATTGAACCTTTGATCGCAATGGACATTAATTTATCTGGCTCGATCTGAATGCTGGAATCAGCTAACCATTTTGGTTCTTCATCTCGTAATGCAATCGGTGCAATTGCGATATCCTCACAGTCACACCAAGATCCATCATTTGTTTGATATAAAATATTGAATTTCATTACCGTTAATGCTTTTTCCGAAGATGTACTATTTGCTTTTCGAGTGAAATTGATATGAGTAATATTGAAATTTTGCCGAAATGTTCCCTCCGCAGATAGCCGGCTATCCTGATATGTTGTTACTGTATTAGTACCACCGTATGCCATTTGAATCGACGATTCTCCTAGACATTCATGTTTTGTAATGCTTTTGTTTCGATCTCGATCGACATCAATTTCAGGACCTGATCGTTGTGGTGGCGGAATGTTCGATGCCAATTCTTTTAGAATCTTGCGTTGTTCATCAGTGAAATTGTCATTGTCAGGTTTTGACAAAGAAATCAAATCGCCTTTTTCAATAATCATTCGTGATTCATCGAGTAACAAACTCAGTTTATTCGACCAAATCTGCTCAGCCGACCCAAGTTTCATACTGCATATCAAGTGCAAGACAGTATTGGAGACTGTATCATATTCCCATTTTGCTTCAATGAACCAATCTGAATGATCGAATCGAGCGATCATTTGTTCTACAAGCATAAATGATCCATTTTTAGAAGAAAATATTCTTGCTACTCACTCTGCTGACTTTTTTCACTGGCAATTTTAATCAATTGAAATACATTGAATATGTAAAGTCCGTAATCGTTCGAAGATCCATAGATGCGTATGAATAATTTCTCGAGATTAGTGATGCCAACTTCAATTCTCTTTTCTAGGTTATCACTTGCATCATGTTGGATGATTTCACACCATAAATCATTGAGATTCAATGTCGGATAATTTTCCTGTACGAATCGGCTCATATCACAACAAACAATTCGATCATTATCATTCAGTACAGTGGCACAAATCTGGTCATTGGATAAAAGATATCCATCATCAGTCAGCAATTGAACCAGACGAAGATTTCTCATGGAAAATTGTCGAATGATATAATTCTCCAGTAAATGGATGAGTTCATCAATAGTTGTAGTCAACGAGAAATCGAGAACATAGATAAATTTTAATGGTGTCAAGGAAGATTTTCTCGATGAATTATTATTCTCAATTTGAACTTTAAGACGAATTGTGGGCATGACTCTGTCGACAAAAAAGCACAATTGTTTTTCTCCTTCACTATTGTAATTTCACCATATATTTTCAATATTCTTGAGTAAATACGAAGCCAAACACGTGGCTTGTCGGAGCTTTCACTCTTCTCATTCTGTTGGGTTTTTTTTGTTGGTAAATACGACAGTGAAAGCATGTAATACTATTCAACGTAATAAACATCGAGGAAGTCTTCATTTGAATTTGTTCGAAGTTCAAATGACGTAAGAAGTAGTTACTTCCGTTTCTAGTACAATTCAACTCGATTCTGATTTAATTTCATCATGATGATGCGATTATCTCCAATCTCCAATGGCTATCTATATTAGTCTTCTGAAGCGATCAAAAGAGACATTTGAAGACGACTCGTTAGAAGTACTTCTCTAATGTTGTTCATTTGGTGATGATTGTTTTTTTTTCTTCTTCTCTCCTCTCCGTCATATTCTTCTCATTGGAAAAAAGAAGTTGATGTCAATCCTTCATTTATAACACAACAGAGAATCATCACTATGACATGATCGGTTGTTACGACTGGTAGATGTTTGTTAGGAGACACATCTGCCTATGTCACTCTGTTATTCGATACAACCCGAGGGTACGATATGCACAGTTGTATAAAGACGACCAGTGATTACTTTCCGATTTCGCTGACGTTTCTTCTCAACGGTGAAGTTGATTGAACAATTTCTTTTTTTTTCTTTCATTCGGTTTTATATATACTCATGGATGTGTATAATCGATGATTTTGCAAGGCAAAATGCGTGTTCATGGTCTCAACCTTGAGCGTCCATCAGAAAGATGCTTTATATTGTATAAGAATAAAGCCTTGTCAGACACATAACCGTACTGTTCATATGAGCGAACACTGAAGCTTCATCATCCATAGAGTTTGTATATATATATACCTATCAATAACTCACATAACAACAACGGGAAGAAGTAGGGAGACGAGAGAGAGAGAAAGAAAAAAGAGATCATTTAATCTCTGGACATACTGCTACTGGTATTGTTGCCGTTACTAGATGCATGTTGTACCAGAAAAGAAGCGAGAGAGAGAAAGAGAAGGAGAGAAAGAGAGAAAGTACAATTGTGTTTGCTACAGTTCATGACAAGAGAGAAGAGAACGCTGATCCCCATCAACTGTTCAGTTGATGAAACGCAAAAGAGTTATGCGAACACTTATAGAGGATAAACACTCGACTGAATTCAAATAAATATGTATATATTCATATACAAAAAGAATAAAAGAATGGAAGTGAAAAAGTCTTATACATTTCAATAGTTGCACGTACGTATTCTATTTACAAAGTAACACTCTTATATGAAAGAGTTCACACAATTTCTTTTCAATTGTTTCATCATCGAATTTATCCGTAAATAGGTCGAAAAACAACAACATGATATGTTCTCTTCATTCTAGATGCTAATCGTATTTCCTCCACGATACTTTTTCCAAACAAGATGATCATTACTCGAATTTTTCTTCTCTTTTTTCTGATTTTACCATCGTCTTCATACAGATTCGAAACATGCTGTTCCGACGAGAAGACGGAAAATTCAACATCTAGCATGCGTCTACTATCATGTCCATTAAATTTTGTGATTAAACTGCGTACAGTCATCTTTTATACAGGGAATGGTTGTGCACCTAGTACATGTCAACGACGTTTGAATAAACATTATCTTGCTTGTAATAATCATCGAACATGTTCAATATCAATCAAATGTATTCGCATGGATTCGTCAATATGCTCGCGGATCTCGAAGAACATCGATTATTCTCAACATTTAGTTATTGATTATGATTGTATTTTATACGAACCTCCTCAATCAACATTGATTGCCTCCAATCGATTTGATGTGAATAAAATGAATAACAAAAGCAAAGAAGATGTAGATCAAAATATCGTTCTCTTTTCGGCAAAAATTGATATTGATTCGCCACTGGATCCGTTCAATGATTCATTACCAACATTATACGACTTAACTCACGATGAACGCACATGGAAAGAGTTTCTTCTTAAACAATATCTCAGTGGTAAACGACCGCCGTTAAATGAACTTGAAAAGCCAGTTATTATTCAACAGCAACGTTCATTATTCAGTGATATACTTCGGACTGTCATCATACTTATAGTATTTACTTTTATTCTTATTATCTTAATGCTTGTTGGTCTCTTTCTTTACAAACATATTACAATTTTAAATAAGAGAAGATATTTTTCTCATCACCAAGATCAACAACAAAAGCATGCACCGTTTCCTGGTGATGAAGCTTATGATAATTTGAAATCAAGTGCAGCTGGTTCGACTACAGACAGCGGTGCAGTAACTGACGTGTAAATTGACTTCGATCACTATCTATTGTTTAACACCCATTTGTGAGCTTTACATATGTTTGTATGCGTGTGTGTGCGTGTGCTTGTTCACATGGAATGTCAAGGATTATCAGCGTTTAAAGAAACATCGTATTCATCTATTTCTACGTCTCTCTCTCTCTTCCTCTGTGTGCATATAAGGTGCATATGTATGAATCCGATGGATATATATATATATATCTAATGGCGATGATGATGCCTGTCAAAGATTTGTTCCGAAAGATCAACATATATACAGAGGCAGCAACAATGAAAAACGTCTTTTGTATGTATTCGTCTTTATCCGTAATCGATATATAGTGAACAGTGATGTTGTATGGTTCAGTTATTGGTAGACGAAATCGTTTGCCCTCGATACCGAGCCAAAAAAAAAGAAGTGCAAACGGGCGTGATGTAACGAAGAACAGCGGAGGGAAGAGAAGAAAAAAGGAATCTAGTAGAAGTTTATTATCAGAACTGAAAGGGTGGCGGAGAGAGAGAGAAAAGTAATTGTCCGGTACGATAAAATAAACAAGTCTTATACAAGATAGTATAGACCCTGAGAAAAGCTAGATGTGTTAATCTAACCTCGATAGGACTGCTGCTATTCACATCATCATGCTCGAACTGATTGCATATGTGATAAACAGACCTTGGAGCATCGGCGTGTCAACTATACGCACGTATGCATGGCTCAAACAGCTCAATCATTTTATCCTTATACGTATACACACACACACACACACACATATATACACAGCAAAAAGGAAGAAAAGACCCGATCAACTACACACATTATGTCATAATATGAACGAATGCTAGTCGGCATATGAAACTAATGGGTCGTCCCATGCAACTCGTTCAATGTCATCGTTCTCATCATCGACCGATGATTGATTGATTGATCAATTGTTGAAGCATGATGCTTTCTCCTATTGTTCACTAGAATATTATATGTACATTTCTATTCTTTTGTCAATAATTATATCTAATGCATCAGTGAAATCATTTCTCGTTGCTTACATATACATTTCAGTGCATATTTATTTTGATTTGTCACTTTTTAACTTAGTTCATCGCTTGAAGATATTCGTGCCGATATGAATTACCATTTGAATCGATATGAATTGTTTAGTTAAGTGAACTATCGGCATGAAAGAGTGGTCCTTTTCCCCCTTTCTACTTTCTAAAAATGACTAAAGGGCATCGGACAATCATTTTGACCGTTAATGAACTAACTACAGAGAAGGATATCATTGTAGAGGAGTAAATTTCATTGTTATAGGTCATTTATTATGCACATTTATCTTCGATCAATGAGAAAAAAAGAGAAGCTCAACACACTGTGAGCTCGACAAGAAACGAGACAGATGTTCATTTTGAAATCTTCAATAAAGTGCACGAACGAGATTCATCAATAGAATGTCTTCTTGTTCTCTTCAAACTGCCTGTTGATGACCAGCAGTAGCACAGTGATGTGATTTATTTATCAAATCGAAAAACCATTAAGATAAAAGATTACATTTATTGACATCGATATGTTATAAACAAAACTAACATACACATAATCAAATACACATCTGATGGAGTAAATGTGTTCTTCATCCAATCGAGCTCATCATTAAGCAATCGCACACTTTTTTCATTTTAATCTCGTCGATCGATCTAACAGGGAATAGACTTAGTTAAAACGAACGTTTTATCTTCGTATAATCCGATACGTGATTAAATGATGAGGTTACTTAACACGACGAAAAGGCCACATTTTCCTTTATCCATCTAATACTAATCGAATCGTTTACAAATATGAAGAAATCTACATTTCATTTATCATTCTTTCTATTCATTCAAGGATGCAAACTAACGCCGAATAGGTCTTGTTCAATATCAAAGCAGTCATCTGCTGATTACGATGACACATTTGTCAATTGAACAATCAATGTGATAGCGATATTATACAAATGACTACATAATTATATTAAATAACAAATGTCATTCTTCTGATGTCCTATCGCCAAACTGAACATATGCACATTTGTTCGCGAAGAAGAAAAGACCTTTTATCTGTAGATATACAATGAGAGAAGAGAACAAGACTTCATCAATTGTTTATTATGTCATAATATGAACGAATGCCAGTTGACATATGAAACTAATGGGTCATATCAGATGCAAAACGACCAATGTCATTATTTTCATCCGTGATTAATGACTGATTGATGATCATTAGAATGAAAGTCATCGTTGTGTTCAACACGCATATTTTTCTCGTTAGATCTTTATTATTTCATCGTTGTTTATCTTCATATGTGTGTAAGAATAGTTTACCCTGATGAACTAATCGAAAAAACGTCCTTCAGCTTGTAGAAGAGCTGTCAGGTAGACTTAGATCACGTATGAGTCTTTTAATGCTAAAAATACTTGTTTCAGGGTCGTTTGCATTATAGTATAAGTGTCAATATTCAGCATATGTTTGATTTCTTCGATCAGTTCAAATATATCTGCGAGAACACCTTTCCGATTTGAAAAATACCAGTGAATTGTGTGATTTCTTCGACGTCAATATTAAACTGTGATTGAGATCTCAGAATCGATTGAATGCGTCTCATTCTTCTATCATGGACGTTATCCGTGTTGGGATTTTTTTCAATCTCGAGTGTGTAACCCCATGGCCAAACTTGGATTTCAAATGTTGAATCGTGCCCAGGCATACCAACTGCCCATAGCACATGATACCAAGACGATTACAGACAAGTGCACTAAACAGAACTGACAATGACTCATCAACTGTTTCTTATCTCCTCGTTTACCATTCATCTGTGGAATGACTTGTCAAAACGATTGTTAGCTTCGCTTTGGAAAATGTTTAACTAAGTTGTGAACAACTAAATGGTCAGTTTCTTGTTCTTCATCGTCATCGGAAGTATTAGCTGACTTTTTATTTAAATTTACAGCTAGAATGCATCGACATTCAGCTAGGACATCTTCATCGATCGTTGTTTTGCCAAAATGTAACTTATAAGAACTGGAACATGGAAATTTCAGTGCACTAATATCATACAGAAACAGTACTAAGAAGAAAACGGATATGCGAGAAGCAAGAAGCGCCCAATTTCGCGTGATCGTATCATCTCGGTTCGATACAGAATCTACATTTATTCGATGACTGAATATGATTCGAGCGTGTTTAGAAACCGGAACATTTCACGGCAAAATGAACGTTATAATCGTTTGAGCATCTACACCAGGTGCAACAATGTTCAATATCCAGTAAAATATATGACGAATGCGTACAACTTCAAGAAGCTTGGACGCTGTTGGTACGACAATACTAATAGCATAAAGAAAACAAAAACCGAATCATCTGATCAATCCGCCCTGCGTCCCAAGCGCAACAACAATTTAAACATAGAAATTAAAATGTCGAGTACATACGACAACATGTTTACTGAAGCTTTTAGTTAAAAGATATATATAGCTGGTAAAGTTGGCAGAGTGACAATTTTTGTCAACGGATAGAGGTAGATTCGCAAATTCCAACCACTATTTAATGTATCGAGCAATGAATCAATTGCTTTCGATCATCGACTAGGTGGTAAGCCATTTACAAGCAATACCGATTAAACAATACCGATTAAACAATAAACGCCAAGTGCATAACAACACTAGATAGATGACGTTATAATATCAAATATATACTGAGAAATCCGGTATAGCACCGAGCTATAAATATCACTTTTTGAGAAGTCCTGCATGAATTGAGATATTCGTATGATACTTACTGTAATCCACTGATATGTGATAACGAGAGGAAACTATCTTTGTGTTTACTGGTTATAAATATTGCACTGTAGAAAGAGATAACATAGTGCGGAACTCTAAATGAATAGTTATGTCTTTTAGTTAATTTCAAGTCAAAGAAGAGTGATAAGGGAAATAATTTGAAAGAGTATGCAAGCATATTCACAAGATTTGATGGCCTCACTCCAAGCGGATCTGAAGCAGGATTTCCCGTGTTTCCAAAGATGAATATGAATTGAATCTTTTAATGCACGTTTGTAAATTATATTCGGTGTGACCGATGCTATTTTTATCCTACTATCAATGTGCTTTGATCAGAGACACACTTTTGATTATTGATCTTCATCAAATAAAATCATGATTCTGTTCTATCTTTGTTAATACGGTAAAACCCCCATATCGCCTGGGACCGATCTAGTGTCGACTAATGATATACAATCCAGATATCTGCTACCAATGGATATTAATGCACATGTCCAGTTGATCTCTATAGAATTAATAGTGAATTCGATATTTGACCGTGTAGACCGGCTACTTGTTGAAACTACGGTATTTTGAATTTCTTTTTTTACATTACAACTTTACGTTGTCTTTATACTCATATTTAGGTACTTGTCTAACTTTGCCTCAGAACGCTTTCCGATGTTTATGTGGGATGAAATGGCAAGGTAAATATTATGAAAATATAGCGTGCGAAAACAACAGGGCCTGTCGTTCAATAGCCAATGTTTTTCCGTGCAGCTGCTTAACAAGTAACTACTTGGTTCGTTACTATGAAACTACATCCAGTATTTTAAGTATTCGTAAAACAGCATCGAAATCATTAGGCTACATAGCAATTGTCTTTTTGATAGACACTTTCATATTTCTTGCCGTACTTGACATACGTAAATATGGATTTCGTATTGACACAACAAGTAAAAAACTGAAAAGTAAACCAAAGCGGAAAGCTCCAGTCATCATTCGCTATCTTTATCTGATTCGTGAAACCAAATGAGTAACCCAACAGGCAATCCTGGTCAGATGTGTCTCGATTTGTATGTACCTGTGAGATTTTCATGGTAAACTGTATCCGTCCAGGTATATGATGAGGTTAATTGTTTATTTTAATGTATACGAAATACATGTACATAAACGTGGAGAAAATAGTGTAAAGCTAGTTAGTATCTATAATAACGGATAATGTTTGTTCTTTTCTTGTAATATTAAACATCTTGCAGTTTATGGGAAATTCACTTTCTTGTTTTCACCTTCGAGAGTTGATCCATCACCAAAAGCCGCCTTGACATAGCCAACAGCTCGAACCATGATGGATGATGCTGAGTCCCAATATTCAGCTCCTTCAATAGTTACTTTAAGTAAACCTAGATGAGGGTCATCGAGTTCTTGTGGAAACCTACAATGAAGACGAGACACTAATATGAAGAGAAGGGAAGGTTTGGCGTGAAGCTAACCAAGCTTTTAAATATGGATTCCATAGTTCTTTTGCTTTAGCTTTATCTTTGATAACTTCCGCACGTCCACTAATACTGACGTACGATTGGTGAGATGGATTACTGAATGACACATTAACGTGCGAATGTTTCTTGATTTCTGGCACTTTAGACGAATCTGTTCGTGTGAAAAACCTAAAAATTCAATCTTAATACAACACGAAAATCTATCAAATATCGAATATACCAAAGTTCAGTTTTTGAATCACTATCACCTTGTTTATATGCCATAGGGCGTGCACGAAGACTACCATCTTCATCTGTTGTTGTCAACATAGCAAATTGAATATCTTTAATTAATTTAAAGACATGATCCTGCGCATAAGAAAAAGAAAATTTCTATCAGATACACAAAAACAATCATTGCATTAACAAACTTGATCTTTGGCACGATCGGAATCTGATGACATCTTGAAAAACGTGAATAAATATCACTGGAAAGAAGAAATTTCTGTAGAATAGTGATCGGAGAAACATTTCTGGTTTATATAGTACGCTAAAAGCAGAACATCGAGTTTATTTGCCTCCGCACTGATTATATAATCTTGTGTCGTCGTTTTGTAACTAGCAAATCACCTTAAAATGAAAGAAAAGAAAACGTGATAAAGAACATGCATGGTTAGAATAGAAAGCAGGACAGCGAACAATCGATAGAACAAGTCACTCAGTACGGTTTTTTTTGTCCTGAAGTTTCAAAGAAAAATGATTTGCCTAATACAATGTGATGATGCTACTCTCTCCATTTTATCGTCAAGGAATTAAAATGCGTCAAAGTGCATAAAAATAGAACTATTCTTAATTGAGTCATAAAATCAATCATTTGCATACTATTTAATGAAGTTTTGAGTAATATACGTCATACTATCATGTCATCGATCAGTAGCAATGGTAATTATATGATATTTGTTTGTTTGAAAACAAAAATATGAAAACAGTCACGCGAAACAGATCAAAGAAAGAAAACGGATGTGCGTGTCACTTCCTTTCTGTAGTAGAGCGCGCTGAATTGCGGTTTAACATTTGGCTGGTAAAACATTTTTTTCGAAGAATCCTGGTCCAACAATATTTCCCGCTGGATAGTAATTTGCAACAATATAAACTTCTTGACCATTAGGTGAGAAAGCAACGCCAACACCCATTTTCTTCGTATCTTTCCATACCAATTGTGTAAAATGTCCGGTTTCTTTCGAGAATGTTGGATGTTTAAAATCATGCATTTCTATTTCGTCGTACCAACTTTTATCTGCAGCTTTGGCACTAGCATTTACTTTGCCACGCGATATCCATTGCATATAAAGGTTTTCTCCCAATGGCTCTTTACCGAGTTTGTTCCCACTATGTTCAAATGTTGATGTTTTAGCCAAATGTTCTGCATATGACTGCGCAATTTTATTAAGCCGTTCACTAATGGTCAATGGCGGCGCACAATGTCGCGCACGATGTTGATTATGTAATTGCAATAACTCAGCAGTCACAGAGGAGTGCACTGATGCTTCCCTGTCACCTGATAGATTACGATCGAAAATAAAGAAATCAAGTTTTTCTAAAGTTTAACATACGGTACAAGTGTCGATAATATGGATGATAACTCATATCCATATATCCGTAAGGCAGCGCTGGTTGTTGGTAGGCATGACGAGGTCTGCCCAACATCCGCTGGTCATAGCGATAATAGCTCGGTTGTTGATATCCCCAATATCCGAATGTTCCTGAATACCTACATAGAAGAAATCAATTTGATTGTGGAACGCCGAAAATGCGAACAAAATAACTTCGCCGAATATTTACATTTTCAATAACTATTGCTGTTTTGCTAAGTGCACAGAAACACAAGAACGATGCGAATGACATGCTCACACATGTGTACGTTTTTATATAGGTAAGGGTGTCTCCTATAGTTGATTTCATTGCATATTCCAAATCATGACATAGACCGCCGTACGTACGTACGTACGCACATAAATATGAGTAATACAACATAAAACAAGCAAATATTGCATTTTTTCCAATATCAACAAAGTAATACACCACGATGACTAATAGCATAAAAGAGGACATGAAATTCTAATTAATCATACATCGTTCACGTTTGTTTAGTAGATTAGAAAGTTGTAAGGTTGATCTGCGTGATACATAGAAAGCTCATCACAGCAGAATTTTTCTTTCGTTCTCTTCGTTGAAATAAATCGGACGGCAATGAAATAAAGATACATGTCTTTGTTTTATTCCTTATATACGACTACACGTCGAAAGATTTCATATTCACATCGTCGAATACTTTCTGATATTCAAATACAATGACTGAAGTAAAGGATTCGTTGTTCTGACGAAGATCTCATTTAGTTTTTCGATTTTCTTTTCAAAGACAACGATTATCCGAACGGATATCTCTTTGGATGTAGATGATTTCGATATTCGTCGAGAATTCTGTGGTGTTCACGTAAGAATTTAAAAAAATTTCATTTCTATAGTTTCATGTCAAATTCAGGATAAACGTTTAAATGAATTACGACAATTCACCAACTGTATAATCGATTTACAAATACATCCAACAAAACATCCATTTGAAAAGGTCACCTGGATCATTTCGTAAGTTAATCAGAAACAAACGCCAAATATATTCAGTTTTCGTTATGGCTAGACACTATGATGAAGCTGTACGTGCATTTACTGTTAAACGTATTCAAACATGGGCTCAGATGACGCAAATAGCTATTCAAATGCATATTGAAGATATCACCTTCCATCAGCGTGAGATTCCATATCCACCAATGCTCTTTTCAGTTCACGAATGAACTTTCTTTCAATAGAATTATCATCTGACACATCGTCTTCTTCAACGGATGGTCGAGTACAACAACTTGGAAATTCAATAAAATCATCTCCATCGCCGCAAAAGGGCTCTTCTTTGAAAATGTTTAATAAACATTCCAAAACACCATTACATGATCACTATTACGGTAGTGTACCCAACGCTGCCCTTGTTCCTCAAACAGATATTCAATCTCGATATCAACATCGTCGCCGACGAAATTCATCATCAAGTAGTTCGGGAGTTCAACGGCCAGGTAAACTTTCAATCGAGATTTCTTCATTTGCTTTTGAAAAGCTCTACTCTTTTAGCTTTGTTTGGCAAACCAAGTGATTATTTTCTGTCACGCGGAAATGAATATCCACGGCGTCGTCATTCACCTTTATCGACACCTATTTCGAGTAAAATACTCCTAATAATCACTTCCCTTTCAATTGATTCAGTTTTTTCGTCGACAGAAATCAAACCAAATGAATCATCCAATACTACAGAACCGTTCTTATCCAAGCCTTCGTATTTACCAAATGAAAGAGAGCAGTCATATGGTAAAACATCCTTTTTAAGTACGTCTCTCATGTTCCTATGCCACTCTCGTCTAGAACTAAATAAAAATCTTATCACAGAATATGAGTTACTTACTAATGGTAAATATCGAATCTTCTCACGTTCGAAATGTTGCTGTTCTTTTTTGATTTTCATCAGGTGATGACATCGATTACGAAGAAGAAGCGAAATGGGAAAATCTTCTTTCAGATACCAGTGATTTCGAAAAGTAAATCATCATTCCGACACTCATCTCTTATCTTTTCTCCTCTTTCAAGTGACTCCCATCCATTAATGGCTGATATTATCGTCATATCTCAACTACGTGATAGTCTCATGCATTCACAGATCTCATCTACCGATGACATCGCCCATATTCAGTTATCTTTACCAAAAACTTTGATTATTACTAGCGATGAAAAGTTAAAAACATTGAAAAGTCAACCAGTGTGGTTCCATCGTCTCTATCTCAATTCGAAAATCATTCTCGCAGACGGTATTCACAAATCCAGACAGCAAGCAGAAAAATTTGCGTACAAAAAGATGATTGACTTAATGACGAACAAACAAGGCGTACAAGTCAAAGTTCTCGTCAATGGACAATGTAAAGCAGTTCTTCAGAAAGCTCCTCCTCCCAAACAATTCAACAACACAATCATCAATGAATCACTTATGAATACGACAACTGACGTTTATTAACTAAATCTTTTTTTTCTCGGTCGAGAATCAAGACTATCATCTTTCATACATTATGAATTCAATTTTTCTTTCTTTTTCTCGCAAATGCATTCTTCTTTAATATTTCATTTTAATGAATAAAACAAATGTATTTCAATCTATAGAATTGCTAATGAACTCCAAGTCATTCACAAGCTTTGTGTTCTGTAATTACCGGCAGTTCTTATATATATATCAAAAGAAAAGACTCGTCTGTTTTTTTAATTCTACACGGCTGCTAAATTAATACCTTTCATTCGCACTCGAAAAAGAATTCGCTTTTTATAGCACCAGTTGGATTGTCATTGTGTTCGATTCTTGACGTTGCTTGTAAAGCTCATCTACAAATAGAGAATTGTAATTAAACAAGCATAATAATGTGAATTGGATTTTCACAGAATCTTCCTGTGACACTAGCGAAGAACAAACCACTGGATCCGTCAGCTGTTGTTACAAACAGTGTTATTTTATCAAGTATTCAGATGCAAACGAGACACATATTCGAAAGAACTGTTTCTTCTGACTATCGATAACATTTACACTCGTTAATCTTGATATAGCTCACATATTGATTGAGATTTATCAATGCTGATTTTTTAATCATCCCGCCGAAGTCAAATATCAGTTGTTTTTGCACTAGAAACGTCAAAGCAAAGCGTTGGCTTCATACTGTCATTCAAATAAACGGAAGTGCTATTTTTCCTTCGCAGAACGCTCGTGTCACACAGACTTAATACTAATAATATAAGATGTTTCTAACTTATAATTAATCTACCATGTTCTCATGTCATATGTGTCCTATTTTCCAAGAATTCTTCTGATCAGATGGCTGTGCTTTGTTTTTCCGATTCGCGAAATGACATACCTATTTTCTCCGCTGATTAAAACAACTGTGGACTAACAAATTTAATTAAAAAAAGAAAAACCTCTTGAACTTAGTAAAGCACACACTTGCAGCCGTCTTCATGCGACAGAAACTATATATGAAAACTCAAAGCGACATCCCGAAGAAAAAAGGCAAACTTTCTCGTGATAATAATCGGCATTATTTAATTAATTGGATTTCGTCAACTTCAAAGCTCTTTTCTATGTATAGCCATGTCAGTTTTGATCAATGTTTCAGCAGTAATTTAACAAGTAGCGAGTTTCTCGTTACTGTGATTAGAAGAAGCGATCTTGACTATGACATAGATCCTTAGCCTTCAAAATATTAGACAGATCTCGTTCTCTTCGGTGTGGATTTACCCTAGAAAAGAACATTTTCATATAAATTTTTACATCGACATGAGCTGAAGTAGATGCGTCGAAATATGGGGCTAAATGAAATGAACTTCCTTTTCATACGGTCCGCAGGTGAGAAATAAAAAGATGTTTTAATGACGATAGTTAGATAACTTATAGCGGACTAAAATGCGACTGAGGGTGTTACAGGTGTTGTTTATGTAGACCTTATTTAAATCAAGAAGGCGCTTTGCCCATAAATTATTCTCGTTTTTCCTTGAAATGCATTTTTATAAGTTATTTATCAGCATGACACAGGAAAATCTATCTATGAAAGGGCTTTATTTTTAGCTTCAACGCAAAAAGGATTTTCTATTATACAGGACGATTTCTTTCATCTCCTGTTCTATAGAGATTTGATCATAAACCAAGCGAAACAGAGGCGCATCTGATCGAGATATCAAAGAGACGATTCGCCCATTGTGATTAACGATCATTTATTATAACAGAAGAAGATGTTCCAATGAAAAAACACGTATTCGTCTAAAAGATTTCTTAAGAAAATGTTTACGTACAAAAAGCTCATTAGATAGAAGAAGAATTTCTCTACAAGAATTGACCAAATTTACATATGATTTTTTCTCATGAGATACAACCGAATTGGACTCGAAACAGACATTTTAATTGAATCGAAGTCGGTTGTTTCATCGGTACTATTCCGGAGTTTTGTTTTCACATAGCATTGAATCAATTTCTGTCGTAAAGTTGCTAACATATCTTCATACGCTTGTTCGCCATTCTGTTTTCGATAGGTTTGGCAACCTGACAATGATTCAATGAAGCCCAGGAAATGTCCCAACGTCGTTTCTGTTCGATGTTCAATTGTCGCGTGTCTTAACGTTGATTTAAACGGTAAAAGTGGGACGAGCGATTCATAGTAATCATCAGCTAGCCATCGTTTGACGTTCCAATACGGAAACAAAAGCACATGATGGAATTCATGATAGATAGCATCAGCGATTGGGTTATCTAAGGTACCTAATGCGTAAGTCCATACCGCTAAGACGCCGGTGTTTGGTTTTAAAACACGTTTCGCTTCTTCGAGGAAAATTTCGATGTCAAGCCAGTGCAATGTCGTTGCAGCTGTGATTAGATCGACTGAGTTCGACTGAAGGAATGAAAGATTTTCAGCAGTATGACAACGGTATTCGATATTGTCGTTTGGCATAGCACGACTTATTTGATTAGCACTAACATCAAGTCCGATAACACGTTCACAAAACCTAGAAAAACGCAAAAGATGGCAAATAAAGCACAAGATCAAGTTGAAAAAAGCTAATATTTACAAACTAAGATCCACGGTTGCTTGCCCACTGCCACATCCAACGTCGAGCGCGAGTGGAATTCTTTCATTGGTTATTTTCCCACGAAAATAATAATCGAGAATGATTTCATATAATTTCTTGGGATAGCCAGGTCGATGCAGACGATATTTCGCTGTATGTTCTTCATCATTAAATAGATCATGGCTCATCGTCGTTTTTCTTCTCTCCTTTTTGTCTTAATACGACACCGACGATGATGTTGTTTTTTTCCCTCTGTCTGTTATTTTGTTTTTCTTTTTCTCGTTTTCTTTCTTTCATTCTTTCTTTCTCTTTTTTGCCTCGTTATTCTTTTTCTTCACCTTCGACCTAGTAATGGTAACATATATGCTGATTATATATCCATTCTTCACGTCTGATATGCAGATAAGTATTAAAGCAAAGACATGTCCAACACATTTTTCATCTCGTGGAAATATTTCGAAATCATCAGACTAAATGTACTCTCGTTGATATTTTGCTTTCTTTGACAGGCCATGTGCTTCCAAAAATATTCCGATCTATTAAGATTAATAGAATATGCACATGGGCAAATGTCTTGTGTTATTTTGAGCATCGAACTTTTTCAGATAATCATGTCTAATGAAGAGAATTAGTTTCTTTCTCATTTGAATATTAGATTTGACATTCTCAATGGGTGGCGAGATAATTGAAGCACGATGATATGTTTCCGATGGAGAAGAAATAAATGGCAAACGTTCGAGATAGACATTAAAAATATTGACAATTCGAAGTGGCGAATCACTTAAGATTGACTATGAAATCATTATTTTTCTTACAATGTCAGTAACATGAAAATGAAGTTTTCCTCTTCAGTGACATATTGAATGATTAAATAGTCAATATTATTCTTTTCATGGACTATATAAGTCATCAGAGAGCAAAATACGACAATACCATTTGGAAGAATCGATTAATAAGCTGAATTTTTCGGAAATTTTCAAAAACACATCAAATAGTTTTATTCTGAAATAAAAACTTCAAAATTGAATCTTGAATGACTCTGAAATACTGTTAGTCGACAGAGAGAACATTTCGTTAGAGAATAGTACAAGTTCTGGAATTCTGCACTTCGTTGATTGGTCTCGTTTGTGACTTATTAGTACGAAAAAGTCTGGAGAAGAATCCAGACTCAGTTTTGGTTACGTTTGTTGGGTTGCATGCTTCGACATCCGGTTTTAATCTTTGAGGCGCACAAAAACTTTGATGGAAATCATCGACAGAGCCTAAGGGTATGCTTTCATTGTTTTCATCAGACGAAGCTGACGAACTACGGCTGATCGTTGTCGACGAATCAGATTCATCGTTGTCAAATTGCCGGTTCTGCCCAGTTGATTCGTCATTCGTTAATGTTTTCACAGGAGTTGTAAGACTCAATGGTATCATGTGTTCATCATCGGAAGTACTTTCTGACATTGATCGTCTTGGTTTTGGATGGCACTGAGAGGCTTCTGAAGACTCACGGTTGTCACTGTTAAGTGGCACTAAATTATTCAGAACACCCGTTTTCACCGGTGTCGAATCTTGTATTCTTTTAAAACCAATTGGCCGCAGTACTCCATCTACTTCCACATGTGTAGTATTCATCAAAGCACTTGTCCTTGACGCAGACAGTTCATCTAAATCATGATCAGATTCATTAAGCTCAGAATTGGGACTTGTGGATGACTGAGTAGATATTTTAGAGCCATATCTTGTGCGTGTGAAACTTTTTTTAGGCTCTAAGTGCGAGCCGTTTATATCTAGAGAAAGAAAAGGCTAGGTTCCTTTCACATGAATAAACTCATGATACTATACTTTCAGTGTCATCTTCGATCATTGATGGTCGTTGTTGAGCAAGTACTAATGTTTGACAACCACCACAAGCAACATCTAAGACATGACAATCTTCAAAAAGATCGATCGTGCATGGTTTAAATGCGTTGCTTTGTGTTTCAGAGCCCAATTTGCCATGTTTTCCATCGCCAAATAGATAGAGATCACCTTGCGAACCAAGAATAGCTGTATGACCTTCACCAGCAGCAATGGCTATTACTTTTGATGGCAGCTTTCGTTCGATAGGTCGAAAACACTCCGTCCTGAGTACACGAGTGCCAAGGCCAAGTTGACCACGATCACCTCGTCCTATTTTCACAAGAAGAAATATTTATATTTGCATATATAGAATATACTAAATAAATATTATACCAGAAACATAAATTTGCCCACTTTGTGTCATTAGAATAGTATGCTGATTTCCGCAAGCGACACTCCTAATCGGTTCGGGCAGAGTGACTTTTAAAGGATCGTTACATGTATCCTTCATAGAATGTCCTAGTTGTCTATCTTGATTATTACCAAACAAAAATAATCGTCCGTCATCAGCAATGAATGCTGTGTGATAGTATCCACATGATCTGAAAGAAAAGAGAGCAATCTTTCTATATAATTTACTATTCTTTTCTAAGACAATCTCAACTTACATCGTAGCAACAGTGTAATCTATACGGAGTTCTTTCGGTCTTGTTATCTGATCATATTTGAGTGCATATCCACATTGACCGTCTTCATTAGAGCCCCATATGTAAACTGTTCCGTCGTCCGTTAACGCACATGTATGTTCAGCACCCATTGCAATTTGTCTCCACGAGACTTTCGATCGAAATGAATTGATTCGTACTGGAGATGGATGAATAACGGTCGATTCATTCAATTCAAGTCCTAATTGGCCATGACTATTCGAACCAAAGGAATATAGTGAGCCAGAACTTGTTGCCACGATAGATGATTCACGGCCACAGGCAGCGAGTTGTACTTGCTCATCTGTAGATCGTAAACATTTTATTTCGGACACTTTTTTAACATTCTCTGTGTGACCTAAACCCAGTTGACCTAAAAAATCGACACGAAACAAAATTAACATGAATTTTCACCCACACCCTACCTGAATTATTATCTCCAAACGCAAACACGCACCCACTCTCGGTAACTAGAATCGCATGTCTATCGCCAGCAGCCATGCACATAAAAGGATCGTTTCGTACATGAAAACTATCATTTATTGATAGATACGTCTTACCTAACACATATATTTCTGGAATATCGTTCTCATTCTTCGAACGGGTCATTGTCGTAAATTTACCCTATTATCTATATTTTTGTGTTAATGTATGACAAATGGATGCAAGTATCTGAAATTACAAACTATTCAGAGCAAATCGTTGAGACAATAACTGTAGATGGTAGAATTTCGTATGAAACTTGCATTGTTATCAATGGTGATTATTCATTCCACATCTGTCGAAGAAGTGTGGCATAAAAATGAATCTTTCCTTTCCATTTCGAGGAATGATGGCACGTATGACGAAACCTTTATCTTTCATTTAGTCAAAGTAAATCAAACACACGAATAGGTAGCAACCAAGGTAGATATTTACTTTTAACAATATCATATTTCTATTACCAAGAGGTGCTATAAGTGCGACATATCTGATTGCGATTGTTAAAAACAATTTCACGGACATCTCTTTGAAGCTTTGACTTCCAGTTCGAAACAAATGATCTGTTGAAAGTAAATGAATTTGATGTTGTTTATAAAAATTTATTAGTCCATAAACATTTCTTGACTTACATCGAATACAAATACATATTTATCAAAAAAAGAAGAAGAAGAGAAAAAGAAGGAGATCAATGAAAAGTCCCGATCCACTTTCACTGTCAACAACGACAACACTGAAGGAGACAAAAATTTTTTTCTTCAATATGAACATACAAAAGCAAACAGATTAAGAATAATCGATACGAAAATGACGTTCTTTTCTGTTTTAAGATACAATGAAGAAGGAAAAAATTTCATCTGACTCACTTCGCTCAACACCGGTCATCGATTGAGAGGCCACACTTGATCGACTGGAACGATACTCAATCAGTTCTGTAGATCAACTTGAGCAAGTTCCAGAAACTTCATTAGATCTTTGACAGGTACATTCCGTGCTTGAGCTTTCAAACGTAAATTTCGATCATCAGTGATTAGAACAACTTCACGGTGTAATCGAATAGCGCCGTCTACGAAAGAAATTTATTTATGCATTATCATTGTCGGAGCTGATTAGATCGTACCTTTGCTCTGAGGAAAGAACTCTCGAGGATTATCATGACACTAAATCAAAGAGGGAAATTAGATAGGTGTACTTGTTTTGTACTTATTCATACATACATATTTCAAACAGCAACCTAAAATTGTGTCGTCATTTGATTCCTAAGAGAAGAACATTGCTGATTTTTGTTTACAAGAAGTCAAAGTTAATTTTTACGTTTTTTTTCACTTCATTTCGAAACTGAATGGAATCTAATACTGTTCCTTCGCCAGTCATGGCTTGCACACGTCGTTCTTTACTTGCAAAACATTCTTCAATCATTTTGACTGCTTGAATCGATTGTCGACGAACCATCTCTGCGTGTTCATATGAATCATCGTTGACAATCGTCGAGATAGATAATTTATCCAATTCACAAATGACTGAGAACAGAAAACGACTTTTTCATGAAAAGAAAACCATTTCATTTACCAATTAGAGGAATAATGATAGTAAATCGAGCATGTCGAATCAGTTTATGGATTATTGGAAGATAGTTTACAAAACAATTTGTATCGAGAACAACATAACGTGGGACGACTTCGATTTCAATCGATCGAGATGTATTGAGAATGTCCTAAAAGGAAATCTTCGGTTTGAACTCGATGAATTTTTCTTGATTTACTTTCACAACTTGTTCTTGCTTTTGTTTCTCGGCTAATTGATGTTCTAGTTGTCGTTTTTTACGTTTCAGTTCTTTCATATCAATGCCATTAACGATTGAATCGGGGGATGATGGGTCAATACTATTCGTCGTCGATAATGAAGAGACAGATTCAGTTAGATTATTTTCACGATCAAGTGACATGTTCTGAATGAGAAGATCTTCTTACAAATGATGAAGATTAAAAAAAATAACAAACTTACATGATTTTCACGAAGAGGACTTTTACTTCGCTCGGAATGAATCGATGATTTGATAGCTGGTTGGTACGTTTTCTGCTGAACATTGTATATGAATACTGGTTGAGTTAGACCGCACAAATAGTCAGCAAAGAAGCACAATCGAGTAATTCGTTTCGAATCTTTCGCTTCATCCTACACAATCACATATCTTATACAACCAGATCTATTATGGTCAATTACCAATGGCGCATCACTTGTAGTTTGCAACGTATCAGCTGGTAGCGTGAGTAGTGGATAGAATCCACTGAGTTCAACATCTTCTTCCAATATGACTGGCACAGAATCTTTGAAAAGAAGAATGATTCATTTGATGCATAGGAGTTGCATTCAAGAATGTTACTTGGCAAATTCGAAGCAAGTGGAATATACGTTCGATCAATAGTTCGAATACGATTAACGACTTTAGCAAGCGACATTAGAATATCGGGATGTGGACCGTATTCAGCTGGTAATTGATCAGGCAATGAAATGAATGAACTCGCATTGCATGTCATCCAATCAGTAAAGATTTTCAATGATGGAAAGACATGTCGTAGCCAACTACTGAAGATAGGCGGAGGTGTATCAGCACTACTTGATGTTGAGCGAGTCTTTAAATGACGATCAACCATAATTGCCGTCTGTTCGGTTAATAAACCAAACATGTCCAATGCTAACTGAAGAGAAGATTCTTCGTATTGTGAACGGACATCAATATCAACTGTAGAATAGGAATTCGTTTCGTACTGAAATGATTTTGAAAAAAAGTCATCTACCTGAGACTTTCACTTGTTTGGCTACTTCGATTTGATACATATTAATAGCCATCATTTGAACGAGTTGTTGTTTACCGAAAACGCATGGATCGTGCCGGAGTAAATTTTGAAATTGACGAAGCATTCGTGAACACAACTCAGTATATGTTTCCATGCTATATTTGTATCAAAATAAGAGATGCACATGAATCAAAAGTCAATCGTACCCTGTTCTTGTATATAATTTTCCATGTAATGTTATGTAATTAAGTATAAACCAATGAATAAGCTAAAAATCGATGAAAATAATAATCAAAAGAGTTAAATATATCATCTGCTCACTTCTTGTTGCGATACTGAACCATCAAAGTCATTGTATTCGTTGGTCGATTGTCCATCATCGAGACTTCGCCCGACAACTGTTCCATCCGTTCGTTTCCATATCTCAAGTTTTTGATTACCTACATACGAAATCCACTCGATGGTCATGTTTCATTTTTCATATCAACAAAATCAGTTACCTGCTCGTATTTTCCGTTCATTCTTCTTATCACGTTCTTTCAATTCTTTTTCAAATGTTTCCAACTAAACAAAACAAAAGAATTCTTCTAGACACAAACAATTCCTGTCACTTACTCGTCGTCGTGCTTCCTCAAACAACGACATGAGATTTTGTTTCACACTGTCATTCAACGCTGTTGTAGCAAGTGCTCGAACATAATAATAAATCGCATCTAGTCGTCGATGCTATGAAAGTACAATCCAACAATACAGTTGGCAAATGTCTCGAATACTCTCTTACAGTCATTACAGCTAAGATAGCTAACTGTTTGCATGATTTTCCATTTTTAGGGTATAATAATCGAGCACGAAGATAATACCTAAATTGTAAGGATTTCCAAATTTGGTTTTTCTGACGTCTTCGGAGTATTACTTTCTTGCTTCGGAATAATCGATACCATTTCGATTAGTTTCTTTGTATCTAAATGAAGAAAGAACTGAGTGATCAATTTGTAAATCAATCATATTCATACCGAGCGAGATCACCAAGATTAAGAAAGCAATGCTGAGCACATAGAAGTGCATATTTCGCCAGAATAGTACTCAGTTCAGGTGGATACGCATTTGGATCGAAATATAGTTTGACTTCGATATGGAATGTCGATTCAAGTTGACGAACAAATGCAAGAAAAAATTGTTCACCCTACAATTCAGTTGAATCGAAAGACAAAATTATCGTCAATAAATGTTAAGCATACATCTTCGATAACAGTTTCGATAAGTTGTTTTACATTATGATTCTCAATCGATTGTTTATCATATTCTCTGAAACGTTCGATAACGTTATGAAAACAAGATTTCCACAATTGAGCATCGAGGTTTTTCGAGAGCGAAATTTCGATGTCGATCATCATGGCATGAATGTACGCTTGTTGAAGTGTCGTTCTGATAAAGAGAAATAGTTGAGAAATACGGCACTGGATGAAACGTACTTGGCTTCCATCATCCGTCGAAAATTAGCTTCCATATGTGGAGAATTGTTCAGGTAGATTGATAAGGACTTTTCTAAAGTATGTATTTGAGTTAACCAATAGTTGAATGCTTGCTTTCTCATGTGCGAAGCTTGTAAATTTGAATCTTTGTGTAGATTTGCTTGTCCATGCGTTTGATTCATCAATTCTGAATTTAAGAATTGCCTGAAAGAAATAAACAAAAACGAAATGTTTGATGAAAGGTTATGAGAGGGGATTTGATTAATAGATTAGTTTCAAGTTTTTAGATAAAGCATAAGAGAGAGACACGATAATAAAAGAGCAAGAGCAAAATATCTGATTATTTCAACGGTATTCTTACGATTGATAGCTAAGAAAGACGAATGTGGCAGTGTCTTCTTGGTGAAAAGAGGCATTTCGTTCTTACTTTTGATAGAATTCTTGTACTGGTGCGTGAGTATTGGGTGATGAGATCGAAGATTGAATTTGTGTTAGAGGAGCTTGAGGTGGGGAAGGATTCGGTATTGTTTTGACTGTCGTTGTTGGTTGAATGAGTGATACTGGTGGAGTTTTGGGTGTTGGTGCATTTGGATCGTATAAAGTTCGAGTGACATTTGTTAAACCACGTGAGGATTGTGTTATCGGTTGTGGTTGATTGGAAAGAGTGGGCTTTTTATTTGCTTGACTTTTCCGTGTCTGACTGTAATACTGTCGTGGTAAAGACTCGGTTTCAGGTGTTTCTTGATGAGTATCTTTGTTGTTGTTGTTAGTGTTATTGAGAAATATTAAACCGCCGCGAGTAGCAGGAGGTTCAGGTGATTTCGGTTTGGATAGAGTTTGATTTTCGAATGTCATAGTTTTAATACCTTTTTCAACATCCTATTGGAATTAACAAAAAAAATGGAACGTTTGATATGAGGAAAATAAAGGTTCGAACCGATTCGATATCGCTGTTGCTTTGTTGTTTTCGAGATGGTGATGCTACGTTTGATTTGACTTCTGATTCGACAACTTTGGCTTTAGGATTTCTTCGTTGTGGTCGTGACTGATTATAGTACTGATTATCATCATAATAGTTAGAATCGTAACGATAATATTGGTTTTTGTTTTGATGAGTATTCGAAGTTTTCGAATTTCCTAATTGAAAAGTATCTCCTTCAATCATTATGAACGAAACATCTTGAAAGTTCTACCTGATGTTGGTCTATCGGGATTTAGTCTCGACGAATATTTTCCTTTCGAAACTGAATATCGTTGTATCTCGGGTTTGTTCGACCGATTATTATTTTTATCTGTATTCAAATCTGTTTTACTATTCGCGTCCGACATTGAAATTGCAAATAATTTTGCTTGCAATATATTTCAACAGCTGTTGTCACGCGCACGCTCTTGTCTAATTGGTTTTCTTTTCTTCTAATATAGTACTTCGTTCATTGAATATGAATATCAATCAAACAGAATCTGGATAGATGTCGCTCGACAATTGCGCCGCTTCATATGAATTTGCCTGATAGAGATCGTTGCTCGAGTAACACGAGTACAAATGGTTTGAAAAAGGAAATTCATTAGCAAAGATCCTGACCCTTTGTCAAACAATGTCGACATTACCGTGGATTAAATATGACCATGGACCTTTATCTGGCAATGAAAATCTAACAGATTTGCCCTCGAATTGCTTTCCCGTGCGAAACCTTCTACGGAGTTCGTCGTCAAACCGTTAGTAGTGACACCTTGCTCATCGGTATATAGAATTCAGCTGTTTTCTGCTTCTGTAGAACAATGGGTAGTGGCATTGCGTGACACCGAACAACGACGCTTCGCAGCGATTCTAACCACACTTTCAGCACCACCGTCTTTCGAAACCGATGTCACACAGACAGAAATCAAGAAGAAACAAAGATGGTCAGGAAAAGAGCAGACAGTTGAACATCTACTCGATGGATTTTTCATCGTAATTCATTCTTAAAACGATCTCTTTCGGTTTCATTTCCTTAGTGAACATTTTAGATGCATCATTGTGCAATTGAAGATCCGTCAAATGTTGTTAGCTTGCGTATCAACGGATTGGAATTGCAAGAAGTAAAACGAATAATTCGATGACTATTTTCTATTGATTGCGAGTACATCTAGGTTTCGGAAGAAGATTTTTTACTATTCGACAATGTTCTACACATTGATGCCAGTGAAAATCAATTACCTTTTCGTATGTGAACGCTTTCCTTCAAGCCTTTTTGTTATGTTTTCGAAACTTCAGATGGTTTTAAAACATTTCCACAATTACTCCAGCTCGATTTATCATTCAATCAAATCAAAAATATCAAACTGAACGTGAATGACTATGAAACGCTCGAAGTAAAATTCCCAATTAAATCAATATTCGCTTTGTCGGATATTCTCCTTTAGGACTTGAATCTTTCATTCAATAATCTAACAATGCACGATTTTGAAACGCTGGGCATGTTACCATCGTTACGTATACTTCGAGCAACAGGAAATGATCTGGTTGGATTGTCACGGCGATTAACAAAACCATACATATACACAGACATGTAAGAGAACTGAGAAGAAGCTTGTCCGATCGAATTTCGTTGAAAATATTTTAGTAAAGTTCGTTTTCTGTAAAGAAATTCAAGGTATTTCTAGAAGACTATTCGATAATTATGCTCTTTGCTTGTCTTCTATTGATTGAACGAAGATTTGAAAAGAATGTTTTGTTTTGTCTTATCTTCTCTATTATTTTAGACATGGAAAAGAATTTGTGAAAGAACGTTTTCCTCGGCTTGAAGAATTGTATCTTGATCGAAATAAACTCGTCGAAGATGAACTATTCATTCATTTGTCAACCTTGAAAAAGTAAACATTCGCTAGGCGCTGTTTTTTTCTTCGATTCTCGTTTCTTTTCTAGTCTCAAACGTCTTCATTTGCAGCACAATCACATCCGAACAATTCCATTCCTAAAAGTTCTTCGAGGTGGGCAAGTTGCTCAAGAATATTCCAAAACAGCACTGAAAAGGAAGAAGACAAATCCAAGTACGTTTTTCTCCGCATATCTTCTTCTATCAAATGATATCATATTCACATCAAACATCTTTAGCTCAAGCTCCAAATTCCACGGCTGATATCCCGATAAAGAGTACGATATTCGAAGAAGATGAAAATCTACCCAGCGATCAAAAAGGGAGCTCAGCACCGGAAGAAGAAGAGGATATCTCATTACCGGCCTTTCCTGAATTACAATATCTTGATATAAGTTCGAATTTGGTATGGAGAATCATGTTGTACATAGTTTTGAATTCGATATGAGCATTTTTTTTCAAAGATTGAAGAGGAAGATGACATAATGGCAGTAGCGTCATGGCCAAGTTTGACAGAAGTCGTATTGGCAGGTAATCCTCTTATCCACCGCCACGTGGGTCTTCCGCCGTTAATCGAAAACTTTCTTATCGATCGACTTGGAATGAAAATTCATCGGTAAGCAGTCTACATTCAGACATGGCAATGTTCTCATTATCTTCCTTTTCATACAGAGTTGATCCATCGTTGAAAGTGGATAAACCGTTCATTGCAAAACCGATTAAAAAGCATCGAAAAGTAAACGTGCCGAAACTCTCTTAACGATAGACATAACTATTCATTTCAAAGGTCACAACTCATGTGGCAAAAGTCCCCAAGATGCCAATTGATCAATTAATATCCGGTGCTGTCAAACAATACATTGATTATGTCAAAACCGACAGTGATAATCAAACTGATGATAGAGCATTGACTAGTGACACTCAGCAGAATGATTCATCAGAAGAAGAGCGTTATAAAACAGAAGATACAACGCTACAAGGTACTATTGATCTGATCACTTTACATGGAAATAATGAACCATTTGTTTCGTATTTCTAGACGAGAATAAATACGTCAATGATACTCCGCGCGGTGACGAACAAAGTTTGAATCAACAAACAGAAAATATCTTTATGACAGAAGTATATTCTCTCGAAGAGATTTTCGTCTTTTTCTACGATTTGATTCTAGTTTGAAAATGATGATTTTCTTCCAACTGCGACTCCCGTCGAGCCGGATAATCAGTCCGAATTGAAAGAACATTCACAAATAACATCAGACACACCTAATGAGAAATTCAAAGGCTTTGAAGTCTTTTTCGATATTGACAATGAAAACGAAATTCCCGTTCCAAAAAGTAAATCGAGTACAAACAATTGTTTCTCATCATTGTTTTTCCTCTCCAACTCATCCAGATGTCATCCACTGTGTGCGCGATTTGAAACAAATGCTGCGTAATCCATTAGTTGTTCGACACGATAACATTCAAGTTAATCGACGCCAACGAACGTTCGTACCGAAAAGAATGGTGAGTACAACTCGTTATACTTGAGCTACTGTTTAAATTTTCATGAATTAATGCAAAAGGGGGAATTTAATTCTATGTGATGTTATCATTTAACTTCTAATCTGAGTAATCGATATCTTTGGCATGAAATGAGAAACTCTTTCAAATGAACGACTAAGATTATACTCTGAGAAATGTTGTCAAGTTCGTAGATGCCACTCATATGATGATCTGTTTTTCATTTGAGACTATAATTAAACTCCGTCGTTCCACCTTCAGAAATCGATACATGTGCGTATAATTCTAAACCTTTCTCTGTTTTATTTCCATCAGTGTCGATGATGTTTTTTGAATGTGAAATTTTGTCTTGACGTTAAGATCGCCTTTCCGTTTCAGGAACGCACCCTTCCACCCGTAAAGTTACCTAACAAGCCCAAAGTCGAGGAAATTAATAAGTTATTAGATATCATCCGTGACCGGCAAACAATCATTGATCAGCCATTGGGTCAAGTTCTCAATAATAATAAAGACAAAGTCAATCAACGACGTGCAAAATCTCTCATCACAGAAATTCAGCGTCATTATGAACAAGTTCGAAGTGTATCATTGCGTTCAGTTCGAACACCAGGGACAACTTTAGATCGAGCTATATACCGTTTACAACGGTTTGATTCGAACATATCATTGAAGAAACCAACATGAGGTTTTGAGCTTGAAAACAAATAATACGTTTTTCTTTTTAAAGATATTTATTCTTTTGCTTTTATTGACAATAAAAACGACAACATATGTGAATATTAAATTCTGATAAGAACATCTTTCACTATTTCATTGAATGAATGTAGCATTTTACAAAGCTCGAAAGATCATACGAAGTATCACAACATCCAAACCAACTACGTCGAAATTCACGATTAGTAAAGCGATGACCGATTAACACTGAGACGAACAACAGATGTATCATAGCCTTTCGATGATGACGCTCGTTCATCATCATCGTCACATTCATCTTGTGATAAATAATCCGAAAGCGAAAGTCGCATTTGCAGCATGGAATGCGAAGGCGGCATCAGATGATCGGCTTTAGGATCTACTGTCTCATTATGACGAAGATAACGATGATGGTTATGATGGCGTCGATGATGTGATGGCAGATGTGTTGATGAATGATTAGACTTTTCATCTATACATGAGAGGAACAAATTTCGTCGGATTAATTCATAAAATTCTTCACGAAACCGTTTGTTTGTTAGAATATAAAGGAAAAATGTTGACATACAGTAACATTGCTGTAACAAATCTAAGCATTTTTGCGTAACAGATACCGTGCACACATCGCCTTCGCTTTCGTTTTTAGAATTCAAACGATTTTGTAATTGTCCAAGATAAACAGTATAGATGGCATGCGGTGTTGTCAACAAGATGAACACGCAATTCAAAGAGATCAGGAGTATTGATAAGTGTAATTCCATTCGTCGACGGGACTTTTTCAATCGTTTATTTATATGACTTAACAATGTATATTTGACGGACACATGTCTCAAGATAATGAATGTCGCTATGACACTAATTGAACATGGGACAACAGTGGAAAGAATGACTTCGACTAATGGTAAAATTGACGTTAAATATTTATTATAAGCAATAGCATAGAACGTGGGATTTGCTGTTAAATTTAACGATGGAATTGTACACATTGGTTTGGTTTCGAATGTATTTGGATCATAACTGTCATACCCATAGAACATGAGCCAATGAGAATCGATAACGAAAAGAATTGCTGCAAGAAATAATTCCACAAAACAAACTTGAATGAACGCTCGTGCGCAACCGTGTTGCTTTCCACCACTACTCCGACTGTAACGATGTTGACCTGCTATCTTCGATGTCACTGTTCGGATGCGGTCGATATCGACTGCTGTTAATGTGTAAAATGAAAAATGTGTTAAAAAATCAATAGAAAATCGACTTAGTAATCGACAGAAGATAAATAATGGCAGATTTTCCAGTGTCAGACCAAAATAAACTCCAAGAATACTGAAAGTCGCATTAATCAACGATAATAGAGCGTTGGACAGACTAAGGAAAGCTAAATATGAAAATGTTGGCCGACGGCGTAAACGCGGTCGAATCAAGACAACAAATGAGCATAAATTTGCAAGAAAACCAAAGATTAGTAAGGATATTGATTGAATTTTGACGATCAAAATGAGCGGCTGTGAGTAACAGCTATCTTGGCCTGGTGCTGAGGAATTCATCGACGATGTTGACTCGTCTACTGATGAATAAGTCCAATTAAAACTTGTCATAGATATATCTGAGCCAATCTAAGTGAAAAACTGTGCGTTAGTCAAGTGTGAAAGAGAACACCATATCCTTGGATGTTGCCTTTTTTATCAAAAGAAAAGATACAGAAATAATTTTACTTTAAGAAATCTCGGAAGGTACGTGAGAGATGAAAATAACGCATCAAAAGCATGTTTTGTAAAAATATGAATACATGGACACACAATTGCCGCTCGAGGGAAAGAAATTAAGATTGTGAACATCGTAGTAGCCTGGTTTCTTCTCTAGGTGAGAATGGAGAGACGTGTCAGCATGTTTGTGATCTCCAGCCGTCTGCGAACTAATCTCCTGAAGAAAATGAAAGATCTTGAGCTATATTTTCTCCACGTATGTTATTAAAAATACAATAGGCGGACGAACGTGTGAAGTAATAAAAATACAGTCGTCATTTGGGTACGCGCATGAAGCGAACATTCTGTTTATAGTTGATGTGCTAAAACTATTTTCATCGCATCGATTTGGTATTTATGTCAGATTTCAGCGAGCTACTTTGTCAATTTGATAATTTATTGGGAAACAATCTTACGGGAGGTGCTCTAACTTACCTCATCCAGTGAATAACGCATCTTGATAAAATTCAGGAAGTTGTTGAGTAGACAAAAGTTAACAGACGTTCTACTTAGATCATTTTTTTTTCTCGCACACTGATCCTAAGTCATTATCTCTCGCAATTATAATTTCAATGAAAGAAAAAGAAGAGAAAGAAGAAGAGAAGGAATGGTAATCTCATTTTCTCTTCACATTTGGTCCTGTTATCGAATAGAATGAGAAAACACAGAGCAAATGGCAAATACGCTAGAAAAAAAAAATTGAACTCTGTCCAGATCTCGTGTTATTATTTTCTTTGTTGGGCAATAACCAGCCAATAGAACAAATCGGAAGTTTTCCTTCGATCTAACTTTATCTGTTAGTTTTCATCTCAGTTAATTAATTTATGTCATCTTAACGCCAGAAGAAAAGAATCTGCTTGCTGACAAAAGATCCAGAGACAAGCTGAATACATTAATTCCTTCGTTTTGTTCTCTTAGATCGTTGTTATCTTCACTAAAATTAGAAAAAAAAAGAAAAGAAAAGAAAAAACCAGGTTTCAGACAGTTTTCTATCCGAGATTTAAAACACCAAAACCAAAAAATACCTCGAATTGACAGTTTTCTTTTACGTCAATATCTCTGCTCGGTTGCAACTAGTTCGTATATTCTTGAAAACAAAGTCGTATAGCGAAAAGTGCATGTGGATATCCGATATTACTTCTGAGCCGCTTTCCGCTTGCCTATCTCAATTCGAGATCGAAAGTCAACGAGAGGAGGGGGAGCAGTTTTGATTATCTGCGCTTGATCTTGATTGAGAAGAAACGAAGAGATCACAAATAGTGTGTGGAAAGTGGCACGCACATGATTTTCCACTTAAACCTCGCGATGCGTGATCCTATCAACGGTGGAAATCTGATTCGAATGCTTATTATAACCTTTCTAAGGAATAGAATTACCATAAGTTCAAAAAGTAGTCTTGTATTGAGCAAGAACGAACACATCTCTAGAAAATCATGTCGCGCATCTTCCGTTATCACTCAGTGAATATCAACGAGATTCGATCAAAAACACATATGCTAGGCACTTTCGCAGAAAGATGCTTTCAATTGGAAAAACGTAAGGGAAATTTGATACTTTTGTTTGTGTGATCTGTTGGTGTAAATAGAATAATATGAGAACTAAGAAATGGAATTCTATATTTACTCACCGAAACGAAAATAACAGTTATTTTGTTAGCAATTGTATGACACCGACTATTTCTATATATAGAATCCTCATCAACTATCTCGTCGACAAATTGTTATGTAAACTACAATTACCTAAAACTTCATCTTGAGGGTATATACGCTCTTTTCGACGTTGTATGTTAGAAATAGAAATCTAATATTTTGTCTATTAATTATATTGCAAAAATATCCGTAAGAGCGCATTCTGCTATCTGTACCATGGTAGATAGATTGCATTTCACCTTTATATATACACTTTAAAGCTCGAGACTCATTAATTAAAGTTCTTATTTTGAACAAAGTGACTTCCTGTGCAGACAGCCTTTGATTAAGTTTATTTATTAATTATATGCATGTATATAAGTATGAACAAAAGTGAGAAAATACGTCAAACACGCTTGGTGTTTCGACATACACGACAATCACAGTAGGGAATACTAGTTGGGTTGCTGGAACGTTTAGCTCGGCATTCATTGCAATCGCACATTGTTGGAAAGCTTCGCGCAGCTAGAGCAGCACATTCCGGACAATCGTAATGGTCAGGTCCGACTTTGTTGGAATGCCCGTGACGACGTGAACTACTCGGAGACCTACGGAGAGGAAGTAAGTGATCAGATTTTTCAAGTTTATTTACCGAACTGGCGGCGGTCGAACTGGTGCTTCGGCTTTGACTGAGCGCGAGGGAGGTTTTTCGATAACTTTGTTCTTCTCTGTATGTGTTCGGACAGCATTGGATATTCTTGGATCGTATTTATCGTTGGATAAATCATATTCGGTTAATTTGATTATATTTCCATCAGCACGCGTTTGTTCCACTTCATTAACTCTAAAATAGACATAGTTTTGATGGAAATCTCACTGATGAGAGTAATTTCATCATACGGATCATCGTCGATATCATCGGTTTCGCGCACTTTGAAAAATTTCTTGAAATTTTCCCACAACTCTCGAGGATAGTTTTCTAAACGCAATGGCAAATACGTCTCTGTGTATTGTCGATAGGCATCGACGATTTCGTACCTGTAAAATTGCGTAAATATCACGAGCTCGAACACAAGCATTCTCCTAACTTACCATTTCACCGGTTTTTCCGTATAACTATCATAGAATGACGAGCTAACGGTTGGTTTCTTCACTGTTTGAAAATTATTCATTCTGATTATCCTTCTACTTGTCTTTCAAAAGCAAAAAAACGTTAAATGTAACAATAACATCGACAACTTCAGTCTATTTTTTATTTTTATACGCACACATGCACACACACACATTCTCTCTCTCTCTTGCAATGCAATCATGACAAACAAAATTGTTCTGTACATGTTACTTTACCTGTTGCCAACACGCCCTGAAAATAAATAAATAAATTCGAACGTCGTTCTGGACTTTGCAACAATAATACGAGCCAGACGAACAAAGAAATCCACATTTATCGTCATTGTCCGTCCTAACTCGCACCATCAAACGCAAGTTCATCAAGAAAATTTTCAATATTGATTGTTATGTTAGCGGCAAAGCGACTCTGCTATATATACTCACGAAAAAGTAAAGAGAAGAGAGAAAAAAACGAATAACATATGCACACATACGGTTGCCTATCGTTAAGCCAACATTAAGAGTGAGATTGCGAAAAAGAAAATTGGTATCTTAAGCCAACAATCACAAATAATTTGTTCGTTATGAGAGCGAAATAAGAACGATGAGAACCATTGGCAGATGGAAACACACCACGCCACTATTGCTATCTTTTTTATCGATCAAACAATGATAAATATTATGTTGTTCACACAATTAAATGAAAGAGCAAGAGAGAGAAAGAAGGAAAAGATAGAATACTTACTTTACACTATCACTCTATTGATTGCGGATTGAAATGATGGTGTCATTCGTTTTTTCTTCTTCTTTATATACAGATATATTGTGACTTTATTCTCTCCCCCTCTCTCTCCCCTCTTCGTCTATTTTACCTTCATCAAGACTCAAATTAGCGTTTGTTAAATTCTTTCTCACCACTATCATTTCGTACAATGTTTGTTCAAAGATCGACCTCAACATAGCAAGCCTTCAGTCAACAAATAAAGGAGAGAAAAAGAAGAGAAGAAGAGGCTTAATAGAGTCACCTGCTTGCCTCACCCTCACATTCAAGATGAAAGACGACTTACCAAATAAATTAGTTCGGGACGATTATTGCACGTAATAGAGTCTCATCGGATATAGCACACACACACTCTCTCGTATATCCTTCTGATCAAATACGAAGAGAGAGAAAAAAAGAAGAAGATGCTTGTGCAAATATACGAATATTATATATGCACATAGATCGATAGGCGAGGTGATTGTATTATCAGGCTGATTGAGGTTTTAAGGCTATAAAAACCAATTATCACTATTGAAAGAAAGACTCTATTTTTCTTTACTTAAGAAGTAGAAGAAAAAGAAAACAATACAAATTTACAATCTTCTTTTATTTTCAATTGGTAGTTGTGGGTAATAAAACACGATTTATATAATAAGAACCGTAGTTTTGTCTCACGTTTGGACTCCGTCTTGTCGTTGCGTACAAATGATTCGTTGGATCAGTTGATGAAGACGCTGTCGCATTACCATGCGATTGACCATCGACCATATTGATGGACGATGCTTGTGTACGTCGCATACTCAAGACGTTGGCTGAACGCGATCGAGGATAAGCTGTTGGAGGTGCTCTCGACATTGTCGAGGATGATTCGATGGTCGGATGAGCAAGAGTATATTTCATTGCAGCTGCGGATAAGGTAGCTGATGTCAGTGGCCGGTTTTGCGGCAGAACAAAACGAGAATGAGCGGCTGCTGTTGTTGCAGCTGATGCATGAAAACGTGGTGCTATCGATGGCGGTTTCATTAAATGTGTTGCTGTTGTCGACGACGACGACGGAGGATTTGTTGTATTGATAATATTCGTTGCCGTTGTAGACGGTGCTGCCGATACATTGTTTGTTGAATTAGTGTTGGATGTTACCAGGGTTGACGGTGGTGTGCACTGAAATGCAACTGTTGATGGTCGTAAGATTGCCCTTGTTGCCGGTGTTGGAACATTCACTGAAAAAGGCACGGTTGTTGTTGCTGTGGCTGCCACGGCTGTCGCACGAAGCGGTGAAATGGATATAGGTTCGTTGGTACGTATTGATGATTGACCTATTGTTGAAGGTGTTATGGCTGAACGAATACGTGATAGACGTGAATTAGGATATGTCATGGATTCATTTGTAGAATTATTTGTTTGACTAAGATTTGTAGACAAAATTGATGCATATGTCATTGACGAATTCGTTAGTGAACCGTTCATAAATGAAAGACCACGAACATGTTCCGTTTCAGGTATCAGTGATGTCGGGCGAGAAGCATACTTTCTGTCTTCATTCATCTCGGAAGTGACCGTCGTCGATGAAGGTAATAATACTGATGCTGATTGAAAACTAACAATAGGTTGATGGCTATCTTTAATTACTGGCTCTTTATTCAATTTATCTTCAGACGTTATTTGTGAGTCAGGAATACTTGTGTTCGTCGGTGGATTATTTTCATTTGTAGAATTTGCTTCTTCGGTGGTTGACGCCGGCTTCTGTATTTTAGTTCGAACAGCCCAATCTGGCATTCGATTTGGCGTTATCGTCGTTGATGATGTTGCATAGAGCGCACTACTTAACCGGTTTGCATGTAATTTTTGTGCAGTAATACTAGTCGAATTAAATGGCGAAATCGCTTGTGTTGAATACAATGACGGAATCGTGGCTATGGGGGATGTCGGGTCAGTGTATAGCCATGATCGATAAGGATCACAGTTGGCGCCACGCATCGCATCATGAGATGGCACCTCATGAACAATGGGAACATCATTAAATGAGACACTTTTACGATGAGATGGATCACGTGGTCGTTTAGCTGATATAGAACGGTAAGGTGGAGCTGTACGAGTTAGTACTGCACTATTAGGTAAATCGTTGGTGGTGTTCATACGTGTTTCGTAAGGTAAATTTGTTGAGTATTGTTCTTTGGACATGATCAATTTACATTTTCTAATTTAACATAAATGAACGAATTTGCGAAAAGGAAACAAATCGATACACGCGTGATGATAGAGTATGATTGGAGATTAATTGAGAATGACAGGAATACTATTTTGCCTTTTTTTTTCTTTATTATCAGAACAAAAATGGCATCATTTATACATTTACAGTTGGTTTATTCTTTTGTTGTATGTATTTGTCTAAACGAAAACATGAAATGGCAGTGTTTGAAACGTTTAAAAATGAAACAAGAAAAAAAAGTGAAGAGAAAAGAGTTTGAATAACAAATCGTTCCTTTCTTCTTTCTTTTTCATCTCGCATTTTTCGCAGATTGCTTCAAGGTATAATGCACAACGAACAAAACATTTTCGTACTTGCATTTCAGTGATAATCACACTGCGAAAAATTGCTGTTCGACGAAGAAAGCTTGAAGATCGTGCACATGTCTGAACTAGTAATCGAGAAGTGTCTAGGTAGTTAATGTTTACTTTTGAACGTGTAATAACACCAAGCAAACAAGACGTTTTCCTTGACTTCACTTTTCTATTCAGATGTTCTGTTCAGATTTTCTCTTTTTCTTTAATTCTTTACAAAACGACGCCAGTGGTAAGCGTCACTTAAAAAGCAAACTAGTTGTGTTGCTATTTCTGTTGTTCTTCAAGAAACAAGAGAATGTGTTGGCATAGAAGAGAAGTGTGAAAACAGTGATTGAATCTTAGACAGTTAAAACGAGAAAAAAGTGCAATGGTTTACAAAAGAACTTTTCAGTTCTTTCAAGATCAAACTTCCATTTCAACCAAAACAGCGGATTTATTTTGACGACATAAAAGAATTCTTATGTTTATAAACAGATTCGTTTTTTTTCTCAAGGATGTGAAACAAGTCTTTTCTCTTGTCAATCGAATCAAAACAATGTCGGATCAGACGCATTCGATCTTTCCCAACAAGATGCATGTAGCATCGATCTAATATCGAATCAATTTCTCATGAGAAAGATATGACCTTGCTTAGCAATGCATGAGTGTTCGTTTAATTACCATCATTTGCCAATTAATAATGAAAAAGGAACGAGTCGTCGAGGGAGAGAACGCGAACGATGAACTACTCCCATCTATGCTCTCAAAAAGTGAATGGTGAATGAATAGTCGTGATTCATATTTCTTTCCTTTCGCTCGACAAAATGAATGAATATACAATGCGAGCGCGAGTAAGTAGGTGCATGAGCGAGGTTGTCATGTTTGTCTACCATCGTTTTTTTTTCTATTCCTTTTTTAATGTTATTTTGTCTCGCGTAAATTCTTCGACGTCATTATCATTTGTTTTTCCATTGGAAATAATCCTTGAAAGATATACATTCTCTAATCGTCTAATGTGAATGAGAGAATAAAAAGAACAACGAGACATTTTTGACATTCAATGAATCACTATGTTTATCGACAGTGACGCCGAAATTAATGATGAGATTTCGTTGAGTAAGAAAAGTATTTCTATCCTCATCACTAGCACGATATAGATGAATCCAGAGAGAAATTCGATCGCGAGCTGTGCGTACTGTACGTTTTTTTTTCAAATAGGAAATTGATAGCACGTTCGTATCGACATGGAGTAGACTAATTTAATTTGAAATGAAAAAGAAAACCTTTTTCGTGTATTTGATATCTCATCGGTACAACATTTTCTCTTTTTCTTTCCTATACTATGCTCATTGATGCATAAAAGAAACGTTTATATTTATACTAGTTATTTTTTTCATACTAGATGATCATGATGGAACAAACACTATCGAATACAAACACTAATCTTGCGATTGATTCAATCATTGATCACCGTAGTGATGTTAGTGATGCGAATAGCGTAGATTCGTAAGTATTTCTTGTCTCTTGCTGTTTTCAGGATCTAGCGATTCTGACGATGTTTCTAGAGCATTTAGTATTGATCACAGCGGTGTCACATCACCTGAACCAATCGAACATTCGTCGTCGACTGCGACATTGCTTAATGAATTGCAGAAAGCGAAGGAAGATCTGAAAAACAAGGATGAAGAAATTCAACGGGCCTATGAAATGCGACAGAATACTGATCGAGAAATCGAAGACCTAACTGCGTCGTTATTCGAGGTGAGATTTCCGATAGAATTCTTGTTTGCACACAATGAATTTCTTAGTCCGCACATTCGATGGTCGAACAAGCGAAACATGCTCAAGCCAATACTGAACAAAAGCTCAGAACTGCCAATCAAACAGTAAAAACTTTCGAGCAAGGAAATATGAATTGTCGCCTTGTTCGTAGATCGAAGCACTAGTTGTTGAAAATACTCAATTGAAAAAGACAGTCAGTGAGTTGAAAGAAATCATCAATAACTGTCGTTCATCGTCGTCATTTACCACACGTCCTATTCCTACCACATCTGTATTATCTTCAATTGAACAACAACAAGCATCGCAATCAAGCATCCGACAGATCGTTCGAGAGAAACTTCATAAACGTTCATCATCTGATCTGCAACAATCCTTCTCGTCGATGGATATCTCCCTTCGAACAGACAACAATGTCGTAAGTACTCGAGAAAACATCGTTGTAGAAACATATCATCATCATATCTATTCAATCATAATCATATCTAGGATGATTGGCCTATGGTAAGAACGCTTTAATTAAGCGCAAACTAATAACTCTCATTTATATATCTATAGCTGCGTTTAGCATGCATCGCTTCAGTTGATATATTTCATTTTAGGTTGATAATGTTTTGCTACGAGAATTTGCTCGTTGGGAAGAAAACCCATCGATCGGACAAGATCTATCCGCTTTTATGCATCGAGTTTATAGTGAAGATATCTCTCCTTGTCTGACGTTTCCCAATTCTGATGTAAGAAACCGATATTGAATATCATCGTTAGTTCAATTGTTTTCTGTTAATTGAATAGTTATCATCAAGGATTCTCACAGCTATTGAACAAAATGACGTGACCATGGAAACATGTCATATGCGAACAATTGATGAAAATATGAAGTAAGATTTGACCGAAACGAGTAATTTTCCTTCAATATCGCTTTGTTTGTGATAGGATCTGTTCATTAACGGGTGATCTGTGTCAATGTAATTACCGCGTTCGATTAGGTGAAAATGGTGAATGGTATCCAATCTCGCGTTTATCTCGAAATCGAGTAAGATTTCACATCTCTCTCTTCACATGATCACGGATTCATATTTCCAATAGATAGCAGCTGTATGCGATTTTTTTACCTTCATCCGTCATGTGCAATCCGGACTTGTGAAAAGCGATAGTACGTATCGATAATGCACATATCTAATTGTATCTTAAGTGGATCATTTTAGCTCGAAGTCGGTATAATAAAATAATTGAACTTCGAAAACAAATGGCTTTCGCCCGTCTTGGATTGTAAAATAAGAACAAAACAACATGTTTCGCTACTTGCCAAAGTGTGACCTTGTGCATTTATTCGAACATTTCCCTTCTCTAAACGGTATTCTATTCTCTTGTTTACATTCCATATGAGTTATAGTCTCTATTTTCATAAACGTTTCTTTGTTGTCTATGTCGTGAAAAAAGGAAAGCGAACAAAGTGTTACAAAAGTTGTTTCATTTCGTTTTTTCTGTCTGTCTTCCAATTTCGTTCGGTTGTATATTGTGTGCTTTTGTTTGTTTTACAAATTCTAAGAAAAGAAAATCACTCACGCAACAGAATAAAACATATATTTGGAATCAATCAAGGATGGAAAACAAGCAATCAGAAAAACATGTACAAATCAAATAAATATGTGAAATTGAAATAGTCAGACCAAATCCGAATGAAAGACTAAATTATTTGAAGATAAGAAAAGAACGAACAAATATTGAAATGCAAGGCTTTACACACAAATCATTGCACGACTAAGAAATCTCTGCTAATCATTCATTTGATGAGAGATATTCTCGCCATTTATCAGGTAATTGTAATGAAACTGCTGTCGAAGATGAAAATGCATTCTGAATAGATGTTTCATGCATTTTCGATTGCGGGTGATCATCGTTGTCTTCATCATCGCTGTTCAGATGATGAATACTCAATCGTTTCCTTTCTAAAATCGCTGCAATTACTTGCTGTTGAACGTTGCTCAATGCAAGTTGTTTCTCCTGATGGTCAGTATGAACTGTCGTTAATCGTCTCAATTCCGGTCGTACCACGGTCGGCGCGTTTGCTGTAGAAGTAGTTGCCGATGTTAGCGATGATGATTGGCTTGTTGTACATTGCGGACAGAAGTTATTGTTCGATTGCTCATTTTGTATTTCGATTAAACAACGTAAATGAAACACATGTCGACAAGCAAATATGACGAATTTGTTCTTCTGTTGCTGCGGCGGCTTGCTCTTATCGAAATCTTGTTGAAGTTGATAGAGAAACTTTTGACAATATGTGCATTGATTCGACCGAACTGGTACACTTCGATTAATCATTGTGCACATTTGTTGGATATCATCATTTAGATCACGTTGTAACAATCGACGAGCGGTTTCTAATAAACGTAATTCGAATGAGCAATTTTCTAACATTGATTGAATTAATTGGCGGATTTCGAATGTACTGCGAATATTTGTGTCCGAGCGTTTTCGAACGCCTTTTGTAATGTCAGCAGCATCAGTTCCCATGATCAATTCGAGAATGGATGGTAATGTAACATAACCTATCATACTATTTAGGATTTCACCGTAGATACGACGGAATGCACCTGCCTGTTCGGGATCGAATGATTTCGAGGAGATTTCTAAGATAGTTTGAAGGAATTTTAACCATAGATCTTCTCGTTCTTTCTTATTCTTCAGCTTAATGGTTGTCCGCTGACAAAAATGAACACAATCTAATGCCATTTGATACAATTGATCGATCGTTTGCCAAGAATCCATTGATTTCAAAAGAAGATTGAACGTTTCCGTATATTTGCCAAGACGTTCAAGTAAATATGCAATCGCTGGAATTAACGATGAAGATTGATATTTTTCTATTATATCAAGCACGTCTTGTTCACGATAATGTTCGGATTTGCTTTTGAGAAATGTTAATAAGTGAGATGAGTCATAGCGTGCGAGTAAATCAATGTAATGCAGATAATGTGATGGATCGATGTGAATTGGAGAAGACGATTTGACATCATCGGAATATGCAAAGCAACTCTGAAAGTAATTGTTTGATTAGAAACTGGAGAAAACGAAAGTATTTGTCTCACTTTTAAAAATTCATATTGCACTGTTTCATTGTTTCCAATTAATCTCAGCACTTTGCCTAAGTCCATTTGGAAGAAGATACAGAATAATTTAAACGATTTAAATGAATCCGCTTCGATGATTTCCATAAAATGATCCATAATTTTCTTTTGCACTTTCTCCCGTTCGCGTTCATTCAATGCTGACCATATTGTTCTTATATAACGAAACAGATTCAACTTTCTTCGTCGATCGTTCAAATAACATTCCAGAATAAGATCATAATCATTTTTTTCCGCATAAATTATCTCACAAACACGCCAGAATTGCGCTTGGCGAGCAAGTTTCAACAGACGTTCAAAGTCGAATGCTTGTAATCCAGCGGCTTGAATGACGTCGAGTAAAGCTTGTTCACGCTCGTCCTTGCTATCATCATTGTCGTTGATTGATGTGTGAACTGACTTACAAAGATATTCAAGAACCTAGAAAATCGTAAACGCGCTTTAATAAATAGTGAATTTGATTCGTTTTATTTAATGATTAACTCGATATTCTATGGGTTGTTGTCGAAAAGATAAGCAGAAAACAGCAACGAAAAAGAAAAATGACAAGACGAAGACAATCCAGGCGACGAAAGTTGAGAAAAAGAAAAGTACTACCAATAATGTATGCGATTTACTCCTGAAATTCTTCCTCATGCCTTTCTTTTTCATCGTTTTCAGAAAGAAAAGACAATCATCGATGATAAAAAGCATGAAATTGTAGCGAAGCTTATCGAACAAACGAAGGAGAATACTATCCAGCAGAAACCTCCCTCATCATCTTCAACCGACGACAACATTCTTTCCACTGATAACATATCTCCTGTCAGAACATTTGATGATCTGAAAAGTTCACTCGAACGCCACACGAAGCCGATTTCGATTCTTCTTTTCCATGGTCAATATTGCCCATTCTCAAAACGAACCATCCCCGATCTTCGTCGATGGGCACGGGATAACAAAGATCGAATTTATTTATACGAAGCAAATGTTGAACAAGCAATAAACCTAGTCGAATATTATCACGTCCGAACGATCCCGACATTGTTAGCATTTGAAGAAAAGAATCTTCTGATGCCAATCTGGAAACGAACAGCAAGTAATGTCTTATCAACCATCGAGACAGCTGAACCAATGGAAATTGAAAGCGAACCTGATCAACTTGAAGAGATTTTGCAAAGAAAATTAAATGATTCAAACAGAAAAATCGATCGATGTTTGTATTGAATTGGTCTGTCGTGAAAACGAATTTTCTTTTCATTCAATTAGCGTATTCAATCAAGTCTCTCGCATCATCTCAACACAGTTCGTATGCTTGGAACCAATCAGTTCCAAGCGTTGAAAACAAGAGTCAAACAACGGAATCGATCACCGAGTATCACGGCCGAATGGTCTCCCGAACTGCTTTCAGTATAACTTCATCTGAGAATCTACTGAAAAGTCAGTTTTCGACGAGCTTTTCTAACAACGATCGAGTTCTATTTGTAGAGAAATTCGGATTGAACGAATATTTTAACGAGAAGAAATCTTTGGATGATTCCACACAACAAATCCATCTTTCAAAATCAAACGAAATCTTCTACCAAAAGCACTACAACAATCCAGATGAAGATCGTTTGTCTTCATCGTCTTCATTCGATCGTTTCAGTACATTAATCTATCCATATGCGAAAAATGCGATTGCTCATCCATTCAATCAGGAAGAAAAACTATGTATTCTCTATTTTGGACCCAACCGTTGTCGAGGTTTTGAAGATAATTTACTTCTTAACAAAACTTCTTCCAAACTATCACTGCTAACTCTTAAATCTCATGTATTAATCGAAGATTAAACGTTTACCTGTTCGAATAACATTCCCTGAACGAAGATATGTTGTTGTCCAGCTTTTGCTAATTGTCGCGAGAGAAAGTTAAATAAAATACTAATTTGATTTGAGGAGAATTGAACATCATCGACCATCACACGTAGTAAAATATCACAAAATGCTCGTCGTTTGGACGTATGGACATCGTGTAAGAAGTCTTCATTGTCAAATGCCATTGTTAACAAGTTAAAGAAGTCTCGCGTATTGAAATGAAGAAATGTGCGCAGATTTGTGTAGAGCAAACCACCTGTTTGACGGGGATGTAAGTAGGAGAGGAAATCAATAATCTGGTTACGTCCAAAATTAGCTAAATCAGATGAAAGACGGCCACCGTATGGATAAATATCACCAACTAAGGTTGTTTGAATAAAAACTAATGCTTGATTGCCGATAGCAATCATTTTTGAGCTGTAACCTACACCTAAATCGTAAAATGAAGTTTGCTCGATGAGATAGTTGAATTTACCCTGATTTTGAGCAAAATCATCTTCCAATTTCTCGAGAATTTCTTTGACAATCGTTGTAAAATCTTTAAATGCTTCACTGTAAATATGTAACAATGTCATATAGAGTTCGTATTTTCGCGTTATTTGAATGATTTGATCGAGATCGAGACATGAAACATCTAGTCGGTTTAGGCAGTTTTCTAATTGACTTAAATGATTATTTTCCACGTAGGATTGAATGAAATCTTTCAACACAATTGGTGAAATTGTATCGAAGCGATTGGATAAAATATACGGTTCTAAACACTGTAAATAGATGCCATGTGCGATTGAATCTTTCGAGAAAAGATCATAAATGAGACCGAATAATAAATCCAATCGATCAATCAGCAAACAATAATCAATCGAACGAGGTAAAACATTTCGATAGTGTTGTCTAAGTAATTCAATTTTACCCGACTGTGGACATTCATAATTCAGCGAATATTTCAAATATGAATGGAGCAGTGAAACCATACGATCGGAAATGCATTGACGTCGTTTGATCGGATCGATAGGTAAACCTGTTTTTCCATAAAAAGACTCATCTTCGAATTTCGTATAAAGACAAAGTATTTACCTGTCAAACCTTTGGCTTTTCCCACCAACATCGAGTAAGCAAGTTCGAGCGCTTGTTCGTATTGATGTTTGCCGTTTTCAACATAGTAATCCAGCCGTTCTGACCAATCTCGTAAACGAATCTCGTAGAGTATATGTGTTCCAAGTAGAAATATTCGACCTTGATTCGATATTAACGTCTGATAACAAGCATTTTGTCCGGCTAAGGCAAAAGCTGTCGAAACATTTCCACCAGTTGCCAACGATTTAAAAAATATTGTATTGTAAATCAATTCACAGTGAGACAACGGTAAACATTCTAGTTGATCTTCCGAACGTTGATCACTAAGCGTCAACAAGAATACAAAATCAAAATTATTGATGGGTGTCTAGCACATGGTCTTACATCACATGTGCGCGTTCGGACATGTCGAATAAGATGAAAGTTCTGGCGTTCAGCCAACAGAAAGATTTGATACTATAATCGACAGTGATCTGCTTTAATTGCGTTATTTGTACCTCATCGTCGCGTTCATGTTGAATCTAGATAACGAAATTTCCATTTTATTTTTTTTGAAGATGTTGAAAAGAAATGTGTATACTTGGAAGAAAATGCAATGTTTATCGCGAACAGCTGCCAGTACTGGATTAACACAATTGATTTCGTCGCTGATTTTCACAATAATAAATTGCCATTTGAGAATAGGTAATGTTGTGTTACTTCCAACTAGACGCTGAACATGTAAAATTTTCACGTTATCCTGCGATTTCAATGCTAAGAGAAAAACTTTCGTGAATGTTGCTAACGCTACTAAATACATAGATTTCAAAGGATGTTGTTCGATTTTCTCGTTGGTATTTGATGTTAATAATTCTTGTTGTCGATTGAACAGAAGTGGTTCAATTGTACATACTTCTCCACGGCTACCCGAAAACAAGCATTTAGATTGATATCCACGTTTTAAAGTCCGAGTGAATTGTAAGACATAAACGCTACCACCACTATCACTAAATATAGCAGCAGTTGGATCGTGAGTAAACTTGATGTTCAAGATCGCGGTGTCTGGCGCATGAATATCATTGCTAATATTCCGTAGAAGTTTTCCATTCGAACAATCGAACATTAGAATACGTCCACGTGCATATCCAACTAAGATACGCGTAGCATCATTATTGAAATTCAATGCGGAAACAGCACCATTGGATATATCACTATTCAAACAATGTTTTAATATTTGAGTTTGATGTTCGAAAAGAAGAACAACACTTTTACTGGTACCGATTGCTGCGAAACGATTTACGAACACATCGATCGTCGTCGGATTTCCATAATTCGTACGTTCTATGCAAAGTGTTAATTGATTTGATATCGTCTGTAGTTCGATAACTTTTAGTAAAGAACCATGATTGATTTGGTTATGCTTAGGTATTTCCACAAATGATTCATCTGTACTCGCTGCGTCTTGCTGCTGTTGGTGGATTTTAAGAATATAATTATCAAGCGGTTGATTAGGAATATCGAGTAAAGAATCAAATGATGCGGATGATGGATGAGGAGATAGAATCTGAGGTAAATTATGCGCGGGCTTTTCGTCATATTGTGTTAGAGTTTGATTTTGTGTCGACGATGATAAAGAGATACTATCTAATGTTGGATCATGTTCATGAAGAATACTTTCAAGACTAGGAAGTATTGTTAACGCTGGGATATCGAATAGAAGATCGTCAATCGATGATGATGCAGGGTCGCATTCGTCTAATAAGGAATCGATATCTTTGGAAAGAGATGAACTGAAAAGGGAATAAGAGACATGTGGAATATAAGAAGAGATCAGATGAGAGAATATCTTACACTTTTTGATTATCACCAATAGAGTCTGACATGAATTGTGTGTTTGTTTTAAAATATCATTCGAATCTAGAAAAGATCGTTCTCATTGGTCGACTAGTTCGCATTCTTTTTTATGCTTGTAAACGAGGAGAATTTGAAAAGAACATCATTTTATTGCACAAAATAGAAAATATATTCATCTGACATAGGACAGTTCATGTTTTTGACAGGATAAGAAAAATAGCACTGGTTTGGATCAGAAGACATAGAAATCACAGGAATTACAATTTCGAATTTTATACAGAAAAAAAAGAAGTATCTGGAAGTTTGGTTTTGGTTTAAACTGTTTCTTCAGCCAAAAGAGCTTCTGCTTTTGCTTGACTTTTAACTGCTTCAATCTTTTTATCATGTTCGTTAAGTTTCTCCATTAGACGATCTAATTGTTCTTGTCGATCTTAAACAAAACAATGAGAAGACTAGTTCGATCAATGAAATATCTGATGTTTGTTTACTTGTTTCAGCCGTGTTCAGTTTTTGATTGATCTTTTCTTGTAACAATTGTCGTTCTTCTTCGAGTTTAGCTAAGTTTTGTTGAACAGTAGCGAGACCTTTTTCGATCGGTGCTTTCGCTTTTTCAACTTTCGCTAGTAAGACACGTTCCCGATTTTCCTTAGCTGATTCGAGTTTTTTCTGCAACTTTTCCTCGGTTTGCTTTTTAAATTCTAAAAACATTCACTTATTCGATCGAGTTAGTCTTACATGAACATCTCAAACCTTCAGCTTGTTGATCCTTGATTTTACTGATCTCATTTGGACGATTATTTTCAGCAGCAAGTAATGTTGCACGAAGTTGTTCCAAACTAAGACGACGCTCTTCAGCACGTTTTAATTTTTCCGTTATGCTTTCAGGAGTCAATGGTATAGCCGAGTCGACTTGATTTCCTTTGGCACTTGGAGAAAGAAAATGTGCTGGTGGAAGAATATTGGCATTGTGTCGCGGTGATTCAGCGATCTTGACTTCGAATGCAAGGCCACCGGCTGATTCAGCCAATGTCGCCGAAGCTTCGGAGAGTGTTATCGTTGTTGCTGTTCGTTTTGGAGCTAGAATGTAAGACTTACATGAAAGTTGATTCAACTTTTCTTCGAACTTACTCTCCATGATTAACAGAAAAAATGATTAAAATACTTTCAACAGAATCTACAGAATGAAAAAAAGATATAAAGGTGATCTACATAAATCATGGCAGATGATAGTTCATAAAATTCTGTCTGTTTCTTTATAGTAATGTACTAGTAAAAGAAAAGTCCGGACAAATACTACCGACAGTCTGGACTATACAAAAAAAACGACCACATGGTAAAGATTGTAATGTGCAACCAATAACATAAAACACATTTGATAAAACATTAATGCACTTAGAGGACATATAAAAGAAACAACTAACCTTCCTTTCTTTCTTTCTTTCTCTTCTCTCGCTCTTTCTTGTTTGCATGCGTATCTCTATCGTACTTGTTCATTCATAACGATATTAGCGAAACGTTGAATATGTCGGGTCGTCATTCTCGCAATCTTAGTGCATCACTTTATATTCGTGGACTTGCTGAAAAAGTTCGGTATGTTTGATCTTCGGTGAACGTGTTTGTGCCTGTTTAGTTCCGAGTAGAATAACCAAGACGATTTTCTCAGACTGTCTATCGTTCATGTGATCTTTTCTTTTTGCTAAGGTGTGTATCAAATGTGATCCAACAAAAAACTAAATCACACCTACCCATACCCATACACAGTCATTCCTTTTGTTCAATAATCTACAAGCAAAAGTCAAGCCAATAAACCTTTTCTTATTCTTCTCATCTCAATGACAAATTCAGCATTGATGTTCTATGATACAGTCTCAGACAAACGATACAGCAGCAAGACAAGAGACGTATGCATTTCAGTTACTTTTAGCGCGTTAGACATATCGATTAGAGACGAGAACGACTGTCTTCAGAAAATTGATCCCGTTATTGAAACATAATCTCTTCGTTTAGCTATGAAGATTTAAAGAAAATCTTCGGTCGTTATGGACGAATTGTTGACATAACACTTCCACTAGATTATTACACACGGGACGCCAAAGGTAAACTAAACTCAGCGGAAATGTATTGATATGATGGCAAATGTTTCTACTAGGTTATGGTTTTGTTGAATATGAGGAAAGTCGCGATGCTGGTAAGTGTAGTATGATAATAGGATATCAATGGAGAAAGAAAAATATTTGCTTTTGCAGAAGAGGCACTACATGCCCTTGATCGTTATCGATTACTTGGCCGAGAACTTGAAGTCGAATTTGCGCGTGGCGATCGAAAAAGTAAAGTCTCTTGTTAATATTTTCAATCAACAGAAAACCAAAACCTTATCGTTTTCAGCGCCTTCGGAAATGAGAGCCAGAGAAAAAGAATCACGTTATGGACGTGGCGGCGGCGGCGGTGATCATGGTAGACGTGATCGATCACGAAGGTAAATATCCACTGGGCTATCTAGATTAATTAATGTGCCTATGTGCTTTAGTCGTGACCGTCGTCAACGAAGTGGTTCGCCAGTTAATCGAGATCGTCGTCGTGGCGGTGGCAGCCGATCTCGTTCGCCACATTCGCGATCTCCCGTACCACGACGGTAAGTAAAGATTCTATTTTAGTTAGATATATTCCTAAACTACCAAAGGTCGACTATGATGAAGACTATAGTTGCTACTCTTGACCTTGTAATGCAATGGAATGACGATATAACTATCCACTAAGATCTCTGAGACGACGAACCAATTCCGTTCTTGACATTTATTTCAATTAATTACATTGGATCTATTTTGATTCGTATGGTTTCCATTTAGGCCGGCAAGTCGCTCCCGCTCGAGATCGGGCACACCCAATTATAATAAACGAAATGGCAGTGGTAATGGAAATGGTGGTCGCCGCATCAGTCGCTCGCGATCACCTGCTGATAATTAATACAATGACTCAATGAATTCTCTTAGAAGTCGGCTTTCACTTCTTACTCTTTTCACAAATCACTCGCGATGTTCATCACTCAAAAACGAAACAAAACTGTCTGTTGTTTTTCATGTATGTCTATTCTAATCGGCTTTGTTTACTCGTTGTTCGTAATTAAACTTCGGCAGAAATGTGCGAACCTTTCTCTCTCTCTCTGTCTGTTTTTCATTAGTGAAAGCAACAAAATGGCTGTGCGTATAGTCTTTTGTGTATATCTGATTCTTTCTGATCTTGTAATAAATATAGATGACGTCTTCAAACTCTAAATATTGCATTTATTACTGCTTCTCACATACGAGTCGGCTCGATTATTTGTCACTATTGAACAAATTATCCTGATGATAGTTATAGATCATGTGTAAATACGTATATGATTGCAATTTGTCCAGGGAGTGTTTATTTTATCATATAAAAGGTCTTATGCGAGTGTAATGAGACCCACATCTGTTCTAACGACTTATTTTTGTTAGTGATAGAACGAATGATCCAAAGTAATCAAACAATTCATTAGTATTGATCTTACTGAATGCATGAACAATATTTCCTGGAGAGTTGTTTGTTTTGCAAACCAGAATATCATTTGTATAGATGCTTTCCATTGTGAGTATCTCTATTTATGGTACAGAGTTCGTGATGTATTCGGAATTGCACATCAATGGATGTCATCAATCAGATGCCACGTCTATTAGCGCATCGCATTGATTCTGTCAGCTGCGATGACATTTTCTTCTCCTCCCATGGAAAAATCTTTTCACGATTTATTGCCTGTTTATTACGTAACATTTTTACTATATAAACAATTGCTCATAAAATAAAAAACGAACAAGAAGAAATAAAATGAAAATTAGATAGAAGTATATCGGACATAGACTAACACGTATATAAATACGTATATGTACACATATAGAGCTTCGAAGGGGTAGATTTAAAAACTTGGAAAATAGCATTTCTATTCATCATTTCTCTCTTGAGCCATATTTAATTTGTAGTAGATACCTTTTTGTTCCATAAGCTCATCATTCGTTCCACTCTCCTTAATTCTTCCATGATCAACGACAACAATCTTCTCGGAATTTCGGATCGTTACCAGACGGTGGGCAATCGTTAAACAAGTTCGACCATTTCGCGCCACGTCTAGAGCAGCCTGAACAACTTTTTCACTTTGAATATCTAGTGCCGATGTAGCTTCATCGAGAAGGAGAAGTTTAGGATCGCGTATCAATGCACGCGCTATAGCAATTCGTTGTTTTTGTCCTCCACTCATTTGACTGCCTTTTGCTCCACATGATGTATCATAGCCCTAGAAATATATCGCCATTAAACGATGAAGTTACTTTTGAAATGAGATCTATTTACGTCAGGCAAGGCGACAATCGTATCATGAATATTTGCTTTTTTTGCTGCTTCTTCTATTTCTTGTTGTGACACAAATCTTGTATTATCACCATATGCTATATTATCACGGATGCTTAAATTAAATAGGACGGGCTCTTGTTGAACAAAGCCAATTTGAGAACGTAACCACGGTAAACTTAATGTGCGGATATCATGACCATCAAGCAACACCGTGCCTTCGCTTGGATCATAAAATCGAAGGAGAAGTGCGACACATGTGCTTTTTCTAAAAGTTAACGATCGAGATACGACAGTCACTGCACAAATGAAGAACTTACCCTGAACCACTTGGTCCGCAGAGTGCAGTTGTTTGTCCTGCATCTGCTAATAATTTGAAATCTTTCAAGACGCGTAATGTTGGTCGAGATGGATATTTGAATTTTACTTGATCGAATTGAACATTACCGATCATCTTATTCTGAAAATAGAAAGGATTTTTTGAACATTGTTTCAAATGGAGAAAACCTACCAACACGATACCATCATTATTCTGAGGATCAATCTTTGATTGACGGCTATTTAATTTTAAGATACGGATAGCGCTTTCCTTTCCTTTGGCGTAATCCGGAATCATTGCTGTGGATCTACAAAAAGAAAATCTTTTATTTTCATGATTCATTCGAGTACCTACCGGCCAACACTCATTGCACCAAATGTGACGACCGAGAACACTCTACAAAAGGAATTGAATTTATATTCTATTCTTCATTGCATCGAAATTTCAATATCTACTAACCGAAAGACATAGAGAACTTCCATTTCCTGCTTCTCTACAAGAAAGCTACCATATCCGAAGGCAGTTGCATGAATGAAGAACATTAATGAATTGGCCAAAGCTGTTCCAATCGACTGAATTTGAATTTTGATCATAGCTTGTCTGTGAAAACACAATTAACAGCTTTTTCCTCAGAAAAACACCGTAAATACATACCGAAAGCTTTTGTTAAAACAGTCTTCATAGTTCGAAATGAAATATTCTTCTTGATGAAGTCCAACTACTGCGCGAACACTATCAATGGCTTCTGTAGCAAACTGAAAAAGAGATTTATTTATACAGATTGACAGTCACTGTGCTGATCAAAGGTTTAAGATTTCTTACCATTCCACCTTTTTCTGCCCATGACAGCTTTTCTTTTTTCTGCTGTGCTGCTTTTTTCACGTTGCTGGCATTTGCCATTCGTTTGCCTTGCATAGTTCCCGTAAAAATCATCAGAGGAACGAAGAGCAAGATCACTAATGTCAATTTCCATCCAGCTAAAAATGCAATCACTAGTGCAGATACAATTGCGCCTACAGCATTCAAAATAACACCCATTCGAAGACCGGACAAACCCTATTCGCGGGAAACAAAGACAAGCACGTAGGTAACGCTGATTTTTTTAAGAGAAAATTTTGTTTCACTCACCTTCAAACTTGACGCATCAGATGACAATTGAGTAACTAAAGCGCCAAGGTTATTTTCTTCTCTATCAAACCAACCCATTTCTTGTCTTAGCATCGCTCCAAACGACATTGTACGCATACGCATGGTTAATGCTTCGCCACTTTTCGAGAAAGCAATACTGCTGATACATTGACATATACCACCAGCCACGCCAGTAAAGAAAATCACCAAGACGTAATTACGAGTTAAAATATTCGCTTTGTTAATATCTCGTTCAGCAAACAATCCGTAGATATTCGAAAAAAACAATGCAAAAATCTGAGGAAAACATAACAGATGTAAATAAACCGCCATCGAGACTTTTCAAAGAAGAAACTTACGGGTGTTAAACAACCAAATGCCATTGATGATATAGATCCAATTAGAATCCAGGATATTTCAGGCATGTTAAGTTTTAGAATTTTGAAGATAAACGGTTGACGAAAGAATTTCTTTCTCTGTACTTCCACCGTAGTCTCATCATCAGCAACAACATCTGCAGTATCAGATGTGACTGATTGCACAGAGCCAACTGACATTGTACGTTTACTAAATACTTCATCTAAAGTCAGACGCAGTAAATAGTTGACATTACTCGTGAAATGACTTACATTTTTTATTCGCGTCTTGTGCATCTTCGTCATCCGATGACTCAGCATCTATATTCTTCTCTTTACGCTGTTGAGCTGTCACCAGCTCATAGTACAGACCTTTCTTTTCCATCAGATCATCGTGTGTGCCGTTCTCGATCACTTCGCCTTTGTCCAATGCAATGATCAAGTCAGCATTTCGAATTGTACTCAAACGATGAGCAATCACGATCGTTGTTCGACCTTGCTTCGCTCGATCCAATGCATCTTGTACAACACGTTCACTTGTATTGTCTAGTTCATACAAACAACATTTACTTCATCCTTCTTGCTCTCACCCTCACACATATCGTTACTCACCAAGTGCACTTGTTGCTTCGTCTAACAGCAAAATCCTCGGATTCGATATCAATGCACGAGCAATCGCCACTAAATAGTCAATCCTATAACTCTCAGCTCCCACTCCATTTTACTTCTCTTACCTCGTTGTTTTTGTCCACCACTTAGTTTGTCTCCCGACGACGTCTTGTAATTCTACTCAGTCAAATCAAACACGCACAATCACAAAAAAGCGATATGACAGTGATCGTACTTCTGGAAGTTCCATGATGAAATCATGTGCATTGGCCATCTTAGCTGCATATTGTACTTCATCATCAGTTGCATCTGGTTTTCCAAATCGAATGTTTTCTTCGATCGATCCAGTGAAGAGAACCGGCTCTTGACTGACAATGCCGATGTGTGATCGAAGCCAAGCGACGTTGAGAGTTTTGATGTCTCTGCCATCGAGAAGAACTAGTCCTTCTTCGGGATCATAGAATCGTTGAATAAGCTGAATGGTGGTACTTTCTAAAGGAAGAAGACGTGTGAGAACAGGATAGAAGAATGAGATGAGCTTACTTCCACAGCCAGATGCTCCGACAAGTGCAACAGTTTTACCCGATGGAATCTTCATGCTCACCTTTTTCAAGATCTAAAAACAGAAGCTATTGAGAAACAGACAGAATAAAGATCCATCTCACTTACTTGTGTATCTACACGGGCTGGATAAGTAAACTCGACATCTCTTAATTCAATATCACCTACAACGTTCGCTGGTTTTTCACCCTTATCTTCAAAGGCATTGATTTTAGAAATCTAACCAAATGACATGCAATTAATATCATAGTTAGATCAAATTCTGATATATTACTCTCGAAATAATATCAAAGACAAAACCACCACTGCCAGCCGCTTCAGCAAACGCTTGAAGATTTGGAACTATTTGCGAAATACTGAATGTTGATTGTAGACATGATACGAATATCTGAAAAGTAATTTGAGTATCCGATTGAAACTGTATTAGCTCGTCTTTGAGATTTACATACAACAATCACAGTGCCGCCACTGTAGTTTTCACATTCGGTTCGAACAAGATGTGGTCCATCTAAAAACAAAAAGATTTTTAATAATGTTATAAAAATAATTTCCGAGCACTTACACCAAAATGTAATAGAAAATGATAGATATATAGCCACCTGTGCAAAACCCTGACATATGCCCATGTAGAGGCCTTTCTTTATACCAATATCTTTCGCATCAGTTAAATTCTCTGCGAATCTAAATCGATGGACAATAGCATTCGATACCGTGTTCATATTCAGAAAATCTTCGTATAAAACCTCTGTTCTTCTTTCTTCTGTCCACCAAAAGCTGTGACCGTTCGTATAGAACCAAGAACTTCTTGAGCTACGGCACTCGCTTTCGAATACGCTGCTACTTCTGCTCTTGTATATTTAATAATAACCTAAAAATCAGTTGATTACAAATCCACAAGTACGATGAAATGTGTCTTCACATACTCTCATTGTGACATTGAATGCAATGATTGTTAACGGACTGAGTGATATAAAAACTAATGCTAATTTCCATCCTAATAGCACAGAAGATAAATAGTCGAGTTCGAATTCTTGAGAAACGTACCGCTTGTGAATGCAAATACAAGACCACCAATGAGTCGACAAATTAAACTGATAAAATCAGCTTTTTTGTCTCCGAGACCATCACGAATTTTGTCTATAAAGAATAATCGTCGTTTCTTGAAATATTCTCTAGCTTTCTCTCACCTAGGTCAGCTACTAAACGACTACTTAATTCGCCTGGATTCAATTTGTCAAACCATCCCATTTCCTGCCGCATAATCGATCGAAATAAAGCATATCGCATTCGTCGAACTTGCCGTTCGGCTGCAATCATCTATATCAACACCCTTTATTTCTTTCTTTAAATCACATTACTCTTCTTACCCATAATGAATAACCAATCCAATAGCAAAGAATACTTATACATCCTAATATGACATACCATTTGATTCTACCTCGGATTTCTGCGATAACATCAGAAATGGATCCAGGAGCTTGTGGAATGCTATTTCAAGAAAACAATTTCACAAATAATGCCATAAAAGAGTTCTTTTAATCTCTAACCATGCATTATTAATCCCTTCGAAAGTCATATTTAGTGGTGTATCTATCACCCCGGCACTAACGAATCCGCTTGCAACGCCTAAACGGTAGATAATAAAGTAACGAAATCAATCTTCTTCTTCAAGATAATTCGTACCTTCATAGATAAACATCATCAATGGAAACACCGCGCTGAATGCAAATGATACGTTGTTTTTCTTTCTGAATTGATATTGTATAAAGAAAAAACTGCTTACCCAGTTCCCATGCAAGCTATACTGCCAATAAACATACATAAATAATCTAATTTATCGGCAAATTTATACTAGAAAATTTGAATTCGTTAATGACGATTGCCTTGTGGTAAATCAAAGCTTACTATTTCAAAAAATCCTAATTTTCGGCCAGCTGGCACATTCTTCTTTCTAAATGTTCCATAAAAACATTACAATTAAGCAAGAAAAACAGAAGTCTTACGAAGCATTTTTGTTCTTTTCAGTTTCGACATTCGATTCTCCATGTTCGTTATTATTCTTTTGTTTAAACAAAGTCTTTTTCAACTCGTTCTCTTCCCCAATAGGAACTCCATTTGCTCTAAATCAAACAATTTCTCGTGTATAACTGAACAGGAAATAACGGCGAAGTAAAAACCTGTTTTTATGATGATTTTTTTTTATTAATTTACCCATTGAAGTGAATTAAATTCACTCATTAGAAATCTGACATTCACTGCGCAATTCAATTTGCCCTGACAGGAAACAGCTGATTAATTATAAAAGGGGCAAACTTATTGGTTAATATCGAAAAAGCACGTGAGTGTATGCATCAAACTGATATTGATAAGAAACTATTAAAATTATCAATTCTGATCAGGTCAAGAAGACAAAAACGTTTTTGCTTTTATAACAATCAATACAAACATTGTTCTCCTATCGATTTTCTCGAAAGAGGCCGCTATACACTAATGGAATGTACGTACTGCGGTTTGTTCTGAGAAGATAACTGCAATTCTGCTGTTGAATGTTCATGCGTATTTGCATAGTGATTGTCCGCATTTCTCGCATTGGGATTATCGTGATCAATCGTCCAAGTCTGTTTCTTCCACTTCGCCATGAGTGCTATTAATTAATTAACGGAGATCTTTATTAACGATAAAGCTAAGGTACAAATCAAGATGCTTTTATGCTGTTGTTGTTGCTTTCAATGCTTACCTTTTCGGATAAGAACGAAAACGAAATAATAACATGGAGTGCTTTATATTCCGACTTTCGAGGGCAGATAAGATTCACATAAAAATTTACAGCGCTTATGTCCTTTACTGTGAAGATACGTGTGTATATCAGTATTCTTAAGGTGCTTTCACGTACGAGAACGCACGGTCACGACCTTCGAGTTATTTGAAATCGTTGTAAAGCCAACATCTATTCGTTTCATTTTTTTCACTTTTCTTCGTAACAATGATCTCAATAAAATAAAACTTAAGTGCGATGGACGAGACTCGAATGTATGTATTTATGTGTCAGTTTCTTGTACATACTATTCGATATATTTATTTTCGTCCTACTTCTGTATTGATCAGCTCAGATATTTGATTTCGATAATCCCTTGAAAAGAAAACTCGAACAGATTCTTCTCAATAAATATCAGCTCCCACGCAAAAGTTCGTTTAGTTACATAGATTACCGATCAAACTCCTCGAACAGGAACAAACATTGCAGATGTGGCATGTGTCATAGAAGCCATTGCATCATCACATGACGTTCTATCGAGGATACATTTATCTCATCATATTCGATAGCGGATAGCAGTTGAGATAAAAAAAAACTATTGGAGTGTTTGGATTATTTTGTCAGAGTATATCATGTATGAATGTGAATTGCTGACCGTCATTTGAAACACAAAGATGGATGTGTTTATTGTAACGGTCTCTGAGCTCTTTGTTAACGCCAGACAGGTTTTTTCCTATCTAGGTTAAAAACCGGATGTTTATTTAGTCCAAACTTTTTGTACAAAATTGACATACTAGTAAGAATTCAGCTATATACATGAAAATATTGGATTCGCAATAGAGAAAAAGATTCGAATTACAACAGGCACTCACACTAATAAATTTCAACATTTGACTAAGAGGTTTCGTAATTAAGCCAAGAAGTCCATTTCGTCGCTTTGTATTAAGATGCTCTTTTCTGAGATAATGCTAGTTTAGCATAGACTCCATCCTGATGTAAAAGTTCATTATGTGTACCCTGAAAAACAGACGGGAGGATATATTTTTGTTTTCTTTGCAAATACGAACCTCTTCTTTCATTCTTCCTCGATCGACTACAGCAATTTTCTCTGAATTCTGTATAGTTGTCAAACGATGAGCAATTGTCAGACATGTTCGACCAGATCTTGCTTTATCCAATGCTGCTTGTACGACCTTTTCGCTCTTATTATCTAAAGCTGATGTGGCTTCATCGAGAAGAAGAATTTTCGGCGAGCGAACCAAAGCTCGAGCAATAGCAACTAAACACATACGCACACAGATTTATTATTAACATAGAGATCATTGCATTCTATTTACTTCGTTGTTTTTGCCCACCGGATAATTGGCTACCTTTTGCTCCACATGATGTTTCATAGCCCTAAGGGAAAAAATACATAGAAAAGAGAATTTACGGAAAAGTAACTTACATTAGGTAATGCAATGATTAATTCATGGATATTAGCCATGCGTGCAGCCTTTTCAATTTCCTCTTGTGTTACTTCTCGGCTATTGTCTCCATAAGCAATATTATCTCGAATAGACAAATTAAACAAGACTGGTTCTTGTTGTACAAGACCCATAATTGATCGAAGCCACTGAAGATTGAGAATTTTTATATCATGACCATCGAGTAAAACTTTGCCTTTTATTGGATCGTAGAAGCGTTCTAATAGGCCAATTGTAGTTGACTTTCCACTGCCCGATGGGCCGACAAGTGCAGTGGTACCGCCTGACGGACATTCCAAAGAAAAGTCTCGAAGAATACGTAGAGTTGGCCGACTTGGATATCGAAATCGAATATCACGAAATTCAATATTACCGATAACATCTTTCTAAACATTGAAGAAAAAGAGATCTCCTATGAAGACATATGCAACAATCTACTCAAATACATACCAGGACGATACCCGAGTCATCTTGAGGATTGATTTGTGATTGTCGCTTATGAAGTCGAATGATTCTCAATGCTGCCATTTTTCCTTTCGAATAGTCAGGAATCATCGCCATTGAACGCCCGACGGTTATCATAGCGAAAGTGATAACACCAAAAACTCTAGATGAAAAAGTATTTTCATGCACGATTATGGATGAAGAGTATTTAGCAAACAAGTATTACCTGATTACTTTATCAAAACGCATTTCATTGTCCACAACTAGCTTGCTACCATATCCAAAACTTGCACTATGGAGAAAGTACATCACTGAATTTGCAACTGCAGCGCCGAGAGCAATAAAATGTAGTCCACGCATTTGCTTCCTGAATAAAAACACCGATGATCAACTATAAGAGAGAGTGTTTGTCTTACTTGAACTCTTGGTTGAATGCATCCTCATAGAGATGAATGAAGTGTTGTTCACGGTGAAGTGCAACCACAGTTCGAATCTGTTCAATAGATTGTGCCGAATACTATAGTAAAAAGAAATAAATCCAAACATGAGCGACTGATGTTAGAGATTCGAATCAAATATACTTGTCCGCCTTTCTCAGCAAATGAATCTTTATCTTTCGCTTGACCTGCTTTGCCTTGCTTTTGTCCTTGAAGTTTGCCCATCAATACCATAACCGGAACAAAACATAGAACAACTAATGCTAGTTTCCAGCCGGATGAAAATGCAATACTGAGCGCTACTATCACTGCGCTCAAAGCTTGCACCAAAATACCGATGCGAACACCGGTCATTCCCTAGAAATAAACAACTGTGTCATGAATATCGTTACAAATTTGACCTTGATTACTTTTAAAGCAGCTGCATCCGACGATAGTCGAGTTACGAGTGCACCGACTGAGTTTGATTCCATATCGAAGTAGCCCATCTCTTGACGAAGCATTGCAGAAAATGTCAAAATTCGCATACGTTTTGTCAATGCTTCGCCCGATCTTGAAAAGGCATAAGATTCGCAAAATTGAGCAGTTCCACCGACGAAACCAATGAGAAAGATGAGCCCTGCATAGACACTCGTCAAGCGTTTCTGTTCATCAATACTTGGCTCAGCAAATAAGCTGTAGATTTGGGAGAAAAATAATGCAAATAGTGGCTGCATGGCACCATAGAGTAAAGACGATGACACGCCCAGAACAATCCAAGGCCACTCTGGCGCGTTAAATTTTAAAATTTTGAATATGAACGGAGTACGAAAACGTTTCTTCTTCTTTGAAGGGTCAGTTGATGCTACTGCATCGTCAATATCGTCATCATCATCTTCTAAATCGTTCCCTGAAATGCTGGATTGTTTTGATATGCTGCGTTTAGCTGTAATTAAACATAAACTTTGTATGAATTAGCATTGGTATAAAACGAACGCACCTGATCGTTGACGAAGAAATTCTTTTTCAGCTTCATCTTCTTCTTCTTTGTCACTATCGGGATCAGCTTCTTTTTCTTTTTCCTTTTCAGTTTGCGCCGTTACTAATTCATAGTAGAGACCTTTCTTTTCCATCAGATCATCATGTGTGCCATGTTCGACCACTCGTCCCTGTTCGAGACCGACTATCAAATCAGCATTTCGAATTGTACTCAAACGATGAGCAATCACGATCGTTGTTCGACCTTGCTTCGCTCGATCCAATGCATCTTGTACAACACGTTCACTTGTATTGTCTAGTTCATACAAACAACATTTACTTCATCCTTCTTGCTCTCACCCTCACACATATCGTTACTCACCAAGTGCACTTGTTGCTTCGTCTAACAGCAAAATCCTCGGATTCGATATCAATGCACGAGCAATCGCCACTAAATAGTCAATCCTATAACTCTCAGCTCCCACTCCATTTTACTTCTCTTACCTCGTTGTTTTTGTCCACCACTTAGTTTGTCTCCCGACGACGTCTTGTAATTCTACTCAGTCAAATCAAACACGCACAATCACAAAAAAGCGATATGACAGTGATCGTACTTCTGGAAGTTCCATGATGAAATCATGTGCATTGGCCATCTTAGCTGCATATTGTACTTCATCATCAGTTGCATCTGGTTTTCCAAATCGAATGTTTTCTTCGATCGATCCAGTGAAGAGAACCGGCTCTTGACTGACAATGCCGATGTGTGATCGAAGCCAAGCGACGTTGAGAGTTTTGATGTCTCTGCCATCGAGAAGAACTAGTCCTTCTTCGGGATCATAGAATCGTTGAATAAGCTGAATGGTGGTACTTTCTAAAGGAAGAAGACGTGTGAGAACAGGATAGAAGAATGAGATGAGCTTACTTCCACAGCCAGATGCTCCGACAAGTGCAACAGTTTTACCCGATGGAATTGTCAACGATAGTTTGTTCAAAATCTAAAATATATTTATTGACATACGATATCAAATATTTGTCAACTTCACGGAAAACATACAGGTGCTTCCGGTCTTGAAGGGTAGGTAAATATTACATCTTTAAACTCAATGTCACCGACGATAGTTTGAGGCTTCTCGCCTTCGTCATTGCTTGCATCTATTTTTGTTTTCTAGGAAAAAGATAATAGACATTCCTGATATACTCGGAAAAGTAATGTATTATTTACTCGATCAATTATATCGAAGACATAGCGGCCACTTGCTAATGCTTCTGCAAAGTTCTGAAAATTTGGTATAAATAATGCTGTACTCATTGTTGCAACCTAGAGTTAATCAAATTATGGGGATTAATAATTTAGTCCTTCGTAATTTTTTCGATGGTCACATACCATACAAGCGATAAACACCTGAAAACAGAAGATCTATCCGTTGAAATAAAAACTAATGATACACTACGTACCACGAGAACACTACCAGGAGAATAATTTTCACATTCGGTTCGAACCAGTTGAGGACCATACCTAGAATAGTTTCATAAGATCATCATAAAACTGAAAATAAAATGAAATTTGAATTTCATACCAAAATGTAATAGCAAATGCAGCGAAATTAGCGATCTGAGAGAAACCTTGAGACAGTCCCATAAAGAAACCTTTTTTTAGGCCCATTTTCTGTGCCGTGATCAAATTTTGAGCGAATCTAAATTGAATTCGCATGAAACGATTAAAGTATTTCGCTCGATCATATCCACCAACCTTTCCTCTTCCTTTTTCTGTCCATGAAAAGCTGTCACCGTTCGAATATTTTGTAGTACTTCTTGCGCAATTGCTGACGCCGATGCAAATGCTTGAATTTCTTTTATCGTATACTTCACAATAACCTGAAAAAAATCACATTTTCAAAAAGATCTCACAAATCACGCATAAGGTGTCTCAGCTTACTCTAACTGTCACATTGAAAGAAATAATTATCAACGGTGAAATCGATAAGAATACTAAGGTTAGTTTCCATCCCACCGACAGAGCAAAGATCAATGAGGCCAACACCCGAGACAAAAGCGAGATGAAGTCCGGTACTTTTTCACTAAAATTTTCAAAATGTAAAGATGATGTCATGACCGAAAGAAATCATACCCTATTCCGTTTTTGATTTTATCTATAAGAAATGAAGAAAATTACTCAAGTGGAAAATAGATTCTTTTTAATATTATCTTACCCATATCATCAATAAGACGATTACTCAATTCACCTGCATTGCGCACATCGAACCAGCCGATCTCTTGTCGCAAAATATTTTGAAAAAGAGCGTAGCTAAAAAAAGATTATAAATCATAGGTAAAACCAGTGTCTACTCCTTTCTATCTGTATTCACGTACCGTATTCGACGCACTTGTCTTTCACAAGCGATCATCCAAGTTGACCAGGCAAGCCAATAGAAAAATACACTAAGAATTCCAAGCGTAATATAATATTTAATAATTCCTTGAATCGCATCATATGGTGATTCAGTGCTGGAGTCAGTACTGTTATCTGGGGTATTGAGACTATTAACAGACCAAAAATTCGAGTTTTAGATAATTAAAACGGCAAATCTTCTCACCATCCGCCGCTATTGCCGATCACAAGACCAATAGCTGTACTATTTGCTTGCTCTTTTCCCAACTCAACAAGGTTGTTGATTACTTTTCGATACAGAAATAACATTATTGGAAAAAGACCTATGAAGAATAAAGAACTCATAGCGATGATAATTCAAAGTTCAGAATAGTCACCTCCGGCAATGATTGCTGAAAAGAAAAGAAAAGAAAGGAAATGATTAGATGAAGAGTAAAAAATAAGGATACAACTAACCAGCAATGCAGCCAAGAATCATTATTAGAACATCAATTTTATCTGCATATCGAAGTATTTCGATGACTTTCAAGCGGCGAACTTTAGGCTTTGCTGGTTTATTTGATTTTCGAAAGAATCTAGAATTCGCAAAAGAATGAACATTATCGATGAATCTCAGACGAATAAAAACGACATACGGAAGTTTTGACAAAAACCGAAATCGATGTTGAGTTGTCGACGTCTGTTGCATCATTTCCGCCGTTCCCGGCGTAGTTAAGATATCACTTTTTATATTTTGTATAGCGTCGATTTCCTCAATTTCTGCATCGAAGTGTTTCTCTTGTTCGTCGTTACTTAGTTCGTCATCATCACGAACATCATTAACAGATAATTGATTGGAATGAAGATTATTTGACTGAATTTTCTCATTTGGATAAGACCTGTGGGAACAAATATTTACCGTTTAGAAACGAAGATAAACTCATTGATTACTTTTCAGAGTCAATATCTATGTTTTCACTGGAAGAATTTCGCTTTGGTGAATCATTGGTTGTATACGAAGGATCATCGTTAATATCGATGGACTCCGTTTCGACTGTTGCCCTCGGCATGAGACAATATATCGAACTATTTCGAACTAAACTGAACTATTAGTTTCTTCGTGCTTAAACAAAAAACCTACCTTGATCAAGAGGGAAAAAATGAAATATAGTTACACCTTTTCAAATCGCGTCTATACATATATGGTAACAGAAAAGAATATCATATCTATATACATAGACGACGATCGAACACTCGATCGCGATACTAATGTTCCTTACGAACGCTTGAGTATTTTTCGTTACATGTTCTATGTTACTTGTTTGTGTACATTATGCGCACATACGATCATAAGGAAAAAAGCGATACGAATGTCCTCGGTGACCTACGGATTAAACTGTTTCATCATGACGTGGCAGAATCAACCAAATATAATCGTACATACGATTCAAAAATATGTACAGTGTATCACTCGATTACACATATCACAAAGTTGACAGTAGTTTATTTCATTTTTTCGCTATTAAAATGTTATTTAAGGTTCATCTTTATTTGAATTATAAATAGCATAAGTATTTTTCGTTTTCGTGTAAATAAACAGTCATCGAACAAATCAATGTATATTGATTTGATCATCAAAATAAAAGCGATAGACGGTAAGCATGTGTGATATTTTCTCTACCTTTATAGATTACAGTTAGGAATGGGACATATTCATGATCGTTGTGCAGTTTGCTTATCTTTCGACTCATGTCATTTATTAGAAAACAGAAAGACACATAAAAAGAAAGAATAAAACTGCGCGATTGAAGAATAGGATCGCTAACAATAAGTTGAGCAAGTATAAACAAAAGCGAACAGTTATGACGAGTCGTTATTCATTCCACTTGATCGTTTAAAACGAGCGATATACGTCGTTGGACGATGTTCGAGCAACCATATACCCGGTGGTGACGTTGGATGTCGGTAAGCGTAGACATAAGTGCCAACAAACACAATTAAAGAGAGAATTAAAACAGTTAATAACAATGTTACAACGATTGTACGAATTGTTGATAATGTTGAATGTTGTGGAAGGACAGTAGTGTCATCCTGCTGAACAAATGGGATCTGTGTAATAAATGTATCAAAGAACGGGTCTTCAGTGTTGCTTGGGCACGAATTTTCTAAAGCTAAGTAGTGACATTGACCCTGAATCCATTGATGCCGAGAACGATCATAACCATCTGAACATTTCTGAATAGTATCGCACCATGAACAATTGTAACGTTTGCCTCGATTAGCAAGACACGTTACGCAATCAGTGAAAGTATTGCACGCTGAAAGAGTAAAATAAAAGAATGTTTTGGTGATTATGATTAAATATGACAATGATTTGTCAAGAACAAAGAAACTGATAATATCATTGTAAATCGAAAATCGTATAAAACGTTTTTGTTAACAAAACGTACTTTTATCCATGGTAAACATGACCGAAAGTCCAGATTGGATTTTCCCATGTTCCAAATTTAGCTTATCATAAAGTGTTATCACGCGCATGTTATGTTCGTTTGTTGTCCGTTCAGTTATATACGCATCAGAAAGACCAATGTGATGAGGATGATTTTCAACAGAGATTTTCATCGACGGAATTTGTATATAATTAAAATAGATGTGTCCTAATAAAAAACAGACGATGAAAGAGGAATTCAGGGAGGAAATTTTTACCGGTGTCTTGTAAAACTGCTTGAAAGGAAAATGACCCGATATTTGGTTGGTCTCGAAGGTAAAGATTGTTCCATGTACATATGAAATGTGTGCTATTGTCATAGTATTTGATTTCGGATTGATTTCCACCAATAGATGGATCAAAGTTTGCCATAAATGGTGCAACGCTACCGCGAACAAAAAAGAAATATCGATCATTTTCATTATGGAAGTAATAACTCACTATTGTGTGCTGCCAATCAATGCTGAATGTAACAAATCGCCTGTATAGATAAAACCTAGAGAAGAAAATTTAGATATGTGATGCAAATCTCCACACTTACCTCCTGTTCCAATCATTATTTTGTTAATTTCATGTCCATAAAATGGGAAATTAAATTTTAAATTGATGCCCTAAAAGATCAAAGTGAATTACTTTCCGAGAAATTTCTCATCGAATTTTCTTACAAAGGCTGTTCGATGTTGATCAGCAAGTTCTTGAACACGTGTAAATTGGTCACTATCGTTGACAAAATACAATGGTATTCCTCCTGATTTCAGAATAATATATGACACGTTGTAGTACCGGTGATCGTTCTGTAAAACAGGGTAAAGAAGAGAACTCATTCGAATACCAGTCGATATCCACGTACAACATAAACAGTTTGTTCAGTTGTATTGAAGAGCTTTTGATTTGGATTGAAAAAATTCAAATCATTGTCTTCGTCAAAGTAAACCATTTTCGATTGAGTCATTGGCAGCTTTCGTAAAGTTTCATCCAGCTTCGACCAATCTGACGAATGTACTAAGTCAGGTGTGTTCCTCACTGATGGTATTTCCACATGATTTGCTAGTGAAAGACAAATATTACCGATAAGATCACTCAGAAAATTCAGGAAAGATTCTCTTACATGAACAAAAATAGTTCTCCACAAATGCATCGACTTGTCTTGTGTACAATGAGCATTGCTCGCGAATTTCATTTTTCACTTCACTTATGAAACTCGATATCGTTCTAAGACAAAGAATCTGACATCTGTATGAAATAACATGGAAACCTACTGGCAATATTGATTGATATCTTCATTATTTTGTACTTGATGATCAATATAGTTGCTCGTCTTCTGTGCAGTCCAATGTGTCAATAGATTATGTAAGATGATCACTTGTTTCGTATGCGAACATGATGTACCGAGATCATTATGTTGACAATTATTTAGTCCAAGTAAATGGAGTAGATTCAGAATTAAACTTCCGTACGATTTGTTACTAATTGAACAATGGATCGATTGAAGGCATGTTGCTAATGCTCTACAAAGGAGAAAAAATGAGAATAGATCGTAGATATGAGCCGAATGGGTAGCCTTACGTGCAACCGGTTAATTGCGAACAACTGTAAAGTTTTGTATAAATATATTGATCACATTGATTATTTTCGAGAGATAACGGTGAAGATTTGTCTCGTTTTACGCGAGTATCTGCTGAAACAATTCTATAAGGTGTATAATGGACATATGCGGGATCGTTAATTAACAGAAGATTGGCACCAAGCTCTTGCGATTGGTACAAGAAGAAGATGACGTGAACAAATATCTGAACGTTATGATTCATTTGATCTAAATTAAGAAACACGTTCAGTAATGTATTATGTATAAGAAGGAAAGAGACAATGAAACAATAGGGACGATTGTATATCCTTCTTGCCTCCTGTTGGACATTTTCAATAGGGAAAGAACGAAGAAGATGAAATAGTTGTGTGAGGTCACCTGTATATCTGCTCCATTGAATAGGAGAAGGTAAACTAAATGTCATATTGATCGTGCACGTTCGTTATTCCTTTTCGTCTCATTTTTTTCTCTCTCTTTCGGTGACAAATAAACAATTGATCATTACTGTGAGAAGGGAGAGAAAGAGAAAAAAGAGAAAACTAAGAGTTCATTCAAAATGGATATCTTTTATCAAGTGTAATTCAATACTTGTAATTACAAGTGCTTACATTCACAAGAAAATTGTTGTTCAGATGAAACGAAATGAGTGTAGAAACAATAACACAAATTTCATCCATGAAATCAATCAGAATCTCATATAGAACTCTTGCGTATCGAACAGGCTTTCACCTATCCCTTGCGCCTGTTATCGTATGTCTTCGTTGAATAAACTCCAATCCTTCCGACAGTACACTGGTTTATTCATACCATTTCTTCTTTTGTCAGTGTCTATATACCAAACACGTACGATGAGCAAGCACGTTGATGGTACATCATTGACAGTCGATGATCGCTTGAAACAAATCTATGAAGTTTTATCAAGACGCAATCGTAATCGTGCGTTGAGTCTTAAAGATGTTGGCGTCGCTATCCGAGCTGCTGGTTTCAGTCCAACGAATAGCGAATTGAAGAAATTGATTGATACAAAACTGGGTTCAACTTACGCACATCAATTATTTGATCTGAAGACCATTCAAGAGTTGTGTGTTGGCTTGAAAAAACGTCCCGAAAAGGACGTTCATCAAAGTTTACGTTGTTTCGATTATGAACGCAATGGTTTTATATCTGCACGAGAATTGAAATATTTCCTGAGTACACGTGGCGAAAAATTAAGTGACGAAGAAATCGATGAAATGCTGCGCGATATGGATATCGATGAGCAAGGCATGTTATCTATTGATCAAGCACTATCAGTTTTCTCCGTGGGAGATTTTATTCAATAAGAAAATGCAATAGACATTGAACTTCATTTCTTCTTTTCAATTTTCAATAAACATTAACTTAGAAAAAAAAATGCTAAAAAGCTGCCAGTGCTTTTCGCGGTTTTGTTTGAACACCATCGTCGATTGTTAATATCGATAGAAACGAAAAGAACAGTCCGAATGATGATAGTAGATGCCAGATATCATGAGCATCATAAGTATCTAGTAGCATACACTTTTGGTTCAGCGCTCGAGAAATCGCCGGTTGAACTTCATAGCTCTTCACTTCACTATAGAAAAAGTCTAATGATGATGCCCAAAAACACGTAGATAGTACGAGAAACAGGATGGAAAATCGAGTAAAATGTTCACGATGGATCATTTTCATGATAATATAATAGACTAAATATAAAGCTAAATTCCCGAGAAAAACAAAGAGAAGGTGATTCGGAAATGATTCAGGTTGTCTAATAGCACCGTACAGTGCAAAACCGATATTGATAAAATTACCAGGAATTAATATACCCATACGATTCATATACCGTGGACGAGAAAAGAAGCCATTTTCTTTCATCAATCGATACAAATGAATCTAAGAACAAAACTTCATTTAAACTCTTCTAAAAACAATAATTTCCCGACTTACGTGAATACGTAACGAGATTTTCAATCTTCCCATATAGTAAATCTTCGCACTGAGTGTTAAGCATGTGACAATATGAACGATACAATAAGTTATCCAGAACCATAATTTATCAAAATACTAAACGAAACAAGATCTTAAGTGTAGATCAATTCCGTTGATATTACCACTCCAATAACATTGACAAAAATGATAACAGCTAGAAAGGAAAATGCACTCGCTGAACGAGGATTAATATCAGGATGTCGTCTTTGATAGATTTTGATGATATTCAATACGGCAATAATATACATGAAACTTGTATCGAACTGAAAGTTCTGCCGTGATGGACATACATGATAGCTAAAAGGTTCATCATAAGCATCATGCAGCGATCATGTAGATATAAACTCACCATGCACTCATTATACCTTCCATGAATAGGCCAATAGCCATGGCATAGAATAACCCGAAGTGTTGGGGAATGCCAGATTTCTAGTTAGAGAAAATATGTTTTATAGATACTTTCGTAGTGTTCGATATACTTTTCCCATTTCTGGATATTTTTCTAGATATCGGCAATAAGATACGTCTCTGGAGAAAGAAAAAACATGGTTAACTATATGCTACGCAATAGAATCCCTTTACCTTCGATAAACTATGATAAAGAACAATAGGCCAAGTGCACAATAACCAATGTTGGATAAGATGTTATTAAATGCAGTTAAGTTAAACAATTGTCGAGTGCATAGAAAGTTAAAATAGCAAATATCTTCGTTTCCAATCGAATCGATATTTAACTGATATTGTAAAACAAGTTGAATGACTGGCAACGAATAGAATATTGCTATAGTAAGCATTGTATGTGGATAGATTCGAAATTGTCGTCTCAGATATTCATAATCTTTTACACATAAATCAGTGACAGTAACAAAACCACGCTATACAAAGAGAAACTCGAAGGATTCCTTCGTGTGATTAGAACAGAACTCACGCCAGATGTTTGAATAACATCAAGAACAGTTGTTTGACGTTCGAGTTCAGGTCTAGTCGATGTAACATTATGATTGTCTCCTTCTTCAAGTATTGGCACAGGTTGCTCACTCGCTCGACGATCTTTAATTTAAATGAAATGTCATCGACTCAGTTCTAGCCTAAATCGATACGAACCAACAAGCTCACGTTCATTTTGCTGTGGTAACAAATCTACGATCAAATATGAGTTTTCATTAATAAGAATACAAATCAGAAGGACGTACACGACTGATCTGGAGCGAGATGATCACTAAAAAACAATCCGATTGTCGTCTATTCGACGATGAAGATAATCCTTACTAGAGATCGGGATTTTTACACATAATAATAAATGCAATTATATAAACCAGGGCGAATATTCCAAGAGTAACAAAAATAGTAATCATCAGATAAGAATCTATCAGATAAAGTCAAATAATCATCGAAAGAGAAATGTTTTCATACAATAAGCAGTCGAATGAATTGTTATTGTCACGTTTTTCGTTCTTTGAATGTCGATAAAACCCGCTAGATGAAAACGAATAAGCAGAAGTTTTTAAAGTTCAAACAAACCTGGCTGTATCGTGGCTGATTCTTTCGAGTTCAAACAATCCACATCGACTGGTTTAACGGAAAAAACAGTGAGAAATTCATCTCGATTAGGGAACTCATTCGACTAGTACAAATCAAAATAGAACGGTAATTCTCTCAAATCCTATCAAGTCTCTTACGTAAACATTGAACGAAGCACTTTTGGACATAGTTTGATAATGTCCTTGTTTGACACCAATTTCGTTTACATCGTAAACCGGACAGTCAAATGACTGAACAGAAACACTCGTGCAAAGGTCATCTTTCGATTGAATCTCAATAAAAACACTCTTGATATGGGGAGGAAATTTATAACTGTAATAAACAGGCATTGATGGAGATACCGTAAATTGTGTTTTAACACCTTCTCTGAAGTACAGAATGAAAAAAAACACAAACAAGAGTTAAAATAGACATTTTCATTTTTTACTGAAGAGAATATTCTTTGACATTATCAATTTGGATTGAATAATCAATCAAATTCATATTCGATGTAGAGATTTCAATGAAAACGGTGCCTGTATGTGGACGAGTGCGATTGGCTTCGTTGTATATACACAATATACGCGCAACACTCGAGTAAAGCATCCTGAGAAACCGATGATTCGCTAGTAAGCAATGGTAGTTTTAATGAATGAGATTTACCCGTTAGAAAAAGCATATGGTAATGTCCAAGAGACGATACCACGAATTTGTCGAACAACAACTAGAATTGGAGCATCTTGTTTGATATCATACTTCATACTCGTCGTTACACGGACAGTCTATTGATATGTGAAATAGTAAAGTTGAAACGATTAAAGTCTCCTAAACAGTTTTACGGTCGATGGTGTAAATGAGTATTGTAACGAAAAATAATGTACAGTAGTCGAGTTGATAGAACCCGTACATAGTTCTCCAATTGTACAATTTCTCATCAGAACATCCGGATTAAGGGACGAATCCCATGGACTCTTTACAACTTGACTACAGTTGACGAACAACTATAGTCAAAAGACTTTTTAGATTTGTTACAAATGAATTTTTATCAAATGACTTACAGTCAAACTAATGATGATTAGTAAATAGGAACGGAACCAAGGACGACGCATGATTATCTATTTGAAGAAGACGCTGTAAGTGTGAGACCTTTCTGTCTTTTCATATCTATTCTCAAAACAAAAGATGATTACACGTAATAATTTTTGCTTACTTTGACAAATATATTCTGAGATAATAAAGTCTGTTATCTTATTCATGAGTACGCTAGTTTCAGCATTGGATAAGTAACTAGCGACATCTGAAGCTTTCGATTGTTTTCAAAGTATGTAAAAATATCGAATTTTATTTCTTCGAAAAAAGTTCATAGTGAAAGAGTTAAATTTTTTTCGACTTTATTGAATTTACCTTGATGGCTCCAATCGTTTCGATGGAAACGATTTGTGCAACTAGGGAAGAACATGGCGGGCGGGTGTCTTTCTTTTAGTCCACACAGTTCTTTCAGGATCACGCTTGTTCAGTTGTCAATCATGCAGAATAATTATTACTCAACAGCTACTACACCTCAGCGGACACTTCCTGGTTACGATATGAACCATCTTTATTTGAGTCCTTCTCATCAGCAAGCAAATCGAACAGGAATATTCTTGAAACGAAGCGAAAAGATCGATTGGCGTCGGCTTGGTACGCGAGTTCAACTTTAAGAAGCAAAATTTGATTTGCTTGTGTTTTAGCGGCAGTTGATGTCGATCGTATTGCACGAGAAATGGATTTTCAAGCTTTACAAGACAATCTCGAGCAAATCACATTGTGTAACATTGATGCTGAAGTTGTAAGTTTTCTCTTGACAAATCTAATAACGTCTACCATAAACCATGTGGAATGCATTCAATAGGATGCAAGAGCAATGGATCCAAATTTCTTGAAATTGTACAAAATGGCTCAACTAACCATTGAATATCTTTTGGTCTGTGTCTTTCGATTTCAGTACGAATAACTTTTGTGATTGTTTGTAGCTCTGTCAAGATCAAATTACTGCGCAATTGGGAGATTATGAGCAAATCAAGAACAGAAGTTTTCATGTATGTCATTTCTTTCAGTTGACCCTTGAATGATGATTGTCCGTATTCGAAATTTGATTAGGAACAAGACGATTCCCGTCGAGAAATTGAAAAACTCAAAACTGAATTAGCAGAATCGAAAAAAGAGTCGAAGAAACGACGAAAAATGTTGGAAACTCAGCAACGAATGTTAATGGCTCAAAATTCGAATTACCACACAGTAAATCTCTGTTTAAACTCGCGAGCAAGACCAACTATTCGTCTACTTTTATATTCGTTTTAGTGTCCTGTTTGTACACATGCATTCCTGAGTGTATCTTATCTCGAAGCACACATGGCTCGTCGTCATCCGAACTACGATCCAAATAAACGACGTGAGCGTGACGTTGACGTCGAAAAAGAAATTCAACGTTTCAAAGATGAATTGAATAAGAAAGAGAATGAATTACAACTGATTAAAGTTCAAAAAGTATGTAGAACAATTCCAAAGAATCGATCATACTCATAGCACATTCGCTTACACAAGTATTGAAATGGTGAAGACAGTTGCACTCGACATCATAGGTCCATATGTCAGTAAGGAATCGATGTAGGTTTTGTACAATTTTCTGATTCCATTTGCATGCGTTTCATTGATTATATACGACGGAAGGAGAAGGAAGAATATTCATTTTGTTGGATGCTGTTGATTGACAATTGAATGTGATGTATTTTAGGCAGGAGATGAAGAAAAAATTCGTGATCGTGAAATACATATTCGACAATTAAAAGTAAGGTTTTTCCTATTTAAATTCAAAGTATTTATGCATGGAATTCATTTCAGGAAGAAATTCACACTCTGACAACTAGATTAACAATCTTAGATGATCGATTTTCCCTAATGAAAACGGTAAGATGCAATTAAAGAGAAAAAGCAATTCGAATATTTAACATCTGTTAAGGATGGCTATACCCGTTCATCATCACCGCAACGAAACGATTCCAGTGTGTCTGAACTATTGAAAGAGAATAAACATTTACGTGCAGAAATCGAACAATTAGTAAATGATTGAATAACAGTAAAGTTTATCAGAATGTTTTCGCCGTGAATTTAGAAACAATTATTGCAACAAGCAGAACCGGATTTGAAAAAAGAACAGAAACTAAGACGACGTCTCGAGAATGAAAATGAGAATGTAAATCTTTGCAATGTTCATTATATGTACTTACTTTTATTTCGATTTAGCTCGTCCAAGAAATCTCGAATTTAAAACAAAACCTACAATTGCTTCAAGCAACATCAGGCAATTCATCTCGCCTATCCGAAGAACTTATAACATATCAAAATGTAAGTCACACGGATTTCGTAGCATCCTTGTCTACTAAATCAAACTCATCTAGCGATATAATGAAGAGCGATCGCTTCGAAAGAAACTTCAAGACGAGCTTCAGCAACGAAATCCGCCATCTCAAACAACGGATCGGAAATCGCCTGTTCCATCTGTTCGCTCTATTGATTCACCAGTTCCAATGCGACCGACTCGACCTTTGCAACCGACTGAAATCATTCTCAGCAATTATTGCCCACAGCTTGTTGCGCGTTTGAAAGAAAATCCGAAATTTTTAACGAAATACCGCGATGAAGCGAGAAAACAATTCAATGATGAGCTCCAAGATGTGGAGAATCTCGGCATCTCGGAAGTATAACTCATTTTCTATCCTATACGAAATCTAAACAGTATTTGCATAGACTGATACTCGTTTGACTGACCTAGATTTTCGAACAAAGATGGAAAGTGTTCTACAAACACGACGAAATATTCAAGACGTAAGCGACGTTTCTCAAAAGTGATTCATCTCCGGCATTGCTTCTAGGATCTACCCGATTTTGAACGTATTCGTGCGGATATATCTCGAACACTAGATCGATTAGTAAATGAACGACTGGACGTTCGACGTAGTATTACCTCCATCCGTTCAACTGGTAGCAAATTAGTGACATTCGAAGATCAAAAACGAAATAAACACTCGACACCTAGAACTCCGACAGAACAACATCGATTGCCATCAACAACGGTTCCGTCCAAAACGAAATACGATGATAGTCGTCCGGGAAGAACTAACGAAGCAGGCGAAGATAGAACAGCATCCAATATCAGCGACAGTGATGATGAACGTCAATCACCGAGAATTGGAAGGAGTGTTCAACCAGTACCGAGAAAAAGTGCTCCGACAAAAGGTGTTAGCGCACTAGTAACGAGTGGCATAACACCATCAACTAAACATGGAGAAAGTGCGATTGCTGCTATCGCTCGACAGCCAATTGTTAAACCTCAATCAACAGGAAATCAGTCGAATTCTGAAAGGTAAAGTGATCGTGTAAATGAACCGGAGTCAATCTGTCATCTTTTAGTGAAACTGAAGCTTCTGTACCAGTTCGTACATCGAGTGTTACGGACAAAAAACGCATTATCGACCAGAAACTACAAGAATCTGCGAGTAAAGGTAAAAAACCAGGCATCAGTGCGATCGCACAAGGATTTCAACCAACCCGAGAGACGCTCAAAACTCAGGTAAATACAATTACCTTCAAAAATATCGCATTCTGTTGATACTTCAGAACCATGATGATGACGATGACGACGACGAAGAAACAGATACATTCACAACTTTACATACAAATCCGCCAGGCAAAACTCCGAACGTTCATTTACCCCAAATTTCGTACGTATTCTGACAGTTTTCGCCGTCAGCTAATCTGCTTTCCTGAGTGTACACCAGTAGTATTGTTGGTTAAATCGACCAGAAACATCAAATTATTTCTTTTTCTAGTCCATCTTCGGTAAGATCGCAAGCACGTATGCAAATGAACCCTCAATAACATACAACAAACGCTACTTCTTATTTCTCTTTGCACACCCTACATTGAATGTTCCACTTTAACTATACTCATAGCACGACATCATTAATGTAGAAAAGAAAATGAATCAAATATGATCAAAAGATCATCTATGAAACATTTTCTTTTCTTCGATATTGTTTCGAAAGATTTGCAGACAGAAATAAAACGCTCTTTCGTTTATTTTCAGAACCCGAGATTTGATCACGAATAATCCACTTTCATCAGGTGACGTATCTCAACATACTTATGACTCGTAAGTACCAAGTTCCTGTTTCGTTTCGAGTACTTATCTTTCATCTTTGATAGACTATGGAAATCTCAAGCAAGTAAAGGTAATTTATTTGTGATACAATATCGTCTTTTTGTATGAAGATGTGTTTTTATAGGTGCTGAACATCGACGACCTTTGACAGCAGATTCAACAAAAACTTCGATGATGGACTCGGATGAGAATCTCGACGGAGAAGAATCTAATTAGGTTTTTTTTAAATTTAAGTACTTCTTGTTTTTACTTTATTTGTTCATCTGCTTTCGTTTTTAAATGTATATTTGTGCCTGTTAACAGAGAGTTAAAGATGTCTGCGTAGATTTAGAAGAATTTTTCTAGCAAAACTTTTCTTTTTTTTTTAAACAAGAATAATTACGATATATTTGTTTGTTTGCGAATTCAGAATCTTCGACAAGAAAACTTATTCTTGAATTTCGTATAGATTAATGGCTTTAGAGGCTTATTTGGATATAAGAAATATTAAATCCAAAGTAACAGCTATTGGAAGTATTCCATCACGACGTGAGTTAGTTCTTGGTTTCGAAGATGGTTCCGTAGACACATATAACCATGAAACAGGTAAAACTCAAGTTGAACATAATCTTGTTGAAAGCAAACTCTTCTTCAGGAGAACGAATACAGCATTGTTATAAGCATAAAGGTTGGGTCACTGCGTTGAGTTCACTTCCCTCTAGTCGAATATTTTTCTCGGCTGGTAATGATTCGACGATCGTTACGTATTATGGTAAAGTTTTGTGTAGAAAAAAAAGAATTTCACTGGATCATTTCTAGGTAGTGGTTCTGTCATTGATAAACTAAACATCGGCTCTGTAGTATACGCTATTTGTTTCCATTCTCGTTTGAAACAAATCATTTTCGGTATCTCACAAGGTAAAATACATTGTCGAAGAAATATATCTTTACGAGCACGATTTCTTTCAAACAAAAGGTATTCAACTGCATGAATATGATAGTAATCCTACAAATGGTCAAGTTATTCGGGGAAGACCGCTGAGTATCATATGTGAACATACGGATATAACGACGGGTATTCTAACGCTCGATAAATTGTATTCGGTGGGATTTGATGGAAAATTAATCATTTACGATTGTCCACTTTCGGATCCTCCGGCTGTGTCGAAGAAGATTTCGGCTCATACTGCTGGGATAACGTGTATCATAGCACAGAAAAATCCCATCGATAATAGTGAATGGTTAATGACGGGTTCGTTTGATAAAACAGCTAAAGTGTGGAGTTTAGATGGGAAATTATTGTATAAATTTAATGATTTTACTCATGCGGTGACTGGTTTGACTTTTGTGAGTGTGACAAAAACAGTCTGGATCGGTAGGAAGTTCTTTTTTTCTGAAAATGTGTTTCTTTGACGTATGGATCACTTTCTAAAGCTGCTGGTCAACATTATGCGGAAGTGATTGATCCGAAAAGTGGAGAGAGCGTATCGAGTTTCATTGGTAAGTGTCGATTTATGACGAAAGTCTTTCCAATTGAAATGAATTTTGTTTTTCTAAGATACATTTCTGAATGCCGATGAAAAACTTGCTGATAATGATAAAAATAGACCGAATTATTGTCTTGTTTGCCTTCGATATATACCTGAATTGAACATTGTTGTTGCTTCGACAAATACAAAACAATTTCATGCATGGTATTACAAGAAAACGTGATTATTATCTACTTTTCCCCATCTTCAAATAGTTCATTTGCGTAATTTCTCTCATAGTGGTTGTGTCTCCTGTTTAAAAGTGAAATCTCCTTTGGAGAATGTGTGCTTTACTAGTAAAGCACCGATCTTGGTAAGATAAAATCTTCCCGCTACGTATTAATTCGTCTTCATCTAATTACTTAACTAGATGTTTACAGGAGATACTGAAGGTGAGAGTAGAAATCTAAGCAATCAGTGTGCGTGACAGTTGTGTGAGGTTTTGTAATATACTAAACTACTGATAGGGTGAAACAGCGAATCGATAGAAATATAGTTTTTTTCTTTGTGCATAGGAAATGTTTTCAAATGGGAGCAAATGCAACTGAATCGAATTATGTATTCGAAAGATCGTCTTCTGAAATTAGAAGGGAAAAAAGATATAAGTGAATATTTAGTTCAAGCTGTTTCCTTGGGTGAAATAAATAGCACACCGAATGCCAACGGCAAAGATGGTAAAACCGGCGAACAAGCCAAAAATGAAAAGTCGTCGGCAACCGATTCGAAACGCGCAGCATCTGGAAAACGTGTTAAAACGGTGGACGAACGACTACCAGCATATTATGTACGTTCACGTTCGTCCGCGAAAATTACAGAACGTGAACGAGGCATCGGTGGTTATGTGCCTCAGTATGAACATTTAGAGAGACCGAGTAACTCACAATCATCAAATAGCATAGCAAAAGCGGCATCGGGAAAATCTATTCTTCGAATTATATTTGTGGAAAAATGCGATTTAATTATCGCTGCTAGTGAAGATAAGAATATCTATGTTTGGGGCTTTGATTCTGAAGCATTAGAAGCTTTGAAAACGTTAAAAGCACAAGCTCATGAAACAGATCATGGCGCAGAAGGTATTCCGACGATTTTTTTCATCATGAAATACTTGTTCCTATGGTTCATTTCAGAAGGTGACGTTGCTAATCGTGTTGTCGGCTTTACACTGCTCAAGATATTCAGTAATCATACTGAGCCAGTGACTTCGTTAGCGGTTGTCGAAGATGACGACGGACTTGGCACTACTTATCTTCTCAGCGCTGGTTGGGATCGACGTATTTGTATTTGGGATTTGAATCATTTCTTGCTTCACGATGTTTACAGTAATCCAAATGCGACACACGTTGATGCGGCAGAAACCGCGTCGATGGGCTACATTCATAATATGGACTACAGTCCAGTATTGAAATGTTTCGCGTATGCCGCTGGAAGTGATATGAGCGTTTACGTTCGAAAGTTTTCATCGACAGGTTCAAAAATGGAGTTGGCTTATGAACTGAAAGCACGAGTAGATTCCGAAGTAACATGTATTAAATGGAATTTCATTACGAATGAATGGATTACGGGAATGGATAACGGAGAATTTCGAATCTGGGTAATATATCTCTCCCATAAATCTTTTTGATTTGACTAGGAAATTTCTAGGGAATGAAAGGAGACTTGCTCCAAGCGATTAACACTCGAGGTAGTATACACGCCATTGCGATCGATCATGTTCAACGAGCACTTTTAATTTGCAACCAAGACACGTTAAAAGTATTCGAAATTGATGAATATACATGTGTTCAAACAAATGATGGACATACGGATGTCATTCGGTATGATGAGTCAAATAAGAATTATCGATTTGAATTCGTTTTTATTCTAGAGATGTTTTGTTTATTCCTGAACGGAGACAATATGTTACGGTTTCCCTTGATTGTACAATGCGTATCTGGAATGCTTGGTCGCGTAGCTCTCTGCAAGAAAAAGAGACAAATACCGATCCACAAAAGAAATTGTCGGATAATATTTGGGAAGATATCCGCAAATGTGTCAAAAATCCCATTGAAGTGGAAGATGCAGATAGTATTATCGATAAATACTTTCAAAACCGATATGAGCCAAGTCGATTTCCAATTCACGATGATCAACAATTAGCACGACAAGTTTCTTTTGCCAATAGCTAAAAAACAGTTCTTTTCTTACAGATCTCAGACTTTTCTCTTTAATTCAGTGACATTTGTATCGTGCGGTGCACTCTAAAATTAAAAAGCTGCCTTTTTTCTATAGATATAATAGCATGTCTCAAGCCCATTATGAAGCTGTTCGGTTCTCCACTGATCGACCTTTTACAACGGGCGGATCAAGACGATGCTTCCTGCCTATTCGCATGCGTCAGCAACCCGCTCCACTTGATACCAAAGTTTCTCATCGATTCTATCATCCGAAAGAAGAACTAGTTCAGCAAGTAACGCATGAGCACATTCTTAGTGAGTTCTTTCTTATCTTAGTTATTAATAAATGCATTCGATGAAAATATTAATCCATATTAACGCAGTTTTAGAGAGAGAAATGAAATCTGTCAAGGTAAGATCGTTGTCGATATATCTGTAGTGATTGAAGATGAGTTCACTTTTTATTCAAACTTGAAAAGAATGAGTGGATGTAAACAGTGATTCTCTTCTAGCAATTGGTGATGAACTATTGTATCAAATGGAAGTTAGTAACGAACGTCGTATTCAACAAACCTATCAGCAGCTAGTCGATGCTGAACGACGACGATTGGAGAACGAATATCGTTTGAAAACTGATGAAATCACTCGACATTGGAAAGCGCAAATGGATGAAGAACGACGCCGATTGAAAAAAGTAAACTGAACCAATTTGAAAAGAAAATTTGTATTCGTTTTCTTAGGAATTCGATGACATTCTCGCTGATTACGAACGTCTACGTCGAGAAAAGAATCGTGCTGAAGAAGAAGCGTTGATTCAACGAATGAGAAAAGAATGCGAAGAAGCATTAGCAAGACAATGGAAATTGGCTAATGAACAACTTGCTATAGTTAGAAACTGTGACTGTAGATAGAAAGCCATTTCTTTCGTTTGGTGTTCTAGGCAGTCAAACAGGCAGAAGATCGGTTACGTTCACTACTAGAATTGGAGTTTCTCGAAGAAAAGAAACGATTTGCTCAAGAATTAATCGCGAAAAAAGATGTGAGACAACTTTTCTTGATTCTCGTCGATCAACAAGATGATTTTTCGATAGGCTGAATACGCTGAACGAGAATTGAAAGCTTTGGAAAAGTTACGAGCACAATTAACTAAAGAACACACACAGGATATTGAAGCGATCAACCAACGACATGCAGAACAAGTCGCTGAATTAAATAATAAGTAAATACTTTGTTGATAAAAACGAAAACTTATCGTTGAATTTAGAATCAAATTAGCTGAAGAACGTTATCGACGCGAATTTTCTTCCCGTGCTCGACTTGAAAGTGATTTTCGCGTAAGTCCTTTGCTTTCTATACGAATTCCACATACGACTTTTGTTTACGAATAGTTACTCCAAACTGACTACAAACGGTTCATGGATAATAGTAATGTTTTTCATTCGGATTATATGCTGAAATTATATCATATCGGTGAACAAGTTGGAGATGCAAAATTTGAGAAAGTTCTCGATCGTATTTTAAATGAATCGAACATCCAAATGGTTCCGACTAAGCCAATGATACCTCAAGTTCGAAAACCCAAACAACCGCTGAAATAATCTCAACAAATAGACATTGCTTTTCAAACAAAGAAATCCGTTGTGAATCTCATTTACATAGAATTCCTCTGTATTTTTTTACTGAAAAATAAACGTACTCAATTTGTCATTGAAAACAGTCAAGGATGATTTAGTTCGTTGCGTAAAAGTGCGTTTTTTTCGTCAGGTGAGAGAAAACTGAACTGTATTTACTTTCAAACGTGTATGTTTGTATTTGCAAATTAATAAAAACACTTTACAATTATTTTGACGTTGACGTCAGAAATTCACTTTATTCTGTTGCTTGTCATTTTATTGGCAGATTGCTCGTTACCAATAGGAATTCATTTTCCATGAGTCATTAAACTTATCGTTATTTACATACGTACATATGTGCATCGGAAAAAATTCTTCACTTCTCGATGTCTGACACTGTTCGACGACTTCCGTGGGGTGCTGAAAGGCACATACGTTCGACATTTTCCATTGAACCAGCATCTTCTCTTGATGCGACGATAAAACCAGGAGAATACACACTTAATCTACTTTTAAATCAATTTTTTATTGCTGCTGAAGCACGCATTGCTGATGTGTGTTCGGAGAGTAAACAGGTAAGTTTGTTCCAGTCAAATCAACATGGCTTGTCATGCGATCTCTGTCTAGCATATCCCATTGAATCAATGTTTGAAACGTGGTGATGATTTTCATTTCGATGAGCTGCTTGATGTTTTCCAAGCGATCGCTGAACATTCCCTGCCATCGTTAGTGAGAATATCATTCGAATGGTTTCGGTATCACATTAATGACGATCAATTGAAATTACGTGGAATAAAACCGACATCCACGGCAACATCAGCGATAAAGTATGCAAATAAACAAGAATCCAATTGATTCTTACGGATGTCTTGTTTGTTTTAGAGAAAATGATTGGCTTGAAGAACGTCGACAAGTAATGGATAATCAAATGCATTTGGCATAATAATTTTATCGTTATGTTTTTAGCTCACTGTACATTTTATATTTTGTCTGATTTTAATTGATGTTCTCAAACAGGTGAGCAGAATAGGACCGAATAAGGATGGTTTGAATGGATGTGCTATGATTTTAGCTTTCGTTTCATCCGGGATTCGATGTGTCGAATATTGAAGATCAAGCTTTTAAATGGTTTCGAGGCAACGAAAAATTCAATGACATGTAACTGAGTCTAATCTCGAGATTTTCTTTATGTATTGTTGTTTCCATATGTTCAGAACATCGACACAACCTAACCAACTCAACTATCAAACAATCTGTGATCTATATGCTGAAGTCGTTGGTGTATTAGCGCAAAGCCGGTGAGAATTTCTTCGGAGAATCGACTTGTGATTGTCATTTTGATAGATTTTTATCCGTTAAACGACGATTCATGCTGGAATTAAATAACCTACGAAAAGAACCAGCCAGTCCGTCCGTCAATGCAAACATTATTAATTTGAATACGGGAATGAGATTTTTCCGTGTCAAAGTAAATCGAATTGGATGATTGAAAGTTGATCTATTTGTTGAATTAGATGACACCAGTGGAAGATTTTGAGGCTTGCTTTCAATTTCTTCTCGATTTGGCAAATTATTTTCTTGAAGTACGCGAACGTGATATCAAAAATTCGTTGGCAAACCTATTTGTGGAAATTCTTTTACCTGTCGCAGCAGTAAAACTATCGACACCGAAATTTTCTCTCAAACAAAATTTTCGATTGATATTTAGGTCGTTAAACTCGAAATGAACATTCCGATCGTTCGAAACTTTGTTGATTTATTATATTCGCATGTATTGGATCTGTGTTCAAAGAATAAACATCGATTGGTAGGAAACACTTTTCCCAATTAAGTCGGCCTCTATGTCGATCCTTCTAGGCCATGTATCCACTAATGACTTGTTTGTTATGTATCAGTCAGAGACAAATGTTCTTCAATAATTGGAACAAGTTTATGTTACTTTGCTTGGGAAATCTACGTGGCGAAGCGAAATTAGCTCGAGTATCATTGGAATCGCTGTATCGTTTGATCTGGTGAGATGATAAATAAAGATTACGACTGTTTGTGATATTGAAAATGCTCTTCTAGGGTTTATATGGTTCGATTCAAGGGTGAAAATGTTAAAACAACGAATCAGCATTTAACATGTATAGTAAATAGTTTGTTTCCAAAGAGTTTCAAAGCGTTAACACCAAAAGACATTCCATTGAACATTTTTGTTAAAATTATCCACTTCATCTCTCAAGTTTGTTCAAATTCTTCTCCGAAGTCATTTTTCTCTTCTCTTTATTTAAGGAAAAACTCGATTTCGCGATGAAAGACATCATATTCGATCTACTCAGTGTCGGCCGTTGTCGAAACATCATGCCCGAAGTAGAATTCTCTCCAGTTCATTCCATTTCATTCACTTTCCTTTTTAGCGTATGAATGTCGGTTTACGAGCATTCTTAGTCATCGCAGACAGTCTCGCACAAAATGAAGACGAACCCATGATGCCATTGCATAACAGTAAAAGACAGATATTTGTCTGGATTTGTTTTTCATGTATCGAATATTTTCAGTGACATTCCCATCGGGTCATACATTACGTCCGCGACGAACGTGTACAAAGATGATCAGTGATTCGATAGTTAAAGAAATTGGATTGCAGAATTATTACGAACCTATTCGGAAAACATTCGATACTATACTGAAAATGCTCGACACACAGGTTGGGAGATGTTTGTTAGTTACGCGACCAGATAGCGCTAATAAAGATACAGAAGATTTACTAAGGTAAACAAAATAATTTTCAATGGAAAAGTCATCGAGAGTATCTTTTTTAGTGGTGATCGTAAACCAAAAATTGATCTTTTGCGCACATGTATAGCTGCGTTACCACGTCTTCTACCATTAGGAACATCTCAAGATGAATTGATAGAAATGTTAGCGAGATTAACCATACATATGGATCACGAATTAGCTGTGCAAGCATTTCAATCACTTCAGTATTTTGTTATCGAGTTACCTGAATGGAGAAGAAGTGTATTTCGTGGATTCACAAATTATATCCTACGTGAAGTAACCGATCAGTTGATGTTTCTATCGGACACGGGTAAAACAACGTTAGAGCATTCCATGCGCTTCTTATTACAATTGTTACAACAATGGAAACATGTTTTGGTCAATTCGACGAGTAAAGTAAGATATAGAGCGGGAAGGAATACGAGATAATTTCATGAAAAAATTCTAGCAAACACCTAGTCGACCAACGATCTCTCCGCAAACTGATATGGAAACCTTAGCAATGGCGGAAGGATTTGGTATAATTGCACTTTGCCAAACACATCATGTTCGACGAAAATATGGAGTTCTGATCTTACGTGAAGTGAAAAATATTGCAGTCGCATCGAAATGCTTACAAGTAGATAGAATAAGTCAACGTTTACCGATCGATATCCTTCTTTTACTCTAGCCAAATCAAATATGTTTGATTGATATATTGGATGCAGCTGTTCCGACAGTCATCGAGAAACTCACACCGTCATTGACACTTCAAGAAAAAGTAAACTTTTATCCTATTGAATCAGAATTGACCTGGCACGTGTTTTTTTTTTATTAGGCGAATCTGCTCTGTAACTCCACATGTGATTTATCGTGGCTTGTCGATCGTTCCTCAATGTGGGACACTCAAGACGATTTCAAAACCATGCAGTCAGGTTCCGATATGGCTACTAGCACCAACGTTCTACAATCCACGGCATCTCTGAATGTATTGAATCCAAATACCTCCACAGTTTCACCATTAATCAATACAACAGCAACGAACACAGCAGTCACACCATCATTAGCTATCATTCCTCAAAATCAACAAGCTCAACAGTCTCAATCTCAGTTGTCTTTATCCTTGCCGAATTCTTTACAACAACCATCGAATAATTTGCTTGTTTCATCACAAATTATGGCCACAACGAATTCTAATGCATCAACAACAACGTTAACATCGATTACCACACAAAATACAGCAAATAATAACAATTTATCGACTTCATTGACATCGAATGAGCTAAATGCACGATTCGATATGTGGACAGAATGTCTTGCCGAATTATTCGTTTATAAAAATATCCTTCAATGCCCGTTGACACGTATCGAAGCATGGAGAATGGTATTTTTTCGTCTAACACAATTATTTCCATACGTCGACCCGAGGTAAGTGTTCAGCGAAATGAAAAATAGCGAGTGATCTTTGTTTTGTTTAGTAATCAAACAACAGAGAGTCGTTCATCATTTGTCTTTCGTACGAACGATTTTATGAAGAAAGCCAATGAAAGAGAGTACAACCTCAATCTTTGGAAAAATTATTTGATCTGTGCATGTTGTTTAACTATATCTGGCTCTGAGAAATCACAACAATTCAACGTTGATCAAGGGTTTGCATCACGAAACTCTGAATTTACTTTGTTTAAACTTGCTTACATATTAGTGTCTACCAAGAAACGCATCAAGATTCATCGAAATTCTATACTCCGGCATCGAACACAGCTGTATCATTATTTCGCATCGTTGTTAGTGTAAGTTTGATCGTTTATAATTGACTATTACTCGTCAATTGTTTTAGTTGCTGCGCTGTGAAACGAGCGATATACGCGAGATTGTCATTCGAGGTCTTGGACGAACGAATCCCGAAGCATTCAAGTTCGTTGAACAGCAAACAGTTGCACCTTGTTGTATTGCTTTTCTTTTGCAGAGATTTGTTGGAAGATCTAACGATTCATATCAAAGATGCCATGGAAGTTAAACAAGAGAAAGTTCGCCGAATGAAAAGACGAGATTGCATGCGTCTTCGATTGATTCGTATTTTTGAATTACTAGCCGATCGAGATGTATTTCGACATTGGTAAACAAAATTTTCTTCTTCATATTTAGACGTATATATGTGTCTTGTAGTTATTCAAGTGAACCTGAAACAAAACGCTCGTCGTATCAAATTTATCATGAATACCTTCAGGGTGGACTTAGTTATTTGGATTTAGAAAACGAAAGAGATTCGGATCTAGCAACGCAAATACGACAACATTTTGCGCGATTTATCTATAAATTTATCAACCAAATTCCTCGTGCGTATCCATTTGCTGACTACCAATGTTATATAGTTTCTATAAAATCTAGATTCCATGCGAGAGACATTGATTCCACCACAAATCCGTTACAGTTTATTCGAACTATTTCGCAAATGGAGTGGAAATTTGAATATTATGACCGTGTTCGCTTCGACAAAGTATGTTGCCCTGGTATCTGTTGCAGATTGAAAATGTCATTGTGCTTAGTAGTTCGCGAGAACAACGAATAAAATCTGAGCCATGCAGTGAATTGGAATTATTTGCTATTCGAGCATGTGCAGCAACACTGTGTTGTGGAACGATCAAAGATGAATGGTTTCAGAAAACTGTTGCACCTTGGCTTGATCAATTCATGGCTGCACATGAGGTAAAAGCGATTGGCCATATCTATTCTTTTTCATTATCTATTTCTATCATTGTCAAGATATATCCGTCATTTGTAAGTTCAATTTTTCTTTTCAATGAAACAAATGATTTTCTTCAACATAAATGCTCAGCGGACGAAGTAATTGAAGAGAAAAAAAGCGTAATGAAGACTTTTCATGTACAGCTTATTTTCTTCATCTCCCGATATGATTTCTTTTTTGTACGAGAATTTGCAGTGTAGATTCGAAAATACAGGTTTTCGAATCGATCTAACTTCAAAACACGCTATTTTCAATTCGGTGTCGGTCAATATTTACTCGCTGTAGCTCTTTAAATCTTTCACATACAACATTTCGAGGCAAATTTCATTTCTTGTCCTTTACTTTCATTTAGACAAGTCAATTATCGGTTACAACTCTGTTTCAATTACTTGAACTACATGGTAAGACAACAAATACAATGGTTGTGGAATGGGTTATCGATCGCTGTTACACGAAATCAGTCCGATTCAGTGATCGATGTTTCACTGCTCTTGCCAAAGTCTTTATCGAAGTAGCCAAGTAAATCCTTTGCTAACGTCCATCCCCATAAACATACATCTATTCTATTCAAGTGATTATCCATGCGATTTGCCCTCGGTTTTAACCATTGCATTGACGAATGTTGGATCTCCACGAATGCATGTTCATGAGTTAGCATTACGATTGATGGTTGTTCTATGCAAAGGACATCTAAGCGAATCTCAGCCAACAACTAGTCAACAATCGAATGGAATATCATCATCAGATGATATTGCGTATATTATATCACTTGCGTCGAACTATTCCAAGAGTCAAATGATGTTATGCGAATATTTAGCTAGACGTCGACCAGATTTAACCATGGCGATGTTTTCCGGTAAGAAAAAAAACAATCGAAATCTGTGAATATTCTCAATGGTTTCTTTTGAATAGAAATAACGACTCGAATTTTAACAGCAAATCCCAGCTCACGAGGAACTTTATTCATGATTTTATTACCATGGATACACAATATCGAACTCATCGATCCGTCATTATCAAGAAGCGCTCATGGACATGACATTACCTTGAATGAAGAACAAGGCGATGCATTCTTACAAGGAGTCGGCTGGGGTTCAGTACAATCAACTGAACTCGTTCTAAATAATCTTTTTTATTTAACCGCAACAGTATGTTCTGATCTCTATGACAACTCTTACTAAACATTCTCGTTTAGTTCTCTTCTGAGCATGCACCTGAACTTGAACTACTATGGAATGCTCTAACCGGGTAATTTAAATCTTTTGTTTTTCTATTCAAATAACTTCTTCTCATTCATAGAACTTGGTCACATAATCTGAAAGTCATTCTACGTTACATGCTGATCATGATCACTCTTTCTCCATGCGAGCTATTGCCTTACGCTAAAAAGATCATTCTTTACATGTGCAAAAATCATGAAGAACGTTTATTGAATGAATTATTGAACGAATTGCAAATAACGGAATCGTTAAATATTTCCTTGGAAAGAACTGATACGTTGCCATTCTTCCGTTTCAACAATTCCGCAGCAACATTTCTGATCAATAATGCGAACTCGTCACAAATGTCGGGTACAAATACATTTAGAAAATCAACAAATTCACATGAACATCGTGGAATTATTCATACAAAACGACACCATAGTGGCGAAGATAATCTTCAAGAACATGTCTCCTGTTTAAATACAATTAAGATTCGAACATCATCGCAAAATAGTTTATCAACGAACTTTAACGAGAAATTATCAGTCGCTGATATTGAGAAAGGTTTGGAATTTTTCTCACCTAAATTACTTATTCTTCTTGTTGATTTAGATCATTCTATTATGGTACGCGTTGATGAATGCCAACAAGCAGCTCCGTTGCCATTAGCTCCATACGGTGGTACTCCTGCACCATTGAAAACTCTCCTACCCGAGCTGTCTATTCCAATCCCGTGTCTATTTCGATGTAGTATTGCTATTATGCTCATCAACGAATTAATTGTCAGTGGGTTACAAATCGATTGGTCAGCTCATTTACCTCAACTACTACATGTGGCCATGCTCGGTAAGTTGCGTTTTATTTTCTTTAGAGTGAAAATTATCGATTTGTTTGTATATCTTCAGGAATGGACCATAACCGTGCTATTGTCTATGAACATTGTAAAAGTCTTGTGTTTAATCTATTACTTGCATTGAGTGTTCAATCGGAACAAATCTGGTTAAGTGAAATGTTACTTTCTCATGTCGATTGGGATAATAGTAAATTATCAACGAAAATCCGCCAAGAGCGAGACACCAACGGTATCAATGTCAATAATCAATCGCTGTTTGCTGATAGTCTCAATGATAATTCTTCGTCATCAAATAATGAAATGAATCTGACCGAAGTAGATCCGTCAGTATCTCTCTCGCGTGAAGAAGTTGTCCAACGTTTAATTGCTTATTTAAACGTAAAGAAAGGCTGTCCTTTGTGGGCATACGAAGACATCACAGCCCAGGTCCACACTATTCGCAGTTCATTACAATTAACACAATTTGTACAGTGGATTGTCAGCTTATTTCAAAAATGTGTACCACAAGCAATGTTAGAAGAACGTTGGATGGAATTAGCCTTGAGAATAACATTGAGTTGCTCAAGTCGACATTACGCTGGACGATCAATACAGGTATGTTGAATTGATCGCATATGAATAACATCGTTTTCTTTCTCGATTTTAGATTATCCGTGCGTTGGGTTTACCTTTGAATTTTCGTTGGGTTATCGATATTCTCTCTCGATTGGTTGAAACAGTTGCTGAACATAATGATGACATGCAAGGATATGTCACTGAGTTATTATTAACTTTAACGCATAATGTTGATTCAATACACAAACAAATCAATGGATTATTTTCCACATCGATTCCACAATTGTCTCCTTCAAAAGATGTGACCAATTCACATATAGTAAATCCATCTATACTGGCAAATCAGATTGAATCATTGCAAAGTAACACGTTACTACCTACGGATCGAAGACATCATGCTCGAACATTTCATCGTCGATCACGCGATCAACTCGCTATTGTTGTCACCAATTCGGGAATGGCAACAGCACCAACAAGTCCGAGAAACAACAATATTCTTTCATCAACATTAACAAATGGCCACTCCACTACAACAATATGTCCAAGTCTATCGACAACAAATGGTTTTCTCCTTCAACCAACCGATCAACAAACGAACTCCTTGCGATTCAGTCCCGAATCCAATCGAAGTTGCTCGTCAACAACGTCTACATTAACGCGATCACATAGTGCGCAGAACGTTCGTCAACAACAAATTTTCTTTCCTAATCATTCATTGAACAATTCCGTGTCGGCAAATACAAACGACGTTCAAACTCTCGCTGCATCGATTGACGATGCGAAAACTGTTCTCGCGCAATTATTCTGGATCGGAATCTGTTTACTCGAATCTGATTATGAATATGAATTTACCTTAGCGATACAATTATTATCAACAATCATCAATAAAATCCAACTGAATACAAGTGATTACATCGAACGTATTATGAACATACTAAAAGCAATCAAATGGCAACAATTTCCCGGTGTACAAGCGTTAGTTCTCAAAGGTTGCACATCGTCGATCACATTTGACTCCACAATGACTTTGATCAGCTGTTTAACAAACATTTTAACACTACCGTTCATAGCAACAAGCAAATCTTCATTGGCAATTAATGTGATCGCTTTATTGCCGTATATGATGTATAATTACGATAATCAACATGTCCTGTGTGTTCAGGCAGCAGATCAGATTGCACGAATATGTAATGAACATGAAGATAGGGAGAAATTAACCAATTTAGCAACAGTTATGTCATTATACGCACAGGGCAAATTCGGTTCCACAGCATCACAATGGGCGAAATGTGTTCTGAAGTATTTAATTGATGTTTATGCGCAAGAATCGATCGTTTGGGTTCGATTTTTATGCGAAATACTTGACAATGGGCCAGTTTATTTACAAACATCCATTTTAGACATATTCTATCATCTCGTGACACTAACTGATACGAAAGCGTTGAATGACTATGCACTGTTCAATAACGAACTCGTGCGAACATTGTGTAAATATGTCAATAAGACCGAATATTGTACGGAAGTAACTAAGACATTGAAATTATTAATTCAACGTTCATCAACATTGTCAACACCAAAACATATCACTACAAATAGTCATTACAACACAACACCATTGACATCACTCATGGGAGAAGTTCACTTTTTCGAACCACACAAGAGCAGTATTGAATTGCCAGGTAAGTGCAGTCTTAAATAATCCTAACGATCATTATTTCGCTTGAATAGGTCGAACACTGGACATTGAATATAATTTATCGAATATCATGACTGCGATTAAGAATAAAGAGCAACAAAATCACAATGTCTTGAAGTTTTTACCTTCGGCAACTACGATTAATAATCGCCGTCGACATACGTATCTTGGCGCAGCTATGGCAGCGACTGAAATGGATATAACCAGTTGGAAACAAAACGCAGCTCAATCACAAGTTTGTATCATAACTGTTTTCTTTCAATTCTTTCATCTTATTCGTGATAATTCAGGCCAAAACTCGCGAACATTTAACTGCATTGATGCTTGCATGCGGCAAACAAGCAGGTCTATCACGATTACCACTGAATCGTAGTGCCAGTGTAAGTAAAATCAAAGAAGAATTGGCGGTTTCATATGGAAATTTTTCTATTCGAACAGGTTGTCTTCAGTCAAACAAGTGATTTAGCCGAACAACCACCTATGGGTAGTTTACCAAGTTCAAGCAAAGAATCGATGACATCGGAAAATGTCGATCAAACCTTCATATCGAAACAATTCGATTTCTTAAATGACGAAGTATATTAATTAACACACAGGATTATTTGTACACGTCTATCTATATTCTCTCTCTGTCTGTCTAGGATTCTCTTCAAGAAATGTTTCCAATTACAACCGATGGTCCAGATTTCGGCGATGAAGACGACGGTCTGATGACGTCTTTTGACGATAATCCAATACCGGTTGAACCTGAGGTATAATAAACTCGATTTATTTGAGAAAAAAAGAGACTTGGATATCATATTTTTCCACTAATTTATTTCATTAACTAATCATACCTATTCGCTTTAGCCACGTCGGAATAGTTTAAGCAATACACTTCGAAATTTATCGACAGTTGGAGAATGGTTTGATACGTACCGCATCAAATCCAAACTTCGCGGAAAATTACCATCATTCGCTAGTCCTAGTGGAAGCAAAGTGCCTAGTCGCAAGGTTGTTTTGCAGTCTTACGTTTGATTACTCTTTCCTTGTTCTTCTCTTGTTTGCTTTTCGTCTACTTATCGTCCTAACTTTCACTGCACAAAACTTCCTTACTTCTCTCTTGTGCCTCTTTACCGCAATCACTTACCGCTTAATATCAATCAGCTTTTTGTTTCGTAACAATCTTCCATTTCGCTCGGAATTTTACTCGCAATCGTTTGCTTTTCTTTGTGTTTTAGCCAAGTGCAAGTGACTTTACACATATGACTGATGTTGTCGTCGATACATCACGACAAATGCACGAATTTACATCGGCGATGGATGCATCAACGACAACAGCTCCTACCACTGGACGAGAAAGAACAGGCGTTTCTGCTAATTCGTAAGTAGTCTTCTCAATTGCACAGAATCGATTGATATTTCGCTCGATGAAAATATTAGCATGTTTTGCTGAGTGTAAAAACCAATTTTTTCTTATCTATACAGCCCATACGTGGTGGAAAAGCTAGAACCACAAAAACGTAAAAGGAGAGCACCGAGTAAATCGTCGCTATCATGGTCTCGGTATGTGTTTATCTGTGCAAATCACCTGTGCTTTCATCTACTGTTTATCAGTTATATCTGCTTTTCCTTATAATTGTCTACACGACTTTCATCAAAGATCAAGAACACTGGATGATCATTTGTTTGTTTATCGATTTCAGGGAAGACATGCCGGACTTGACGGTCACTCACACGCATCATCCAACTAGATTGTTGCACGTTGTGACCATGAATAATGAATATATAGAAGATGCTTGGCAAACACACGCAAAGAATTTAATCGATGAAATCAATCCATCAGATAGTGTTAAGACCTTCTTATTATTTCGACGCTTATTCAAAGTAAGAATTTTCCGTATTTCACGCTTTAGTGGAATATTTGATTTCTCTTTCAAAAGGAAATCCGACGAAGATTATCGATTTTTGTTCATGAAACATGCCACTGCCTTTCAATGGACAATCGCTTTCGACAAATGGTGTCCCAACTGAGTTCGTTATTGATTTTTCCCATCAATATTTTCTCATTATTAGTAACTCTGTTTATCTTTTTTAGTTCATATGTTGAATGTCCTAATGGAAAGTCTCGATTGCACGTTAGTTTTTGCTGATGAAAATATCATGAACATCAATCAATTATTGATTAAACATCGATTAATAATAACAGAATTGAATGAGAATTATACGAATTATATCTCGAAGAAAGCTTTGGCTATCGACTGTTTGGACTCGATAAAAGCGAATTTGAAGTTGCAATCATTAGGAGAACGCGGCTACGACACATTCGTTTCAAACGAACAAAAAGTTCACATGTGCAAACATCTTTACAGTAAGTGAAATCAATTCGCGTTCAATAAAACATCAAGGACATTTACCAAAAAAACAGAAGAAGAAGTGATTCTTTTCTTTCGATACTTACACATTTCCACCGTCGCCTAGTGTGTCGGGACGTTCAGATTAAAATATATGTCAAATGTCAATGATCGCCATTGTGTGATGTTGAATGATTACATAACTACGAAGAAATCTGAACCGTGTGTTCGTACCCAAAACTTTCTCATCTATCAATGTGCGTTCACATTCATGTGATAGATTGAAATTGCATACCGAACGAAGAAGAAAAAGATATTTCAGTTCTATGAATAATAATTATTAAGCCTATCAAATTCTTTTGCGTTGATAGTTGAGAAAGATGACACTTACGGTGCGTCAAGTATGACGCACATTTCGACTTCAATATTATTTATCGTGTAACATGTGAAATAGTATTTGACTTTTGTATTGTATTCTTTCGTTTAGATTTGTTCTTTCAAGTAATCACATTAGCGGAAAGCTATTCGAAATTGGTCAGTAATTTGCTATCAGTGACACGCGATCCAGTAATGAACATTCGAAATCTGTCGTCGGAATTCACCATAGCGTGGAATGGTTTAAATGATTTCTTGAATGATCTTCGCTCGGGTAAAGAAGATCAGCCAACGATCGAAACAAACAATTTGCCAAATCGCGACACGGCAATTGCGTATATCTTTCAATGTTTGCATTCGAATACATATTCGAATGCAATCAAATACCTTCGATCAGCAAGGTAAATCAGGCGAATAGTTGATGGAAATCTAATTTTGTGATGCTCTAGATCACTTTGGCCAGATGATTTTGGAGATGAACACAATGAGATTGATGTTGCGCTGACAATTTTGTACGAATCATTGAAAAAAACTCATAGAACAGCGAGTATGTCTAATTGCATTCGCGAATCTCCGTTGTTGTACGTTTTCTATCTAGATTTACTTGTTATATTGCAACAAACTCCACCAATCGCGGACGCTTGTCATCGATTATACGAACTTAACCTAAAAATTCTTTCCTCGACACCTGATCCATTATGAGAAAACGAAACTTCAACCTAGTATTCAATCGGTGATAATTATATATTCTTTTTCTTTATTCAATGAATGTAATTCGCTTTGTACGTGCGTGTGTTTTTTAATCTAAATAAAAAAATATGCCAAAATCAGAATTTTTCTCCTTCATCAAAATATCGGCGCAAGACAACTTCAAATTGCAGAACAGAAAAATATTGATGCATGATCAAAACATACATGTCTAAAATAATCTGACATGATTTTTTTGCTTTCGGAAGGTGTTATATTCAAATAACAGATGAAAAAAAGTACAAATAGGAAATAAGGTTATCGAATGGCAACGAGTCAATAAAAAAACATGTACTCAAGAAGAAGGGACAACGACAAACTTTCGTTTGCTGGAATAGTATAGACATTAGTATCCGTTATATGACTCATGACAAAAATTAACAGTAAGTTTTTCTTTTCTTTTCTCTCTCTCTCCAGTTTCAATCGTAATGATTGAAAAACTTATTTTTTTCCTCTTTGTCGCTAAGCAGTCGGTCAGAACAGTACTCGCGTTGTTTTCCTGTTTTTTTTTTAAATATTATAACAGAGTATTGGAAGAAACGAGAGCAGATGGCGGAGTCGCCTGAAAATTTCGATTCTTTATCGCAAAGATCGCCCGTTCAGCTATCTGCAAAGCAACTTCACGCCAAACGATTTCATTCCCATTCGTCTCATGATCAAAAGAAAAAACCTCCACTACGAGAACAAGTATCCAAAACGCCAAAGAATGCTGTCAAATTGAAACAAGCAGCCATACCGGTTCATTTCACATGGGCGTTGATCCTTACTATTTCATGTTTCTTTCTTATCGGGCCCATTTGGACATTGTATAAAACGATTCAGTTGCGTCGAATGATTGAACGACGAGAAGTGGATGCTGCTGCACGTTTATCCCATAAAATTACAACTGTATTAACTATTTTAACGGTGCTCGGCGCTTTTGCCTGGGTGGCGATTCTTTTTTGCACGGTGGGATTAATTTTAACTGGTGTTTTACTTCAGAAAAAGTTGATATAATCTCAAAACATGATATTTGCCCGAATTCGATCAATCGAAAAATAACTTGTGATTAATTTCCGATTAGTTTTCTTTTTTTTAATATTTGTCTTTCATTTCAAAACTTTCGGAACTAATACTTGTCATTTCCGGTGGATAGAATTATGTTGATAAAACCTTCTCAAGATAATAAACATGAATTAGCTCGACTAATATTAGATTACACCTGTCTGACACAAGAATAAACAAAAGAATATGGAAATGGTAACTCATCTATTATGAATTCTCTCGGAGAATAGAATAAATCTGTCTTTTGTCATTGAAGTGCGCATCATAATCGCTTTATTCACAAACTTTTGTCTAAATATACCATCGTTACCGAGAGTCGCAAGCAAAACAAAAAAAGGTGTTGTTATATCGAACTGTAATTAATTTTTAAACTTATATTTATAAAATTCTCTTACTGATAAACTATAACGAACGTGTGCGTGTTTGTGTAGGCAAGACCAGCAATTATTGTTGATGATAACATCTCTGCAATCATAAGAGATTTCAATCGTATTCAGAAATCAGGAAAAAAGGCGACAAGAGACGTCTTCCTGCTTCAATGATAGTAATGTCAACATCAACTAACAAACTAAGTCTACTGAAAGTAACGAGCGACAGGAGAGATAGTAGTCTATGTTTTACGGGGAAACGAAAAGGAGGCAAAAGGCATTTTGAGGTATTACAAATGGTTTTAGATAAATAGTTGAATATCTTGAAATGGTGTCAACTATTTGACAGTTAACGGAAACAAATAGTTGGACTTGACGTGCTCTAAGGGCAAACGCATAGATAAATAGAAAATAGACACTTCGGAATAGTAAAAATATATCGAAACATTTGAATTGTGTGTTTTCTTCTTTGCACGGGCTGTCATATCTTGTCATGATCCCTTCTTTTTTTGAAAGTACTGCAGAGTATCGCATCAGTTTCGGCATAAATAAGTAAATAGGAAGTATCTTATTCCTTTGTCGAAAAGAAGTGAAAATAGAATGATCTCATATTCAATTAACTTTTCTCATTTGTGTTAAAAGCAACTTTTTAGTGAAAAGAAACCTGCTGTCATCTTCTTTTTCTTACAAATCCCGAGGAAATTGAAGATGAATAGATTAACAATAGATTTGAGTAGGGAGGAAGGCGGAAGAAAGAAAAAGAAAACTTTTTCACGATTCTGATGCGAGAAATTAAGAGAAAACTTTCTAATTTAATATAGATAGAGATAAATTGACTTTGGATCAAACAGATACGCGAATACTGTTGACATGTCATTCTTCCGTCGTCATTTTCTTCGATCGTGCTCAAAGCTGCGCTTACTTTTCTAGCGAGACAGACTTGTGATTGCTGTTACCTCATTTTTCCTATATGAACTTCAATGAACATAGATGATCGATACTCGGTCGAACATCTATTATTCATTCTCGATCGTCATCGGTTCGTTTCGCTTAAGTAATTCGAATGCACCTGACATATCCCAGTTCTTTTCTTTCGAAAGAAAAAAGAGGTGGGCGTACCCATCATCAACTGTCTTTCTTTGTTTTAGGCATATCAACGAGTACATCTAGTTTGATCTAAATCTTGTAGGAAGGAAATAATTATTCACAGTAGTTCCTTTTTCGTCACTATTGATAGCGAGCAGAAATGTCTCTTCTCCACATCGATATGTTGATCTCCGCAAGTAAGTTTGAAAATGCTATTGAGTCGCGAATTTCTTCGATTTCTGATGAGGAGAAGAACACAGATCGAGACATATCTTTACATTCAGACTTCTCATCAAGTAAACGTGCTGATGAATGGCAATAAGTCCAGGTTAAGGAAAGCACTTTTTGCGTCATTTACGTCACTATGTCATAAATAAAAAGAAAAGGGATTTTATTTTGATGTTTACCTAAACGTTTCAACGCTATTAAGAAGAGTTGATCAATAATTCAATACTTCCATTTTCTCATCGCGTTTTTTCCTAAAACAACAGTGCGTGCTGCATCGATTTAAATGTTCATATCTATAATATTTTCATGACATTAGGGTTCACTTCGAACTATGGTGTGTAACTCAATTAAGTTCTTTCGAGTCAGTATATATTACACCTACCTTTTTCTTCTTTGCCTCCATTGCTTTGTTTACGGAAAAACCAATCAATCAATCGTTCCATCTCCATGCATCTTCTCTCTTTCTTTTCTTCGACACGATCGATCAGTGAGAAGTCGAGTTAATCACAATAAATGTTCTATCAACACAATGGTGTATATACATCCGCACACATTGTGCTCCAAGTCTTGTTTTTTAGTATAATATTCATTCAACGTAATGCCAAGTAAATTCAATGGAGTCTGAGTAGATTATCCTATAATTTCTCGAAGGTCTTCTTACCTTTCACTGTGTATCTGTGCGGATTAAGATTATGACTGAACATTTGTATGGCGTCGAGCATTTTCTGTGTAGGTTTTTTTACGTGATACAAAATCTGACTGCACAGAAGAAATTCGTCCGTCGAAAATCCTCGTTATTTTCTCGATTTCGATGTTAAGTCTATTTGTTAGTGAAGATGTTTCTGCGTAGGTAAAAATAAATGAAGGAAATTATATATTTATCCTGGTTAACCTTTGTTTTGCCTTATTTAACATGGAATTTATATAAAGAGTCAGTCGTGTTGTTGTGCTAGAACACTCCTATATGATTTTGATAAGAAAAGAAAAGTCTTTTTCTGTGATTGAGAGATCGAATGCAAATCTTGATTTGTTACTTGTTGATTTGACATGAGATGTCATTACTATTACTATTGAATGACAAGATCTATTAGTCTCAGTGATTTTTCTCTCCTGATCGCATGTTTTTTTTCTCATTTTTTGCCACCTTAATCTATTCGAAGATGCTGTGCAGTCTTAGTTTTCTTTATATGTGATATCAATTCGCTAGAATTGATGGGTAGAGCGGGGGAAACAATGAATGCTCGAGATGAGAACTTAGCTGTTTGTCCTGTTCTCTGTTATTGTCAGTTGATTTCAATAGAAGGCGGTATTAGAAACATAGAATAGAAAAAAACAAAAAGAATTGCAATTAATGTCACATACAAACGTCAAAACGATAGTCTCCTGCTGATTTCTAAACTTCTCTACATTTGTACGGGTTTGTGTGTGTATCTGTATCACCTCAAGAGAATTTTAAAGTTACAACAAAAAACTAAGCACGATAGATCTGAAGAATAAGTATAACTTGTTTCATGTCATGATTTTCCATTTTTTTTTCTCTTTGAAAAGTTGTAAGGACAGCGTCATCGTCATCGTCTATCCTCACATTATGCTCTTGTTCGTTTTTTTTTCACAACAAAACTGGAAATGGCTTGAGGACGCCATTATCTAAAGTATATTTGCTTATAACTTCATTTCTATCATTCGAAGAACATTTGCTCTGAGGAAATATATATATATAGTTTGATATTCTATATTTATTTAATGTACTTTATCAAACTTGATTATTGAAGTTCGAATTCTCTTTTTCTTTCTGTTTCAGAACATCCGACATATTGCTAATTCCTCAACCTTCCTACACAATGTTATTTGATATTCTGGCCGTGTTCGTTGTTACACTTATTTCGACATTGCTTTTATGTACGACATCAGTGCATGGTCTCCCAAAATTACCTTCAACCCACCATCATCTTACCCAGAAGAATCCATCTGCTGACTTATCTTCTCCACTCAGGCCCCTACACCAACCTCCCATCCCGCATGTCGATTATGATTTAGGCGGTGATACTTCTGAAATGTTGTCTGGCGAAAGCAACGAATACTCAAGAATGAAAAATCTTAACGACGACTTATCATCATCATCCTCTTTAAGTTCTTCGATTCATGCGTCTGATGTGCCATTCGATTTCTATCTTCAGCAATTACCGTCGAAATTATCGTCTAGAAAATTCTTCTCATCGTTACAAAAGCATCAGCAACATCAAGGAGAAAAGCAACAAAAACGAGCCAGTTCGCCGTCAATCAGTGCACCGCCATCATTGCCAATAGATTTCAATCTCGATGCAGCTGCTGTTGCCGCAGCAGCATTGGCTGATCCATCTGATCCAAGCAGCGTTGTCAATCTCAGTCGATTGAGCGAGTCAACACGTTTGTCACCTTCACTCAAGGTTTTGGTCGAAACCAATCCAATTGCGCGCGCTTGGCTTACAATGCTTTTACAAAAAGTTATGGAAGAACAGCCAACACCGTACATATTCAAGTACGGCCGACGTCGCAAGAAATAACTCACTTCGAACAAATCTCTCATCTCAAATAAAAAATATCCACCGACGAAAACACGAGCTAAGAGGTTATTTTTCTCATCACTAGTTTGACAACACATTTCAAATTTTTTTAACATCATTATAATCATCATCATCATCTTTTTCTTCTTCTTCTTCATCTACTTCATCAGCGCCAGCATTGCGTTTTAAATGTGGTTAAGATGCAGAATAAAATTACTCCACCCGAAATTGAATTTTTCTGTTCATCTTCGGTTCACTAGGAATTCCATCTAAGGTACAGGGTCATCAATCATCTTAAGTTATACGAAAAATTCTTCTCTGTCATGCAGATGAGTCATTCACAACGTATCAGCAGGTATGAACACAAGAAAAACAACGGACTATCAAGTGTTGTTATCCCTTAATGATGCAATCAATACTTCTGTTCTATTATTGAATCGGTAGTTGTATATCTTGAGACCGAGATGTGAATAGAGTGAACCTCTCCAATTTCCATGACGTCAGTCGAATGAAAACACTTTTAACAATCTTCAAGCTAATTGCGTAGAAAATATCCTTTAAAATGAACATCATAGCATGGTTCATAAGATATTCTTAAACACAGTTTCCATGTGAACTTAATCGATGGGTTTTCACTTCTATTTGACAGAAAATCAACAAATAATTTATCTTGTCAAATGGAATAATCATGTATCGCAATAAACTAATTTCATGTTAGTTTCTTATAGAAATTTTCCTGTTGGAAATTATAGGACACTTCCAATAATTGGCGTCTTTGGAAGAAAAACTAGTTCAAGACTATGCAGGCGTTCGGACCTACCAAGCTCTTTCATAAATTTATATGTCATTAAATCATGTCCCTAAAATACCTATCACCTTCTTTATTAGTTTTGATGTCGAAATCTATTTGGAAACGAGTGACACATAAATAGTTAATGTCAACATCAGTCAACACCGATTATTTGTACGAATAAAATAATTAAAGATGTGATTATCGTGTTCCATTCAACTACGAATTGGTTCTGACAGATTTGTTGCAGAGCTGATTCGTCATTATTCGTTGAAACTCGATCCAAAGATATGACTTTATACTCGAAATAAATAAAACAAGAGATCACTCTAATACCGAACTATGTGCATAGACCAAGTACAACTTCATGTATTTTAGTGTCATTTTTAATCAATGGCTTCGCATAAAAAAACACTGCTAAATATACTATAGAAACATGTCGATGGCCTGGCTAAACCTATTTATAATTCCTTTCTAGTGTTTGACTAACCCTATCCGCCTACGCATTCATTTTCACACAGAATCCCGAGAGGACAAGCAAGGATAGTGATATAAGACATCATGTCTATTGAAATGCTTCGAACCATATCAGAAAAAGTACTTGCATCTGAAGTATAATCGTTCTTTCTCTCATTTCCGTATGTTTTTAAGACTTTTAGGTTCATTTCGTTCGCATGATTTCCTCAAGAAGTAACACCCACTACTTAATTGCGTCATTGTACTTTGGAACACAAAAGCAGCTCTTCTCATCATCTCACCTCAATACTTATTACTAAACACTTCACCGTGTGTGGATCATTTTTGAACAAAAGCGTAAGATCCAATGTAGACATACGCCATCTACAACAAGTATCAAATACGAACTTTCTTTTCATCAGTATTTTCCATTTTCAATCAAATAATTCAAACTAACCTTTTTATTTTTTTTATATAGTATTCGGGAGTATGCTTCTAGACAGAAAACTCGGCAGATGTCGCTACACACATCTCATAAGACGCGATATAGATGTTCGAATCATCGAAATAATTCTGTTGACTGAAAAAAAAACAAGAAAGTATCTACAATCATAACAAACTTACTCATAATTATCTAAACAACGTGAGTAATCTAGTTTATATAACGTCATTTCAACTTTATCTCGTTGTTCTTCTTCAAAGCTTCTCATCTTTTGATAAATATGAGTAAAGCAGCAATCGATAACAGTAACATAATCGAAACAAATAACGACGCATGTCAATGTAAACTGTTTGCTATTGAACGTGGCTATTGGAAAGATCCGTATTTGAAACTCTTAGCTCATTCAACTCAGCATGAACGTCGAACACCGGAAATAAGCCTTGGTTATTACGTACGTGTGTATGGACTTCGTTCTTTAATTGAAAAATTCATCAAATTAACCAATGGTCAATGTCAAATAATCAATCTTGGCTGTGGCTTTGATACGACGATATTCTATTTATTAGATAACGAAAATCTGAAGTTTAAACACTTTGTTGATGTTGATTTCGATGAACTAACGGAGGTGAAGTCAATGCGAATTCAACGCGTGCCATTTCTTCAAAAGAAATTCTCACAAGCAAATCAATCACTCAAGATTCCCTGTGGCTTTCATTCGTCGTTATACACAATCTTACCAGCTGATCTCCGTGACATAACCCAATTAGATAGTCAATTGAAACGTCTTTTCGAACATGGAATTCTTGATTTGACGTTACCAACAATCTTTATCAGTGAATGCGTTTTAGTCTATATGTCCAATGAGCACTCATCAAATTTGTTAAGATATTTATCTCAAACATTTTCTCAATGTTGTTTATTTGTAAATTTCGAACAAATCAATATGAATGACCGGTTCGGACAGATTATGATCGAAAATTTGAAACAACGTTCATGTCACTTAGTTGGAATGGACTCGTGTCAAGATAAAACTAGTCAATGTCAACGATATCTCGATGCAAATTTTACATCGGCGCAATGTGTGACGCTAAATGAGTATTATCGAAAGTATTTGAATTCCAACGAGAAGCAACGCATCGAACATATCGATGGAGGTTTGGATGAGAAAGAATTGTTAGAACAATTATTTGAACATTACTGTTTTTCTTGGGCGTATCGAGATGAGAAGAATCTTGGTTTAAATCGAATAGCATTCGAATAAATGTTGACCGGTTCGCTTTTTTTATTTTTAGATAAACATGAGTTTATTTAGTTTATCAAATACAAAGATTTTTGATAAATTGCTAGAAAAAGCGACAAGTCCATTGTTGCTCGAGCCCGATTGGGAATCCGTTCTTCAATTATGTGACATCGTTAAATCGCAAGAAGTTCCGTAAGAGATTTTATTTGATTGTTTGTCGTCGACGAATCTTCATTTCTCTAGTGCAAAATACGCCGTTCAAGGAATTAAGAAGAAATTCGGTCACGAAAATGCCCATGTTATCCTCAGTTCACTTCAAGTGAGTTCTAGACTAAAAATAGACTTGTCACTTCCAGGAGATCTAGCTATTCTTAACTTAATCCAAAACATTCTCGCCCAGTACAGATTTATCATTAATCTATTAGTTTTCCCAAAGCTTGACAAAATATAGACAGTGCCGAGAGGCGTGTTAAGATAACAAATAACAGCTGTTCTGTATTGTCTTTCATTAATTGCGATTGTTTCTAAGTAGTCTAGAATAACAACAAATTTACGTTGATGAGCACAATTACATCTTTTGTACTTGTTTCAGTGTTTGGAATCTATAGTAAAGAATTGTGGTGGAGCTGTTCATAAAGAACTCGCTCAACGAGACATGGTCGAAGCATTACGAGAATTAGCAAAGAATGGGCCGGATGTGATTCGTGATAAAGTCTGTGAATTGATTCAATGTTGGTCTCATGGTCTCGGTATGTTCCTTTTTTGTAAAATCACCCTCGTATTCGACAGTTTTGTTTCAAGGTCAACAGTATAAGATCTTCACTGACACTTACAATCTAATGAAACTGGAAAATTACCGTTTTCCGCCGTTGAAAGAAAGCGAAGCTATGTTTGAAAATGGTGACATAGCCCCTGAATGGCGCGACGATAAAGAATGCTTTCGCTGTCGACAAGTCTTTACTACATTCATTCGAAAAGTAAAGCTCGAATTCAATTTCTTAAGCGTTTGTCGTGACTCTCTATTGTAGCATCATTGTCGAGCATGTGGTGATATTTTCTGCGACAAATGTAAGTAAAAAAGAAAGAAATATTGGAATAATTCTCGATTTAAACATGGTCTTAGGCTCATCCAAACAATGTCCTGTTCCCAAATTTGGCTTTGATCGCGATGTTCGTGTTTGTGATGCATGTTATGAAAAACTGACAACAGGGTACATATTTAACAAAATTTTAACTTCTATGTGATGTGTATCATTGACTTTAGAGCGCCATTAGCTTCCAATCCAGTTCCAAAACCAATCACAACAACAAATACAACGAGAACGTTATCATCGTCTGCTCCACCGGTAAATGGATACGACTTTGAATAGAATCAGCAGTTTGTTCTCATATGGCATGTTTAGACGAAAAGTCAAGCAGAAATCGACGAAGAAGAGTCGTTTCAATTGGCATTAGCAATATCACAAAGTGAAGCGGATGAAAAAGAAAGGCAGAAAAAGATGCTAACACAGAAATATGCGATGTCAAGTTTTCTGACAGCACCAACAAACAACAACAACAGCAACAACAATTATAGCACACCAGTAACTACTCAAAACTCCTATCCAATAATTCGATCACTTATCATTCTTATTTCTAGAGTGTCTCGGAAACTAACAATGAATATTCTGAATTAACAAAATACATCGAACGAGGACGCCGAGAACAGCAACAGCAAGAACAACCAAACGGACTCAATGTTTCCAATGGACATACAGTTGAAGCACTTGCACCACTACCTGTAATTAAAAGCCAATCCTTTTCTCCATTAATAACATAATCTATGACATCATTTAGGATGAATTAAATAAATTTATTACCGACAGAGAAATCGATCAATTTACATCACTTGTGACGGATCATATCAATAATTTCAAATTTCGAATGTTGAGCAATCAACAACGAAGTAGAAATATCACAACAGATACGGCAGTACAATCCGTGTTTGTTATGCTTCAACATCTTCATCCTGAATTACATCGTTACATGCAATTATTAGAGGATAAACGAGGTAGATTTTCTCTGTATAATTCTCAATCTCCACCAAGTTTCTGACTTTGTTCTTGTTCTCATTTAAGCCTATTTCGAAAATTTACAAGATAAATTAAATCAATTGAAAGATGCACGTGAGGCATTAAATGCCTTACGTACCGAACATTACGAAAGAAAGCAACAAGAAGCTTTAGAACGTGATCGGCAACGGCAAATTCAATTAGCGCAAAAACTTGATTTTATGAGACAAAAGAAACAAGTGCGTTCTTTTTTTTTACTCGGATATTAATATTCATAACCTTTGTTCAGGAATATCTTGAGTACCAACGGCAAGTTCATCTTCAGCGTTTAGCTCAACAAGAACAAGAAATGAAAACCCGCCTTGAACAACAACGACAGTTAACATTAGTTCGTGAACAATTGGCACAAAACCCTCAATTGGTAGAAAATTATTTTTTTCTCAAACTAGAACGTACTTAGTCATCATCCTCGATTCATAAAGAAAGCGAATCTTTCTATCCGAGTTGATAGATAAAGTACAAACTTCCTCTCAGAATACAGAGCTTTCTCAGATATAGAACAAAAACATCGGGAACATTTTTTTAAAAAGTCAGGAGTAATAACCCGATCGATCGACCACTTACATTAATGCTTTTTTCTCTCATGATATTTTATTTTATGACAACCTATTCTATCTTCTAGCCAATGGTACCGTATGACTATGGTCAGTTACCACAATCGAATCTTCCTTATCAACCGCCATATACAACATTGCCGCCACAAGCATCATTCATGGATCCAACAAGTCAGCACTCACTTGGGCCCTCATTTCCAGCCCAACCACCTTTACCTCCGACTCACTATCCACCTATGATGATGTATCCACCAAAAATGGATGCGAATTTATTACCTCATGTGCCAACTTCATTACCATCTATGCATGCAATCCCGTACACAACGGGAGTCAATGGAGGTATTTGTTTTCGTCTGTTCTTAAAAAAACTTTGATCATCGGGAACGAAAGTAATCTCAGACACGTATCGGTATCGAAAGCTATTTCAGTCATTAATAAGATATTTATCTCTCGATAAAAGAATATTTTGATTCTGACTCATGTTTCTATTTCTGTCTCGTAGATAACAACTTCACTGTATCTTCTGGCACAGTGCCAATGACTAACAATGTGAATATGTCTTATAATCAACAAGCACCACAGCAACAGCAGCAGCAGCAGCAACAACAACAACAACCACCACCGCAGCATCAATCGGCTCCTGTTGTCAGTGAAGAAAAACCTGAACTACAATTGATATCTTTTGATTAAGCATTTTTCGAGAACTTTTTTACCATTTAAGTGCAATCATTTTTCATTTCTTTTCTTGTCGTTTGCTCTCAAAATATTTTTATGATTATCCTGTGTATCAAACAAAGAATGTTCTTTTAAAAAAAAAAACAACTACAGCCAAAAATAATATTATTGAAGTGTCTATTCGATTTTCGTCTTGTGACTCTAAACTTTCTCTACTAAGACCAACGGTGTCCTTCGAGGACAGTCGGATATTTGTTCGCTTTCTCTTCCTTNTTAATCAAGATATATAGACTTGTTTTTTTGCATCGTTGTATCATAATATACAGACTATATCTGTGTGAACAAAAAGAGACAACACGGATACCCTTCCGTGTTTGTCTTTTCTTGTTTGTTGTATAGCGAATTTTTGTTCGTTTTTCTCCAGTGTATACATTGATTAACACAGTAAAAATGAACAACTAGATTCTATTTATGATCAGTGCGACTGACTGGAAGCTTGTTTCGTTTATGTATTTTGTTTGTTTCAAAATAAAAGTTAAGAAAAAAACCCATACACATTCTTATTTTGTCTCATCTACTTCAAATGAAATGTTTGCCTTGTGCGAGACACAAAGGAATACAATGTGTTCGTTTGGAATTACTCTCCTCTTTTTTTTTGTCAGGTACACAAACTAGTCTCATTTCTATCCTCAAGGAACACGAATAAATGAACGATGCTAAAAGCTGTGAACGGATGATTAAAAGAGCTGACGCTGTTATAGCATCAAACATCCTCTTCAAAAGAAGAAAATCGCATTCATTTTCATCGTAATCTTACTGTTCCGAATGTACGCACTAATTGATCATGTTTTACTTGAGTTTGCCAGTATTTTTCTACTGATAGAGATATTTATTTATGTATAAATGATGTTTAGCTATGAGACAAGTCAGTCATGTGAATAGATACTGCAAGGTTATCCAATATTGATCAATAATATTCCGATCAATTTTTAGTAAACACATTTGTTTACTTGTCTAAAGAACTTTCTAGAATGTCTCAAATATGTTCGAATATAAAAGTGCTTGAAATCTTGGAAAAAACAAGTTTTTCATATGAGAAGCATAGGTGTAATGTTCGTTTAATCGATCAATATTTCTTTTGGATAGTAACTATATCGAGTTCCAAAAATAACTAGATGTCGCTGGTTATTTAATATGCAAAATAGGGTGATTTTCGTGAAATTTCAATTTGAGGGTATTGAATTACAATTTTTATCAGTTAAATTCAATATTGTCAGTCGTCGAGTACTTCAATTCACTTTTTATTTGTCTGGTTCAACCCAATCGAATTCTTACCGATTGTTTGTTTGTTTTGAATTATAAAATTTTGTTTATTGAACTTTTTTTGCTAAAAGACTTTGAGAAATAAAAATTGTTCATGATGAGCACTGTTCATATGCACGAGACACATACTAATGAGGAATATCTCAATTCGCGTGAAGGCCACCGACAACGATATCCATCGACGAATTCGTCAACACCGAATTCATCTGGCGGGGACAGACAATTTCATTTTTCGAATACCAATGAACGGTCAGTTAGCTGATTCAAAGTGTATTGTGTGAAACATTGAAGTGAATTTTCTTTTCAACAGATCAGGACAAAATTCGAGAACGAGTTCATTTGCTGAATCGATTACAGCATCAATTAATACCGAAGGTTTTTCGAATTTCAGTGATATAATTCAACATTTACAAACAGGTATATTGGAATTTCTAGAGAGTTTGAGTTCTCCATTGACATTTTTTCTTTCTCAGTCTGGCTCGATCACAATAATCATGATAGCTCACGTCGACCTGCGAACTCGTCGTCAACAACGTCTACTCATGCGCATCAACATCATTCTAAAGGATATCCACAATCAAATTCATCATCTCAACAACATTATAATCATCATCAATTAAACCAACATTCCGGACAGCAGTATTGGAATACTTACAATAATCCTCGTCGATCGGGTAATGGAAATTATACACGGAATTATAGTGGAGGAAACAATGATGTCTATTGGAATCCTAAACACAATCGATTCCCATCGCATCGTTCGATGAATAATCTCATGACAAATGCCGTTAATTACCAACAACAATCCCAATCTTCACCACCAACTCAACGTCGACAAGGCGATCAGCAATATTACCACAATGAACAACAGCAGCCATCACAATCGTATTATAAAAGTAAATTTTGCTCCTAGAGAAGCATTTTGCCAAAAAATATTTTTCTTCAGAAAACCGTTCTGATCACGATCGTCGGCAAAATGGTTATGCGATGCATCAGCAGCAACATTCAGTCGAGTATTCCACTAATAATCCTTCATCTGAACAGTCAAACATAAGCTCAACTCAGTCATACCCGAGTAACTTGAATTCCTACAATAGATAATACTTTCGTCTTATTTATCATAATCCAGTACCTCGAAATTTTTTTATTGTGCCCATTCGTTGTTAAATATAAACCTTCCATTTTTTTTGTCTTTGTCAGAGCTCGAACACTCTATAAACTACCCTTTTCACGTCGAAAATATCACTGTTGCCCTTTACTCTTTACTCTCTCGGTAGTTACGTAGCCTTTTTTTTTCTTTTAGTTAAGCGTTCTTTTGGTTGTCAGGTGTACATATATACATATATATAAATTTATTTATTTCTGTTTTTTCTCTCTTTTCATGTTGTGCTCTAGTAAGATTATTTTATCGGAAATTTTCTCTCGTTTTTTATTATTATTGATGAATCTATTGCTAATGAAAAGAGAACGAACAACATTTGAAATTTTTACCTATTCTTTAGATCATGAATCGATTCTTCATCGGAATTGAAGGCGGAGCAACTAAAACTGAAGGAGTGCTGATCGATGAAAATGGGAAAGTTTATGTGACACTACAAACAGGGCCCTCGAATCCTTGGGTAATACGAAATGATTCATTTCGCTCGGATTTCTGATGATTTTTTTTCTTCTGATTTGAAGGTAAGCGGATTTGATAACGTAGCAAAGTTATTGAAACAATTGATTGATGACATTCTCACAAAAGGCGAAACCGATTGGAATCAGATTGTTAGCGTTGTAAGTAGAACAAACTAGCAATTAATCCCAATAGTTCCGAAGCGTTCTATCAAAGGGTATGGTGTTAAGCGGAGCAGGACAGCCAGAATCTCAGACAAACGTACGACAACAACTTCGATTGCTTAACGTTGACACGGACAAAGTTTCTGTTGGAGAAGATTTAATAGGACCAGTTCCGAATGGTGGAGTAGTGATCATATCTGGAACTGGTTCAAACTGTGTGGTTTACAATGAAAATGGAACGAAGAAACGAGCTGGAGGGTAACAAAAATGAAGTGATACAGTGCTCTTTCACTTTTTTGAATGATTATTTAGATGGGGGCATATGTTGGGAGATGAAGGAAGTGCATATTGGATTGCACATCGAGCAATAAAACTTGTTTTCGACCATGACGATAATATCAACGTATCACCTTACGATTTGACAAAGTTAAAAGATGAAATCAAGGCGTACTTTCAAGTAAATACATCATTTTTTCTTTATTATCTTACTTATTCTGTTCGGTATTTCATAGGTCGAAGAAATGAGCGAACTCTTGAATCATTTCTATAAGAATTTTCACAAGGATTTTGTTGCACGCTTTACTCAAGTTCTCTCTGAGTGTTTGTTCTTGAATTTGGTCGTTTTCTTTCGAATTCTCTCTTCCCTTTTCATTGCAGTGGCTTCCAATGCAAATGATCAAGCATGTAAAGCATTATTTGAAGATGCAGGACATGTCTTAGGTGCTCATCTTCGAGCGATTTCACCTTCAATCGAAAAGAAACTCTATGAACAAGGCAAATTGCGTGTAGTCGTAGTTGGCTCTGTCTTCCGTAGTTGGAAACTATTGAAGCCAGGTACATTTTAGTAAATTCACATCTTCACCATATACCTTCCGTATCTCTAGGTTTCATTAACGGTTTAACAGAGAAGAAGACGTTGCCATTCAATCGAGTTGAACTAGTTCAATTAACGGCATCAGCCGCAATAGGTATGTTGAATAATTTACGTATTTTCGTTTTAATCTGTATGTTGATTAATCGAATAGGTGCTGCAATTTGGGGCGCACGACGACAAGGTCATTTACTAACAAACATTAACTTCTCGAAATGTTTTTCAATACTTGATACAATTGAATTATCAAACTGATATTTTTACCTCGCTGACAGCAATGATCTTCGCAGAATTATCTGAGCAAATCATTTTTACTCAATCTTTTCTTTTCGCTTTTCTGGCAATACGTATATATATACAGATGTGATTTTACTGTTAAGAACGACTCTGGACATTTTTTTCCGAACATTTAATGTTTACTAATCTGATAGTTGTTTTTCTTTCCTTTGACTCAATTGTGAAATTCTTATACTGTGACTGACTACAAATTCTTTTTTTTTTGTTTTTATTATTATTTATAAATTTATTATAAACATATCTTTGGGAACTTCGCTTTTATTGTTTTCTTCTTTTAGATCATGGTAGCCCGTCTAGTAGTCCTTTGCGAGTATGCCATTGTAAATCAGTTCAATACAGTTTTTGCTAATGATTCCTCAACAATCATATCATTGCCTGTCAATCTCAAGGCACGTTTATTTACTTTACTTTCACATCGTGGTTTGCTAACTGACGATAATCTCTCGTTTTTACTCAATTGCCGAACACGCACATTCGACTTTCGTGAGTGTGCGGATATAACCGATCGATCACTGCTGATAATGGCACGTTATTCATTAAACTCATCGACTGAACGAGATGATTCAACAAAGTCGGCATTAAATCCAACTATACTCCATTTTCGTTGTGCAAATGTGACCGATTATGGTGTAGTACAATTTGTTCAACGATATCCATCGCTGAGAAAAATTCGTTTACAAAACTGTTCGCAAATCACCGATGAAAGCGTTATTACTATCGGTACGCGTTGTTCACATTTATTAGAACTTGATTTAACAGGTTGTTTACAAATAACCGATCGAGGTGTGGATGCTCTCCGACAAATAACTCATCTTCGATCGCTAGCCTTGTCACAGACGCACATTACAGATGAAGCATTGATATCGATCGGCCAATCAGCGTACAATCAAACATTGAATGAAATCAATTTAAAGAAATGTGCTGAGATTACTGATGATGGTTTTCTTTTTCTACTACAACATTGTCCGAATTTGAGCACAATTGGATTTACTCAATGTCCGAAATTAACCGAACGCTCCCGACAAAATATTAACCCACAGACACACCAATTCTCCTATCTGGTTTGGTCCATTCCGGTTTGAACAAACAACGACAGACTGTGATGAAATCGTTTTTTTTTGTAAAGAAACAAACTTCGTGTTGTCTTTTGTATTTGCATTTTACGATTCTTTTCCAGTTGTATTCATTAATAAAATTAATTCCGAGTGATTTCCTTCTAGTCTATGTTTTGATATGAGTCTGAGAATGTTAAATGACGCAATCTGAAGAAAGTAGAAGCAAGATGGCGTTGAACGTAGATGTACATTTCGAAGAACACGTGCCCTTCTGCCGATATTAAACTGATTTACGGATAAACGATGCGAAACTGTTAATCTAACTTGAGATTTTCAATTTTCAGATTGCGATTTAGGATGGCCTCGTCCGAGCCGCTTAGTAGACATGAACAGCTTGATCAATCAAGCTATCCAACGACAGAAACGTATTCTATTCCGCTCGAACCGTCTTACATGTACTGTGGCATAACTTACCTTCCACCTCCACGAAATAAACTTGCGATAATCTATAATCATAATACCAAAAACATCTTGGAATTACATCGAATTGAAGACGATACTTTGAAAGTGATGCATTCAATTGAATTAACCGATCTAACTTCTGCGATTGACGATTTTGTTTGGTGTTCTCAACGAGATGAGCTTCTGGTGGTTTCAATCGGACAATTATTTACTTATAATCTTGACGAAGAACAATTTACTAATAACCTAATCATTGATAAAGATAAAAATAAATGTCGAATCGCGTGCAATTCAACTTCGATAGCATGTGTCGATCCTCGAACATTGAAATTATACGATATCCAGACGCTGAAATGTCTTCGTCAAAAGCGTCTCGATCATGTGTGTGAAGATATTGAATACGATGATCAATACTTTGTTTCGACACATACGGGAAAATTAGAATATTTAGATCGAACGTTATTCTCTATTCGACGTTTCGCAATTGGCGGCACAGCTCTAACACGCTTCAATTCCAAACTATGGCTCATCGCGGATTCATTCGATGATCGCCTTCTATGGCAATCTCTTGATAAACTTCTATTAACAGTCTGCCATATTCATCAACCGAAATCCATCGTTGTTATACCGTCTACCTCTCGAATTATCATACAATGTAACGATCCAAATCGTTTGTTAATCTACGATCCAATTTCTTGTAAATAAGAAGATTTGTCTTAACTACCTATGAATTAATCGTGTGAAAGAATATTTACTGAAATATATAATATGCATCTGTCAGGTGCATTTCGTTCAAATATTTACATAGGGCAAGAAAAGAAAGCAAAGTATATGAATAATTCATGTTCTTCGTACGAACGGAACTTCAGATGTGACGTCGTTCTGCTTTGTTATAGGCAATATTCTTGTTTAAAAATAACAGATAACTGACAACTTAGCGACTAGACACATAGAACAAAAAATAAATCATTGACAAAATAAAGAACACCATCTTTCTTCCAGTAGGCGCATACGATGAGAATGCGAAAGCAAAAACGTGAAGGAAGACAAAACCAAGTCACCAGGCAAAAGAAGAAACTCAACTCATTCTATCACAGTTCTCATGTGCGAGTATAATCGAATTTACTAGACCGTTTCACGCTCATCGTCATCTGTTTTCAACCATGGATGATCAAGTAATTGTTTGAGACCCATCGTACGATTTTCAACTGCTCGTCGAAAATTCCAATAATTTGTACCGCCGAATAATTGAATAATACGTGGTGTACGTTCGAATAGACTTTGAAGTGTCTGAAGTAGAACTTCATGATGATCATCATCTGGATCAGCTGTACATATTGACCAACCAAAGTCAATAAATACCAATGGTGATGAAGATGATACCGATGTTAAATCATCCAAAGATGATTGTCGACTATCTCCACTCATACTTGAATAGCCATCCTCGCCATCTTCACTAGATGACGACCAATGTTTATATCTCAATGGAGGTGCTCTTATTTCATCATATAATCGATAGTAATAATTTTGACAACCATTTAAATCACAGTGAATAATGTGATGCTGTAGTAAGATGAAAAGATTTTGGATGAATAAGCGTACGAAAATACGCGCTTCATCTTCATTCAAATAGGTAAAATCTGTTCGAACTAGATTTTCCCACACGGTACGTCCGTAAACATATTCAAAAGCAATTAGGTATCCATTACATGTTTTCAAACGTTTTGAACCATTTTCCACACATCTTGATATTGGTAAATGAGGACAGAGACGTCCAAGTTCACCTATATACTGTTCGATAGGGATATATTGATCGAAATTATGTAAACGACGATTATAAATAACATTCTTCGGTTTGTAAAAGTAATCTTTTGTTCGTTGCAAATTCCGTAAGTCATCAAGTGAAACAAAACTGTCGATAAAATCAGCACGAATAATTTTCAGAGCGACAAGTCGTTCATCAGGCTGCGAGAGATCATGAGCATAATAAACTTGACATGTGGAGCCAGTTTTTCGATCATGTGTTGAACTTAAACGAAATCGTTGATCGAGACCTTCGCGCTTGAACAGCGCTTCGATTTCGTCACGCGAATAATTAAGTGAACGTGGTATTTTGCCGACTGAGAAACTAGTAATAAGTAAGAGAAGAATATAGTGGATTAGAAATCACATGAGTCATTTGTTATGATGTTTTTTTTCAATCAAATGACGTGTAAGTAGTAGAAAAACAAGTAAAAGAAAGAGGGAAAAAATATGCGCTACTGCTATTGTGACGTGAAAAGAATGATTACCTGTTCTTGTTGTTGTTGTTGTTATTGTTTTTTGTTATTATGAGAAGGCTTAAACGGCACGATTGTTCCGGGCTATACGAAGTCAAACGATCATTGCTTGCTATGCTATAGCCAACCTTGAAAGTGTATAAAAGTATTCTATGTCTATTTTGTATCTGAAATAATGACATTATAGTTTGTCAAAAGCTTAATCGCTTTTCTTTCTCTCTCTCCCATGCTTATATGTGTCGGTTTCTGCCTGTCTACATCGATCCTTTCAATCCTATGTTCGAAGTGTGTGCACAATCTGTCACCTATCGGTTTTTCGAGTACCCTTTTCTTTGACATTTGATCGTCGAGGTCTCTAAACCAATATTGTTATTTGTTGATTGCAATTTGATCAAATTGAATGATGATCAAAATTACACTTCTTCGCTTTTATAGTACTATTCTACCATACTGATAAAATGGTCGATAGATCAGCTGTTTTATGGATGTAGTAATGCCCACGCATGGTTGTTATTAAGAAACATCAATCGTGTTTGTTTTTTCTCTTCTTTCGTTCCTTCTACTTTTATCTTTCGAAAAAATTCTCCATTACATATATAAAATCGAGCTCGAAACAGAAGGAAAAATAATATGAGGTAACACATTGCTGAAATGGTTGCCATTTCTTTCAACACGATAAAGAAGAAAAAAGAGAAATTAAAAAAGTGCGCGGGTGTCAAAGGCTATGAATGGAATGTTGAATTCAAGCGTATAATTTGCGAATTTATATGTTGATAGAGTCTCTTCAAATGTCAGTTTTTGCGAAATCGAAAAAAATTCAATCACATGATTTATTTCAATCATCAATGCTTATATTTAGCTATACGGTATGCTATGATTTTTCTTATTGATTAAGTATTACTCTATCGATCAGAAATAATAAGTCAAAGTAAGCTCTGTCGAGCAGATATAATCAAGAACATAGGGAACGAATGAAGAAAAAAGTATTTGATTACACGAGTAAAAGAAAACACGAAAGTCTACAATATAAAAAGACGAATTACATATGATTAAAATTCAAGTATATGCTAATCAATGTTTGGCAAAATTTGAAGGAAGGACAGTGTTGTCGATCAACGATTTTCTTACTGTTTTTCTCAAAAATTTCTAATGCACCGATGTCAAACTCTTGTTTTCACATTCTGCATTCTTTTTCATGGGAGCTTAGATAAATATTTATCAATATTCTAGTCATCGCAGTCATGAATAAAATACTTCGAGAGAAAAGAAATTCGAAACATCTTGTTTTATCTTCCTAACGGTAAAAAGAAAAGAAAAAAGCTTACGACACTCGGTATTCCCAGGCGGTCACCCATCCAAGTACTAACCGAGCCCGACGTTGCTTAACTTCAGTGATCGGACGAGAACTGGTGTATTCAACGTGGTATGGCCGTAAGCATTTCAAATACACAATGAAATCGATCTGATGATATGTTACGTCGTTTTGTAAGAAATTCATATCCACTTCCTTTGCAGTTCGTCGAAAAAACCTTCTCTTTCTCCCTATACCTTTTGACTATATCACGAAAATTTTCACATAGTTGACCTAATGACACATTATGCTGTGTTTTATCATGAAATCATTTTCTCTATATCAGGTGAAGTAGATGTTGACTCATCACCAGTATTATTTTGGATACTTCTTTTTCACGTAAGACCGTTTATGCAAATTGACGCAATAATTACAAGGAAGTTGCTATATTTTCTATCATCAGCGTAATAAGAGATCAAATCGAAACTGTTTCAAAGAAACGAGCAGACAATTTCACATGCTTTATATACTATTTCGAAATATAATTGCATAAAGGTTGTGTAGTTCGATACTTTGCAATTAGCGGTTGTCGGAATTTGTTGCTTTTAAAATTGGGTGTGCGAAGTATTTGAAAATAATGATACTATCAATTAGAAAAAAATCGGCCTGACAAGGGAAGGTCTCAGGTGTATCCCGGGGATTTCAATGAAAATCATGTAGGATTGTTAAAACAAGTATGCGTTCTCAAGTGTGAAACATTTAGGTGATCTTAGATAGAAACAGATGCTCTTCCAGAGATTCGAATCACGCATCTTCTGCTATTTGGGCAGATGACTTATGCCAGTTAGATCAACGCTAACAAAATTCTAGTGCATTTTTATCTACGTATAATATACCTCCTTCGGTTTGTGTGCTCTGTGTATTCATGCTTTCTTTTCTAGATCTCTGTAATCACTAGTTCTTTGTTTTTCTGATATCCATGTCTCTTGTATTCATGTATTCGTTCGTTTTTTTTGGTATATAAATAGGCCGCTTTTGCTTCAAATAAAATATTCGGTAACATATACAATCTCTAACGTAGTATATTACGACGTTTCAACGCAAATACGATAAATGTTGACAATAGCCTTCATATGTTTAACAATGTGATGCGTGAAAAATATCCAGAACTCACTGAAACTGAACCATCATCCAACGATCATGAGATGACGGACCAGTTGCTGTTGTTATTCAATCAACTGTTATCTTCAGCAAAGCTGCTAGTCGACCATATTCTAACATTAGAATTCAATGAATATGATAATTGCAGTGGTGATTATCAAGAGGAAGATAAAATTGATATCACATTGAATATTGGTGGTATAAACTATTTCCTTGAGACAATGAGTGCCATCGTTGAGTTTTCAAAAAGCAGCACTTTTCCTACTTTACGTAGACTATATAGACAAATAAAACTCAAAGAACAGCTACGCCGAATGAAGCAATACGTTACTGCGCAAGGTACAAAATCACGAAAACTAGAACTTGTTGATGACGTTGTCTATACGGAATTTATTCGTTCTCGAGAATGCCACTTACCAAAACATGGTTCTGATTTAAGGCGCTTGGCCTTCAAAATAGCACAGGATTTAAATACTGTTGATTTTACAGAATCTCACCAGTGGTTATTAAAGTCTGCGGAAAATTTTGTCAAAAGAGTAAGAAATACCATTTCAGATTTTGCTGAAGATCATGCATTGAACAGTAGAACAGTGATGAAAGCAGCTTCAGGTATGATATTTACAAATGGAAAAAAGTTAAACAGAAAATAAAAAGTTGTGCCTTTCAGTTATGACAATCCATCCACGCGGACATCAGCAAAAACTGGTGAAAAAATAATGAAAGGTCACATCAAATCAATAAATACTGTTACTCATTCGTACACGCCTATGCCGATAGCTAGTATGGCTGGAAAATTAATTGATCCACTTCTTATTTGTTTCCTTTTCTGAAAGAAAGGGTTATAGCGTCATAAATCTGGTCGTTGAAATGCAAAAAGTTTGTTTGCATAATCCAATCAGATTGCAACATTCAATAAATTAATGAAAACTTAACCATGGTCAATAGCAAACGACTGGTGAAAGGTTTTCAGGGTCGAGGATCACGAATCCGAGGTTAATATTGGTTAATTAATTATTCGTTTTTCATTAACTAGCCACGACTTATTAACATCCATTGTCAAAGTAGACCGAAGGGTTTCTGACATCGGGAAATTCGAATTTGAGGGTGAATTTTGTTTTATTCGCTGAGTCTGAGCTTTTTTCCTCCTCTTTACAAAGGAGATATTTTTCTTTATCTGTTCTGAAATCTTTTGTAGAAGATGGTGAGCTGAACGCTATTCACGGACGTCATGCGTACAAAGATAGTAGCTCAAGAACTTACACGAAAAGATCTAATGCATTGTACATAATGATGTTTCTAATTGAAGAAATCCGAAAAAGTGATATGAGCTTAGTATCATCTTTGTTTTGTAGGCTACATACATCATGTGTTTTCATGGGATTTTAGTAGAACTAGTTCGCAAAGTGATATACCCGTCGGTGGACTATACAAACAGCATTCCGAACGCATGCGGCACTATGAAAGATGTTCGTTTCGAAGCAAATCATACAATAAGATTTTCTGATCTAGTTTCTTTTGGTAGTCGAATGAACAGAAGATCATGACTGTCGGAGCGACGATAAAAAAACCCCAATCATTCAGTTTGAAATTTAATCAAAGGCGAAAGGAATAATAGAGACAGCATGGTAGCGGCTAGCCGTGAATGGCTGACCCAAGGGAGGACGACGAACGACTAGGCGTTTAAATGCTAGATTAATCCTGAAATGTACGCTTAGAATAACCTTGCCAGGCTTCTGATAACTTTGAAATGGATGTGACGAATGAATATTCCTCAATGAAAATATTCGGCAAGGTATCATTTCGTTGACAAGAGAGAAAAAAATCGGATTATTGCTGGAAGCCACAGACGAATGTTCAAACTTTTCAAATAGTCTACTGTATGTCGTCCGTCTATGAGTGACTTAGTATAGTCGCAGTGCGCTTTTTATCTTTGGAAGTCTCTGAATGTGTTCAGCATTAGGAAAAGTCTTTCAGAAAATGGCCAGTGAATCCAAAGGATGAGTGTTACTTGTTAGTAGAAAAGCGTTTTATCAAAATTTTGTCTTCATGAACCGTTAGATCTAGACGACGGAAAAGTCAAATGAAACGAATATTAGATGTAGAAATGCTTACGGCCATACCACGTTGAATACACCAGTTCTCGTCCGATCACTGAAGTTAAGCAACGTCGGGCTCGGTTAGTACTTGGATGGGTGACCGCCTGGGAATACCGAGTGTCGTAAGCTTTTTGCACACTCGTTTTTAATTTCGAATTTCGAATTAGTGATGAGATCTGTTTTCACCAGAATTTCATCGGCTTCCGCTTTCTTTTTCTATAGAATAGTGATCAATTCAAAAATATTATTGTTCTTCGCTATAGATTTTCTCTTGAGGGTGTTGCGCGTTTATTGTGAGAACATAAGCAGGAACGTGATGAAAGAGAGCAGAAAATGGCCACACACACATGTAAAGATCTAAATACTCAAATACCTATAGATGGGATCGTGATCGAGAATAATCCCATAAATATAGACGAGATAAGGACAAGTCCATACAAATAGGCAGCTGACGCATGAAAGAAAAGGAAAAATTCAATACGTCTTATATTGGAAGCATGTCGACAGCCGCAATAGCATAGAAATACACAGATCAACGCAGTACGATCAAATATGAAATTTGAATTTAAGCATTCAGGTGTTGATTTTTATTATAATCCAATCAGATTGCAGCAGTTGATAAGTTCATAAAAACTTAAGGATAGTGTCGAGTAAGGGTTGATCGAAGGGTAATCGGTGTCAAGGGTCTTGAATCTGGTGTTAGTTTTTTCATAAAAAGTTGATGTTCCGTTTTTCTTTTAGACAAAGGATAATTGTTTTGCAAAAAAGGTTTTTTAAGGCGATAGCGTCTTAAGCAGCAATATGCAGAACAAAACGAAATAATTGATAAACATCGGATTCTTGGATTTCCATGCTCATCAACATACTGATATAATCACAAATATATAAACAGTTATATTACATAAACGTCATTCGATACTAAGCACTCAAATAATATTTCCCGTGGCAGGTGGACATGTAACGGCTAGCCGCGAGTGTCTGACCGAAGGGAGACCGACGAACGACTAGATGTTTGTTTCGATGACTTAGAAGAGATAAAACGAATGTAAGCCAATTAATTTTGAGTTTAAATGGTCGGAAGAGAGTCGATGAGCGAATGTATAGAAACGATGTTCCTTGGCTTACATGTTTGTACAAATGAATTTAAAGTAGTTCGACATGAATGGAGCAGAAAAGGATTAAAAGAAAAGAACGTGCATAAAAGTTGGTTTAGTTCAAAGTTTTATATAGAAGTCTTCTAATTCTTTCCGAAAAGGGTCAGCGAATCCAACGAATGATCGCTTCTTGTTGTTATCGGTTGCTAAGGAAATTAGGAAAAAGTGCCGTTCTGTTGTTGGAATGTACGTAGAAAAAACGTTTTATAATCGGAAGTAAATTTTCCCTGCCTCGATCAGATATGACTAATATTAAAGCGGAAAACCTTTTACAAAGAAATTTCATTGGCCCAATTGATCAATAATCCCACACTTTAATCGTCATTCATCTTCATCTTCAAAGTTCATTTATCATGTGCGTAGTTGACAATTAAGTACTACGATTGACACTCACACACGAGCAGACCTTTCACAGTGGTTCAGAGATTGTTAACAAGTCTTTCTATCTTTCATTTAATCGTCGGAAAGATTTCTCCACCAAATAAAGCATACAAGTAGCGTTCGTCGTGCTGACTCGCTTCACCCTCGACTGTGGAAGACAGATCTACTGTCTGCGTGTGCTATTGATGGCTAGGGAGGGGCGAATCGACCCGGACCCGGATCCGTCCGGGTTTGATAGAACTTTTTTCAGACCCGGTTTCTTATTCACTTCAAATTTCAACTAAATGTAATTGAAATCAAACTATTATATAATATTTGCTTTATGTTTCTCAAGATTTCATGATTCTTTTTAATTCTTGAGCAAAAACAGACAGTTTCAACATAAAATATAACATAAAATTAAGAAAACAAAATATTTATAACAATAACATAAAAAACACATCTATAATATCTTCCATTGAGTTTCGATGCAATGTTTCATAAAAAAGGAAAAAATGTTTTCATTTTCATTTCTTTTCAGAGATGTTCTTAACACTACTGTCACGGGTTATGTGTATGAATGAATTCATAATCGTCGGGCTCATCTTCTTCAATAATTCGAGACTTTTTAGTATTTAATGAGGAAAAAGATTCTCCTTGTTCTGTTTCATAGTTTATGTCGACATTATTTGATGTTGACAAGTGTGTTAATTTTCGTTTCTCATGAATTTGGATTAATTCTTGTTGATTGAGTTCTTTCAGCTGTAACAGATTCTTATTTAAAAACAACGATTTGTTTACTTTAGAAGTTTGTAGATTTGTTCTTCGCGCAGAAAGTGTGTTATTTGCTTGAGAAAAAAGGCGTTCCACAGTTGTATTGGTAGCTGGAATGGTGTATAAAGATTTTACGATCGAAGCAAGAATCGAAAATAACTTTTCATATTTCTTCCAGAACAATAAGACGTCATCTTTTGGGCCAATTGCTTCATTTAAAGCTAAATAACTTGTTAATTCGTGATCATATGGTAAATCAGCTTCTGAATCTTGATCTGCAACCGGAAGATCAAAACATTCTGAAAGAATATTTTGCGTGTTTGTTGATTGCTCAGATTTTGAATTCGTTGAAGAAGAAGAAGAGGAAGAAGCAGTAGTATTATTATTTGATGATGATGAATTACCATTACGACCAACACCTAATTCAGATTGACGCTTCAAAATTTCTGATTTGCTGAGATCAATTGCTTTTTGTTGCTCATGAGGAACAATTTGAAATCGTTTAAATGATGGATGTAATGGAGTTGACATGTAATGAACATCATGCAATATCCACATCGCTTTCATTCGTGAAGCTGCAATAAAAATAGTCGATATAAAGCGTAATATAAACGTAAAGAAGATAACTTACATAAAAATACCTCCAATTCTTTCATCCCATGATGATCAGTAGTTTCTACATCACAAGAATTCAAAAGACGTCGCCGAAGTGGAAGAACTTTGAATATCGTTGGTGTTTATCTTCGCTAAGTTCTTCAATAGCTTGATCGAATATTTTCAAAAACGAACATATTTCTTCTAACAAATCTCGATCCATTGTTAAAAATTCATTCAAATGAGAATCATCCAAAATAATAAATAATTCATCAAATATTTGTAGGAAGATATTTAACATATGAAAGGCACCATTAAATCGAGTTTCTGAATATGTTTGAACACGTTTAGACATTTTCGTCTGTTTATATGATCCTCTCAAATGTGCTACAAGAGTTTCAGTTCGATCGAATAGTTCCTGGACTATTCCACATGACACAGGCATTTTGTCGATTTCTTTCTTGGTTAAAGCATGTTCGAGCTGCTTGTTGATATAATGCACTGAGCATCCAACTCGTTGGCATTTCAATTTAAAAGTTGCAACAATTTTGGGCTCATTGTCACTAACCACGTAAATGGAATCATTTAATTGAAGATTGAATTCAGACAAAATCGACTCTACGAATTTTCTTGTGTTGATTGCAGTAAAGGATTCCAGTTCATACGGATAACAATCGAGAACAAAACAATTTAATTTCCAATCATTGGAGACATGATGTAGTGAAATACCACCATAATGAATACCTAAGATATAGGGTGGTATTGTTGAGATATATAGTATGTAAAAGAAGATCAAATATAATTACCTGTATATTTATCCTTCCAGAAATCAACAACAATAGTGTAACTCATCATTTTCTGACAAATAGCAACTAGTTGTTCACGTTTTTCATCATATAGAAGATCAACATGTCGACTAACCTAACAAAAAAAAACAGTATATTTTCTTTGTATTCACCATAGATTGTCGGATTGTTGTACTCACTGTCGAAGAATGTGGAAGTAAGTTTTTTACATTGACTTCTTGTGACATGGGCAAGCAACGACCAGCATTGAAAATCTTTTGTGCAAGATTTTGAAATCCTAAATCATTAACTGTTTTGAATGGTCGACAATCAAGCACAGCGAATTCAGTACAAGCCGTTTTGATTTCTTGTCTAATTCGATTCGGAATAACAGGTTCGTTTTTCGATGATTTGTAAAATTGTTTAATTGATGATTGAGTATTGATAGATGTGGGCTTCATATTATGACAATGTTTAACATGCTTAGATAACGAATTTGTTCCGTAAGAATGTTTGTAAACGAATAAATCTTCACATTTGTTACAAATAACATATTCTTGTTTAATGTCGTTTACGTAAATATAACAAAAACTAATCCATACAGATGAGGACTTTGGTGTTATTGTCGGTTTTACAATTTTCAATGATGAATTCTCCTTATCAATCAATTCTTGAATTTCTTTTTTGCTTAACATAATGTTCTTGTGATTGAAATCAAAACAGAAGATTTATTTGTGTCTTAATCTTAACAAGCATAAAATGGATTGGTATTAATNTTCTTGTTTAATGTCGTTTACGTAAATATAACAAAAACTAATCCATACAGATGAGGACTTTGGTGTTATTGTCGGTTTTACAATTTTCAATGATGAATTCTCCTTATCAATCAATTCTTGAATTTCTTTTTTGCTTAACATAATGTTCTTGTGATTGAAATCAAAACAGAAGATTTATTTGTGTCTTAATCTTAACAAGCATAAAATGGATTGGTATTAATACGGCAATAGTAATGATGATACAATGCAGTATGAACAGAATAGATATGAACGATTCGAAATAGTGGTGTACATTGTACAGATTTTTCTGCTAGTAACCAATTAAAACTAGACACGACACGAATTTGTTTCTTTCCATTTCCATACATAAAGAGGGTGCTATATATTGGTACAAAAATCCGGGTCTGGATCCGTCCGGGTCCGGGTCGGGTCTGGGTTATGATTTTTTTATTTTCGCGGGTGCGGGCCCGGGTCTGGGTCGAAAAAAAAAGGCGGACCCGCTACTCCCTATTGATGACGCCAATCAATCTAGCAACTTCACGTACGATGAAACGGTAAAACCTTTTCTTTTCGACTATTTATTAACTCTCTGTTAGCGTCATTGGATGTTACTTCATGACGCTACCTTCTATATAGTTGTTTTCTTGTATTTCTATACATATACATATATATATATGTATTTCTTTTTCTCTTTCTTTCCTGTCGTTTTAGTTTTCGTTTGATTATCATGTCCGTTCTCATGATGATCTCTGTGATTGCATTTCTTCTTTGTTTTCTTCTTTTTCTCTTTTTATTCTCAGATCATCTTCGATCTGTATATATGTTCTTGTTTTTCTCTTTTCGATCAGTCTTTTGTTATCGTTTTCTTTAGTGTTTTATTTGATTTCATCCAATAAAACACCCTTATCATCTCATCGACATCCATTCTCTTCATCTCTCATCACTTCCAGTCACCTCAGGTAGGTTCCACGACGTGAGTCTTGATCATACATCAGACCATTCGTTCGATTAGTGGATTCAGCTTACGATATAATTGGTAGCTGGAGGTTTCATCACATCCCCTGATACAAGAGACTCACACTCTCGCAAATAAAATAGCTTATTGTCTTTGTAAAAGAAATTTGAGGATATAAAAGGTCTTTACTTATTGTGAATTTATCACCAGTAACGCTGGTCGGATACTCTCGCTGAACGCTCCGCTGAGTTTCTTCCCATTGTACTCTTGTCATTAGAACTATACAAAACATGTATCAACCCACTTATCTCGCAGTCGGTCGTCGGCGTCCCTCCGGTCCGCCACTCCCGATTGCTGGATATTGCTCATAGCATGTACACTTTGTCAAATGACAGGAGTCTTTCTTCTCCACCATTCACACACAATTTAACTGCCTCAACGCAATCAGTATAAACAAATCTCCGAGCTGCAGCTTGTCTTTCCTTTATTGAACGTTATCAGATACTGACAACCTGCCTTATCGATAGGGCCACATAACAAATGCATCTAAGACGCTCCATGCATGATTCATCCATCCTCGACATCTAATTTCGCAGTCTGATATCGCGCGCTATCTATCGATCCATTTTATGATTTGCAACAATTATCAATCAACCTCATCAATCTCCACGCGCTATTCGTGACGTTTCTGTCATTTTTCGTCTTCAATCATGCCACAGATAGACACCATTCAAACTACTTTTTCTCAAGAGACCATGTGGCGAGTCTTCGTCCATGTTCCCGATACAGTATTCGCTTAGCCAAATTGTCGAGTTAGTAAATTCTTAGTTGATGCCTCAAGTCATATCTCGACGCTATAAATATGCTCTTCGGTCCACCATAGGTTCGATCGGAAAAGACTACTCTTCAAATGGCAAATATTTCGAGAAAAACGATTTTTAATCTTTCACTCTTCGTGTTGGCCATCGCACACACTATTGGCCACATCTCCGACCTTCGGCCACCACTAGCCGCACACGCGCGCAACTTCAGCCACTTAGCGCGCAGTAGCCCACCGTCGCCCACGTTTTTTTGCCACAAACAAACAAACAATTTTATTTCATATGACCTTCCTTACAGTCGAGGGAATATCTATGTTTTGTTTTGCGTAAATAGAAGAAAATAACTAATTTCTGATTTGCAAAGATAAATTCAACCACAAACAGAAGAAAGTGAGATGTATTTTTCTTGTTTATTCAGAAGGTAAAAATTTTCGGGATTACAACAGTTCGAGTTTATTAGTCTTTCTTGAATAATTTTAATAAGGAATATTTGGTGAGAGTTTTGTGATCGATAGGATTGTTAACATCGTTTCAATTGGTTAAAATTTTGAAAACGATTTTCGAGCATATCTTTATAAAGGTAATTGATATAAACGAGCTTTCTCACAAAGTTCGTCTAAAGTAGGTGTAAATGTATCTTTAATATTTAATTCTTTATACTTAGCAGCTAATGAAAATAAATACTCGAAATTGGTTCCATTTCGACCTTCTGCTTGAGACATTTTTGATACTTGACCTTTGATTGTTTCAGGAATATCTACACAAAATTCACTTTCTTCATTAACAATGCATGTTAATGCGTATACAGGTGTTCCATCACCAGAACGTGTTACTTCAATAAAATCATATTTATATATATCCATTACTCTTCCATCCTGAGTTGCGGGTGTTTCTCTTTCAGCAAAGGCTTTTAAAAAATCAAGAATTTTATCATCTTTTGCAATAAGCAAAGCACCATGAACATAACTATCTGATTTTTCTTTTAAGCCCAGCGTTAGTCCTTTTCTTTCGAATGTGCCACGGTAAAAAAAGTCTTCACAAAAGAAACCTTTTTTGTAACCTTGAAGTATACAATTTTGTTCCATTTCAGCATATTTAATTGGATTCCATAATAATGAACCATAAGCAAAGACCGAAATTTGATTATTCCTTTGAATTGATTCAACAATTATATTTCTTTTAGATTCATCCAAACCATTTAATAATTGTAAACTTTCATCCAATTGAACAATATCCACCATTTTGTTTTTTTGTCGATGTGTTGTATTTGATACTGTAATATCTTCTAACTAGCGAATGAATGGAAATGAATTGTATAGAAAATCGACTGCTTTATAAAGACATACACCAGTATAGTCCGACTGCATACCCAGTCCGACTGGCACCCGGTCCGACTGGATACCCTCACCCGACTGGATACCCGGTCCGACTGGATACCCTCACCCGACTGGATACCCGGTCCGACTGGATACCCTCACCCGACTGGATACCTAGTCCGACTGGGTATTAGCTACCTATAGTAACTTCCACTGTAATTCATATGTGTTGTAGCCTTCAACAAAAATTTCCTATTATTTTTATATATCGAATAATAACTGACCCGAACGCTTCTGAATTAAAAGATTAAATCGAATTCCAATGCTTGTTTTCCAGTATGTTGTATACTAATCACACTAATTTTCTTCAAACAAATGATTATAAACCATCTTAATGTCTTCGTTGCACGCAATGTAGATTGGCATACTAAGATAAGTAATTCATACCGTTACTGCCCATGTGCAATCGCGTACAGACTCTTTAAAATGAAACTCAATGCGAAGCGTAGCGTATAACTTGCATTAATTGGCGCGAATGAAACGGAATTTATTTGTTAGCTTGTGCCAATGACGAAACACATTGTATTGAGTTTCATTAGCCCTGAGAATCCGTGGAAGGCTTTTTCAAAGATAAAAAGAAACGCATATATGAAACAGAATTTCAAAGCGGTCAAGATGATTGTGTTGACATGAGAAAAGAAGTATTTTTTATCATCAAGATACGGGATGTTCCTCGCAAAGAACACTTTTACTTGTAGCACAGAATATTTCTCTTCCGTTATTATTAAACTAAGTATTATATGTATATAAAATGTGCGCTTGTATGCTAATTTTTCACTCTGAAATATTTTTGAGTGTGCATGCGAATAAAACTATGCTTGAGCAAAAACACGAGGGCTGGTGCGAGTAGATGAGGGCTTCGTTATAGGTGAGTGAAGATAAAACCACCAGCTATGCACCACTCTGCTCAGAAATCACACATGATATAGACACTAGTCTACTCCACCCTCACTCAAAATATGCACTTTTTATATACATGTAATACTTAATATAGTCTTACAGACAGATGAATAGTCTATGACCCTATGGCCGAAAGCCCTTCCAAAAGGACATTTTTTTATACAATATTACGTGTCAGAGAGATTTGAGTCTAAGACTTGTAAACTACAGTAATTATATGATTTGAGCTGACTACTAGCATTATTATTTCACTTTAAAAACCATATTTCATATAATTGTCGCAACAAAATACGGCATAACAAGATCCCAAAAAGAAATCACTCTCTGAAAAGAGGTACTTCGTCAGACTGCTACTTAAGGTCGATTTTTTTCTCACCCCGTAATCCATGAGACTCTCTTCACTCGAAAAATAGTGAAATTTTATGTAGAGTTTTTTTTTCTTGTTCTATTTCAAATACTATGTAAAAAAACCGGGCGATAGTGAACCATAAAAGGTTTTAGCGAGAGTCTAAAACCTTTTATGGCTCTAGATTTGGGTACCATCTTCAGAACCTTATTCTCAGAAATTTTTGGGTTCTAGCAAGGAAATCTCAAACTTTTTCTAGTTCGGCACATTTAACTAAAACCATTTTAGGTTCTGAAAATGGTACCGAAAAAAGGCTCAGTATGACCCGATTTTTTTTACAGAGTACTCAATGTCCCTTGGAAGGATATCTCAACTTTTTAGAGTTAGAATGCCATTTTGATGAAGTCCGATATATTCATTTTTATTTCTTTACTCTTGGACAAATGGATACAGATGTGGCACGTATCGATTTGATAGTACGAGAGGAGATCATTCAATAACAATCTCTTATGTGGATATCAATAGTTAATTATAGTAAAGGGTGAAATTTATTTTGCGGTTGATTTTGCATAGCTTCTCTATTATTTTGCCATTAATCGCTTTTCTATTGACCCCTCTTGGCATCTGTCAGAAAAACATGAAATGAAGTTACTAAGGTGATTTATAATCATTTGTTTGAAGAAAATTAGTGTGATTAGTATACAACATACTGGAAAACAAGCATTGGAATTCGATTTAATCTTTTAATTCAGAAGCGCTCGGGTCAGTTATTATTCGATATTAAAAAAAATAATAGGAAATTTTTGTTGAAGGCTACAACACATATGAATTACAGTGGAAGTTACTATAGGTAGCTAATACCCGATCGGACTGGGTACCAGTCACCCAGTCGGATTGAAACTGGGTGCATACCTAATAATAATAGACAATTTTCCAACTTTCGTCATGACGATTATTTCCATTAGGGTTTTTTTTAAAAAGCTTTCGGCATAATTCCTTACGGGATTAAAAATGGGAAACACGATGTAATCAGTGTGTTTGTTTGATTATTTTTATTGGTCGTGATAGATTTCTAGAATATTACGTTTTATTCCTCTCCTATACATAGTTGGTTCTAATAGATTTGGTTTAAACAAATAGGTATTTTGTTATAAGATATGGTTTGTTTCATTATATTATCTATCCGTATTTGTACTATACTACTATTAGTGCTAGTGGTCAGATAAATAACATCAATATTAATTGCTAAAGTAATTTACTCAAAAAAAAAATTCCGATAAAATCGTTTTTTAGCATGTCTAACGGTTACACACATCCTAACGAGTATTTTTCCTCTTCGCTTTTCACGATTTGTAGTGTGTCGATTAGCGATTTGAACGTGTGCATAATTATTGAAATTTTATAGTAAACATCTTACGAAATAGATTTGTTTCTAAAAACGTCAATTGAAAACAGTGTAAGAATCATGCCCGAAAATTCTACAATGTGCGGTTCGCTGTATTTTCGTCCGCTCTTTTCAATGATGAATACCGCAGCTCTATATATTGTTTCCATCAAAAACTATTCAGAAAAGGCTCATTTAACATTATCCGGATGATTTTCACAATAACCGTTAGACATTCCAGAAAAAACGATTTTATCGGAATTTTTGTTTTTATAATTTTAGTTGAAGTAGATCAAATAGGATAGGAAAATAGAGCATTTTTTTTTCTCTATCAGGCTATAAGAGAGAAAGTTTCTTAAAGCTTTTGGTAACAAATTACAGGACAACTCTCACTACTTTTGGCATACCCTAAGTAGAATAATTACTTATAATATTGATTTTTTAAACTTTGATATATAATTACTCTCTTTGGATGGTTATATTCTATCAGAGTTTGGACCGTTTTTCGCAAATTCGTCAAACAATGATGCTGCAATTCTGAAGCATTGTGCATTAAATGATGAACAACATATCTTAAATTGGTTACGATCTGATGATTTGATTGTGCTCGATCGAAAGGTAAATATTTATAATAGAAATAAACCAAATATCTTATTCTAGTATTCATGGTTCCGTGATATTGTAAACACTCTTACTCGGCTTTGTTTGAAAGTTGCTATGCCTGGTTTCTTACATAATGAAAAGCAGTTTTCACCCGATGAACCTAATCGGACTAGACTTGTTACGAAGACAAGATGGGTGATCGAGAGCGGCAAGTAAAAAATTTTTAATTATTATGAACGAACTTGTTCAAATGATTGCTAAGAATCGGACTAGTTCACGTGTTTATTTTCGCAGTTAATGGTAAAATAAAAAATTGGAAGTTTTTTGCACATACAGTTGAAAATACATCTTTACCATATGTTGGAGATTGTCTCGACATCATATGTGCACTCATTAACAAATATCACTGTCCGGCCATCGCAAACAAAGATGAAGGTCATCGAATCGCTAGTCAAATGCGTGAGATGTGGAATGTCGAAAGTCCACTACAAAATATCTTGAAGAATTAAATAAAAACAAACAACTACGATAGTTAAAATATAATTCTGCCATGTGTTTTTTCCGGTGCTTACTGTGAGTGACATTCGAGATTTGACTTTCGGTTCGTAAAATTCTTATTCTCATCTTATACAATTGTGTTATTCTAGGATGATACAAAATTCAAATGGCAAAGTCTTATATTGTTGATCATCTTCAGCAATCATATATCAATGATCAAGAATCAGAATTCATTGTCGAATTATGTGACGGTCACGATGATTTAATTCGAACCATTCCAATCGTAAGTGCTATATAACTACAATTCGATTTAACGCACAGGATGAAAAACCTATATCAGGATGGTGTTACTCTTAGCGATTCTACAACTTCAGCAAATAGCGCAACTAAAGGAGATTCAGATAGATGATAATATTCATCTAAACCATATTAATCTAGAAATTTCGCACTTTTGATACTACTTTTTTTTCATCTAATTTTCCAACATAATTATTCTTCATCAAGAAAAGGATCATTCTTCTATCAGAACAGACATCCTTATCATAAACGTGAACGATTCATAATTTACTCGGAAATGATTTCTTTCTCCCAGCTCTTACATCAGTCTCCGCATATAAATACGAATCTTAAAACACATCTGTTAAAAAAGTAAAGAAAAATGTCCCAAACTAATGAAGTTATACTCTTATCAATCTCATGATTTTCAACTCGAATATTTATATATTATCAAGTGAATGATAGAGTAAATATCATGCAAAACATGATTTGCTATAAACTAAACATTGTTTGAAAAACTGACAGAATAAGACATTCAAGTTATATCATTTCTAGATATGCTTTTCATAATAATAGGCGCTTTTGACCTATTGACCCACTTTTTAAAATTATAAATAACGCTCGTCGGAGGTGACTCGCATTACCCTCGACTGAAAATATCACAATATATTATCAATTTGATTTTTGTTTTTCTTTGCTTCAGTTAAGAAATATACTTTCTAATATAATACAAGTAACGCTCATCCGTTGGATTCGCTGACCCTTTTCTGAAAGACTTTTCCGAATGCTGAATACATTCAGAGACTTCGAAAGAGAAAAAACGCACTACGATTGCTACTAGTGCTCAACTGAATCATGGCACTATGTCACACACTAAAATAAATAGGATGCAAAAGTCTTTTTAGGAATCAGACCGATTAGCTATTTGTCAGTGGATAATTCTCCAGCACTAACTATATTGACTGAAAAATTCATCGCTCAACGGTTAGTCAGACGCCCACTTACGGCCAACCATTGACATTTGTCATCTGTTTTTCTATTTTCATATCACGCGCATGGAAATTTTCATAAATGCTTTACTAAGTCACTCATAGACGGATGATATACAGTAGACTACTTGAAAAGTTTGAACATTCGCCTGTGTCTTCCAGCGGTAATTCGATTCTTTTCTCTCCTGTCAACAAAATGATACCTTGTCGAATATTTTCATTGAGGAATATCCATTCGTCAAATCCATTTCAAAATTATCTGACGCCTGGCAAGGTTATTCTAAGCGTACACTTTAGGATTGATCTAGCATTTAAACGCCTAGTCGTTCGTCGACCTCCCTCCGGTCGGTCACTCACGGCTAGCCGTTGCCATGCTGTCTCTGTTGTTCCTTTCGCCTTCGCTCGACTTTCAAACTGAACGATTGGGTTTTCTTTCATTGTCGCTTCTACAGTCATGATCTTCTATTCATTCGACTACCAAAAGAAACTAGATAAGAAATTCTTATTGCATGATTTGCTTCGAAACGAACATCTTTCAAAGCGCTGCATGTGTTCAGAATACTGTTTCTACAGTCCACGCGTCTGTAGTTACCAAGATGGAATTCCACTGACGGGTATATCACTTTGCGAACTACTTCTACTTAATTCCCATAAAAAGGCATGATGTATGTAGCCTACAAAGCAAAGATGATACTAAGCTCATATCAATTTTTCGAATTTCTTCAATTAGAAACATCATTATGTACAATGCATTAGATCTTTTCGTGTAAGTTCTTGAGCTACTATCTTTGTACGCATGACGTCCGTGAATAGCGTTCAGCTCACCATCTTCTACAAAAGATTTTAGAAGAGATAAAGAAAAATAACTCCTTTGTAAAGAGAAAGGAACAAGCCCAGGCTCAGCGAATAAAACAAAATTCACCCTCAAATTCGAATTTCTCGACGTCAGAAATCCTTTGGTCTACTCTGAAAATGGATGTTAATAAATCGTGATTAGTTAATGAAAAATTAATAATTAATTAAGCAACACTAACCTAGGATTGGTGATCCTCGACCTCGATTACCCTTCGGTCAACCCTTACCCTTTATATTAATAATCTATGTCTAGTTGGTAGATAGTTAATTAATAGTTAATAATTAGTTAAAACTAACCTCAGATTCAAGTTCCCCGACCTCGATTACCCTACCGGTAATCATTTTCTAGCAACTATCGATGAATTTCATTGATTTTGGAACTGCTGATTTCTGATTGGATAGGACAGACTGACAGACAGACAGACAAACTTTAAGCTTTTTAACACAGCATTTAAACGCTGTATAACCCTTCCTTTCAGAAAAGGGAATATTGATTGTTTTTCCAGAGCGGGCTTCTTTTCAGATAACATCTTGACCTGAATAAAATGAAAATAGGAAAATATATAGAAACGGCTAGCCGTAAGTGGCCGACCGGAGACAGGCCGACGAACGACTAGGCGATTATTTGCATTGCTTCGAGGGGATAAAATAAGGGAAAGTAAATTGATTTTTTTATAAACAGTGTTCGTTTTGTTTACGGCTTTGGACAAATAATTTGAAAGTAATCTGACATGAATGAAGCAAAAAATGAAAGAATGAGCATAAAAGTAACTTCAATTCGAAGTCAATTAGATTGAGATCTAAATGAGAGCGTTTATCTACTAGTTTTCTGGTACTTTCAGAAAAGGGTCAACGAATCCAACGAATGAGCGCTACTTGTTCTTATTGATATGAAACTTGGTGTGACTTTTAAAATAATCCCTTTCAAAGCACGGGACAGTTATTTGTCTATTATCAAACACGGCTTCTTCAAAAAGAAAAGAGTATCTGGCGAAAACAGAGTCATACATTTAGATATACATCTAATATTTAGTTGATCTTTTCTCTTCAATTATTTCTGGTGAAATAGATACGAATCGGTATTCTGTAGAACTATTTGCTATCTATAAAACGGCATACGACTTGGCTTTAACCATCAAGATTCAAGGAAATAGATGTTTAAGTAAAAATGATGAAGGAAAAAAGTCATAAGAAAAAAGCCTGTATGGCTAACCATATGCGTCTATTTTTTGAAAACCATTTCACCTATAGTTTTTTACTAAAGCAGTAAAATCACACAATTGTTTCACACCTGTAACAATTCCACATCATTTTCATTGAAATCCTCGGGCCCCCTGGAGACCTTCCCTTGTCAGTGATGTTACCAGAAGTTTTGATCCAATAAAGATTGGAGCGGAGACACTAAGCTTTATTTTCTTCCTCTCTAGGTTGTACCCATAACTATCTGTTGCCTAAAGGAAGTCTACTATAGTGATGCCAAAAACCTAAAATTTCAATGGGTAATAGCGCGTTTTGATAATTTGTATTATTTTAGTTCGCATCTCACTGAACATACTTTCACAAAGAATAGAATTCATGATTCTTGATTTTAATTTTGATATGAATAATCAAAAAGAAAACGTACAACTATAGTTTTGCACTTTCTACCTATTGTTTTTCTTCGCATATGAAGCTTTTCATGCAAATACATCCTTATAAATCAATTGCATTCCCTGTTTCGACCGATACTTCAAAGGTATCATCATTCTTATTATTATCAATTTCAATTAAAAAGTCCTATCATACACGAACGTTTCATAAGGCGTATGCGAAAGTTTGAGGCACACGCATTTTTCAAAATAACGTTCGAGCGTTGAATTAGTACGAGATTTTTACACATGGAAAACGTTAAGATAACAAAAGTAAAACGAATATCACCTGCTTGTACTACATCACTTTCAATTAAATCGGCTAATCATGGTGATGAGCCGAGTGTGATATTTGATACATGTTCACAAAAGAACTTCGAACGATCACTGACGCCTAAGGTAAATAAAAATTATCTGATTATTTTAAATGAATTGCTCATCGAGTTGTACTAAAAACTTATGAGAATGAATGTATCTGACGTTGATCAAGAGCCCTTCAGACTGAAAACGACAGAGATGCCAAAAGAGTTACTGTCGAAAATTTCTTTTAGCATTCATATATATGATAGAACCATTTATACTATATAGCATTCCAAATCGACTTTTTTTTCGCTACATAAGGAAACGTCAACTATCGTAGCACTGCCGGGATGAAAATCGATCCTCTTCTGGACTAAAGTAACCACAGCAGAAAGTTTGATGATTCTATCTGTAATGAAGGCTGAATGTATAGCGAACAAATAAACAAGCAAATCATAATTTCTTTACTTTTTAGACACCAGAACAACGATCAGCACCATTTACACGAGATTTTAGTGCAGTTCACGTAAAACGGATTGCCAGTGCACCTAATACTCCTAATTGTTATGCCAAATCATCAAAGACAGATAATGTTTATTGAAAACATGTGAATTATCATCTTTTATTAGGGCAACTTATCTTTTCTAGGAATCAAATAAATATCGATTTAATGATATAAATGTTCAACGTGTATCTACTGCAATGTTGAATAACACTGAATTTAATGGCGGTACAAAATCTTGTGATGTAAAACAATAATTTGATCCATAGGAGAACCTGAAAACAATATGAATCTTTAAACTTTATTTAAGAGTGAATCGAGTAAATCGGATCTATTCAGTCGATCATTATCTCCTACAAGCATTTCGGATACGATCTCTATATCCACGCCTCCGGTATGTTTAACTAAAATGAGTATTATTCTAAAATAAATATTCATTTCTTTAGCTAACAAATAATCTCTCAAAAGCTGACTTATTACGCAAAAATGATAAACCAGCGAAGAAACAGAGTAAAAGTTCTGCTGATGATAATTGTTCATTGCCTAGTGAATCTGAACATGGAACAGTTGAAAGATTTCAGTAAGTAAAAATTATTTAGAATTGTAAAATTACATTGATTTCTATCTTATTATGAATTTATTTTATATAGTCGAGAAAAACGTCGAAAAAAAAGAAATATTTCACGATCAATTTGCCGATTGCTCATGTGTTTACTTTGTCTTGCTCTGTTAGCTGGTGCGATCGCTACAGCTCTTGTTTTAACTTTATGTAAGTACTCGAGGTGGAACATTTTAAGCATACTGGCGTCTTAATCTTGTATATAGCTTTTCAGAAGGTAAGGTTTTCAGATTAGACATTTCTCAATTACCATTGAGTATCCCTCATTAGTCATTCAAATGGTTGCTACCTTTAACTATTATAGACGACGTCATTTCACTTTTTGAAAATCATTTTAAAAATGATCAAAGTAGCTGTCAATCTTTTTCATACTTTTAATCCTGCTAAGAACTGTGCTAAAAAGTTTTCAAATATCGCATATCTTTCTTTAGTTCACAAACCGACAACGCTTACAAGTTCAACAACAACAGCAACGACAGCAACAACAGCAACAACAACAACAACAGTAACATCTACAAGTTAGTAACTAAGTGTTAAAATAATAACCCCAATATTCACAGTTGCCCCTGTTTGTTCGGATTATTATTTCTATTGTCCCATATTTGTCTTGAATCTAAAAGTCAGCTTATCTTCGATATATATATCTTTAACTAAGATAAAATTTTCATCTATGATATTTTACTGTCATCAGGTTCAACATCAACAACGAGTACAGAAAGCAGTACAAGTAAGTAATTGTTCTTTTTTTCGACTCTTTGTCTTTAATAGTTATTTCACCTATTAGTGTAGAAAATCTAGGAAAAAACATTAATTGTAGAGCTTTTATTTCTACTATTTGAGATAGTATTGCTTCAAATTTTATAACTTTCGTGGAAAGAATAAAAACTTAAAGATTTTAATATATACTTCTTAAAAGTACTGATTAAGCGTCCTATATTTTCAGTTGGTAAAAAATAAAGACAACCACATCCTCAATAAGAAACGAGTAGATTGACTTGTACTTCTGAAAAATGTCTTTTGACCTCAATTTTTAAATTAAAAAAAGTACTCGAAAAAATTAAACATCCTCACCCACACTCTTTTGTATCCGTGCTTCGATGTCACAAACATTTTCCTATACTTTCAGTCCTGTTTTTTTTCGGCATAAACATTGACAGTAGATTAAAAATGTGTTTTGTTTTCAGGTTCAACTTCTGCAACAACAACAAGTATGAATAATTAATTTTCTATAAAAAATAAATCTCTTAATTTTCAATAGCTACTTCTGATACAACGACTACTACTAGTAATGAAATTTCATTTCATTTAAAATAATCATCTTAAAAATGATATTTTTAGCAATTGCTTGTAACTTTACTAATGTCGGACCATTACAAGCTTTTGATACTTCAGCACCAACAACATGGACATCATATTCCGCTACATTTGTAGCAACATCAAATTTCACAAGTATTCGATTTAGTTCAGCAACAGCTCAAGCTAATAAAGACTGGTACGTTGATAATGTTTCTGTTATTGAAAATGGTGGTGCAGGTACCAATCTATTACTTAATGGAGATTTTGAGAGTGGTCCGTCGGTCGGATGGGTGATATATTCATGTTCTAGTACATGTTCTGCTTCAATAATATCGTCAACAAACTGTGAGGGTGGTTATGGCTCTTGTTATCATAATTTATGTACACCATCCACTAATATACAGTTTCTCGAACAATATTTTACTACAACAATTGGTGCAACATATAATGTTACCTTTTCAGTACTCAAAGGTGGATCAGGATTAGGTTCAGGCACTGCGATGTATGTGAACGTTATTTCATAGACTTTTTCCTTTAATGGACTTTTCGTTAACATAAATGTTCAAATTATTTGCCTTTTGTGTAAACACATGTTTGACAATGATGTATCACAAGACGATATATGGCCTCACATGAGTCCAACTTGTCATTGACTAATGTAAATTCTTCCTATTTTTCATTTCTTATAATATACCAGGTTGAAAATGATATTTTATTAGAGAAATACCGTTATCATGTCACATATCGTAGATAATGAATTTTATTCTCAATGAAAACCTGTGAAAGAACACATTTTTGAAAACATGGTAAGATTGTCCGCTACTAAAACATAAAGTTTTCATCTTTTAGTTTTTGTCGAGATCTCTTCTCTGATCATTCTGATAAAAACGTTTATCCCATAGAAATGTCCATTTATGTCTCTAAAGTGTGAGAAAACCTTTCATATTTATCATACCTATTTGAAATATAATGTAAAGGCAGTCTCTTTTAATCATAAACGGCTAAATAAACAGTAAATTAATGATATATTGAAAACTAACCTCCGCAAAAATCCAGAATCGGTATTTTCACGTCATAGATTCGCAGAGGTGCAGAATCTTCCATAAAATATAAAATTCCTCTCTCTCCCCTCCCCCGGGAAAATTTTTTCTGAATATTCCCCCAAGCTGTTTTATCTCCATCGCTCACCATCCAACTTTATTTCTTTCTACTTGTTGTTTTCTGACGTGGTTCAAAACAACCGAACCAGGTAAAACTAATTTGAATAGACGGTAATGGTCTGTATTTTTGAAGAAAATCCAGTTTTTATCTTTGAATCGAAAGAAATAGTTGTCGAGGGAACGCTTGATGAATGGATCTGCTAGATGAAGCGGCGATGCATTCCAATCTAACATTGCGCATCAGGAAGATTCTGCACCTCTGGGGCATTTGACATCAATATCGACAAGAAAATGGATACGTCATCCTCTCTGCAGATTTCTTCATTTCAAATACGCACTAAACCAAATCAAGAAATAAAGAATTTTCACGAGAATTAATATCTTTATCGTCAAAGATCAGTCTAGTCGAAAGCAAAGAAAGTCAGATGGGTGAAATTGGTCAATAAGGGGTAGTTCAAGCAAGATTAATAAAATTTTGGCAAGATAAGTAATAAAATAACTGAATGGCAATGTAAAAACTACTTGTCAATCGAAATTCTATAAGAACCGATGTACTCAAAAAGCATTGACAAAAGATGAAATCATCTGGATTAAAAAATGTTTTCGCTGAGTGGATGTTGATGTCATTTCTAATGATGTTGAACAGCTGACATGTACATTGTTATCAGACCTATCAATATGTACTAAACCATCATCGTGATTTCACCAGGATTCATCTGTAGCATCCAAGTGAACGAAGATATTTTTACACTAACTAGATTTTCTTCGTTATTCGGAGCGGTATTCTATATGAAAAAAGTTCTTTAGCCATATCATATATCAATGAAAAGAAAAAGAGCAAAAGGTGGAATCAGGTAAGTTGAAAAAATATTCAGTTTGTCAAAATTCAAGATTCATCAACCAATGCTTGTCATATGATACCGAATCTTTAATCTGCGAATACGAGCATACAACGTATCCACAAGGACGGAGTATCTTCCTCTTTACAACCTCAACCATACGTCACTCATGGATATAGAACATAGCATGAGGAAAAACTTTACACCAATGCAACCGCTAAATGGGGGTTACGACGCGACGCAAACAAGCTCTACGCTACTGCATAGGCGTCGGTGGAGATGCTCGTCAGCATGACCTCATCATCCACATATCTACTATCACATAGGTGGTGCATATAATTGTGTACTTATGGGATCGCCGTCTCACACGATTTCCAACGATAATCCTCTGAAAATTGCAATGAGCAGTCACATGAGTGACAGATGATGATACAACTATCGTCGAATTCAAAATATTAAGTTTGCGATATTTTTTTTTAACATTTCGATGAACGAAGCAAAAATTAGCTTCGATTGAATCTTTCCTTCATGTTCAATTTGTTCCTTGATTTATTACATTTCGTTGTCATTCAAAATACATATAGTTAGATTTATTTCTATGTTCATGTTGTTCCTTGAACCGCCAAAGTAACTTTTTTTTTACAAAGGCCTTGAGCAAAAGCAATCTTACGATAGATCAAATTTAGATAAACTCAATTGCATCGAAAATGTTTTTCTCATATCAAACATGTCTTTTTCCATTTTAATGACGTGATATTTAGGAGGAATCAGTAAGGAAGTTCCAATAAGATTTGTGTCATTACGAACTATCAAGATTCCATTCGATCATAACATATAAACAACTAAATAAAGACTTCGAGACATGGTTGAGCACAGAAATTTGTTTCCTTGATTCCAATCAAGTTTTATGGAAGAGATAACGACAAATGGTAAAATAATTGGAAGTGAACATGGCACGTGTAAAAAGCATAACGATCAGATTGGATTAGAAAAAAAGATAGTTAGTCGAGACCTTCTTCCAGTACTTTATGGAAAGATAACAAGACCTACAAATTTAATCAAATGATAACTTGTTCTGTTGTACCTTGAATTTCGCTGAGGAAATAACTATACGAACGAAAGAAAAGGCTGACTTTTTGGTTATGAATATTATTTCAAGTTTGATGTGCCTTGAAATCATGGTCATTGGATTCATTATTATCGGTTTTTCAATGTTATTAAATTGTATTGATAAATGAATCTTATACTACTATTTTGCCATTTTTCTTCGAGTATTGTAATTATAGTTAATAATAATCACCACGGTCGAAAAACGAAACCTTGAAAATAAACCCGACGATTTATATGCTGTCAAATCGAGAGAAAAAACGGACCGATGATTGCCGTTAGATATAAACTATTAGATATGAATTTTCAAGTGTTTTGGCAGTTCAGGGCTGAGATAGATTTGAATACTGTCTACCGATAAGGATTAAATTAGTTATTTTATCGTTTTCTTCTTTGAGATGCGCAATTTTCTCCGTTCGACGCCTCTTATTGCCTTGCATATGTTCATTCGCTTAGGTAAACGGCCCGACGGTCGTGATTATCATCAAAAAGATGACAAGAGAAAAAAGCGATTGATGGTAACGTTTCTATGACGAAACTGTACTAATATCGGTATTATTAAGCACCGCTTTTCAATGCACAAATCAAGCTACATTAATCAATCATGTATATCTTCTATACACACGAATGTATTTTAAATTGATTCATATCACCTACTTTTTCCTATATATAAATGTATATGTATACATAAATTTATGTGTAGATGTATGTACATATACTTNAGAAAAAAGCGATTGATGGTAACGTTTCTATGACGAAACTGTACTAATATCGGTATTATTAAGCACCGCTTTTCAATGCACAAATCAAGCTACATTAATCAATCATGTATATCTTCTATACACACGAATGTATTTTAAATTGATTCATATCACCTACTTTTTCCTATATATAAATGTATATGTATACATAAATTTATGTATAGATGTATGTACATATACTTTAGTATTTACCTGTCCGATGTTCGGTTCATCCTTCAACGTTCTTCTCAAATCAACTAGGCAATCTAGTAAAATATCTATTTCGTAGTAGGAAGAAGCAATCAATAAGAAATGAGAAGAAGAAAGAAAAAAAAAACAAGTCAAACTTATTACGTGTGACGAAATAGCAGACATCGTCGGGCGACTGTCTTTTCTTTATCGAATGTCACAGATATCGATTTGGGCTGATCATGAACGCATCTTAATTTTGTTATTCATACGAAAAGGAAATATTTCAGACAATGGTTTATCAGTAATCAATCTCGTTTCTCACTACTAGTAAGTACAAAGCAGTCGTATATAAACAGATTATATAAGAGGAAAAGGTGGGAGCAGTTATTTCTATGCTGTCTCATCATCTCTGTTTGAATGTGGTTTAAATCTCCATCATCCTCCACAGTACATGTGTTCCTACATGACTTGTCCCATTGGGCTTAGTAAACGATCATATGTTTTTTTTTGTTCATGAATGTATGCATATATGTGTAAGTATATAAGTACGTGTGTATTATGTGAAAGGAGAAGAATAATGTCGACGAAATTGAGCAACTCGTAAGTCAGTATACTGATGACCTCGACACCTTCGCTACATAAGAACCGTTCAAGTAGAAAATGGCAAGTAGGCCAGCAACTAGAGTGTATACTTATGTAATGATTGTTTCTTCTTTTGTTGTTGTTACTGTTGTTCGATTTAAGCGTTCATTCTCTTGGTCATAATGGTGAGACATAAGCAGCAAACGACAATTGCTTGTTGCTAACACTGTTGAACAAACAGGCAAAGTGGGTCCTTTNGACCTCGACACCTTCGCTACATAAGAACCGTTCAAGTAGAAAATGGCAAGTAGGCCAGCAACTAGAGTGTATACTTATGTAATGATTGTTTCTTCTTTTGTTGTTGTTACTGTTGTTCGATTTAAGCGTTCATTCTCTTGGTCATAATGGTGAGACATAAGCAGCAAACGACAATTGCTTGTTGCTAACACTGTTGAACAAACAGGCAAAGTGGGTCCTTTATGTTGCACGTCTTTTTTTTTCAACATCATTTTTCTTTTTCTTCTTCTTCTTTATTGGACATTATGTCATGTATATGTGAGTGTCGTACGTTCTTTCTTTCCCTCTCTTTTCTTTCTTCCATTATACTAAAATGGTCAGCTGCTGTTCGTATTCCGATCAAATGTTGTCTCGAAGAAAATATGCCAAACGATCCGGTTATTCTATATATCAATGATGATGAGTACGTACTTGACAATTAGTTGTCTGCGATGAGTATTCTTTCTCCTGCTGTCAATCTGTACATATCGAGTATAGAATATCTTTATATGACCTTCGTTAATATCAACTTCTTCAACTGAGTAAAAGATGAAGAAAAAAAGAGACGAGAAAAGTAATTTCATGCTCATATAAGCATTTTGGATTTTAATTTCAATCATCACGAAAATACTTTTCAAGACGCATAAAACTAAGCTTAGTCAGACAGACAGAGCGATGTGTATTGTTTCATTCATTACATACTTAATCTATTCATAAGACGTAATAAGACTCTATTTGTAGATCAGGATCTAGTACAATCAGCGATCAATTGTTCATCCTGTAAGGATGCTTCATTCATCTCGGACTAAACAGAAGTGTGAGCGCATATAATAGATTATCTCTGATCGGCAGGAGGAAGATCAATACTGATTAAATGAAACATATTTCAGACAAAACAATCATCTATAGTTACAATTGCTCTGTTTTTCCTCCATCATTAAGTATCTATTTTGATAATGTTATTCAGAATCATGAAATAACACGAATGCCATCACTTGTGTCATTTGGATAGGTGACAATCATGAGAATGAATAGGCAAGAATCGAGAGAGAATATGAGAGAGACAGAGCGGGAGAGAGACAAATATTACAGAAGAAAATAAGACAGAAAAAGCAAATAATTGATATACATATTCATTCTGCGTAGACGGTGTCTACGAAACCTTGTTTCCATATTGCTCGTTATTAAATGCGATCAATATTTTTCTATCTATTATTGTAAATTATCAAAAAAGCAAAAGACGATGCTAATCGTCTTTTGATCTTTATTAATTTATGAATTACATTGAAAAGATCTTTGATGGAAGAATCTTTTCTCTCGTAATCATCTTAATTTACATTAAGCAGGTAGATATCCGAAATCGATTTTTCCTTCCGTATTGTTATTGTTCTTCTCCTTCTCATCGTTCTTGAAACACTGCCTTACTAGTCTCCTTGAATTGCCATCCTATTTGTTTATCTATCAGCAAAGCAGTATGTTCTAGCTAATTACACATATATTAAATGATGACGATATACTAAAGAAATATGTTTCACCACTAATAAGAAATAAACAAAAAAAAGCAAAAGTTCTTCTTCTTCCTCTTTAGGTCTTTATCCTTCGGTTCTGAACATTGAGCAGAAAAGAATGCGATTCTCGGAAATCAAACTCGACGATAAAACGATACTAATCGATGAAACGCGAACAAGAGCTTCATCGATATCGTTACCATACAGAGATCGTCATTCGCCGAAACATTGCTCCACTGTTCAACAAGATCGCATACCATTCTCAACAGAAAAACCAACGCCTTCGTCTGATTATCTCTATAGAGAAATTGCCAAAGCCATAGGTCGGAATGATTTCGTTGACGAAAAACATTCATGGAAGCGAGCAAGTTGGAGTCCGTCTGTGCCTTACGAGCATGGTTTACCACCGTCGGGAAGACGTCTTGATAATGAATTACCAGTTTCATATCGAAATTTTCATCCTGTACGTATGCGGCCTAAGGTAACAAGATATTATCAACCAAAACAACAATCGAATTCCAGATCATGGGGAAGACCTGCTTCATTCAACGAAAACTACGATCGCTATCTGACTGATTATCAATCTGAGAAACTCACTAATTCATCCTTGGTAAGTAATAAAAAGTATTGTCCATATGTGTTTGTTGCCATTGAACTTCCATAACATGTTTACTCAATCAAGCAATATTCAAAGGCCATTTTAGTATCAATTTGATTGCATAATAACATTGTCTTAATGTGCTTTTTCGCTTTTCAAGAACCAATTAGTAATAGAACAGGAATAAAAACATTGTTTTGATTTCCTTGCATAGAATCGTACAAACACCTTTTCGATCGAACAATGTGAACCTTCATCGTCATCCTCGTCATCTTCGGTTGACACAATAGTGCAAATTACAACACGTGCATCGCCTTCACTAGATACAAGTGACTTTATCAGTGATACATCGACTGCTTCATCAGTAACAACGACAAACACAGTGACATCCTTAGCTTCAACCATTCTCTCTCAAGCATCTCGACAACGAAGTCCTAGTTACGAACGTCTCTATTCATCAGCTATTCGTCCGCTTTTGAATGAATATCAACAAGAAATCTCTTCGCAGATCGATTACAAACTTTCACCACCAGTCTCTCAAGCAAATACCAATCGTTCATCATCGTCTCCAATTTCTTCTCTTTTCACGGCTTCTTTTCCATTCACTTGTTCGAAAGGTCATGAACCAACATTGTCATCTTCCATCGGGTCATCTTTAAATCAATATGCCGGGTTTACTTCACAAACATTGAATATTGATACAATTGGAGACAACATTAGTTCTCCAACAATAAAAACAACACGTAGTGTAATGACTATGTCAATGTCACCTAATCGCCATAATAATCAAATGCGTTCGGCAAAAGCGATCATCACAGCAGCTCAAACATCACCTATCGCAAACGTCACAATCACGACAAACAATACGGATGGATTAAAGCAGCAACAGCAACGAGATCAAACAGAATCGTGAGTGAATTTCACATCAGCCTGTCTATATTTGCTCTTCTTTCTTTCCCTTTTCTCTCTCTCTCTTTCTGTTTCAATGAAATACTAATTAAAAACCATCTGACAAGTGATTGTCAGTTCGGTGTTGTTTTGTTTTGTTTCATTCAATTTAAGCTCTCATCTACATATACGTCTCTGTCTATCTAGAACAAGTGTGTCGAATAACGGTTGTTTAAAGTCGCCAACAAATAAAAACAATCGAATAAAAAAATCTGTTCATTTCGATTGTCATTTGCCTCGAAACATTCGCGTAACTTCGCCAGTACCCATCAAGGAAAGTTGTTGTTGTCGTAGTATAACATCAACTACAGCCAGCAGCAGCAGCGATAATAATAATTATCGGCCAACGGTTACAATTGCATCTTCATCACCTTTATTCAATGGTAATGTCGATGGCGACAGTGACGAACAAAAGACGCTATGTGATGATCAACGTCTTGTCGGGACATCGAGAGAAAATGAGAGAAATGAAACAACGAGGAGGACAATTGCTGTTAACCCGCTGACCACAACCACACGTACAATTCTACGTTCTTTTTCTCTCTCTCCCTCGCCGCTATCGAAAGAAAAGAGTAACAGCGATAGCCGAGGACAAGAGCAAGAAGAAGAAGAAGAAGAAGAGAGAAAAAAAGAAAATGTCGACGAACTAAACTGCACTACTAGTCGACGAGTAACAACTGCTGCTACTCACCTTCATCGCACTACCACCACTGCTACAGTCACTTTCAATGACGGCAGCAACAACGTCTCGCAAAAAAAAGAATCGAATAATACGAACAATTCCAATACAAGTACGAATGACCTCTCCTTCACGTTTTTTTTTCAAATCAATCAATGACGACTTTTTTTCTTCTTCATCTCCTCTTATAGATTCTATAAAACGACAATCATTATCAGTTGATAGATCTATGCCGTTAAACAATTTACTTGTTAAAACATCTTCACTCAGTACAATAATCAATCCGCAGATTTCACAACAATCGCCCACTTCCTCTACAGCAAAGAAACTACTCAGTAATGGATTTTTAAGTCTTATTGGACGTTCGAACAGCAATCATAGCAAGTCATCGACATCGACCGAAGAAAATAAACAATTGCGACGTACATCGTCCACCCAGCTACGTGCTCAGCGAAAAGCTAAACAGCAGACGACATTAACAACAGGGACAAACGGAAATAAACGTCTCAGTGCGGATGTCGAATCTATTCTTCCTGTATCTTCAAATAATAATCATCATCATTGTGAAACATCCAACGAAGATACTCATACATTTGACAAGGTTGCAACAAGTCAGGCGAAAGAACGACAATCTACGATGTCTCTTGTCTCAACACCAACGGACAAGAATATCAGTTCTTCGAATATCGGTGAGTGTATGAGAGAAGGTCAATAGAAGAGTTGACGACGATGATGACATGTTCGAAAGTATACGTAGAGTGTATTTGAAGGTTTTTTCATTTTTCTTTCTTTTTGTTCTTCTCTTTCTTTCTAATATCGTTATTTAGATTCATCTGTCCCACTGTGCACAAACAGTAATGGTATTACAAATTCCATCTCGATGTCAACGAACTCTTCGACGACAATTATTAAATCTGACGAAGGAGATTCACTAAACAATGGTCTTCTTTTTCGACCGGTAACTGATCCGAAATGTGATTATGTTTTACACAATCATCAAACAGTACAAAAGGAACCCTTCTTTCTTTCACCACCTAAATCATTATCTAATGGAGATGAATCGACAATGATGCAAACATCAACACTTATTATTACAACACCTCCACAATATCATTATTATCTTTATCCTCCTATCAATAATACAAATACATTATCATCGTCATCTTCTTCTTCATCGGTTTCATCGTCATCGAAAAAAAAATCGAAAGTCATTTCGACGGCCAATCGCACAATCTCCAATGTCAGTATCAACAGTGTCAGCACGAGTTCATCATCATCCTACCCATCCTGTGAATCTCAACCTCCTGATAATGATTATCAGCAATCAAGTCAAATTCCACTCAATGCTGAAGATGAAACATTGTCAAGTTCAACAGTTTCCATTGCACACAATAACATTATGAATAATAAAACACATCAAAAGAAAGTGGTTCATTCTGCCTTGATCGATTGGAAGTTGAAATCATCGTCAGAAGTTAACGGTGATTCGACAACAAAAACTAAACCTGTTATATTATCTGACTCTGTGCAAGCCTTCTGGCCTCCTCCACCTTCACCATCAACACTAGGCAAACACTCTGGATTAACAACTGCTGAACAGGTAAGATGATCGAAAAAAACTCAAAGAAATTTTCTTGCCAATTCACTCGATTCTATCAAATCTATAGGCTAAACAATCAGAATCAATACCAATACCAAATCATATTCTGAGGTAAAAAATCATTTTCATTTCTTTTGTAAATATTGAATTTTTCATACAACTCGTCGGAAACCTTACATATCATCTGTACAGTATATATGAATGAGTTCCTATTTGTTGTAGTTCAAGTTATAACAATGAATCAATGAATGCCAATCATACTGATCTATTATCAACAAAAGAAGAAATAAGATCTTACACAGAAGAACACAGATTTAATAGTGGTTGTCTCAGAAATGGTATGTTTTAATAACCTTATATCGATTTTCTTTTCTTCTATTCACGCAAAAACATTTCGATGTATTTTGCGTCGTATTACTTATCATCACGCAACTATCTCAATGGCATGAGTTGTTTTTGAAATGAATCTATCCTTGAGACAGACAGAAGAAACTTAAGTAGTCGTGATCATTGCCATCGATATGTCTCTCTTTTTTTTTTGTATTTCATGTTTTAGTCAGGTTTTTTTGACTTCGAAGTGTTTATATAATGTATGTAAATTGAACTCGACGGCAATTTTCGAGACTCAGAAGAAATTTGAATATTTTCTCGTGTAATTCATTTCACAACATTTGTCTATTGAAAATTTATCTCATTTCTTTGCTTTCTTTGTTACTTTATCTTGCTAAAAAGAAGAAAAGAAAGACTCGTTACTCTTTTCTTTTTCCTTTTTTTCGTGTCGGTGTGTATAAAACATGAAGAATGCGTCTTTTTTCTTCTAAAGGCGTCAGATTGGACTATCGATTTTTATTCTCTATTCTCTCAGCTTTCAATTCAGCATGACTAAGTTTTTTTCAAAATTTGCATCAATTGACATTCTTTTTTCCTCTTTCTAGCAAGTGATACTTCTCTCGAAGATACTCAGGCATCCTATACCGAACGTTTGCGTGAAAAATCGCGTTCAATATCAATGAACGGACCAAACGATATGTTGTCCAACTTCAAACGATCGGTATCCAAAGATGCTCTGAATGATGGTCACATGCGATCCAATATGCATCTAAATTTCCAAGAAATTCCTTCAAGAAGTGAACATGTGCTTCGACCAAAATCGGCTGGTCAACAAACACGAACAGCACATATCATCTCAAGGTCACCAGCGATCGAAAATGACTTTCAATCGAAACGAGAATTTTTCGAAAATCGCACCTATACAGACAATACTTCATCGAATCTTTCCTTAACATCAATTCAAACCAATATATTACCAACGAAACCCAAAATATACACCTTATCTCCATCAACTTCTCAGACCAATAACAATAATCGTCATCTTCCACACCAGACACTATCAAATAACAGTCCTCAGCGTAGTATAACCAGGTAGACATTTTCTTCTCCATCTTTTTCTTTCAATGAAAGCAAAAAAGGACAAGGATAGAGTCTTCTCTGCGAGTGACATTTTCTTTGTTTGCAAATAGATTAGTCAAAATAGTAAAAGCTATACATTAGAGTACATAGATAATGACGATGGCAGGTGGAAAAGGCAAACTGTGCTCAGACATTAGTCGACATATAGACGCAAATGATTTCCTTGGTAGAAAGAGATAAATTGCTTATATAGTTCAAGATGTTCTATTAGTGTTTTTACTTGACACAGAAATTATCTGAGCACCGTACGATGCATAATGAATCGTGTTTCTAGCTCATAATTTTAAATTTTTAATCAAAAGATTCGCCGCTTAATTCTAAACATCAGTCAACGATTCATTGAAAAAGTAGATTTCTCTTTTATGTTTGAAATATTAAATAGCAGAATGACAGATTAAACACTTGTCATCTGTCAGCGTATTAATCTAACGATATCGTATCATGTTTCTCGATTTCCATCATGAGTAATAGTTCTCAAAACAGGGGGAACGATCAACAAGCATAAAAGTGACTGATGGAGAACGCAGACGATTCATTCAATTACAAATGTGACAAAGAAAATAGAGTTCAAGACATTGAGCTAATCTGACTAGCAGCTGCTGTGTTTCTCATTTTCAATAGTAGGTTAATACGATAAACTTGTCTATAGTACAGACTGTGGCTTATTTTTTGAATAGAAGGCTTACTTGTTATTCAGTATTAACATATATAAATGTAATTGTTTAGACGATCTTGGAATGATTTATCATTCAGACAATTACAACCTCCATCAACACCCCCACCACTTCCACCACCTATGATTCCTCCTGCTCCAGCATCGTCTGAAGCATATTTTGAATCCACATTAAACCAAACATCGTTTGTTCCAATTCCAACCATTCGAAAACCAGTTCGTATCGTCAAAGCAATTCAACGTTCTTCGCCTCCTACACCTGATTTGTCTCTACTCACATCGCGTCCATTGACAACATCGAAAACTTATTCACTCGCCAAGCCCGGTCTGTTCTCAGCATCGCCGATCAGTTCTGCTCAAAAACTTCCCAGTAAATCTTCAACTACAACTCCTCGACGTTTTCCATCACGTGACGAAAATGATCTACAATCGAATCTAAAAGAATTTCTTCTTCGTTACTCTCACAATCATTCATTAAATGAACTAGACCGATTGACTATCTCGAATGATTATCATTTGAGTACAGACTATGCTCGATCATTGTTTCCGATACCTGATCGTTTACGACGAATACGTTCCCGACAGAGTTCAGGCGGTGATACGAGTTCGATCACGACATCAAGTAATTCATCATCAGATTATATTCATCGAACAGTATCGAATGATAGTTGTATTTTCGATGACGACGATACTCTTCGACAAGCGGTAAAGGTGAAATTAGAAGATTCATTTTCTAACTTGACTTTTGTTTTCTAGGAAGATTTGTTGTGCAGTTTAAAGAAGCGACTGGAAAGTTTGAAAGAAAATCAACGAATTATTCATGAGGAAACAGAAGATAATAAAATTCTTGGTGCTAAACTAATCAGTATCATTGAAAGTACTGCGGAACCTAATGAAATTGAAAAATTTAAACTACATATTAATGAAATCGACACGATAACATCGGTTCTGCTCAAACTAAGTAGTCGACTAGCTAAAGTTGACAATGATCTATCAAGTCTTCCTGAAAACAGCGAACAGATCAAGGTAAGACGAAATCGAAATTCGATGCAGAAGTGAACTGGAAATTTCCTCTTTCAGGCAAGTCTAATCGATCGGCGTGAAAAAGCGCAACAAAAACATGATGAAGCCAAATCTTTGAAAGATGGTATCGATCGTCGTAGTCGTACCGTGACAACTATTCTTCGTAAATATTTTTCCAACGAACAATACGATGATTATGAACATTTCATTCGAATGAAATCAGCCTTACTAATCGATGGAAAGGAAAACGAAGAAAATATTTCAATAATCGAAAAACAAATTGATATTTTCAACCATATCCTAATGACAGATTATCCACATGTATCGACCGGAAATTCTGCTGGTAATCTGCAAACGAACTCATGGAAACCTATTTCGAGCACGGCCTAGTCGTTTTCTTTTTCTCTCTTTCTTTTATCGATAAACATTTATTTTTTCAAGTCGAAATATTTCATCATTTTGTGTTCATTATTGTCTTTATATTATATAAAACGAATATACATATAATAACACGGATTTCTCTTGTTTGTCAACTGGCTCTAACGATGCTCGAATTCGAACAAAAAAGAAAGATGCTTGAAGATTGACATCGCATTCATGTCATTTATTTCACACGAAAAAAAAGAGATTAAGTTGGTCACGTTCGTTGGTAAATCGAAATCCTTGAGCATAGAGAATTGATGGTATTGTATTGAATCGATTCGGAACAGGATGCAATATGTAATATGTAGTTATGTGAACTGGCAATTAAGAACATTTTAACGTTGAAGAATGCATTTGAAACGGATGTCATGGAAAGAAATGTTTGTTCTTCTAAGATATAAAGATCGAAACAGTCATTCTTACATAACTTCCTGTTCGAAACGACGACTATGAAGGAGAGTGTACTATTGAAGAGCGCAGACTTTAGAGTGTTCAATAATCACTTTCCGGATTATGAGCGTTTCTTTTATCAATAGAAGAATGATAAAAGCCAATAAAGAAACGTGATTTCTAAGCAATTTAAGCATTTCGAACAAAACTTATTGTCATCAGGATTAAAAGAGAAAGTTATTCAGAATCTCAAGGTGTGTGGCAATGGCCTATGAATAGTAATCTTTCACACACTTAAACAAGATCAAAGGCGCCAGTAAGGAGAAAATATCCTTGCGTACAAATAGGTTTTTTTTTATAAATCAACCAAATATAAATTGTACTTATGTAGAACTATCTAAGCCCTAAATATAATTCTGCACTGATCGATCTGGCAAGACGATAGCGCACAGTTGAGCAAAATTATACACGTGTTACATATGCATATATAGCTAATATTTACGTGTCAACTGGAATTTGGTGATTCTCGCTTCTATGATGCTCTTTAAAAAACGATTATTATTATCCCATGATGAATTATCGGAATGAAATTTCTCTTATGCGTTAAGAAGATGTATTGGATCCGTCTTTAACAAAACCACGTATTGGCAAAGGCATATCAGTAATTGATTCAATACCTAGTTTATTTCACAAGATCTATGCATTGATCAGAGAGTTTGCTACCTGCCGATTGCACAACCTTCATCTCAAATATAATTGCTTAAAAACGGCAAAACTTAGACATTCACTTCATTTTATCAGTGAAACCACTGAAAGAAATCTTCATTATCATTCCAATCCATCACACCTCGAAAGTTCAAACAATCAGATTAATTGCAGAAGCCATGTATGTCAATCAAACAGTTCATGACTGACATATTCTGATAATAGCCATTGCATCTGATAATGATCGGATGAATGAAAGATAAAAATTCTGCTAAACCACGCAAATCATATAACTCTTGTTTTAATTTCTTCGATCATCTAAATGCCAAATACGATCAAAAGCTGAACTTGTGCCGTCTTTCATTTACAATAGCTTCAATCAGTGGCACAAACAATGAGTAGGTCAAATCTGAAGGCTCCCAGGGAATGCCACATTCTTGTCGTGACTTCTTTTATTCTTATCGTGCAGAAATCCACATTGTACAAATTAATTTTGTGATAGATAAATATCGTAACATATATGAAACAATGATATTTTATTTATATTTCAGCCTTTCAATTACAGTAACTGTGTTATGAACCCCGGATGATTTGTTGAACAAGAGAATCCATGTGGAATAATGTGATCCGAAACGAATCTATTCATGTCATGAATAGAGATGTGTTATTCATAGATGAAAGTTATTCTACTTCGCTGATTACTTCCTTGCGGGTGCCTTATAGGTTCAAAACGATTTCAGAAGGTTACAAATTGATGGTTCAATATGAAACATAGAATGCGTCTCGCTACAAACTTCAAATGATATGTCAGCGCAATTACATGTAATGAACCATCGATTAGAAGCTCTTTGTTAACAAATCATCAGCACAATTAGTCATTTCTACTCAATGACATGAGTCATAAACAAAGATATTGCTTAGAAACGATAACAGTTGTTTCTAATGATAAAATTTGCACAGTAAATTACCAAAACTTCTTTCTTATCAAGTACTAATTCACAGAACATAGATAGAATGTAATTTGTAGACAAGCCTATCGCTAATCTCTTGTGTTGTGATAACAATATATTAGTCTCGAATAATAAACAATGTTTATTTTATTCCAACGTGTTTTTTTTGCTCGATGTGAATCTCTAAGGAAAATGTTCATCTATTTGCCTTTGTCCACATTGAACTGAGGAATATTTCCCGATCACTTAGTAAAATTCAAGTCTTAATTGTCTTCTAATTGCCTACATGAGATATCGGATGATAGATAACATTCATTGACCTGCTGCAGCTAAATCATCTGCGTTGAGATTCGAATATTTACACGATCTTATCACTGTAATCAGTAATGATCTCTTGAAAAAGCAAAAACAAATGAGCCATTAGTTGAATTGTTCATTTCGAAGAAATGCGGCCGTTCCATTTAACGAACATTTGAATCATGTCAAATAAATCAGAAGTGGAGAAGCCTTTTCACGGATATTGTTGAACACTTGAGAAAATTTCAAATCAATCGACACCCTCATTTTCAATTCAATCTTTTAAAATAACATCATTATTTGCTTTGATCTTATTTGAAGTCGTATTTAAGTAACGAATCCTACATCGTTCAATGTCGATCCACTTGTTAATTGTCACATATGGAAAGTGATCGCCGTTAATCAGCACTTTTGCTAGACATTCTTTCCATCTAATTAAACGAATAGAAAATAAATCAACATATCTGATCTGATCATCAACAGAATGATATCGAGAAATAAGATATAAATATGAGCAGATGGAATAACATTCGAAAATGTCCTGCTATTTATTTAACTTTTTATTCGCAAGTATTTTAATTGAAATCAGTCTAGCAATGTATGACTACAGTTGAATGGCCAGATGCTTATTAAATATGAATGAATAGAAGGTCGCTGAAAATTGAGTGCAAAAAAACTTTCTTTCTTCCTACGTTTCTTGATGATTAATTGTAGTACACTCATTGCTCCGAAAGAGCGAAAGGCTCGGTCTGTCTTCGAGGTTTGTTGTACATCAATCTTCAGGAGTGAAAAAGAAGAAGGAGAAGCCAAGTAGAAATGCAGCTGTAAATTATGACGACGACGACGACGACGATGATGATGATGATGATGATGATTGACGATCATAAATGTCAACAATCATTAGACAAAAAGGTTTTATTTACAAATGAATATGATGAGTTAGGTATCCTTTTTCTTCGAGCAAATTATAGACGTTGAGGTTTTCTTAGTGTCTGACAAATGATTAGAAATTTGGAAGAATAAGGAAAGTTAATTGCCCATGGGGTCGATTTTATGAAAACATCGTCAATTTTTGGCAATGTCAACTGACAAAGAAAACTAATAATTCTCTCGAGTCTATCATTAATCAGTATTCATTCTTGCATTTTTCAAGCACATCAAGTATCGTCTCAATCCATATGTGTCCATCTTGTATGTGAATAGCTTACTTACTTTCTTTCTTTTCTTTTTGATTTCAACTTATGTACGTGTGCATATATGTGTGTGTGCTTTGAAGTATTCAATTCATTGAGTAAATGAAGATCAAAAGAAATAGAAGAAGGACGATACATATTCTTCATTTCCGACATATGCTCATAGATCTATTTAAAAGGAGAATCTATTGCGTGCTATCGGTTTCGATTGATAGATCATTCCGCTACTACAAACAATCATGTCAATGTATTATCTAGTGATCAAACGTAAAAAAAAGACAATGTAGACAAACATTCAATCGAGGTAGTTAAAGAGAGAAGAAATAAAAATAAAAAGAAGAACGAGCGGATGTGTTCGACATGTCCCATCTGTCAATTGAAAATATTCATAGAAATTAGATTAATACATTTACCTTTGTGGATAAGAATGAAAGAAAGAGATTAAGTTTTAGGAATAGAAACATTGTGTATTTCATGCTCAGTTCCTTCCGGAGATGCTATCATGCACTCCTAATTTGTCTTTCTCATTTCTACAATGAATTAAGACTGCATAGACATCTTTTTGGATTATTATCCAAGCTGCTTATGATAATTGAGCACTTTCTTCTCTTGTATTGCATATCTAAACAATACTGAGAGATAAAATATGAAAAGCGGATTAGGAAAAGATTTATCTTTCTCCTAATAAGAATTCTATCTCTCCTTCCTTCATTGCGAAGTTGATTGTTAACATAAAATTAACATATGAAATCATCCTTTCGTCAGGTATTCGTCTGTTTTTTACGACTATATTAAATATGATCACACTATGTGTTCCGTTAGATGAATATTGAGAATGTACTTCACACATTCTAGCGATTTCTCTCCATGTTTTTTTTTTCTTCAATAGGTATTGTTGAACTCGAGACAACAGATTATATCGTACTGTGACTAACAAAGAGAATAGACGGCCAGCATTACAACGGTGTGACAGAGAGGCATTCATCATTCTTTCTCTCTCTCTCTCTCAACTCCCCTTCTTTGTTTAAGTGCCAATGTGTATGTGCATTCGATGATGGTGTCAAAAATGCAAATGCGAATTAATTCTTTCTCTTCAACTCATGTTCGCACATAGAATGGCGACCGTGATTATATTGTATAGTTAACTATACTAGTTTTCGTGAAAAGAATTCATTGATGAAATATTCGATTCCATCTCAAGAGGATCTCAATTTGATATGAATAGCAACGAGAAAAAAGAATGTATGATATGTCGACTAATATTTTTCTTTTTACAAACGGAATAACAATTCAAAGGTGATTGATAGTACACTGTATACAGACGAGAATCTGAGCCATGTGTTGTTTAGTTGACAGCTGGCGTCGTGCATAGAAACTAAACTATTGAACTATTGACACGCACATCCATATACAGTAGTCGGAAGATAGATGCGAGTGGATTAATGATTGCAAGTAAGCAAGCAAGCAGAGGATCAACCGATGAGAATATACACAACAGAACGAGACTCTAGGCAAATATCAAGCAAATGCAACAGGAAAAAAAAAGTGAAAGGGAAGACATACAATAATAATAATCACAATCATAACAAAAACAACAACAATAGTCAGCTTATGGAATCACATTTTTTCAATATTTTCGTGACGGTACTAAACATACATATGAATAGTCGTGTTGATGGGAGTAAGACAAATCAAATAGGTGGTGCCTTTTGATATTCGTCGTAAACTGTTTCCCAGTCGACTCTTTTTCCTTATTCCATCATCATATCAAACAGATGAGAAAGCAAAGCAAATTGATTCTGACGCCTTGTCTCTGATTATTTGATTTGTTATCCTTCGGCAGAAATTAATCAAAGAGATTATTTCAAGTATTTGCTTAAATCATTCATGTCGTTTCTTTAGGCCATAATTCCATCTCTTACACAGGCAAAGAACTGTAAAGATTACTCTATCATCAGTCGACTGGAGGTTTCATTTTTTATCTTGATCATGACCTTTTTGCTAAATGACTACAAGTAAACTCTTTGTAGTTCACATGAACTTGTCGAACATTTTGTTGAGAGATCGATCGTCTCTTCTTGTCGATTTTCTTTTTCTTCACATAAAAATGTTAGATTTCTGTGTGTCAAATAAATATCCTATACACCATCTTGATATGTGTACACAACGAAAAGATTATGATGATGAATGAAAAGCTACACGCACACGTGAGAAGATGCTATCTTGATCGAGCATGCAATACACAACTCGTCTTTTTTGCTCTTCTTTTTTCATCTCCACACACACGTCCCATCTCGACAATAACTAACAGCAATAGATAGAATGTGAATGTGCTGTCAGGCGATGCTGATTCAATCTTCTATATAGATAAAAAATAGAGTAATCGAATCATGAATAGGTTTTCTGTTCACTAGNAAGTGTCTAATTAAAAACAATTTTTTCTGTCGTAATGATCACGTCAATTAGTCGAGAGAAAAAGTTGCGAACTGAAGGTTATGCATATTTTCAGGTGCTTTTCTCCTGTTAGATATTTTTAACTTGTCGAAAGAAATTTCTTTTTCTCATTCATCATTCTCGTTTATCGGTTGCGTATGTGTCTTCAGATATTGACTAACAAGTCGCGAAAAGGAAAAAAACACATATTCATACTTCGAATATTTTCTACTAACAGACCTATGTCGAATATCAATTAAAATTAGATTACAATTTATGTTAAGTGTTCTTAAAGACAGCCTGTTGCCTTAGTTCGTTTCTTTTTTGTTTTATATCTTCGGTTATTCTTAGACATTTCTTTAACTATTTAATTTTCAGCTGTTACACACTCGACGACACTCAATCTTTTCTTTTTTTTTTCTTTTTTACCATAATCTCTCGGGATCGATGAATGTGCACATTGGGATTCTAATCTAATGAGTGTGTGTATTGAACCGAATGAGAGAAGACCAGGTGGCGGAAGTGAAGAAGTGGGCGGGTAGCTTGCGAGTGGAGGAGATTTAAAGAAAAAGGAAAAACAACGGCTCATATATCGGCTAGAATTACCAGTAAACGGATCTTTCTATTCTAGATTGACAATAATGGCATTAGCGACGTCGTCAACAACAAAAACACAATCAGCTGGTTCATCATCTATTGTTCCTGTCAGTCATCCACAATTTACGCGTAATGCATCATGTCCAACTCAACGAACATTGTCATCAACGATGAATAATTCACTTCAGAAAAAGTATAGTTCATCATCTCATACTTTGCAGACATATTTCAATCAAGTCGATCAACGTTCAAACACGATTCCATCACAGCATTCGACCAATTTAGAAAATAAAAATTTTCTTCAACGACTCAAAACTCGTGTTGTCAACTTATTTAAACATATGTCATATGGTGGCAATCCAATAAATAATGATGATAATCTATTGGATATAAATCAACAATCAACATTTATTTACGATCCTGAACTTGATTTACGAGAAGAACATTTATCACTCGTTGCCAAACGTCTATTGACCACATTACGCGAAAGCAAAATCAAACATTTATCATGTGACAATCTGTTTATTCCATGCAATCATATTCGTAACATTGCGCGACAATGTTTGATCATGTCAGCTGAAGAACCATTTGGTATTATGGGTGCGCAAATCAAAATCAAACTCACTCTTCTCTCACCCAACCTCACGACAACAATCACCAAATATTTGCCGATCATTCAGATTAACCCGAAACAAAAGACCACGTTCGAAATCGAAATCGATCTTCATGAAGATACGAAAGTGTTTACGATGCGACGACTTCTTCCATCAATGAAGATGTTCAAACAAATGAGAGAACGAAGTCCATTGTATGTAAGTCCCCGGTGTATTCTTGTGAAAAATGTCTTCTATAAAACAGCTGAACCCAAACGAGCTATTATCAATTCATCCTGATAAATTCAATCGAACAAAAAAAAGAAAGAAAGCTTTTCAAGTATTCAACAAAAAGAAATCAGACTTATGTCACTTCTTTTTTTCCTTCTTTTTTTTCTGTCGATGTAGGCAATATTTATTCATATAGTTTATTGTTGTCTGGTTCATACAATAGGCGAATCATGTATTTGTTTTCTTATCTCTATGACAAGATCTGTTCGTCGTCAATATCCTTTAGTTTAAGTCAGATGACGATGAAACATATGCTTTTTGTGTGGGTGTGTGTTTTTCCGTGTCGATTAGAACTATTTATTCTTCACTATTTGTTTTCTTTTTTTTTTGTCTATGTTTAACTGTGAGAATGATCCATTACATCGCCATGTCCTTTTGTGTTCTATTTCTATTTTTTGTTCTTTTCTTCGTATTCACTCACTCTCATTTCGCTATAATTTTTTCTTCTTAAGAAAAAAAAAAGTAAAAATATTTAAATATTAATCGAGATAAGACTTCCTATATTTATATTATCTATTTTTTGTTGTTGTGATCACTTGAAGAATCAAAAACCTGCCATTTCCTCACTTCTTTTGTCTACATTGTACCTTCTTCTGGTTTTTTTCTCTGCCATTCACAATAAGCATTTCTTCATTCTTCGAACAATGTGTGTCATTTTTTTTTTCGTCTTAACTATATATAACTATCTATACATTTATCTATCTATTACATGTTTATGTGTTGTTTGTCTTGTTTTGTAATGCGATGTTCTTACACATACATATGTTCTTTTTTAAAGTGAATCTATATCTATAGAGACATGGTTGTGCCGGTCTTCCGATAGAAGCAATAAAAAAGAAAAAAAGAAGCTACAGACACGGAGAAATTAAAACGTTGTATTGTTGTTATGCGAACTGCAAATATTGACAATCACGATATAAAGTTTCTTTTTTTCCTGCTCTTTCATCGCTTTTTTTCTTCTCGTTCTTTACTGTTGACCAGATAAGAATCAAACGTGAAGCATAAAACAGCTGATTTACTCTTGCTGTGCGAAGAAACGAACAACACGCAAACACATATGTTAATTTGCGCGTTGATGAGAAAGAGAGAAAGAATAGTAGCGTGTCGGTCTAAAGAGAAAATAATAGAAAGACAGGCATCCAGCTGATGAAAGAACGAAAGAACTATGGATATGGTCTGCTTTGCACATACATACATACATACGTGCATATAAATATATGTGGGCATGGTAAAGATTTTGTGAGTAAAAAGTCTCGTTTTTCTTCCTATTGACGGTGTTCGTACGCAATAACCCCTGTTTAATGAAGCCGATGATCAATGATGAAGTTCAGTATCTGCTGAGTATATCAAACGATTTTTCTTTTTTCGCTTAACTTATACAATTACTGCGTCGATATGTGCTTAGATACTGGCAAGTAGGTAGGTAATAGACTGAAATGAATTGATTCAAATCGTGTTGTGCGCGAATGTGCGATGATAGGAGCGAAGGTCATCATGATATCGATAGTAGTGAAGAGAACGAAAGACAGGAACGGGGAGAATGTGAAACATGTCGAGAAAACGAATAGAAAATATACTGTCGTAATGATGCACACAATGCATGTATCCATGCGTCGTTTTTCTTCTCTGCTTCGTGTTTTTCTCTCTTATTCGCTCGACTACGGATACTGTATTTAATGATATGCTGAGACAAGAAGAAAAATTGATGCAAAAAATACGCATGTACGAATAAATAAGAGAAAACGCAGAAAAAATGTACTGATTCAAATAGAAAAGGACAGGCGGCGTGTTAGAGCGAAAACGGGTAGCGCATCGGCGACACCGAGCAACGTGATTGATTACTGGGAACCCTCCTGCTGACAGAAATCATTCGGGCGTCAGTAATGCCCGACACGTACTCAACTCAATAATACAAGGCCACGCTGAGCCGAGTAAAAGTGGCCATTTATGTTAAATAGGTCCTAGCTTAAAAAGGCAATATATCTTTTTTTCTATGAATAAAAAAAGCGAGAAATGCAGTCATTTTGTAGACGTGATGTCGGCATCATTCCTTATCTATTTCTTTCCACACACAACATGCAATACGTGCATGATGTCTGTAAATGACTAAGGCGTAGTATCCTTCGGAATGTATTCGTATCTGACGTACGTTTACTATGACTTAAACATGCATATATATGCTAGTAGCATAAATTTTTTTGCGTCATATGTATATAACAAGTCGTTGAGAATATTTTGTCAGTCATTCTATTTAAACGATCTTTTCTCACGATTCGAACAAGAACGTTTTTCATTTGGAAGTACATTGCGTCAAGTCACTTTCACTTTTTTGTTCAAGTTTTCAAATAGATCGAACGAATGTTAAGAGCATTTGACAACAATGGTCCTCGTATATACCAGCTGTTGTCTAAAACATAAAAGCTACTAATCCCATATCTATACATTTACTTTTTTTCTTTTCTTCGTCGTTTTTCTCTCTCTCTCTTTTCTCTTCTCTTCTCGTTCTTTTTCCCTTTCTTTGCATTTTTTTTTCTTCGTATGTATTATTTCAGACCATTTCTTGATTGTCATCACTCATATGATATATTAATAAAAAAAAAAACGAAAGAAAGAAAAGCAAGCAATGTCAGCCATCAGTAATCCTGGTACAACAACAACATTCGGACGAAACTCTTCTTATCCCACATGTGAAACGTTATCTTTCCATTCTCATAATCAGTCGGGTGTTTATAATGGACGACGATGTTCATCAACAACAATACTTCCTTCAGTAAACGAGCAATCTTTGAAAGGGAATTCTGTCAACTATCGCACACTTGATCGGCAAACACATCTGAATTTAACCGAAAATTTATCTTGGTTAGAACGTTGTAAACAGCGTTTGACGAATCTTTTCAAACAAATATCCAAATCGAACGCAGCTAAACAAGGTAAGCACACGAGGAAAATTATGAAGTTTTTCTTTTTGATTCATCCATCGGAAAAGAGCCATTCAATATGTTGTTTATATAATCTGATTGTATATGCATGTGTGTGAGAAACAGAATGTTCTTAATCATCTTTATCTTCTTTTACGCGTGTTCTTTCTCATTTGATTATTGATTCTGCTACTACGATACCTCGAGAGAAGCAAATTTCATCGGCAACAGTAAGCGTACAAAAAAGCCAGTCAATATCGCCTGTACTGTTTTATCAACGTAGTCGCAGTAGCTTTAATATTTACTTTCAGCAAATATTTCCCTGTACACAGTTCTTCTTTTCTTTTTTTACTATTGTTGTCAATCTGATTAATATAAAACTATGGCGGCGTTGACTGTGTTTATAGATTTATGTGTGTATGTACATATAGCATGGACAAATATCGATCATCAACAAAGCAACAGAGAGAGAGAGAGAAAGAGGAAGATAGAGAAGCGATCTAGAGCGAGAGGATTTGTTTTCTTAATAGCAACTGTACACCATCATGTTGTATATATGTGTATATGCCGCTCGTCTGTTTGATCCATCGATCAAATTGACAAGAAAAGATCAATGAACATTAGTTTTGTTTCGAATAGTAACACCATCTGACTGATAATCGAAGACTAATGTTCAGACAGTCACGACTTTCCTATGAAAATAAACGGCAATGATTCAGTTTTCATTGGGACAGTTGCCGAGTATTCATATGAGGACGCTGAAAGACAAGAACATAACATAACATAACATATCGATGTTATTCTCCTTTACGTTTTATGTTTTTTTACATATTGTCAAGAAGAAAATAATCAAGAACGAATTTGTATACGCGCACTTGAAAATCTCGTTCGAATATGTCTTGTTGACTAAGCTCGGAAGAGAAGATTTTATCAAGCAGAAGAAAAAAGTGTCTATGCATGTTGCACGGACGATGACGATGCCAATTGAGGCGGAGAAGAAAAAGAAGAGAGAAGGAAAGAAAACGAGTAATAACAACATCGAACTATGTTGAGATTGTTCATCAAATATGTCCGCGCGTTAATCAACATGAGAATGATCTTTATTGAAATGTTAATGTACATAAATCGTGTGAAATAAAGATCAATATCAAACAGTCTATTTATATTTTTTTTCTTGAGAAAATAAGTCAACATCGATAAATGGAACATCAAAAACGAATGTGCTTAAAGATCAGATTAGAATTTCAATATTTGTTCAATGAATATTATCAAACAGCAAAGGTGTGAAAACACTTTTCGTACGTTTCGGTTCTCTTTTTCACAGAAACAACATTCTGGTGTTTATTGGCACTAAATAAACAGACATTTTCTCGACTTTACAGATGGACAAATGTCACAACGATTTAGAGTTTCTCTCCTCCCAAGTACAGCTATTAGTTCGCCTGTCAAAACACTTATATGAATCACTATAGAGTACAATAAAACATCGATTACTACGCACCTGTCGATTTCAGCTAGAAATGAAATGCTTTTTATTTGACAATGAAACCAATTCATTACTTAGAATAGTGTCAATGCGCTCTAGTATGATTAAGTGCATTTGCCTCTATATTTCATGATAATGATTTTGATGATAAAATATACTTATCCGACGAGTTTGTGTGTTAATATTCAATTTAACAAGATAACTATTTTATCAAAGTGACTAATCATATCTAATCGAACACCCTCGAGTTCACTCTAGCATGACAGTGTGTGATAAAAGTGTGTTGAAGACATCTGTCTATCAGTCTTAAATGATCAAAACATATCCGCATATTATCACAAGATCATTATCTAAAATGCCTCCGAACATCAATAGTAAAACCTTTGAATACAAAGCCCAACATCCATTATCCATATCCCGACGTCTTTAATGGATGGTATCGTGTTGTTTTAGTAATTTAGTCTCGACAAGGCTTCATTTATTACATCGAGAGTAGAGAAGCAAGCGAAGAAATCTTATAAAAGCCTTTAAGATTGCTTACATTCGATTGTGATTATACTTCTCAATTATATGCCTTTTTATTTCATTATTTGTCTTTTACAGATTCAATAACGATGATCAATACACTTCAGCAACAATCATCGATATTTAATTATGATCCTGAACTTGATTTACGAGAAGAACATTTATCACTCGTTGCCAAACGTCTACTGACCACATTACGCGAAAGCAAAATCAAACATTTATCATGTGACAATCTGTTTATTCCATGCAATCATATTCGTAACATTGCGCGACAATGTTTGATCATGTCAGCTGAAGAACCATTTGGTATTATGGGTGCGCAAATCAAAATCAAACTCACTCTCCTCTCACCCAACCTCACGACAACAATCACCAAATATTTGCCGATCATTCAGATTAACCCGAAACAAAAGACCACGTTCGAAATCGAAATCGATCTTCATGAAGATACGAAAGTATTTACGATGCGACGACTTCTTCCATCAATGAAGATGTTCAAACAAATGAGAGAACGAAGTCCATTGTATGTAAGTCCCCGGTGTATTCTTGTGAAAAATGTCTTCTATAAAACAGCTGAACCCAAACGAGCTTTTGTTGATTCTTTAGCTTAAGTCTGCTTTTTCTTTTTATATATATTTTGCTTAAGTGTGTCAGATTAAAAGATTAAAAAAAAACTCTACTAATAAAAAAAAACGTTATGTTCAGTTTTGTTTCCTTTTCTGTTCATAATATTCATTTCTTTTTTAAATGCTACGTGTCAAATGTATAGTTGATTATCTTCGTGAAACAAGAGAGACGGAGAGAAAGAGAGAGAGAGAGTTGTTTTATGTTTTAGGCCAGTTTTTATTCATTATTTTGAATCTCTCGTATTCTTTTCTTTTTGTGTTCATGTTTTAAATATGTATAAGTTTGAATAACTAATCTGAATTAAAAGATTCTTTCTTGATTTCGAATCACGTTTGTCAAGTGCACGGCATTGATGAAAAGGAAAGACGAAATACGAACGAAGGAGATGATAAACATCAGAATCTTATTGTCAAGTCGATTGTTGCCTTTTCTACAATTAAATTAATGCATTCGAATATGATAAAGTATAACGTTGACTTTTATGTTAGATTCGATAAAGTGATTTCGTTCTCTGTCTCTTTTGCGTTCTTGTCAAACCAAAGTGAACATTATGATAAAGTATCAAAAGATTATTATGATTAGAATCAAAGATAAACTTCTCTATGTCTACTTCATAAATTGTATTTTTTTTGAACGTTAGAGTTAATGACATTGTTAATGTCAAATTCAATCAAAAGAAATCGAAGTTTTTCTTTCCTCGCCAAGTGAAATCTTAGAAAATTCGAAACTATATTTGCATTTTATTTTGAAGTTGTAAGCGAAAAAGCCCAAGGTTTCGATACCTTAAGAGAGGCTAAAGCGAGTTTAAACAGCTTCATGGGTCGATTATTCATACGATCATTGTATTTTTAATCATTTTTTTCGAATATAAATATTTTCGTCGAAGACAGACAAATACCGATTTTTTTTCTTTAAATACACCATGTCAACAAAGGCATCTGTCTGCATTTCTTGAAATAGAAAAGCTTTCTTCGTTCGAAGGTTAATTTAAAACTAATTGTCGTTCGTTTCGTATACGTTGACATTTTCGTTTCTATGTGATGTGATAGTTTAAATTGAAACATAGACAACTCTGACCTGTTCTTAGTCGGTTTCTTTCTTTCTAAATGCTATGTTAAAGTTCATGTCTGTGTATCTTGGATTTTGGCCGACTTAACTGCTAAATGTTAATATTTTAAACTGCAAATGAAATGACTGATAATAAACTGAAACGAAATGTTACATGGATTGGGGACACTTCTCATCTCGAAAAGGATCGATCGATCGCTCGGGGACATTCAGAATGACGTACATTGTCGTTTGTTCTTTTGTGTTAAACGCTCGGGTCAAATATCAGTTAAAAGGATATCTGTTTGCAAAATAGAAATAGAAATTTGATCGGCGGACAAACAAATGCACGAAATAAATTATTCATGCAAACTGATTTTGCTTTCTTATATCGACAGTTTAACTTCGAGAATTGAAATTTCCGAGAAGATTGTTCAATGGAATGTGTAAAGTTTTTCATTTTGCCAAGATTTTCTTCGAGAAATCGGATACTCAGGGTGTTCGAACGCGATCTATTTTTGTTTTTCAGACATAATACCAAGTACAATATGAAATTCAATCGTATTTGCAAAGTATAATTCCTTTTACCTGAGCTTTGAATAATTCAATAAGATTTTTCGACAATATTGTATGAAATAACAAAAAAGAATATACTATCCCTCAGCGATGTGGTTACCAGGAATGATATGTTTTTGGTCGACAGTAACTTTCGTTAACAAAACATTTGGGGAATAGGATTTCCTCGACGTCAGTCCCTGCTAAACAGACAATTATAAGTTATTGGTAGACTATCGCGCTGCTGCAGACTCTAAGTACATTCTCTATATATGTTTCTTGAAAGTAGTACAATTAATCTTCATAAACGATTGTTGATAACCACAGGTTGATCCACATTATTAAAAAACACAATCGATTTCTACCTCTGTCACTTACAAGATATTATAAATGAACATCAATGATTTACGATAGATATTGTCTGGTATTTATATTATTTAAATGAGAGCTCGTACAAAAATCAACTTGATGATTTCAATCGTTCGGCGTTCATTTAGCTTTTGTGTTCAAGCGTTCAGCCGACCAAAGATAGAATTACCATTGCCCGCATCGTCAATTTGTTTTGTTAACGTCATCAAATAGAAAAAAAATGTTTTCTGTACTAAAGGACACGTCATGGTATTTTTCTGGAATATGGGCTTATGTGAAAAAGAATGGTAAATGTTTACCTACATATTTCCGGTGCAAATTTCAGTTTGTCCTTAGATGTGTGTACAGAAAAGAAATGGAAAAGAAACACATTCCATACCATTACATCATAGTTTGAGCAAGAAGATACCGTTACACTCGCTCTGATAGCTCGTACAAAGTACGCGTTTGTTGGGCAAATTGATGGATGAGAAACGTTAGTTTTGATAAACATACGAACGAATCTCGAATAGCTTGTCTTACAATGTCTGACTGTATCTTAACAACAACAATAGTCCGTTTCTATGTATTCAAAACTCGACCTCTGTTCTATATTTACCATTGTTTTGAATTTTCATATTATCATGCCGTCTTACTCACATATGAAACAGAAAGTCACTCATACTCAACTGAGACCTACTGATAAGGATGGAGACGAGAAAGATAAAGTATATAATGATAAATTCTCCAGAAAGTTAAAAACAAGAAGACTAACTGTGTGCGTGAATTACGATTGCATATGGCTCAAGTTCGTCGATATTCCACATTACCTAATTCATCAGTTGATGATTCCCATCGACTATCAGACTTTTTCTGTAGTGACGAAGGTTATCGATTGTTAGGCACAGTGCTCAGTGACGAATATAAACTTCTTCAGGACACAAAGAAAATTCTTGAAGAAAGACTAGCTTTAGACAAACAATATGCGAAAAGTCTCCAAGAATTAGCAGCAAAAGCGGACCGTATTGCATGGCCAACTGACACTCATTCGATAGCATCAGTAAACTAAACATACTCTGATTAACTTTTTATTATTTATTCATATTCAAAGGCGTGTCACGGAGTTTTGATGCTATGGTCTCGTCGAGCAACAACCATCAGCTCGAATGCTGATGAATTTCGACGACTTGTACTCGATGATCTACTTAAAAATCTTCTCGAAAATAAAGCCGATGCAAAAAGAGTTCTCGAGGATCGAAAACGCCAATATGATGATGAACATCGCAAAGTAAATAATTACCTCATCGTTTTCTTTACTTTATTACCTAGACAATACATATTCCAGGTTCGACGCGATGTCTTAGAGGCTGACAAACATTATTCAAATGAAGCGAAAGTATTCGTTACAAAGAATAATGAATTGAACAAAATCAGTGGAGGTATGTTAATGAGTAGTTCTATTGAAATTTAAAATCAGAATAATCTATACCGCAAACCAACAGAAGGATAAATATAGTTTATGATACAAGGACATGGAATATCCAAATAAGAAGAAATGCCGTGGCGTACATCTATTTAAGTAAATTTAATTAGCGCAAAATTGACATCCGTTATGTTTTGTGCCCGTCAGAAAATGATTTTCCAGAATAAGAGAAATACTTGTTACATGAATGAGTGTAATAACTATAGTAAGAGGTTTGGATTATAATCAAACAAATTTGTTTTAGCTGCTCGGATTGGGAATGACAATCGAATCACTGATTTGAAACGTGTAGTAATCGACAAACGAGACAATGTATATCGTGCTCACAATGCTTATGTTCTCACAGTGCGGGATTGCAATGAATTTGATGAGCAATATGTTCATAAATTGCATGATTTAATTGATTATCATGAAAAAACTCAATTGATTCTTAACCGACAATGGTAAACTCAAAGGATATCTTGCAATTTCCACATTTCTCTCTTATGTAGGCTAGATGTTCTACAGTCCATCGCTAAGTATAATAATGATTACAGCAATAGTTCATCTATGGATGCTGAAAGTTTACAAGAACTTGATTCGACTGATCCGCGTCACTGCTATAATGAACTATGTAAAATACATTCAAAGTTTGTATATTTATACATCAATATCTCTCTCGAAGTAAGATTTGTGCGTAGTATTCCATCACTGACGACAAGACCAATCGAATTCAATGATTTACTGCTGAAAACATCGGGTCTAACAAATCTCGAAGTGGATACCATTGTTGCTGATGATACCGTTGGTGATTCCACCATAAGTGCATTGAGACGAAAGTAAAAATTAGAAACTATACTGCTCGATCTAATGAATTGTCTATAGAATTACAACGTTAACAGATGAAATCAATAAAGCGAATACGGATCTATCCGCAGTCCTTCAAGTCATAGATCAAATTAGAGATAAAGACACGTTTGCATTATCAAACTACGATTAGAGAAATAAAAGATGTGCAATTTTAGAAGTTATCATGGTCGAAAGAGCTACTTTGAACAGAAACAACGAGCAAACGATCTACAAATGAAAATAGTGTCAAAAGGAAATCTAAAAGAGCATTTAGAAGAAGTATTAGATCATCCAGCAGACGAGAATGAAACTTTACCATATCAAGAAATACTCTTCGGTGTAAGATTGGAGAAGAAAATTTTGGTGAGAAGAAAAATGATTACTTCTTTCGATTTAGCTATCCGATCGATTGGAAGATCAAGCTTATTTTCATGGACGCATGCCACGTTCGCAAAGTATTAATCTGTGCCATGAAAAAGGAGACTATCTGGTTCGAATTAATGATCAAAATAAAACTGTCTTATCGATATTGTGGACTGATTCGAATCATCCAGGACGATTGCGAGATTTTCATATTTACATCTGCGATAGAGATAATGTAAGTAGAACGTAAATCAAGCATTTGATTTTATTCATATTTGTCTCAGATGTACTATTTTGTAAAAGAGTGCATGAAGCCATCGATTCCAGCATTAATCATCTTCTATGCACGTCAAAAACTGGATATTACTGCAGACGGTATACGTCTGCTACGACCCATAGAAAGGCCAGATTATATCATTAATAATGATGAAGTGATTTTGGAAGATAAATTAGGGCAAGTAAGTGACAAGAGCTTTTCTTTATAAATAATTTATCTATGTTCTTTGAGGGTAACTTTGGTGAAGTCCATCGCGGTAAATACCGAAATGTACCTGTTGCTGTAAAGGTCCTTCGTGAAACGAATAGACAGTTGACGCCAAAAGATCGAACAAATTTTATCAATGAAGCTCTCCTACTGAAAACTTATAAACATAAGCAAATCGTTAGTTTTTACGGTATCGCAGCATACCGTGAGCCGTTGATGATCGTTATGGAACTAGTCGAGAGTAAGATTGAAGATAATCGAAATTGTTCGGTAATATGTTTGCGTATTTCTAGAAGGAAGTTTAAATACTTATTTGGAGAAAAATCGTGATATATGTGCTTCGAAATTGACTCAAATGTGCTATGAAATAGCGAAAGGAATGGCATATCTTGAGAGTTGTAATGTCATTCATCGGTATGTCATCGATGACAAACGGATATTTTTTCTAAGTTTATGCAACGAATCAAATCTCTTAGGGATCTAGCTGCGCGAAATTGTTTAGTTGATAAGAATGGGCGAGTGAAAGTCGCTGATTTCGGTCTTTCACGTTGTCTCCAAGATGACGAAGACTATTTCAATCACACGGAAGAAGTTCCCGTCCGTTGGTGGGCAGTCGAAGTTCTATGCCGAGGTAGAATAAAACTTCTTCTATTAGTTATTAGTCATGTTTTCGATTCCATAGGACCGTATACAACAAAAGCCGATGTATGGTCGTTTGGCATCACCGCATGGGAAGTTTTCTCCGAAGCAGCACTACCGTATACGCATATTCAGAACGCTCATTTTGTTATTAACGCCGTCAAACAAGGCGAACGCTTGCAACGACCTAATAAATGTCCAACAAATATTTTTGATATCATAAACACGTGCTGGCGCGTCGACCCAGCAACCCGGCCGTCTTTTAAAGGTATTGTTGAAGCTTTACGAAAGGAAAACTCGTTCTTCCCAAAACTTCTCCTTTTCAATTGATTCAAATAAAAGAAACTATCTACACGATCTCTCTTGACGAACTTGGCTAGTGTGTTATTTCCATGATGAACACTGATGAATGCGATACACGGTACTCATACAAAGATTATTCGTGTCTAATCAGTATTTAGATGTTCTTTCAAACTTCTGTACTGTATTTGAGCGAAAAAAGAAGTGAATAGAGCAGAAAAAGGAAAGATAGATAACCAACCAACGCACACAAAGAAAAGACAAGAAAAAGAGAAAGAGAGCACGAATCTAAACCAACAATGCACACATCAGTAAAATCAACAGACATACACAAGCAACGCGGGAAAAAAGTAAACAAAGTAATCCATTCACACATGCTTTTTATTCTTTCTATTCTCGCTCATATGTCGCTTTTTTTCAAAAAAAAAATAGAGAGGAAAAGAAAGATAGAAAAAAAACAAACAAAAATGCATTTTTGTGTGCAGGTTTCTTTTTAGGCTTTGTTCGCTCATACATCATAGGGAGTAATTGTTATCGATGTCTCCTACGAATTTAACTAGGTTTTCTTCGAGTTCTCTCAGCAGTTTTAATACATATTTATAGAGAGAGATTTATATATGCATGACTAAAGAGAAAGGATATTGCATTAATAGCATATACATATATGAAAGAACAAGAAAATAAATAATAGAAGACATTTTCATCACACAAATAGAGGAATATGGATCGTTAGGGATGAAAGTTGCGCAAAGGAAAGAACAATAACTGGCAAGTCACTTCTTTCATTTGTCATTGATAATGATGATCAGAGAGAACAAAAATGGTCTTAACGGCACTCCCAAACTTTAACTGATGTATCAACACTACCCGTAATCACAAAGGGTTTATTTCGATGCATATCTAAACGATAAAAACACGGATATGTCTACGAGCATATCTCACACGATCTCTTACCAAGCGAAGTACAAAAATGAGTATGAGCATCGATGGATTTCGTGTTTCGTTTATTCTTGATATCCCACACACGTAATGTTTTGTCATCAGAACAGCTCAATAGGTATTTGCCACCTGGATGAAACAGAAGGCCACGAACCCAGTTATCATGACCATTCTAAATAACGAACAAAAAAACAATTTCGATGAGATGTCTTTTTCTACTCATGTCAAATATATTTACCAATATAAATAAGCAAAGACCGTTAACTGCATCCCACATTCGGATTGTCTTATCACGTGCACCGGATACAAGATAAGGACCAGATCGTGGTTGTGTCTAATTAGAATTAAACAGAAATCAATCGTTTCGCTTTTTTGAAAGTGCGGTCCGTACTTCAGATCCACCATTTGAAACCGATTCAGATATGTGTGGTCCGGCTGAATCCGGTGCCCAAGCAATACATTCAATTACATTGTCATGCCCGCGTAATTCACTTTTACATTCACCATTCGGCAACGACCAAATACGTATAGTCTAATGTTGATAAAATCATGATTACACTTGTTTCCTTTCGAACAAACAAGTCAAAATACGTACATGATCGACTGAGCAACTGGCTAGTAATGTACCATCTTGGTAAACACGTATCATGCGTACCCATTCTCGATGGCCAACAAGGGATTTGACGCAAAATCTATACAAAAATTTTCTCGTCAGCATCACTATGACAATAAACTGTGGTGCGTAGCACGATGTGCCTTGTGAAGTGATCAATTTCAATCGACTGTTTTCATTTTTTTGATCGCGTACTTATTCGTTTTATAGAATAGGCTATCGTTTGAGTCTTTCCAATGGACGATCTTTTTATCATGTCGTTTTGTTCTGCTATCAGTACGAAATGAAAAACTTACGTTGTTGACACTTCCCATATTTTGATAGTTTTATCTCGACTGCATGAAATAATGTGATCACCACTTGGAGTAAATGTTACCGAAGATACATTATGATCGTGACCTGCAATTTCAAAACAGACTCTTATCATGTAAAATCCGATTTTCAACCGAATTACCATGCATTGTTTTCACGCATTGATAATTTTGGAAATCCCATAAACGAACACTTAAATCAGCAGAACACGATACTAAACAAAGCAATGGATTTTATTTCAAATAGAAGCTTAAATCATACCAAGCCATTTGCCTGTATGATCAAAGGCGATATCTTGCACCGGCGCTGTATGACCTTTCAAAGTCCGTTCATATTCACCTGATTCATAATCCCAAATCTAAACGAATCAAATCTCATGACTAAGAATACCTTTTAAGGACTATTTGATTACTTTAATAGTTGCATCTTCACTAGCGGATGCAATAACATCGAAGGTTGGATGAAAGACAACACGCGTCACCGTATCACGATGACCTTTCAATTCGAATTTTTCGGGAGGACGCGGTACCCATTCTCCAGGTTGACGTTTTTCTCGAGTGGGTCCACCAGTTGTTGCTTCTTGTAGAGCTTCTTGCAGTTTTGTTTCAAGATCCATGACCTAAGAACCAATGATTCCATTTGCATCAGTACACACACGTATCTTCACTAGTTCTTACTTTCTTTTGTAGTCGTATGACAGAAGTCCATTTCTTCTCCAATTGATCTTTCCTCTCTGCACTTTCATTGGACGACTATAAACAAAAAGCAACAGTTGAACAAATCCGTTCATATAGGCAATTATTCCTTCATACAAGGTTTGCTTCTCTGCAAAATTCTTTGAATGATATTGGATATCCATTTGTTACTAGATATTCAGCTATAGCTTGATTACTAAACAGAAAGGCAAAGATAAAAACAAGAGAAGCTCAATCAATACTTACAGTTCATTTTTTTGTTTTTCAGAAAGAACCATGATGAGTGGTGACACATAGGCACTTGATGTATGATGTAACCGTCGTCAGGCTATTCGATTTAAGACATGATCTTCATACTTTGATAAAATATTGTCATTATCTACAAAAGAAGCAGAAGAAAAAATTAAATACCTATTGTTAGTATTATGAGCATCATAACATATCTTCAACTGTTTTGCTTTATTTATTCCCATTTGAACTACGATGTGTAAGTAAGAAAGTAATTACAGCGAACAGAAAAGCGAGAAGAAGTTGTAATAGTAGTAGAGGAGAAAAAAAGCAGTCTTTGATAATATGATACAAATAGAAAAAACTATGAGAAAAATGTTATTGTAGAGAGAAATCACTGTTTCATCAAAGAGATTCTGAGAGAAAAGGAAAAATACTTGTTCATACTACAATAACATTCTGTTCGGAATATTCAGGCGGTGGTTCGTTATTAGCTGGGACTGTTGATACCGTTGCAGGTAAGGAACGCTCGATGAACAATGGCTCTTCACGTCGCGACCAATCATCCATTAATCTTGATGGATAAAAATCGCATTAGCAAGAAAGTTTTCGAAAAGAAATCAATTACCTATCTAAGTGTTCTTCTTCCGCAGTTGGATATCGTCTGAGAAGTGCAAAAGCGGATGCTAACAACGAAAGACCGCTTGAGATCACAACTAAATAATAAGCTACATCAAATTGGACTTCGACTTTCTTGCCAATCTTCGAGCGACTTTTATCTTGAATATCATAGATCAATTCCGATGCCCAGAAACATAAACCGGACACTACTGTACAGAGAAGAACTAAACAGGAACATCAATGCGATGAATGAACAGAATCTAATGATTCGTTTTTCTTTACCTGAAAGAATATGCCAAAAAGCGTGGCGTCTCATGAACTTTAATCCGTATTTCATTGGCCCAAGAGCATCTAATAGAAAGCCGATAGTAGAAGAGAATATCGCCAAACAAATTAATGTAATTATTAAACGAAGAATTAATATTGAACGTGTATCTACGCAACCAGTTAATTCTATTAGAAAGAGAAAATGAGATCGAAAATAATTATTTCATTTTTTCATCAACAGAAATATACCCATATAGTCATTGGGTTTAAATTGATAGATTTCATTGATTGGTGCCGATGGATCCCATGGTACAGGTACTCGTACGACAAATAATTTACCCACGGCGAAGAACATACTTAAACCGATGTATTTGGAATTGCATAGACCGCCATTTAACCAGAACCATCGATAATCAGATAGACTCACAGCTAATGCTGCGATCGCAAACATGCTGCACGATGCCGATGCATAGTTTCGTTCGTATCGTTTGATAATCGATGGTGCTGATGAACGAATTCGCGTTGCTATTGGTTGAGTAACGAGATTTTGCTCATCCGATGCCGATTGTTCATCGATGTTGATTTCGTCGTCAGTATTTACAAGTTGATGAGATCGTGGATGAATAATATTGGTTGGTGATAAACGTGAAAAAAAGCGCGACAAAAAACGATTATTTGGCGACATGATCTTTCTTTGTTGTCACGTGTTAATAGCACATATCACACTGTTTTCCTTGATGATAAATTCGAAGAAAAAAATATATATCTCGTTTTTCAACTAGATCTTAAACAAGAAAAAATACTTTATTCAAAAAGAATACGACTTGTTTATTTCTTTAAGTGACAGAATGTATCTTTGCATGTGTTAACTCCATTGTAAACTTGATGTACATCTTTATGTACCCTCATTTTGATTGATTCCTTTTCTTATCAATCATTTTTATTGGAGGATTCAAGTAGATGTCCTTGATTGAAGGAAATGCTAGACCATTTGGATTGCATGACTTTTACTTATGTTCTTCTTTATTGGTCGAAACGAGTCATCAAAGGTCTTTTTGCTCTGATAGATGTCAGTAACTGATGAAAGAACGATTTCAAGTTTGCGACAAGCAGGAAAAAGCTGAAGACGAACGTAAAAATTCGCACTCTATGTTTCAATTGATAAAATGAAATTGACTATTAAATAAACGCTCAATTGACTAATACTTCGTGTGAATAGAGCGTCAATAGGTATTGGTATAGGATCCGGTTTCCTTTTTTTTTCACCTCATACACATGTCACTTATGAATGAAAAGCCGAGTGTAGAAGACAAAGAAGAATAGATAAATTTATGGGCTGTATGTGTGATCAAGGTAAATGTATGATAATACCTTAAGCGAATACATATACAAATTTCACATTGACAGACAACACATCACTCGTTTTCATCGGATATTTGTTTCTGTATTACGACATTGAACAGGTGGGGCGAATGGATGGATTGAAAAAGAAGTATTACTGCGTGAATGATACAGCAAAGGATGAATTTCGTTTCGTGAACAAAAATGGGCGTATCAATGTTTCATACACGTCAGTGGGACAGATAAAGAGTATGCACTCAAATGTGATTCTATTCATTATGCAAGCTGAATGGTGGTTGGTGTTGACATTAGTTTTATTTGGATTTATCGTCAGTTGGTTTTTCTTCGCATTTCTTTACTTTCTGGTTTCGGTCGAACATGGAGATTTTGATATTAACGAAGATGATCAATTCTACTATAATCAAACAAATTCCATACGATCAGATCCAAAAGAACGAGAAAAATGCGTTCAAGATGTGCATAACTTTCTAAGTGCCTTACTTTTCTCTATCGAAACTCAACATACAATCGGTTATGGTTCAAGATATATCACAACAGAATGTATGGGTGGCATACTCGTCTTGACATTACAGTCATCGCTAGGATATTTGCTACACGTGATTGTTACACAGGTTGTTTTTACAAAACTGTCTCGACCAACAGGTAAACACGTTTCTCTTATAGTCTAATACGATGAATTTTAATCCCATTCTAGAAAAATCACAATTTATCGTCTTTAGTGATAATGCATTGATAGCCCCACGTAATAACCACTTGACATTAACCTTTCGCATAGGTAATTTGTCCCCATCGCAATTAATATTTGCTAGTGTACGGTTATTGATGATTCGTCAACGGCGAACAATGGAAGATGAAGTAATTCCTCATTATCTTTATGATATGGAGATAACACACCTTCGGAATGGTCAATTATTCTTTCCTCGACCGAATGTCATCGAGCATATTATTAATTATCGAAGTCCACTCTATGGTATTCAACGTTCTACGTTAACCAGTGAACATTTCGAATTGATCGCGATTATTGAAGGTAGTTTCGATTACACGGGATTCTCTTGTCATTTTCGAACATCTTATTTACCCAGTGAACTTTTGTGGGGTTACGAGTTCTCGTCGTGTAATTCTACACTCAGTGGATTCGATTTCGAAAGATTCAATCAAGTTCAACTGATTCATGCTCAACCAATTTGGAATTATCAAGACGATGATTCGGAGAAAAACAGTCCGCCAATACCGATCCATACTCCATATTTATATCCAAAACATTTTTCTACGACTAGTCAGCGAGAAAGTTTACCTCGGCGAAAGTCATCCAATGATTTTCCTAAAAAGTTCAACCGATTAGAAACGATCGAGTCCATAATAGATACAAATGTGAGCGATACACCTCTGATAGATCCTGTAGACGAACAGAACGACGAAGAAAAAGTCTCATTGAAATTAGGCGATTCATTTGTAAAACATGTTGAATTTGAATGAATAAACAGTGCATGTATGTGAACGTCTGAACTTTGGCTTAAAATTTTTATCTTTGACTAAAGAAACGCAAAAGTGTTCATATAAACAAAACAACATGATTTATATGATTTGTACGTGAGTCTGACAATATCGTTTAACTATGCTTATCGACAGTATATATGATAAGTGGTAAGAAAATGATTCATTTCTTTCTTTCTTCATCATTTGTAACGTGATGGACTTGAATCTTGAGTGTCAAATCGATTTTGTTGATTGTCGAAAACATGAAATTCAATATCGCATGGATTCATTGGAACAATGGCTGAAGAATATCTATGGTGAGCAAGAAATTTTGCTCTGCTGATCATCTCTAATCATTCTTTCTCTTGTTTATAGAAGGTGATCCAATAGACTATGAAAAAGGTTTGACTAGATATTGATTTCATGTTCAGAATTGTCATTCTTGTTTCGTTATAGATCTATATTTTGATTGTCCTGACCATTTTCCAACTTACAGTAAACACAAAACTTTCATTTTCTAACAATTTCTGTCTTCATTATTATCAAGATGCTTTGATGAGTTCAAAAGATCAAGCAGCTGGTGACAGTGTACTTTTTCAGTCTGCTATGCAGTATCCATGGATCTGCGAAATTTGGTTATCCGTGCATCGAAAGTAATTGAAAAAAGTGATTTTTTTTAAATAGAAAAGTTGATTTGTTATATAAATTTGTTTAGAACGAATCTATTTCGTCGTTTGTTGAACTGTTTTCGGCCATCTCGAAGGCGATCATTCTCCAACTTAGCTCAAGAATTCGTTCGCTTACACGCTGGCTATTTCAGCTATCCTGTTGGTTTCAAAGTAAGGTATTTTCTTTCACAACAACACTTTACAGAGCAGAAAATCTGTTTAGTTTTACCTTTCCTATGCGAAAGAAAGATGGCTTCTCGTTTTGAGCGATGTCAAATGTAAGTTATTTACCAGACAGGATTCTTTATTTGACTTGAAATTCGATTTCGATTTAGTCATAAACTATCCGGTTTTTCCTTATCCTCAAACACGGATTATCTTTATTCGTAACGGCATTTCATTTATCGCGAGATAAACGCGCGTTATGTACAATCATGTCGGATGCATTGATTATTGTAATTACTGGTATCATACTTATTCTTCTTAGTCTTATTGCAAATATTATTCAATTGATAAGAATGCACAGAAATGAAACGAATTCAATAGAATATTAATGCATTCGAATAGAGATGATCATAATAAATATTATTGTTGAAATAAAACTGAATATGAGCAAAACAAAGAAGAAGTTTCGTTTTAATTTTTGTTTTGTAATTAATCGATGAGTGTCAATGGTCTTGTCTAAAACTGAATCGAAGAAATTGTATTTACTAACACCGGTTAATACTTTCTTTTTACCTTCATGAGCTTGAGTGATTGACTGAGATGTCTGAGCTAAAGTGATATACAGTTGACAGATGCGATCGTGATGTTCTGTATGAATGATTGTATGAAGCTCGTGAAACATTTCATGGAAAATGTCGATTTGTTTTTCAATTTTGACTAAGGATATGTGTTTATTAGTCGAGAGTTTCGGAGGTTGATCAAAAAATCGAAGGAATGAGAATTGTTGATTCGAAATGATTTGTCGCGTATGATCATCGGATCGACGTAGATGAGCTAGTTGCTGTCGAGTATTATTTCGTTTGATATCATCATTGTTATTTTCGGGTAAATATTCAATTAATTGAGTCTGAACACGAATCAAGGTTGTTTGAAGACAAACATTTAGAAGGCGTAGATTATTGATCTCCTGTTGAGCTAAATGAAGCTGATTAGGAGTTTGCTGTAATGCAAAGCTCTCTTGTTCTGAGATCGGATTCGTCCGAGCAGGTTCATTGTTAGGTAGAAAACTTGTTTTCATAGACAAAAATCAATCGAAACGACATGAAATTGTGCATACTGCGCAAAAAAAAGTTTTTGTATAATATGGGATTTATTCGAAAATGAATCGTAAAATATATTTATCAAGGAATACGAAAATAGGACAAGCAATTAGTAAACTACATATTTGATAGAAAAGTGAACTGTTCTGATTGGATTTACGACGAATACCACTGTACTAAGTAAAGATTTCCTAGTGTGTCACCGGCTACAACACCAAAAATGCCGTTATTCTTTTGTTTCCATGATCGCATTTGAGTGATTGGTGCTGGTACAGGATATTGTCCAAGAATGTCAATGTTATCATCATCGCCAATATCATCTGCATTCATACTTTGAGTTTTAGCGTGATCATTTCGATACTGTACACGAATAACATTATCAAATCCACTTGTGAAGATAAGTTCATTGTTAAGTGAGCACAATCCAGTGATCGATCGTTGTTTCGGCGATAATTCCATTTTATTCCAAGCATTAATATCAGTAGATAGGTCAGATGTGGAATACATCGTGCCTGTTGCTGTACCCAAATAAAACACGTTTTCATCGTCAAGCTTTTCAATCGATGTAATCCATTCCGATGGTGTGAATGTACAATGTTCAAGTTTCGATCCGTATGAAACGTGTAATTTGCTGCTGGTTGAATCGATCAATGACAGGTCATACAGACATAGTTGATTACTTGTTGAACCAATAGCTAAGATGCAATGTTTATCTGCATTTAATGTTAGCAGAGACGAAAGAGGCCAGTGACATGTTTGCGTTTGGTATATTTTCAAACGTTCCAGTGACGATGATGAGTAAAGATGGAATGTCAAGGAATCGAAGGATTGATTTTCACCAACAACAAAGTATGGCATAGTGTATTGACCGGCAATGAACGAAACGGGCCCATTTTCTGTTGTATCCGTTCGTAAACGTTTGAGCGAACATTTATCTTCATTGGATTTGTGTGAAATTCGCCATAGTTTGATGGTTTTGTCAACAGAGCCAGTGGCAAGAACATAATTTTGCACTTCGGAACGAACTAAAGCCATGCCAAGAATATTTTCATCATGCGCTTTGATCGATTGTATGATACGGAATGGTTGCTTGGACATATTTGATGATTTCATGCTAGTGTCCATGGCAGAATCATCTGTTGCAGCTGATAGTAATGACCATACGAAGAGGTAGGCGTCACGAGAAACAGTGAAAACAAGTGAATTATCATGAGAGACAGCGATGGACGTCACTTCGTCTAAATGACTGGTTAGTTCAGGAATTTGCGGTGTCATAGCAGCGGATCCAGCATTGCTATTTTGGAACACATTATGTGGAATTTGCCATGAACGGACTGTTTTATCAAGTGATGAGGTGACAATTGATTCTTGGTTGAGTACAATATCATTCAATGGTTGAGCATGTGCATCGTAAACACAGCGTTGCTCGGGATCTGTTGGACGCCAAATGCGGATTGAACCATCTTCGGATGTACTAACAACGAGCATTTTATCAACAGTATGTGTTGTTCGTGAGAGTTCCGCTTCTTTTTCTTCGACCACTGTTGACCATTGGCTCTGATCTGAATTGTTGTCAGTTTTAGGAGTGGTGCCTTTGAGTTTAACGTATAAATCGCACGATGTTACCTTTTCTGTGTGGCCACGTAAACATGTGATTTCAGTTCCTTTATGAGACCAGACTCGAATAGTGTTATCCAATGAACCGGACACAACACAACCGTAGGCAAATGCGACTGTATTAACTGAACCTTGATGACCACGAAGTGTCACTCGAGCCTCTTCGACACTCGCAGAAACAGTATCCATTTGATCGTTATCTTCCTCAGTCGTTGTAGCTTTTTGTATAGTATTCCAAACTTTCAATGTGTTATCATTCGATGCCGTAACAAGTAAACCGTTGCTCGTATTTGACAATGCAATGTCATTAATCCAATCAGCATGGCAATGGGCAAGTGAATTCGCAAGTGTTACAATATTAGTTGTTGCATGCCGATGAACATCCCATATATGAACTTGCCCATCTCGACTAGCAGATATCAATTGGTACGATTGATTGTTGAATACTAAGCCTGTGACTGGTGTGCGATGTTGTGTGAGAATTTGATTTGGTTCGATTGAGGATTGATCAAATAGTTTTGTTGATTTGTAGAAGCAGATAGTTGCATCTTCGGAACCTGTTGCAATCATGTTCAATTTATTTAAAGCACAGGACAGAACGCCGGCGGTATGACCTTTGAGTATCGATGTTCTAATGCGAAGGTCATTCCGTTTTCCAAGGTCTTTCAGATCATAAACACGAGAAGTACTGTCGCCCGATGCGGATAATAGCATAGTTCCATTTGAAGACAGTTGAAGATGATGGATACGACCTTTATGATAATGGAATTCTTGTTCAGTCGTACCATTTTGAATGTCGAATACACGAATTGAGCCCGAATGATATCCTACAATTATATATTCTCCTTCCGGATGAATGACAACACTTGAAGGAGAACCCCAACTATCATCACGAATAATCATTTGACATTGACCGACCGTTGAGGAAAACACTCGCACACGACCATCATTACCAGCTGAGGCTAATTCGGATCCACTTGGCGAAAAATAGATTGAACTGATGCGAGCAGATATGACACCAACTTGACTACCAGCAAGAGAATTCCATAGACGACATTCACCATCGATTGAGCATGAAGCTATATAACGGCCATCCGCTGAATAAGCGACCGCCTTAATTGAACTTAAATGTCCACGCATGATGGATTTCCGTTGTCCACTAGTGACATTCCATTGTCGAACAAGACCATCCCAACAACCAGTAACTAACATGAAGCCATCTGGATGAAAAGCCACGCTTGAGACTGGTTTTGGATGCAAACGAATTTCTGTTTCTTTGCGAGCTTTATTCAGATCCCATATATGTACAAATGAATCCCAGGAAACTGAAGCAAATTGAGTACCGCGTTGATTCGAACATAATTCCGAAACTCTCTTGTCATGTTTTGGTGTTAGAATATGTAAACGGTGACCATTAGCTACATCCCAAATTGATAAACCACCGTCGTTACTACCACTGACTAAACGGTCATTGCCAACGAAACATAGAGCACTAATAGGTGCAGCATGACCAACAAATAATTTCAGTAGACGCGATGTCGACGTATTGTAAAGACGTACTAAGCAATCGGCAGAACCCGCAGCTAGATATGCGCCTATATGAAAAAAAGATAAAGGATGAGTTGTTTTTTTTCTAAATGAAAGCATGTTTGTTGTTTTCGAACAACTTACCCGAAGGTGAGATAGCCAAGCATTTAATTGGTTCTGTGTAGTCTTCTATTGAATATTTCATTTGTTCCATATTGTCAGGTTTATTGATACGAACAAATGCCGTGATTTGGTTTTCATTACTGACAGAATTTTGTTGATTATTCGAAAGTATTTGTTGAATATTATCAAACACAGGACTTGTTTCTAGTTCGTTCAATGCCTGTTGATAGATTAAAGCTGGATTTACCGAGAGGATGTGACTATTTCGTTGTATGAATGAACGATATTGTTGAAGAGCTATTTCATTGATCTGTCGATCTTTCGTATTCACTAACGAAGTTTTGCTTATTTTCGATTTTATTCCTGTTGATATGTCATTTGTTACTGAAGATTTGATCAGCTCGTAATCGTCAATCAATGATTGGACAAGACCCACGCGACATTTGCCAGCGATAAACTTCAAGTCGGTTAAAACTGAAGTGAATAGTTTCAGTTCATTAGCAGAGTATAAATAGTAGGGTAAATGTTCAAATGCTTTCACATTCATTGCTGTCCATTGAGATCCAGCTGCTTCGCACCAGTAATAGAATGCTAAAAGTTTGTATAGGTAAATGCGTTGTTCATTGGAACGAATGTAACGTGTTTTAATGATTTGGCGGATTTCATTCGATGCAATCGAAACAGTTTGTGGTCCATCATAGAGTTGTGGTTTCAATAGAATGTGACAATTGTAAATGAAATCAGCTAATTGCAATGGCGTCGTGGTATTTGGATAAGTATAGTTATCTGGTGGCGGTAAAGTTTTCGTTGAACTAAAAGCAATGTTCACCAAATCTCGCAATTCTTGTTCGGTTAAGTCTTGGCGTGCTGAATAGATCAGTCCAAAGACAGTTGCAACATATGTTTCGCCAAAAACTGTATCCAATCGTTTGAAAATGTCTAATAGGAAGAGGTTCTGTCTCTGTGGTATACTCTTAAGTTTTTCTGTGATTTTCTTTTCATAGTCTGTCATCAATAACAGTTCTTCGCAGAGTAATGTTAAGTAGGATGGTTTGAATGAATCTCGTTTACTAGTGATGAATTTCATTTGCGATGAGAACGCTTGTTCGTCGAGCTTTTTACCGAAACGATCGAGATGTTTTCGAACGATTTCACCACGTTCGAGTAATTCAAGATTCGATAAATTGATTATGAACGGATTTGATCGACTCTTACATGCTTGTTCAACAGAACTGTCTTCTGTAGCAGTAAGAATGAATGTTATTTTATCGAAATTGAAATCTTTTGGAATGAAATTTAATGTTTGAACTAATGTTTCATTGTCGAGAAGTTCAATACCATCGATACAGATCACCATATGAAATGAATGCTTTCGATTATGAAGAACATCGGACAAGATTTTACATAGATCTGTGTAATTACATGAACGAATTTGATCGATTGGAAATTGATTGGTCAATTCGGGATGATCAGTAACGATTTGACAGAGTAAACGACGAAGCATGGAGACACTATTTGATGATGAACGTGTAATACCGACGTAATGTTCGTACAATTTGATGTTCAAATCAGCACGAGATACAATCTTATTGGCAATCGCAGCTAGAGAGGCTGTTTTACCTGAGCCTTGTTGACCAGTAAGAAGAATCACTGAAGTTTTTCCAAGGGATTTCATAGCATCTTGAATAACTTTGTTTCGACTAACAAAATGTTCCATGAACGATGACCGATATTGTCGATGTTGAGCATCTTCGATTTCATTATCATCTAATAGCACATACTCAGGTTGGTATTCTGCTTGTAATGATGTCCACAAGTTGTCGATAACACGTTGTGCGAATTCTTCGAGGTTTGCTACAAGTGGTCGATCGTTTGCTACACCTTGCCAGCTGCATGGATATCCATCAAATGTTTCGAAACCACTAGTACGAATGTGTTCCTTTAATTGACTAATTTTCACTCGGGAATTTTCGTCTTCAGAGAGAAAATCATCTGACCATGGTTTAGGGACACTGGACAGAAATTTTGGATCACGAAAGTAGAAGAACGCTCGGCTTTGTTTAATGGTTGTGGAATGATATGCGCCGGCCTGAATCTCTAAATCAGTGATACTATGTCCTGGAGGTACTTTCTTTAGCCAGGCAAATCGGGGATCGTCTTTGGGAACATCGTAGGATGTTGGTTGATAACCATACCGTTCACCAATTAAACCAATAAAATAATCACTACGGTAGACTTCATTTAAACACAAGAATACCGATTGTTTTGATTGACTTTCTGCAATACCCCATCGAAGATCTGTTTGATAGAGATTAATAAAAAGACTTTTAGCACGTTGGCGTAGTTCAGGAAAGACGTAGCGAGTGAGAAGATCACGTTCGGCGTGCATATCTTTGAATGTTGATGAGATGAAGACACGGACAGTTCGCCAATGTGGTACTAGTGTTGTGGTCGGTGATTTCGTAGATGAATTCGATTCATGGTTCTTCGATTGATCACTTTCAGGATCTGTTCGTGTATCGACAATCTTATTTAGATTATGAGCATTATCAATATTTTCGACATGTAACAGTTGTCCGTCGTTGCCACGTTCAGCGATGAATTGTAAGATCGAATCAGAGAAACCACTTAAGAATATATCATTTCGATTATTGAAACGGTCGGATTTGGTTAATGAGCATTGACTGATACTCAAATCGATGCTAACAAACATCAGTTCTGAATTTACCAAATATCGATAGAGTTGAAGGAATCGATATACAAAATCGGACTCCGGTGTATCCGATTTCAGTCCATCCGAAACAACGATACTAAAATGCAAATGAAACTCTCAGATTACTATTCAAATTATCGTATAATTACATACATATTATCAAACCATTGTTTTTCAGCGATCATTTTGGTTAAAAATGCTGGTGGGATGCAAACAGCAGCTGATGATGCTGGTAAAGGGTTGTTTGATAAAATATTCGTCATTTGATTCAGAATTGTTTGCTGTGGTGTTTGTTCAATTTCGCTGAAACTATCTTTGGTTTTGTACACGATCAGTTGACTTGATTCGCACGCAGATTTACACATTAAACCCATGAGAAGACCGATTTCTGCACGTGTTCGTGGTTTACCTAAGCCTCTCGCTGCCTGACATGGTTGTGACATTGCATCACTTAGATTACAGAAGACGAATGTCCGGCCTGGGATTGGTTGACAATTATGTTTGGTAGCGATTTTTACTGAAGCATCGAGTGCTTTTCTGTATCGTTGTAACAATGCAAGATCATATGGCATTTCTTTTGCAGCTAGTTTTTTGGCTTTTTCAGCAGGAGTTAAAGCACGCTTTTTGCCCTTTTCTTGACGAGATAATTTTGGAGCTTTGCCTTCAGGTGCTGATCCACATGCGTCTTTGGCTTGGCACCATTTAGTAAATTCTTCCTCAAGTTCATCGAGAATCTGGTACGCCGAAAAGAAGCGAAATGGAAATTGACGGCTGTAGGTAACGGCACCTTCATCTTGAAGCTTTTTCAAAACCCATTGGTGATGTTTTTCCGAGATACCTAAATTGGAAGAGAGTATATTTTCGTGTTCTGTTAAACTCGAAATTGTCTCCGTTGTACTTACCAACTTTGATCATATTTCGTAAGTTTCTCAACATCGCCATGAATGGAAGCTTTTTGTTATCGATCAATTGCTGCCAAACTGCTGCTTTGTTACCTTTCAAACTAATTTGTGTTTCCCATCTATTGAAAAATAACGAAGAGAGATTTTTAATCAACAATGACTCGTAGAATAGAAAGTTTCTTACGTTTCTGGTGTAGGCAATTTCATACGTTTATTCGCACGTTCTGGTTGGAACACACCAGGTAAACGTGACAAGTAGAAGAGCTCTGATGTTTCGGGATATCGTTTTCCAAGTAAACACCAAACATGCTCGACCGGTTCACTGATATGTAATTGACGAATTAATCGTTTTAATGTAAACGCCATTCGTCGTGTTTCACGATCTTCTTCGCTGATTTTAGACATTGCCTTTCCTGGTGCCGCAGCTGCTGATGCGTCAGTCGATGCAACGCTCATATTTGAATCTGTTGAAGCTGTGCGTCTGGCCCCACGACCACCACGAGCTGCACCACGACCTCGGCCGCCGCGCGCCCCGCCACGTCCTCGGAAAGAAGTGGTCGTTGCGGCTGATGCGCCCGACGCTGCGTTGGCTTTTTTCACTTTTTTCAACCGAGCTTTTTCTTTATTGTATTTAGCCAATTGATACTTATCAAAATCGGGGAATTTTTGTATCATAACCCGACGCAATGCTGATGGTAATGAACCAAAATGGATACGTTTGTCGAAGAACGTTTGATAAAGCTCAGCGATTTCGATCCAATCTGATGGCAAATTAACAACCGCTTTAAAATACTTCTTCAAAAAGATTCGACAGGGATCGGTGAAGGCAGCATATGCAACGAGAAAATTAGCCGTTATACGTATATTCAAGTGGTTTCGTGTATATAGAGCAGCCTAAATAGAACAAATACGACGTAAAGTTACTATTCAATAGATCCATGATGTTTACTACCTTAAGAATAAATTCGGGATCTTGATCAACGACTAAATGTGATAAACGAATAAGTTCCGCTCGTTTTTGATCGGTTGCTTTTCGTAGATCAGGCTGGCTGAGTAATGAATCCGCAAGTGAATTTAAAAGACTTTTCTAAACAGAAAGTACAGCGAGGAAGAATAGAGAGGCATGTGTTTTTCATGATTGATATCAAACCTTGATCGATTTTATTCCGACGTTCGAATCATCATTGTCTGTGTTTTCAAGTTTCGCATAAATTGAACTGAATGGATCAATACGTGGACGTTTTGGTGCAGGGATATGGCAATGTAAATCGACACCGAGATGAACTTTGTCAGATGAAATGGGTCGAATGTTTTCACAGTTATATTTACGTTCATTGTTATCCAAAACTGATGTAGTGCTTGACGTGCTTGCTATCGTAGTTGATGTCACAGGAATTTTAGCAACCTCTGGAACTACTGATGATGTTGCGAATGTTGATTCTAATGGTTCAGCTTTACGTTTTCGACTTGAGCTTGATTCAGTTGTGAATAACGATGAAGTTTTCGTGCTCAGCGATGAAAGTAATGTATTACTAGTTGTAGGTGCATTCACAGTGGAAAGTATTGATGATGTCGATTTTAATGGAGTACTCAAAGAGAATGGTGATGATGATAGTTTGGGAGCAGTACTTAGCGAAAATGCTGAAGTCGATGGCTTAGAAACATTATTAAATAATGTTGATGATGTCAAAAGACTTGTTGGTTTGCTAGTCGTACTTCCCGATAGAAGAGAACTTGTTGTATTCAATGATGACGAAAATGAAAGACTGGATCCTTGTAATAAGGAGCTACTCGTAGGAAACGATGTAGTCTTTGTTGACAAGAGCGAATTTGTAGTTGACAATAATGAGGATGCCGTGGATGGCTTCTTTTGATCGGCCATGTTACTTCTAGCTCACTATTGAAGAACACAAGTCAGTACAGTGAAAAATATAAGCCGAATAAGAAAATGTTTCGAGTATTTAAGCGCAAGTATGTCTAATGCAACCTCAAAGTTAGATAATAACAACGTTGCACAAGCATAAGAAAGAAAGGCAAACAGAAATGAGAGAAACTTTAGTCATAATGCGAAGGAATATTGCAGTATTGAGATTCGATGGTGCAAGAATAGGCAAAGTATATTTGATGTTTTTCTTTCTTTCACCGTTATTGCGAAAGGATTGCAATATGTTTTTTACGATCAAAATAGCAAGCAAGCAAGCAAGCAAACATGTGGACTGGATATTTTGAAGTGAAGAATGCAATAAGTACGACATCTATCCAGAAGAAATTTACCTAAGAGCTAATTTTGACTCGAACACCGTACGAAGAAATGAATAAAACAGATATTTTATTTAAATATTGGAAATATTTCGTTGAACAACATGGAGGATATGTACTTAGCGACATGGATAAAATGGTGCCTTGTTCTATGCAGCCAGTCAGTGTTAACCGCAAAAAACACAATGATTGAAACAAAGAAATGTTCATTTCTTGAATAAAAGTCCATTTTTTCAGAATATCATGCGCGTCGACCCAGTTTCTAAAACAACATCCGATGTTCCGTGTGACTTTGGTGCTAAATACGATGATTATTGTCGTCAATGCCATTTATTACCTCTATCAAGCGTGAAAATTAAACTCGATACAGGCGTTATCGATTTAGACACGGACACACTGCGGTATATCAAAAGTTCCTTTCACTTTTCCTGTGCAATGAAAGCTTCTCTCTCTGATTAGTTTTGATGATTGGACACCATTATGTTCTGCTATTGGTACATGCAAAACACTTCGTTCTCTCACATTACGAAGTCAATATTACAACTCATTATCAACTAATTTTGCTGAAGGTCGGTTAAGAATGAAATCTCTATACGAATACATTTTCTCTTGAATGTAGCCGAACGACGAACATTGAAACGAGCCTCATCTGCATCGAAACGGCCACCCTTGTTTCAATCGAAAGAATTACTCTCGAAACTTTGCACACATATCAAAGATAGTCTTTTAATCACAACAGAACTCGTCTTACTTGAATTCGATGGTCTACCATTTCGACGTAAAGATTTGACAATTCTGGCTCAAGTAGAGTGAAATTGTTGTAATCAATCGCATACTGACTTTCTCTTTCATAGGGTCTGGCAAAATGCAAATCCCTTGTTCACTTTCGTTTGACAAATAGTCCCATTGGTGATGAAGGACTTGACATACTCTGTCGACATTTGAATCAAGCATCAAAAATTCGCGAAGTCGACTTTTCGGCTTGTTCATTGACTAGCCAGGGTGCACATATCATAGCTGATTTAATTCGAGTAAGAAACCGTTCGTTTGTTTGTGAAACTCTATTCGAAAAAACAAAACAAAACAAAAATCACACGAGGTAGTGTTTAAAGAAATGTTCTTCTTCGAATCATTTCGAGGATATTAAATTCGTTGTTGATCGACTCATTTCCTCGTCAATATCCGTTGACGCCATCACCATCGTCGGGTTCTTATCAATCGATGCGTACTGCTTCATATTCATTGAGTGCAATGCTTTATTTTCTGTACCCGATAAGTCAGGATCGTTAATTAGTTCATGTTCATCGAAAACACTCGCATTTCGCTGATGGTAGAATAACAAAAGTATAACTACTAATATAATTACAAGAATAAATAGCAGACTGAAGATAGCAGCTGCCCGATCCATGGAGAAGAGTAAGTCTGCTGGCAATAATGACATCGTTTGATTGTTGATTATCGTGACTAAAGCTAGATAAGAAATGAATTGAAAGAAGAAATACAATAGATATGAAGAGTGAGGGAGAGAGAAGGATAAGAAACAAAGAGAAATCGGAGTTATTATTCAAAGTTTCTCATTGCATGCACAGTTCATTGCATGACAAGTGAGATCAGCCAACGATGTTTTCTTTTTTTATGTTTATAAAGAAAAGAAGAAGATGATAAAAATTAAGTCAAGTTCGATCAAGTAGAGAATTGCTTGGGGATTTTTCTAGCAACAAGGCAATCGACGTCACACGGATGTTTGGAAAGAAAGCCTTCGTCACCAACAAAAAGAAAGTTTACCCTATCAAAATCCAATGCTTGATCACATGTCTGGCCTACGACGTGTGACATTAAACAGAAATCCATTAATCGCAGACCGTGGTGCAACATTTCTAGCAGAAGTCATCGAAGCGGATCTTTGGATAAAAGGTAAATTGTATTTTTTTCCTATTCGATTACAAGAGATATTGAACCGTAAAGCGGATACTTTGCTCCCATATGAGTCATTGTTTTCTGATTGATTAGCAGACGTTGTATTTCATTAGTCTAGTGACAACAAAATGTTTTAATCGATATTATTCACTTGTTTTAGCTCTCGATCTTCAAGATTGCGCAATATCGACCAACGGTGCTAAAGAATTCTTGAACGCTGCTAACTATAATAGTCTCATACATATCATCGATATTCGTAACAATCCACTTGTCGATCGAGATGTCATGGAGAAACTTATTGAACAATTATTAGTAAATTGTGAAGATGATCGCTTATGCGAAGTTTGTATTCATTGAAAGAAAAAGATTCATACGTATACAGATATGATTGAAATTTAGTTTAAATGGTTAAAACTTGAGTCGCCTCGACGTCCACGTTCAAAAATAGCTCGTACAACGACAACAGCAGGCACAAATCGTCCAGTTCATTTTCAATTGAAGACACCATTTGATCCATCGAAATTACAACGAAGTAAATCAACTGGTTCCGTTTCCACGGAACCTCGAAGTGATGGAATCCCTTGGAGAACAGCTGCTCGTGCAAGTCGTCTTCCGTATGATAATGTGTATTAATCTATTTTCTGAAATAATCTGTCAACTCTTTTTTGTTCAATTAGTGGCTTTCCACCTAAATTACCAACGCGTGCTTTTCATTCTTCCGAAGAATCCATCTATGGCGCAGGTGGAGATTTCCAACAACAAACACAAGTCAAAGATAATACAATTGTACCGTATTTGTTGAGAGGATTTGAAAGGGACATTTTGTTCGTTCGGGATTTTCTTCTAGAGTCGCATACAAAAACTAGAGAATAAATTACGAGAAGAACGTCAAGCGAAAAAACAATTAGAAGAACAGCTTCAACAGGTAGAGATTTAGAATAGATGAATGAAGTTATCATCGTAATTATGTTCAATTAGATTTTAGCAAAAAATGATTTGGCACAACGACAACAAGATCAGTTTTGTGCAGTAGTAGAAAATACATTTCAAAAATTTCAAAAATTTCTCGATTTCCTTCGATCGAAACGGTATAGTGTCTTTGATCCTATAATAAACCAAAATGAAACGTTGCTTTCTGTTTATAGTTTGGGTGAATTAATCACAATGGCTGGTCTTGATGATGCGTTTATGAATCCTCTTGATGAACTTCGTGAAACATCTTTAACGATGGCCAATGGATCGAATACAAATCATCAATTGGCATCAATCGAAAAAAGCGAGGAACGCTCACATTCATCATCATCTTCTTCATCGGAGACCACTACGAAAACAGAACAATAATTAGTTTCTTTTTTGCTCTCTTATTTGTCTACATAGATGCTCGGATGGTCGCTTTTGTTTTGCACATAGGATTGTCTTTATTAGTTCTGAATGTATTTTTTTTGCCTTATTGTGTGTGTGTGCGTTTCTTACTCGGACAGTTTTGCTAATAATCGTCTTTGTTATTTTCTACTTCGAATACACGTCGTCATAGGCGAGAAAAATCAGATCCTCACAGATCGTTGAAAATATATTTGATTATTCTTGCAACCTAATTTGAATCTCATGCTTATTACCTATTGCTGGTGTCCCGCGTTTTCTAAAACGAAAATTTCGCAACTGCGTAAAAGTTTCTATGATCGTCTCGCGCATTCCGTGCATCCTTGACACGATGATGTGGATCCTGCGTTAAGATTATCAGGTTCATTTTTCATGCTTTTGTGCCGTTAACTAACCTCGTTAAATGGAATATTGAGTTCTTCATTCGAACTCCTACAAATCTTAGTCAACTGTAATACTATTATTGTATAGATACGATTTGGTACGAAGAAATAGCCGATATTCAAAATCTGTATTGACGAATTGTTTACAAACAATCTCAAATTACTGACGTCTTTTCAACTGATTTCTCTCATTAGATTTTCTTTGTTTGAAAATAAAACTATCAATAGTGTTGCTATTGGAATCTGCTGCCATCTATGAATGAGCCGATCATTTTCTGTCAGACGTGAGCAACACATCCTGGTAACGCAACATATCGCAAACGCTGCTATGGTATACTATCATCGAGACGCTGTACAAATTCTTATTCGGATTATTTGTAGATCGTATTTGTAAACTGAAGATTCATTAAGTTTCGCCGTAAATACTTCTTTTCTTTTCATGTGAAAACTGCTATACATTGTGAAGAGAAAAAAGTAGAATAGTGATGGATTTTACTCCGGCACGGGATACAAGTATGACAACTGGCCTTGACCAACCTCAAGGTAGTGAGAAAACTGCAATTGGTTTGCATCGGATTCTATGTGACTATTGTAGGTCAAGCGAAACGAGTATCGAGTGAACGGCAAATGATTGCAAAATTGGATCCAGCTGAATTGCAAGATCGTTATTTGCGTTTATATGATGACCATTTAGTTCTTAAACAACATGCGCGCAAGCAGGAGGATAAAATTAAAAAGTAAACTCGAATACAACGACAAGATTCGCTTTTCTCTCTACAACTTCTTTACTTTCATTTCAGATTAGCGACCACTTTAGCCAAAGTTATCGAGGATAAAAAGAAAAGTGAAGCTGTTCCATTTGGTAAATAGAACTCGGATTATAGTACATCTCTTACCTCATCTTGGTTTTGCCTAGGTGCTAAAGCAACTATTCGTGATTCGGAAATCGAAAATCAACTCGCTGAATATCGAAATAAGATCTCCGAATTACGCGAACAAAATAAATTCTTGAAACAGCGCTTGGCTGTTGCTCAACAACAAGCACAGGCCACGCAATTGAAAAAATCAAGTTCAGCCTACGATGGCGTGTCATCAAGAATTGACACAGTAAGCAACGATTCTTTATTATTCTTAAAAAAAGTATATTTCATAGGGCCAACCGAAACGAATACCATCACCGTTACTTCACAATATCCGTGTTGTTGGCCCACGGGATTCCTTCAGGTAGATACTTTTAAATTGAATTCAGTGCGTAGAATTGTATTGTAGAACATCTGGAACTACTCCACGAGTAAATAGTGGATTGTTAGAAGAGGCTCAAGCGACCAATAAACAATTGTAAATATCGAGTTTAGATACAAAAAAAATTCGAATATTTTTTGCAATTTTTTCGAATAGAAATGAATCATTGGAAAAAGCTCATCAACAATTAAACTCGTATGAACAGCAAGTCGAAAATCTTCGTCAACAGTTATCACGACGTGATAATGATCATGAGCAAAATCTCTTACGTTTACGATCACAAGCAACAGGCGGTGATTCGCGCGTGAATTTACAAGAAAACATCGATATGATTCGCTTACAAAGAGATCTACGTGATAAATCGGATGAATTACGACGTTTACAAACTCAATGTACAAATTTTGAATCGGTTTGTTGAAGTATTTTCCTGGTCATTCATTGACTCTATGATCATTTTCTTGTAGCAAAATCGCTCATTACAAGTAACCAATGCTGAACTATTGAAAGAAATCGATCGTCTCGATCGACAAATCAAAGACGAACAACAACGAGCATTACAACTACGAAATGAATTAAGAAATGGTTCACGTTCTAATACAATTGTTCACGAGGTATAGTCTTGTCGTCGATAGATTTTCCTGTTTTGAAGAATTTTTTCTTCTAGCTCAATTTACAAATTGAAGATTTTCGTCGGGAATGCGAAGCGCTGAAAGAAGCGAATAGAAAAATTGTCGATTCCGCATTCAACAGCGATCGTGAACGAGAATTTCGTGAAAAAGAACGCGCGTTAAGATTGCAAATAGCTCAACTTGAAGCAACAATCAAAGCGGATCTAGGCGAACGAGGGAATCTTTTGGATAGATTAACATTAGAGAAAAGTAGGAAAAAAAAGAGTCGTTTCAGAATAGAGAAACATGAAATGTGTTCGTTTTTCAGATTCAAATCAACGCACGGATGAAGAACATCGAACAATGCATTTGAAATATTTAGAAATGAAAGAGAAATACGATGATCTGGCTGAAAAAATGCGATTCTTCGAACGCGTAAGTTATTTATCAAGATTTCACTTTTATTTTTACTCGTTTAATATCAGGAAGGAGATATCAATATGAGAGAAATTGAAGAAGCTTTGATCATACTACGGCAACGTAAACAACGGCAAGAACCGAATTTCGATTTTCTTCAAAAAGTTGATGATGAAAAAGGACAAAGTAAGGAACATCATTGGGCGATTCTGTTCTGATGGGTTTTTCATAGATCTGAACCGGCGAATACTTGAATTAGAAAGCCAATTAGCTGAAACAACCAATGAACTAGAAAAGACTCGTAATTTACTACTTATGCAATACAAAATTAATCGCGATTATAAACTTGAAGTACGGATCCAATAGCTCTTTGTAATGACTTCAAGATAATCTATTGCTTCCTAGGTCGATTGTGTTCAAAGAAAAATGGAAGAAAATCAAGCAGAACATTCAGCACGTGTGCTTGAAAGTGGTCAACTATTGGACATTCGTGCTGAACGTATTCGAAAATTGGAGAAGTGTGTTCTCTCGTTCTAAAAATATTTTTTAATATTCACATATTGATTTCTTTACAGATCGTTGAAAGACGTTGCTTATGGTACTCGTCAATACCGTGTCCAAGAACAACCAGCTGCCGATGGTAATCTAACAAATGAACTGATCGAAGATGCGATTGAACTTGAACGCGGTCAAAATCTTATCGAAATTCATATCAGTCGCGCATCATTTAACGAACGTGCCTTGGAATATTTTGGTAAAAATAATGAGCCATCAACATTCTGTTCGATTGAATTCTTTGAACACGAATTACAAATGACGCCAATTATCAAAGGACGAACACCTGAATACAATTTTACCGCACAATATATTGTCAATGTGGATGATTTTCTACTATATTACTTACAGAAAGAATATACACTCATTGAACTTCATCAAACCGTGGGTCAATCATTTCAGACAGTCGCTGCATGTAAACTTGGCCTAAAAGAACTCATCGAAGGTAAGTCGAGCGAAAGCTACAGCTGAAATTCGATCTCGTTTGATTTAGGTAATCAAGGGCGCTTACATGGAACAGCAAAGTTAATAGCATCGCATCAGAACAATCTAGATATTGGTGCATTTGGTGTGGTAGAATACTGGGTTCGGTTACGTGTACCTATGGAGCAAGCTTTCCGCTTATTGAAGGAGAAAATGAAAGCACAAGGTTATCTTGCGACAACAAGTCGTCAATCAACAAAAACATCGAATGATATCGAACAACGACATGATCTTGATCCGAATATGAACGAATTAACAATTGCTATTCTAAACTGTTCAAATGTCAAATCAGCGACTTCTGGTAATATCATCAATCTATTCTCCAGAGAGACAATTTTCGTTTTTGCTCATTCGTTTCTAGATCATCAGCCTGATCTTTACTGTGTATACAAATTCTACGATTTTCTCGATCATGATACAATAACGATTCCGTCATCGAACAATCCAAACTTTGATGATCGTACACAGTACCCTGTTCAAATGGACATCGATCTCGACCGTTATCTCAAACAGTCTCAATTAACAATATTTGTTTTTGACGATCGGGATCAAAAGGACGATCGTTATGTCGCACGCGCTGATATACCATTGATATCATTGGCACATGATAATGCAATTCGAGGTACATTTGATTTGCATAATGATCAGGGAGAGAGAAATGGTACAATGGATGTGTCACTCAAATGGACATATACGTATTTACCACCCTCAATATCGACACGTACGCCCGGTCAGCGTTCAAAAGGTGAACCAGCAAATCATCGCGAACCACTAGCTTTGTTACCAGATGAAAGCGTGTCTGGACATAAAACATTAGCAGAAAAGCAAAAGGAAATGAGAGTGAAGTTAAAACCTCAAGATGTGTTGGGATCTGATAGTGATCAGAAGCCAAAACGAGGTAAATTAAAGACAAAAGAGAAGACATTCGATATTTGTTTCGTTGTTATAGATTCACCAGTAAGCAGTTCTGGTATACCAGCGTCCAGCGTTTCGCGACCTGTACGAGACACAAATCAAAATGGACATCGTCATCCTCGAACTGCATCAAATGCAAGTACAGACAGTAAACGAGGTAAACCAGCCGGAATAACAAATATCTCGATATATAGTTTGTCTATTTCAGTTAGTTTTGGTCATCACGACGAAACTCCATCAACTCATCCTCCCAATGCGGTTTGTCAATTGAAATATCAATTCTTGCCTATTTTATATATTTACTTTTAGGAACAATCAATTGAAGATGAAACAAACCATACAATGACACCTGGTAAACTTATCTTATATGTCAGATAACATATACTCTGAACTATTATCGTGTATTTAGAATCGTCTGACATTGATCCTGATCCGACAAAATCAACACGTTATGTAGATGAATCTGATCCTGATATCATTTATCGCAGTACCACATCTGCTAATTCGACTAAACAAGATGATGTTGTAACTATCGGAGTACATCATCTCGTGTTGAACGAAAATTGTTCGATTTTTGATGATGATCAACGCGACAAAGTTTTCGTCAGCGTCGAATTTTCGAATGACAGAGAGGCATTAGACACGCCATTATCACTAATCAAAGGCGAACCGAATTCCAAATATAATTTCGGCTTTCAAACAGGTTTGTACTGTGCGGTATTGACTCGGAATAATTAATGCGCGAAATCATTTTCTTAAAGGATATTCTATACGGGATAAGAAGAAGCGTCAACAACTTGCAGAATTGGTTGGACCGCAAACATCGGGAGAGTAAGTGAAGACATCTCGCCTGATGGTTTGACAAACGTTTCTTTCTAGTATTCGATTTATTGTCGTTGCTGAGCCACCTGATGACATAGAAGGCGCTGAATGTGTTGATCTAGGCGTTGCAACAGTTAATGCGAAAGAGATATTACGCACAGAAAAGGATATTATCGAAAAAAATATCTCTGGTAAACAAGAATTTTCTTTGTATTTTCGTTAAANGGGAGAGTAAGTGAAGACATCTCGCCTGATGGTTTGACAAACGTTTCTTTCTAGTATTCGATTTATTGTCGTTGCTGAGCCACCTGATGACATAGAAGGCGCTGAATGTGTTGATCTAGGCGTTGCAACAGTTAATGCGAAAGAGATATTACGCACAGAAAAGGATATTATCGAAAAAAATATCTCTGGTAAACAAGAATTTTCTTTGTATTTTCGTTAAATCGATTTCGTTTTTTGCTCTTTCCTTTGAAGTACATGACATAAACGAACATAATCAAATCATTGGACAAATGAATGTAACAGTATCAATGGTTAATGCCTTACAAAAAGTACAGCAAGAAGAGCAAACTAATCGTCGCATTCATACGTAAACCAATCTAATCATCCACTGGATGTCAGATATTAATACAACAAAATATCATGACTAAAATTGGGTTCTCTTGGTTTTCTTTTTTGTTTCTCTTCGATGCTTTGTGTGTTGTTAGACAAGTTTCTATATATTTTTCTTTCTTTCTCATTGCTTTTCATTGTATTTCTATCTTAATATTGGAAGAAGAAACCGTGCGTGTTTTCTGTAGTGTGACAGGTGAATGCTGAGTGAAACTAATGTAGCAACGAAACTTTTCGTGTCCATTTCATTCAAACTGCCTGCCAACGATTCAATCGATTATTTATCAATCTTAATAGAACAGAAACTTATAGAATTGATACATCTTGCGTTTACTATACGAATATTTTGAACATTTCAGTCCGCCATGTGTTCTCATTTGGACAAGAGACAACAGTTTGCTTTCGATTTTACGAAAAAAAACGAGGATATTTATTGTTTGCTTCAAATGAAACGAAAACAGCAAGAACAACAGTAATAACACACTAACGAAATGAACAAATACAAGAAGAAAATAATCAATTTAATAGACACACAATACATACACACACAAACATACGCACATCTAGATATTTTACCCACTATCATTGAGTTGAACTCAGCACATCTAATATGCATGTTATTTTGTTTGAATAGCTACGTGAATAGAAGAATCTAATGTACAGTTTAGATAAGAAAAGCAAAAATATTATTTATGTTTGATTGCAGCAGATTCAACTAAGAAGTTCTTCGTCGTCGACATTATTTTCCTCTTCTATGTTATGCTTTTTCTCGACTGATTTTCGCTTTCCACCGCCTGTTGAGCGTCGGTTTTTACCAGATGCAGATGGGCGAGCTTGTAATTCATTTCGATATAACTTCGAAAGAACAACAAGTTGATGTTTGAGTACAGCTAAGCTACTCGATGATTGAACATTGTTCAATAGATCAGCATCATTCAAGTTATCCGAACTGCTATTCGTGTCAGCAAACCATTGTGGATTCTTCATAATGATTGATGGATGTGAAAACAAAAACGTATAAAACCCTAGCAGAAAAACATGTACATGATTAAAGGAGAAAGATATCGATTGGTGACCTACATTCTTGCGGAATATCGACATGTGTACGATTGAGATTTAAACAGAGTATATGTTCGAATCGACGTTTGGCTTTTTGTTCAGCTTCGTCAAATGTTTTTGTTGAACCTAATTGATCAAGTGCATCGAGTACTTCTTGCTCTTCGAATGGCGACAAAAATCCAGTTCGAATATCATGTTGACCATTCGAAACAGATGAATTCATAAATGCTTGTGGTTTTTGAATTGGTTTTCTTTGTGTAGTAAATTTTGTTGTAACTGTTGGAGTTGCCGAATGAAACTCTGGTGTCGGACCATCGTCGCTACTTGATTGTTTGCTGGGATTTAGTCGCCCTCGTTTTTTTCCACTGCTTGCACCGTTGACCAGATCGGTCGAATTGGATTTTGTTGGAGTTGTATCAACAGGTTCAATTGCCGGTGTTCGTTGTTGATATGAAACGGATGATCCATTGGCTGTCTGACCGAAGACAGTTGCCGATGAGTTAGAATTGAGTTTATCTTCAGTGGCAGGAGTTTTGCGCATTAACGTACGTTTTGATGGCGGCGTTGTATTCGAATCGGAATCATTGGATGTTCGTTTACTGAGTTTGATTTTTACAGATGGTGCTTTACGAAGCGGAGTTTCGTTTGGTGAATCTTCGTCATCCGATTTAAATTCAAATGTTTTTTCAGCTAATAATGACCGATCCAATGGATCCATAGTTGATGTAACCGATAGGGCAGGTGGTTCTTCCGATTTGGTATTTGATGTTTTAGGTCGACGACCAGTTTGACCTTTTGGAGTTCCTTAAATTCGAACGAGACGATCGAACGAGATAAGTTCCACATATATCCTTACCGATTTTATTCGTATAGAATTGAATTTTCGGTTCAATGTTTTCCAGACGTTTCTCACTGGTTTGTTTGATTGCCTCATCAGCTTCACGTACTGCTGATTCCCAATCCTCACGTCGACCAATGGTGACTTTCAATTGAAATCGTTCAGTTAATTGTTCTTTTTGTGATTTGGTTTGTGCCTAGAAAAAGAAAAACAATACTCCCAAATGTTTGATCTTATCTTTCATCGCACGCACCTTATCAACGCATTCCTGTGCGAATTTCGTAAAAGCTTCGACACCATTATAAGCGATAATAGCAGCATCCGAAACCCAGGCAAAGTCTGCAGTTGAACCGTAGAATACCACAAAATACATTCGTTTTGCTCGAGCATTACCTAAAATACATTTCCAAATACTTCTCTCCTCATATTGATGCACTTTTCTTCGATTTCATACCAGATACTTTCGTAAAACTTCCACTGGAATCATTTGGATCGCGAATAATAAGACTTGGCCACCTAATTAACAAACAAATACATCCATGGGAAAAGTCAAGCAATGAAAGTTTACCATGGATGTCCACCCATTTTTACCCAAACCACATCAGCAACATCATAAAGCACTGGAATATTTTTATCACGTTCTTCATCATCGGCATCATTATTTACTTGTTCAACTTTTGGCTTAGTTGCCTTCGGTGTTCCGTTCGTCACAGCTGTTGGTACTTCTTCACCTGAACAATCACACATCGATATAATTGACTCAAAATAAACCCTCTTGTTTTACTCACGTTTCGATAAAGTACGTTTAGGACGTGCAATAGAAATACTTTCCATGTTTTCAATTACTTTTTTCACCGAGCGTTTTCGTTTACCGGGATTCGTTTCATTAGCTGTTGGTTCATCGGTGGCCATTTCTACTACTGCTTCTTCTTCTTCTTTTTGATCTGTGCCATTGACTGGTTTAACTTCAGCATCGACTGCGACATTCTCGACAGCTGCTGCTGCTTCTGCCGCTGATGGATTTGGTACAGTTTCAGATTGTTCTGTAGAAGAAGTCATTACTTCAGCACTCATCCAATATAGTTAACAATGAATGTCGGTTTATATAGACAAAGTGAATACAAAATGAATGAACAAAATGAATAAACAAAGCATCAAGAACATTCAACCAATCGGATCGTTTTGCTATTTTGATGTCATATTTCGACAACACAACAGACAATCGCTGTCTTTGTTAATGTTCTTAGAAAGTTTTCTTGAAATTTATCGATAATAATTATAGATGTAGTCTGTTGTTATGATCCATAGAGGTCGTTGCTAGGAAGTTTCATCTGAAGCTAGATGTAAATGTCGCTTAATGAGATTGCTCTGAAGTGTGTGCATGTTTACTAACAAATTCTTTTCTTTCAGGCAAAAGAAATGACAACAGTCGAGTTCGGTGGGGGGCCGACTCTTGAAGCTCGGCGACAATTTGCTAATCTCAAAGATGGCTCGCAAGTACCCAGGTAAAATCATTTAAGGACAGTGTCAGAAAAAAAATCACTTTACTGAATTTCGTTCGTTCAAAATGACAAATCATCTGTTCCCAGATCAAAGTTAAAAAAAATAGCATTTCAGCTCAAAACTTTGTAATACTTGAAAAAGATACACTCAGTAGAACCTATTTTTAAACAAAATCAATATTTGACATTGAACCTCAGGCAATTCATACAAAGGCAGAACTTGAGAGCATGATCATCGATTTTTACTTCAGAAAAAATTCTATTGTGTAGATATCCTAAGATGTCGTCGATTTGTTTATTGATTTGTATTTGAAAGATTTCGTCTGGTTGCAAATCATCTCCGAAAATTATAATAATACTTTACTCGATATTTCAAAGGTTTCTTCATAAACAAATCTTCTTTGTTTACTCATATTCGATGTCAATATTTTCTCAGCTAATAATAACAACAAAAAACAGAGCAAATGCTTTTGTTTTGATGAATAAGACATGAAAACGAATAACTTTACCAATCTCTATGTCATTTGTATAGATACACAGGACATATACATCAACTACGGTATCGTAATGGTCATACATACGGTGAAGAAACTTATATTCTATCTAAAGAATATCCTCATTTAATACGTTCGAGATCTGAATTTCCAATTGTAAAAGTTGACCATTCGAATCCGTATGAAACACGTGAATTTCCCGATGGAATGCTTCCAGGTTACACGGGTAAGTAATGGATGATCGAAGAATTCGAATGGTATGATTTATTTTGCATTAGGTTACATTCCTCAACGCAAATATCAACTGGGTAATCGATATCGTGTTGAAACAAATCTGTGTCTTTCAGGAACAAAATCTGTGTATGAGAAAGCGAAAAATCAAGCGAAAGACTTACGTCATTCGATTGCTACTTATCCTAAACCACAAAGCGTGAACAGTGAAACAGTAGTGAAGCATTATCTCGATTACCACCCAGCTTATCATCCACTTAAAAATGCTCAAAAAAGTATAGAAAATCAATTCGAATTATCATTTCATATACGATGCAATTTTCTTAGACGATCGCCGATTGTTTCTCGAAGCTCCTATACCTGGTTACAAAGGATATATACCTCGTATTCGTCCAACTGATACCAGTGTTGGTCTACGTTATCACGAAGCTGTGAAGAAAGGTTTAGATCGGTTTGCTTCTGAAATTACTCATTCAACTACGACTTTACCAACGCAACGGGACATAAGCACGCCAAAGTATGTTCGATGAAAATGATTCCACTAAGCCGATGTTGTTTCGATCAGTCAATATGCGCATCTCATTCCCGACATGTTGCTTTTTTATATCCGTTCTAACAAAAAATCATCGTCGATATTTTTATCTTCTTTTCTTCCTGTTTCTCCATTTCAGTATAACATCAAGTTCGGCAAATTTTGCTCAAGACAACTCCATTACCGATTATTCAACCCGACGGTTGTACTCTCGAACCGGAATGATTCCTAAATACACAGGCTATTTACCTCGTATGCATTTTCGCTCGATTCTTGCTATCAAGAAAGCTTTTTTCTTGTTTTAGAACGCAAATATCGTATTGGGCAAACTTATGGCGATACAAGTCGTGGATTGCCTGTTTGCTCCCATTCACTTAGCAATTATGGGGATTATCTACGATCAAAAACTTCGCTCGACATGCGTCAAAACAAACCTAATTGAAAGCAAACGAGAATTTCTTTTTCTACACGACTGATTTTTGTTTTGAATTTGTTTCTTGTCTTTCACACATTTGTACTCCAGTGAATAAGTTCATCTTTTATTTGAAAGTTTTTCATCAAAAACATCAGTAACATCTGACAAAGTTTTATTCCAAAATTAAAAAACGTGATCATTCATTGAAATCAGTTTTCATCATTCATAATTTTTGCAAAAAGTACTGGCCAATACCGCTCTAATTGAATAGTTAACGATTCTTTTCGGAACGCATCATCAATAGCTGATTGTACTAAACTTTTTGCTAACGATGATCGTTCGTGAATAATCTTTAGAATGCAAAACGAGAATGTTCGTTCGGATTATTCACTTAATGGTACTTACCGGACTTAATTTGGTTTCCATTGGAACTGGAGTCGTTGGTTCCGATGTTGATTTATTCGAAGTTCTCGAGAGTGGGACTGATGACGTTCGATTCAGGGCTGACGATGCACGTGATCTGCATATGAAAACGTTTTGTTTTTACAAGCAAGAGCGAATAGTTATCCATTACCTGCATGAGTCAATATCTGTATCACTTCGTTCACTCAACGAATCTTGCGGACCAGAAAGAACATCAAGAGCTCGTCGGTCACGAGTTTTCCCTGTCATATCAGTCGGCGTCGTACTTTGCTGCAATCTCATAATACGATTCACCCGATGATCCTACAAGCTCATTCGAATTTTTTTAACTAAAACTTCGTTATCTACTTACAGCACTCATCGGTAGACGAGGATCGCCTTTCATCGCAGCATGTTCCGTTTGCGATAGGATAATCTGTTCGTACGAAGCTGCCGATGGTAATGGATTACCTTAAAAGATGAAGAATCTTCTGGATCGACTTCGTTTCACTGAAATAATCACCTTCCAGTGATAAAAATTTCAATGTACTAATTCTTGAAACGCAGCGCATATCTTCATATCGTTGAATTTTATTGTGATTTAGAAAGAGGCGTTGAATGGGTAGTTTTTCCAGATCGCCCTACGAGAAAAGTGATGCGACGAACAAGTGATTAAGACAGATTTGCCTTACCACGATTGCAATCAGATTTCCTTGAAGATTAAGTTCCACAAGATTTTGTAAAAAGTGTAGATTTTCACATTTTTCTATTCGATTGTTTGCTAGATTAAATACGCGTAATCGAGTTAAATGTTTACAATTTTCAATTCGAGAAATCTAAAATTTGAAAAGCCAAACAATCGTTTTGAAAATACTTGCGAATGAAAAGAACAACTCACTTGATTTCCATTCAATTCAAGTACATCAAGTTGTGTCAATGCATCGAGGTTTTTTATTTGCCGAATTCTACGTGAAAACTACAGAATTGGTCTCATCGATTCGCTATCAATCTTACTTATTATTTCCCAGTCGAAGAATTCGCAATGAAGCTAAATTGTCCAAACCTTGAATCAATTCAATCTCGTTGTCACACAAGTCCAAAACAACAAGGTTAATCAAATGTTCGAGATTGTTTATTTTGGAAATACAATTCTTCTGCAGATTCAACAACTTGATTTGTTCATTGTTATTTTGGAAATAAGGACAAGCGAGAAGTTGTTGTCTAACAAAAGAAAAGACAGATGAAAATTAATTGGCATCTTTTCGTCGGATCTGAGAAACAACTTTTCACAAATAACTCTTCCGTTCGTTTGAGGAGACGACGTTGCATTTGTTTCTTCGCGAGCATTCAAACCTCGATTGACACCTTGGATACTGAATGGTGCACCGTTCACAGGTCGTTTGTTCATCTTCAACAACAAAGAGAAATCTACAGAGAATTCAACGTTCATACACAAAGCTGGCATGTCGGACTCAGTTGCTATGACTCTTTCCTCTTCGTTCTTCTCTGTATTTCAATATGTCGATGTCAACAAATAGAAAATGAAAAAGAAGTTCTTTCTTTTTTTTTCACAACGACAGTTGACAGAAATGTAAAAATAGGAAAAAGAACGACAGCAAACATGGGCAACTACAGTTGATTTTGAATATCAATTTGAATTTCAACGATCGCAGAATTGTTGGCGAGCGAGACAAGATAGGAATTATTTGTCGGTGATGAAATGATACTTTGAATAGGACCAAGACCGAAATGAAACGCTTGGGAATTATGCTAGAAAGAAGAGAAATTCACTGGCAAGAAAAAAATGAAGGAGATTACTTCATAACGATTTCGAAATAGATGAAGTTGACCGTCTTTACCACAACAGAGAACTAAATTTGCAGAGAGAATAACAGCTGATGCGTGTGCATCAATGATAGTTTTATCTAAAAACGAAGTTTCTTCACAAACTAATTGAATACGAATTCCTAATCATACCGAGCAGATGACACATCAACGGATGAACGATACGATCCCATTCGATACTTTCAATCTTCTTCCCTCGATTGATCTCGAAAGCTGGTATTGTCCCTACGATTGATAGTCTTTCGTGATTTTTTCATGAAATTTCGAGGAAAAACGCTCACAAATATTATAATCATTGTCCGAATAGACTACTAGAAGATATTTGCCATCGACCGACCAAATCACAGTGCTCACAGCTGCTGTATCGTTCTAAACTAAATTCAATGAGATACTTTCCTAATGTGACAGGTATTACTTGTAACAATCCATCTGGATGCTGATGAAAATCTCCATTTCCTAATACATCGAAAATACAAACATTCCCATTGTGCAGTCCAACAGCAAGACTTAAACCATCTAATACATAGAAAAATCCTTGACTTGAAACTTTCAAGAAAAACGAAACAACGAACCAGGAGAGAATCGAACTGATTTAACACCCGTATTAAATTTCAGTGTTATTGTTGTAATGTAGAACGATGACAATGTGTCATAAATTATCAGTTTGCTAGTTTCCGTGCCGAGAACTATGACATTTCGTTGAGGATGGATATCAGCGCAAGAGATTGGTTGCTAGAACGACATATTCAAATTATTTGTGAATAAAACTATTTCTCATACGGTTGATTTTGTTGACCATTCAACAGATTTTGTAGCCATGTTCCATTTAAATAAATTTCGGTCAGAACTTATCGAGAAATAATAATGATCATCTCGACCACAACATATAGATATCGATGGGCTTGTATGTCCCTGAAAACAAATATTAGATGTAAAAATGTAACACTAGAATTCAGGAAGAGACGTACTCGCATGAGAACATGAAATTGATCTTTACCCATTTCCTTTGATATAATATAATTCGATTTAGTTCCAATAGCTAATCCCACACAAACAGATTCTCGTTGAATACAACATGCTGATTGAATTGTACCAATGTTTTCATTCACCTATTATGAACAAATATGCACTAAAACTCTTTCAACAAAAATAATTACTCGAATTTGCTCAACCGTATCGCTTTTCAAATTCCAAAGTTTCACCTGATTTTCTCTGTTCGCTAGGAGAAATGTTTCGTGATTGACTGGAATAATCAAATCCACGTCATTCTAACATTCAAATCAAAGCATTTAACGCACAGCAAATACAGTTCCTCTTACTTCCAAGATACACTCTTGAACAACAATTAATTTCGGTTCTCGATCGATCAAACCCCAGATATAAACATTACCCACTTCGTCACCAACAAGCAATTGTTCGCCTGACATATCACATGCCGCTGCTCCGGTGTAAATATTCTAAGGTTGACGAAAGATTCTCTTTTACAGTAAACAATGCTATCGATATTTCTCACTTGAACTTCGGACTCTCGTCGTTCTAACATCTTCAATGGTCGCAGACTCCAATTAATGTGATAAAAGAGTAAATGTCGTTGACTGATACATGCAATCCATTCAGTTGAACCAAAGACAAACAATACCGAAAGGATATTATCAGATTTACACTAAAAACAGAGAATAATAAAAGAAGTTTAATATGAATTGTACGTACTGTGATACTATAAATCAATTCATTTCGTTTCCAATCGATAAATAAAACAAGTTTGGGTTTGTCACGTGAAATAACTAATAATAAATCGTCGTCTGGTTTAGGTGAAAACGATAATAATGATATAAAAGATCCAAATTGGTCTTTCTGTATTTCACGAACAGTTTCAAGTTTCGTATGGTCCCAAATATGTATCAAAGCGCGTTGATTCGTTTTTGATGAGCCTTTTTCGCTCGATGCAACTAATGTTTGGCTTCGATGAACATTGACGCTGAAATAATTTAGAAAATGTGTATCCCTCAATCAATCCTCAATATCATCTCTTACCAAGTTATCAAATGCTTATGTTTCGTATAAAAACGTTGTTGTTTCAAATTGGGTTCGTATACAACGCATATAGAATCAATTACATAAAGAATTTCATTTTCCGGCAATGAATAAAGCTTCTTAGTCAATTCATTATCACCATTGTAACCATGACTAAATAGAAATTCAATCTTTTAACGAAAGTTATATACCAAAGATTTTTCCTTACATCCAAGTTATCGACGGTCTTATCTCGTCAATTACTAAAGAAGAAAAGAAAATCATTGATACGCGTATTCTTTGATTAGTATGGAAATTAATACTTCGTTTCGAAGGGAAGCGTTGTTTAGTCTTTCTGGTATTGGATTGTTGAGATGACCATTTGCGATCAACAAACAATTCGCTAGGTTTAATCATTTCTAAATAATCTTTTGCTCGCGTATATTCGCCTTCTGTACAACCGATGAATGTGTCCGTTTTCTTAACCAGAGCAAATAGTTTCGAAAAGCTTTTCACTTCGATAAACGCTGAATTGAGCACAGCAAATAGATTTGTAATAGAATCGTTATTCGTGTGCTGACAAAGCACATCGGTTACTTGATCTTGTAGCCATTCTTCGAATGTTTGAGTTAAATTTCGATTTAGAATTATGCTCTCGTATAAGTTCAGTTTCGAGTAAGGAAGAAGAAAAATTTGTTCGCCATTGGTTGTTGATAACGATGATCCAGGTATTGCAGGCGATCGCCATCGTGGATGAACAGATGATCGTGTATTCCAATAAGGAGATGGTCCTGGTTGAACACTTGAATTAGCAGTGAGATCAGGCTCATCTGCAAATGATTCTGTTATATACCGGTAGTTTGTTCGAACAAACGATCCTGACGATACGATGTACGATTGTCGGTGTTGAAACTGATTAGTCGAAAGAATCTCTTCGCCTGTCAACGAGTAAATGTGTCTTATTCCACCAGTTGATAAAGCTAAGTTCGGTTGACGATTGAGATAGTTTAGAAATGCTTCCCAAGATTTCAAATCGAACTCATTGACAGCGATTCGTACACCACGATGATGAGACTCACCAGAACGAACAAACTGTACTAAAATACCTTGAATTGGTCGTTGTGTAATCGACGGTACAACTGGATACGTTCGAGCTACAATCAAACAAATTCATTCCTTTAAATCTCATCTCGTAGCATTAGCAATGATATTTTCTTACGTGTATTCGATGTTGACTGCCAATTATTCGCCGACGATTTACCATTTCGACCTGCAGGCGATGGATTATTCTCGGAATATTTTATTCTTGGTGTTTGTTTCGATCGATGCGTTGACTTGGGAATTTTACTCGTATGCAACGATTCGTCTTCGTCATCATTGATTATCGTCGATGATTGTTCATCGGAACTGGTTTGTTTCGTAACACTATTTTCCGAGTGATTTCGTTGCAAAACGCCTTGCCGTTGTAAATAATGATTATTATCAACGGTAGTATTGTTAACTATTGGAAACATATCTGTTGGACTGGTTTGTTGAGCACGATTTGTAGTGAGAACTAATGAAGTTGAACTGGAAGAAGTTGCTAATTGCTCATCGTCGCTTGCCTTGGGTTCATCTTCTGGAAAAAAAAGGAATTTCATGTCAAAAGAATTGATTTTCAAACATACTTTCAGTAAAAAACTTTGCTATTGAATCTTTAATCGGACAAAAGGTTAAAATTGCTAGGGGCGAATCTATTTGTCTCGATGTTGGAAATGATTGTTGATCGCGTCGTTGAACTGAAGAAGAATTTGTTATGAAAAACTGTTGATTGGCAAATGTTTCGGCTTGATTTCCATTATCCTATGAACAATATTTGATCAATATGTTTCAAGTATCTTAGTAACTGAGTAAACGAGCGATGCGAAGTTTCTCTACTTTAGTTGACTATTAGCCGTCTGAGAGAAATAGAATACATTCTAGCAAACATTTTGCAGGTCGACTAATAGAAACGATCATGATAACGGGAAAAATCAAACTTGTTTGAACTTCCTTTCATTTCCGGTAAAAGGTTCATTTCTCTTTCTGTGATGTTCTACCTGTTCAAATCCGTTGTAACTGAGAATTGGACTTAAACGTGTCGATAGTTTTGGATCAGCTCTAGACACAGTTGGTAACATGGTCGAACTATCGAGAAGAAATGAGTTTTGATCAAGATAGAATTTTCTTTCGATGACATAGAATAAATTTCATAATTGAATTTTTCTTTTTATACTCCTAGTTTTATTCGCAAGGCTTCTCTTCATCATGTAACTGAGAAACGGGTCATTACAAAATATATTCTTTGTTTCACCTGAAACAAATGCACTGACAAATTCTTTCTTTTAAACAAATGCAATCATGAATGTCTTCTGTTCAGTGAACATATCGATAACTACTAGAGATTTGATCTGGAAAAATGTCCAAGTGGACGATAAAGATGTTGTTTTTTAATTTTCTAGTCAATTTAACAAACGAAAATATTTGAAAATTGTTTATTGAAATCATGCGAATAGATAAAGAACAGGAGAACAAAAAGAGAAAAGTTTAAGTTTCAAGATCGAAGGAGGCTACCATATCATCGGAATTGTCGAGAATCCACCAGAAGTTCATGTTAGCACGTTCGAGTGCCCAAAAACGTGCATCAACATTTGCATCGACTCCGGGTGTTGAAGCAAGAAAGTCAATTAACTAAAGCAATCGTATAAAATCCTTATCTAATTCAAATCAATGCTTACTTCAAGTTCATGAAATTCATCTTCGAATGTAGCTGTTATATCGATCAGTAATTGTCCTAAGCGTTGATTTGTGCGTCCGTAACTACAATAGAAATGAAGAAGATGTTTTCAATCAACTCAATTGAACATACTCTGCTTGAAGGTCTGTCCAATGTCTTCGGTAATACAACCAAGCTAACTCTCGACCTTGAAAAACAACAAATTAAAGAAGGAACGATTATCTGATTTGTACTAACCCACAGGATTTCGTGCAAGTAATGATAATACTTCCAATATATCAACATCTCGATCTTCATTCTCTTCGGCATCTTCGTAGAAGAATCTAATCCACAGAATGATTTCAATTTCAGACAACTAAATCTCTTACTGATACAGATGCCATGGTTGACGGGATTGAGTCATCGCTTCGAGTAAACGATACCGTTCTTGAAGGTCGAAAAACTTGTGAAAGTCAGTTTCAATCGATATCCATTCACTATCGTTATATGTGTTCTGAAAATGTGTTCGATAGACAACTTCTCGTGTATGAGCAGGAAGTCTATAAAAATCGATTTGTTCATTATTAGAATTCGAAACTCAAAGAAAAAACAATACTAACGAATGATTAGTCATTCCGACTTCAAGTAATGAATAAGCATCATACCACAATGAGGTTGCTTTGTCAATGCATTCATTCAATTGTACTCGGCATGCTAATTGAATAATGATATACTTCAAAATACTAAAACGAATACAAGATTTTCAAATAAATTTATCGACGATTGTGTATCTTACTGTTCAGAAGGTGATCCATTCGCGTCCCAAAGAGAAACTTCGTTCGTATCATAGTGATTTCTCACCACCAATTGAAAATATTTCTATGACATAGAAAATCAAGGTTCAAAATCAATCGAATAACTTTTCTCTTACTTGAACAACACCATAGGCTGATTCATATTCAAGAACATTTAACATTCGATTGACATGATAAGACAACGCTTGCCATGAAAGTAAGCCAGTATATGGAGTTCGAAGTAGATATTGTGTAATTTCTCGAACAATCGAATAGCTTTCTTCTGTCGTTTGTGCACCCAAGAAAGCGTTATTGATGAGATTGGCTCGATCAATTTCAAGTAATTGAGTATTGTTGTTGAGCAATTCTCCTGCTAGAGCTTCCCAATTTTCATTCGTGTAATCGATTAGATAATAACCGGCAAAATCGGTATTGCAGTAGAAATAATTATAGTACACAGCACCGAATGAGATATTCATCGCTTCTCGATCGAGATAGAATGTGCGTGTCAATAGAAAGTTGTTGGATTCATTACCGAACCGACATGTGATTGGAATGTACCAGACGTAACCGAATGGATTAGTTTCCGGTGGATAGAGATCATTTTCGTACATATGCGCGGTCAGATATCGAGTTTGACGAAAATAAAGAACATTCGTACCATTGGATGCATTTTGAATGAAACGAATAAAGATTTTGGGGAAATTCGATTGGTATAGCCAACGATCAAAGAAATCCACACCAGACCACGAACCAATTCGATATTTGCTGAGAATTTCGTCAGGAATGAGATATCCATATTCACGATCATGATAAAACGACTACAAGGGGAACCAACATGAACAAAGAGAGTTCGAATATTTCATGTTCGCTTACCACAATATTGTATAAAGTACTATTTGCAATACCGGTTGATTTTTCCATATAATAATCAGCCATTCTTAATATTGCTGTCGCTTTTGTTGTTTCAATACTGTCGAATAACTGATCGATTTCTGCTGGTGTATTCACAGATTTAAGAATTGGATGCGATGTACTCATTCCATCATCAAACATAGCCGGGAGAAGCTCTTCGACTGCGTATTGATTATGCTAAACACAAGTCAATGGTTGCAATCCATGATAGTCTTGTCTTTCAACTTACAATATTCCAAGTTGGATAGGCAGCATGCACAGCGTGATATTTCAAATAATTTACAATCGCCTCTTGAAGCCAGAGATCTGTCCACCATTGGAATGAAATGGAATTTCCATACCACTAAAACAAAATCTTTCAGAAAACTAAACGGAGAAACCAACAATCGAACTTGTTCAGCTAGCTCTTTCGCCATTAATAAAGCAATGCGTTCATGTTCAATTTCCGATGTTGTCATATGGTTATGAAGAAGTGCGTATTCAGTGAATACAAGTAAACCCCAATGGGACACAGCATCGGATGGATATTCTGGAACTGCAAGAACATCAATCTTATTCGGTACAATGGGAATTTGAATATCTTGAAAAACATTGAGAAGTGCGGTGAGAATGTCTTTGAGCATGGTCAATGGTTCATCAACGTAAATTCCATTTTCATTTTCAAAGAATGGTTTTCGTGCCCATAGATTGATCTACGTTCATCAGTAACCATCAAAAGAGATTTTTTTGTTGTTTTAGACATACCTGAATACGGCGATTTGTTACTGGATGAAATACTTCGGCTGATTTACTGCTGAAATCGTCGGTGAAAATAACTGCAAATGCAATCCGTGCGGTTGGGATCGGTGGGACAGTTTGAAATTCAGTTTGAATCCAACTTTGTTCACTGAAGCTCTCCTACATCATCCATTGGTAATTTATAAGCGAAGTTCTCTTTGAAAGTCTTACTTCTTCATCCCAATTACTGATGATTTTAGTATTGTTCTCATGTTTCACTGTCAATTGAAATTTGGCTTTGAATCCAGGTTCATCAAAGCATGGAAAAGCTTCTCGAGCATGGACTGGTTCGAAATGTGTTAGCAGCATTCGTGATTGTCTAAATAAACATTTGAATATTTAGCAAAGAAGAGATCAAGAAAATTGATTTCAATTAGTTACGTAAAACCAAATTGATCCTTGTTGAATTGACTCTCGAATAGGCCAGTTCCATGGACATTCAACGTACGGAGAAATGAGATACGAACATCATACGTATAACCAACTTTTAGTTCTTCTGTCAGATGTATAACCAACATTTGAGTATTCGGATATGAAAACATACAGCTCACATTCATTAGTACATCATCGGGACTTGAACGTCGACTAACTATGACATCCGAATATAACAGATCTCCATGAAGGATAATATCGTATGTTGGCGATTCAACCTCAATGACAATGTCAACTGTTCCACTATATTGATCGTTTTCTTCGTTTAAGTGAAACAACTCTAGCATCAGTTGATATTCAACAGGGTACAGATTTGTAGGTAAACGGCTTTCTTTCCATGGCGCTGCTGGATTAAGATTAGAGCAGCAGCCTATGTTCATACATGGAAGGCTGGCTTTTTTCGCGACTACACTGCGTCTTGGTCGAGAGTAATAAATCGGTCGTGGAGTCGGTTGTTCGAGTTTGTTTTGTTCACTATCCTTCACATAGCAGATAACACCATCAGACCAATAGAATGAAATGACGGAAACAATGAATGCCGATGAGAGAAAAATGCCGATTAACAAAATACACACCGGGACCGTTAGGCTGATTTTCTTGCGAAGAAAAGATTGCCGAGGATAATCTTGTTCAAACAGAATCACATCATCTTTACTTTCGTCCATCATGCTAGTTTATGATCAGTCGAATGCGAAACTCTCTTCGCTTATAAACAACACTTTCGATTTATAGTCCAAGTTATAAAGATATCGGTTTTTCTCTATTGAATCTTGAGTAGTTTTATATGTGTATAAAACTCTCGTGAAAGTAGATTTCTCTCGAAGTTTATGGTAGTTAAATCATGAATTTATTTTGCATAGTCGAAATGAAATCTAATTTGGTATTTGCATGAAAAGAAAATTATTAACAAATGAGAAAAAAAATATATAAAAATAGTTCACACATATATCTGACTTGATTTCTATTCATTTTCTTCTTCCACCTCTTCTACATCATCTTCTTCGGCATCATTCTCTTGACGACTTGTTTGTAACACAGATTGATCGTCAGGAATACTATCCAAGTTGAAGCGAAAATCTCGTACAGCTGACATTTTAAATGTTTCCAATAAGCGTTTCTAAAGAAACAATCAAATTCAACTAAAAATTATTGAATGCAAACAACTATCCATTTACATCTTGTTGTTTGCCTAATTCAAGTAGCGATCGTTCGTATTGTTCCATTTCGTAAACTAATTTTGGTACGAGTGTATCTTTTAACACACTTTTCTTCTATAAAGGAAGTTTCTGGTGAATGTTGAACGCAATTCGAGTGAACGATTTACCTTTTTGGGATCTTTTTTATCATTTTTCTTCTTTTTCTTTTTGACAACTTCTTCTTCATCATCCAATTCCAAACTCTAAATGAAATGAAAATGTTTCCGAACGTTTTTGTCACAAATAGAAGCATTACCATTGTATAAGTAAGAAAACCGTAGCACGGTTGTTGTAATTGTGAGCCAGAAATCGATGCAAGCTTTTCGAATTCATCGCGTATCGGTGTTTTATTTTTAACCATCTGACAAAGCAAACGTGCAATTGCTTAGAAATTCAAAATATTCTGCTATTCCATACCTGACGAGTGAATTCATCGAGAATTGTATACAATTTCGTCAAGAGTTTGACTATGTTGATAATCATCATTTTGTTTTTTAACCGACATTGTAAAATTTGTCCGAAGGTGGTCATCGAATATGATAATTGTCCGCAGAAATGAGTAATTTGATCATTGGATAAAATTTGGGTTTGAATAATCCATTCCAGACTGTTGATCATTCGTTCCAATTCGGGCAGAAGGATGTTATTCAATATGATCATATGTGTTTTTTCGTTGATAATAGCGAAATACGGTTGATGAACGAATTTTGTCTATTGAAAATAAAAATCGAAGAGTATCGTAGGATGAAAAGTGAAATTTACATCTTCGGAAACATCTTCACATTGACCGTGAATGTCCATAGCCACTTTTCGAAGGAGTGGTGCATGATTACCAATTTTCGATGAAAGTTTAAAGAGTAAACGAACTAACGCTTTGCTTAATTGATGGTCCTCTAAAATTTTCGATTGTAAAACGAATCATTTAGACATAGTTTTGTTTTGTTTTCGAAACATTTATACCATATTTGCCTTGCATACACGTTGAACTAACCCATTCAGCAAATGACTGATATTCATTGCGATCAATGTGTTCTCCATCTTTCAATGCTAGTTCGAGAATGTCAGCAACGTAGATCAGCGCTTTCAAACAACCTGAAGCTTTCGCTGTCGAACCGTCAACACCAGCTGCTTCAATCAGTTGGTTATATTCGTCCTCAATTCGTTTATAGATTGCCTAATAAAACACGATTTATGCTAGTTCGATGTTTCGTTAGTTTGGAATTTTCTACTTTGAAACTTTCAGCAAAACGTGCTGTTTGAGGATCAGTTTGACTGTAACTTATATTGGAATCGATGGCATCGGGATCACCACTGAATGCTTTCATTGCGCTATCAATCATCAATGCTGCTGCGCCACGAAAGTTATTAACGATGATCTTCCATATTTCCACAATTAATTGCAAGATTTGTTCGGTTAAGATTATTGACATATCTTTCGTTACAGCTTGATACAGAATTCTATTGAATTTCCAAGAATACGACTTGAAAAATGTGTTCATATCGACTTACATATGAAGATCAATGAGCATCATTTGTAGTTTGTCCTGTCGCATGTTTTCGGCATCAAAATAATATTTGATACCGTGCGTTAAAATCGAACGAAACTTTGATAGACAACAACGCATGACATAACTACGATAACCTATGTCATCACCGAGTGCATCCAGATCGATATTATGATTCGACGAATCGAGATCCGCAGTAAACATTTTTGACCATAGAATCGAATGTAAAAATCGTTTCAAGCACGTAAATGATATCAGTTTGCCTGCTGTTGGTAAGCGCAGTTTTGCCTTGGACATTTTTTCATGTAAATGAGATTCTTGATCAATTGATTTCAATACACTTGCGGTCGATTCTCTTCAACGAGTCAATGCAAAAGTGAATCATTCAATTTCTTCGTTGATCTACTTACGCATCTTTCATTCGCATAAATTTGTATTCAATTAAAACATTACAAATATCAATACAAAGTGTATACATTTGTGGGCTTGTTTTATCTTCTGGTAAACCTTTAGCCTGAAATGAATCCATCGGAAAATGTCGTATTCATGCTTGTGAAGCGAACTTACTCCAACCAGATCAGTAAATTCATCATCATCAAATAACACAATGAGACGTTTGAAAATATCATTTGCTTTTTTGATATACACAGCGACATCGGGATCTTCGTCGAAAATTTTCGAATTGGCTTTTAAGAGACAATCAGCACGATGTAAACAAAGAGAAAGACAATGAAGTAGATGTGCCTAATTGAAATTGATAGATAAACGAGAATTTTTCCGAATAAGATACTTCCACTCACAAATGGTTCGATAATTTGGGTTTTATCATCACGTTCCAGCAAACAAGATGATAAATTCAACGTACATTTATCTCCCATCGGTTCATAGTACAATGCAATCTACATATATACACATAAAAGTTTTTGTTTCCTTCATTTCGAGAATTACCTGAGAAATAAGCATATCTAGAATAGGTGCCATAAGGATGGGACTTTTACGAAGGACAGGTAATAAACCCTAAATAATCTTTGGATTGAATCTGTAACGAATATTTTGCTTTTCTCTCTTACCTCATAAACAGCCAATCGTACATCGTACTGTTGGGAAAGACTTCGTCTTAATTGCATTAATAATTCAATACATTGTCCTTCTGTTGAACGTTGCGTTGAATTAATCGTATTCATTTGCGTTGCGCCACGCTATTCATAGCAATCTTTCATGTTCTTGTTTAGTTTAATCACAAACACTCACTTCAACTAAGGAAAACATTGTCATTTGACTTGCTTGTGCAGATGGTGGTCGAATCAACCATTTAGCATGTTTTAACAATATCAAATAGCCGTCTACTGCCATTCGCCGACAATCCAACCGACTAAAATCTCATATGTTGTTTCTCAAGTTCAGTTCTCTCACACTTACGGTCGGTACATTGCTGTGCGAAGTAATTGAAAGTACGTTTCACGAAAAGGTGTATTCCCACTTAATTTAATAATAGGTTTGAATGCATCGAGTACATCACGAGCTAATTCGTAACGCATATGTAAAATTTGATCTAGTCGATCTTTCAATTGTTCAGGCCACTTAACAAATCGATGACTATTTGTTTTCATTACATCGTACAATTGTTCTAGAAGGTTTCGAATCGTTTTCTCAACATTAGAAGTACGATCATTGTTGAAACTTACCAATGAAATGTTTCACAGTTCGATCATTGGTTTTCGCTTCAAGTATTCGATCGAATAGACGATGTATAACTTCCTCTTGCACGGATTTATGCAACTAAACTTCTCTGATACCTTAAAAAAAAATAATCATGAGTCAAACTTACTCGTACGATGTCCGATAACCATTTTGATGCTAATGTTTTCAATAGTTCGATAACTGAAAATGATGATTCATTCACAGGTATTGGTGATTGACTGTATTCATCAAGTAATTGAAAACAAAAATCGATCAAACCCGAAAGAATTAGATCACCTCCAAATAATCTTCAACAAAAAACAAACATTGAATCGTAGATTGTCATTGATTCAGATCCTTACTCTTTCTTAGCAAGTTGTAGTAAATAATCACGATAGAAATCGTTATAGTTGATTTTCGTGAAGAGTATCAACCAAAAAGCCTCATTGTTCTTTTCGAATGTTTGACAGACAAGATCAAATGCCGTTTTTAATTGTTTAATAAACTACTCATATCATAGCAATCGAAAAATCGAATGAACCGAATGATTTGCTTACTTTTCCTTTGATAGTTCGATCTTTCGGTAATGCGAATACAAACGCCAAGCAAAATGGCGAAAATAACTTTGCAACATCATTACTTTGAATTTTCTACGAAATACCAAGGTCTTCATTGGAGAAAGTGAAAAATGAATGTTACTTTAAATGTCCGAAGCAAGATTGTTCCGAGTTCTGGTGATAATTCAATAGCATTCAAGATGTGAACAATGCAAAGTCGAACGTTAGCTGTATATTGTTTATTCCTGTAGAGAAAATGGATTGATTAACGAAAACGAAGGACAGACAAAGTTACTCGTTGGATTTTTTATCCAAATCAATGAAATATTGGATTAAACGATCGAATATATATCCACTTGAACTGGTGATTTCATTTTCTAATCGAGTATCACTACACAATTTGAGAATATTTACAACAAATACAGGTAGTTGATCAACCATTGATTCAAAATCCAAAGTAAACATAATATCGATGAATGTTCGTTTTTCATTATCGGAAAATGGAATTGTTCTACACAGAAACACATCTCATTTCGTTTATCTATCGAATATCATTCATCATTACTTCATAATAGCGATGAGACTCGCGTAATTGTCTTCAGTCCATCTAAATATTAGCAATTGATTACATCCGGAAAAGAAAGATGATTATCTTTACGTTGTATTGCCTAATTGTTGAACAACGGATTCGCACATTGTTGCTGCTGATCCTGATGCAGATTGAGTTTCATCCCGTTTCACTTGTTGTAAATAGATACTTCGTAAAAGTTCAATCATACTAAGAAAATTCAAATACATAAGAAAAAGGAAACGAGGATTAAAAAAAACAAAAACAAACATGTCAGCGTTGACTGATGTTTCGATTAATTTCGTGATGATCTCATGTGTGATATCGAGTAAGGCATCTGATGAGATGTTATCCAACTGAAGAAATAGAACAAAAATTATATTCGATAGAAAACAAAGATGATTTTTGTTTACATAGATGATGATAAGACCAATAATTTTTGTGAAGACAAGATGATGAACGGTCGATATCGAAGAAGTAATCACGATTTGAATAGTCTTTTTGATAAACGTTGGAAGAATTTTTGAATCTGTAGTGTCATCCAAACATTCTATAATAAAACACATTAGACTATCCGGAGTCTTTCTTTTGTGTATTAATGAGAGACTTGTTTCAATATCTTCATTCCTTTGTGTTATCTACCTTTCAAATATTGTTTAAAAACATCAAAAGGTCGAGAATCTTCATTATTTGTATCGATTGATGATCGAAATTTATTAATAAACTAAATCAAAATATCAAAAATGAACAAATTCATTCGATTCTATTTCTTTCTATGACAACCTTATCAAACTGATCATTATTATTTGCCGATAAATTTCCTATTTTCAATCGTTTTGGTGTTGTATCGTAATTCTCGACCTGTGTTCTTTTCATCTAAAGATATACATAAATACAAAAACTTAAGTCAATTTTGTTCTTGTAAACACATGTGCATGGAACACATCCGAAACAGATCTTAATCGAGGTGGGTTCACAAAACTGAGAGTTTCGTATTTTTCATAGGGAAAATTTTTTCGAATGATTTCGTCAATAACTGCTTCGGGAATCTTTGGTATTGGATCACACCAGATGACCCAATGCTGAATATTGGAAACTAAATAGTAAGGAAAATCGTTTGGAGTCAGTAACGGCTCTTTGATTGAATTAGAACTTGGAATAGCAAGACGTTTGTGAGTGCTTTCATCGATATCTACATCCCATTTAAGATAATGAATGCGTATAAAGTCATTGATGGATCGATAATCTCGAGCAACTTGTTTTTGATGTTCAATATATCGTTGAGCACACGATTCATCACGCCATAATAAGGTTTTCTGTCCATTTTCAAGCCATTTGATTAGATCATTCCATTGCAGGGGCTTATTGGCGATCGCATTTCGTGTCAATTCAATTGTTGACACAAATCTTCCGAGGAGAAAAGGACTTTTTATGAATATCTTCAACAGCATGACAGAACAAAGAAAAAGAGACGAAGAAGGAGAAGAACGAGACGAGAACAAGAAAAAAAATCGATTCGTTAGAGCGATTCGTACGCCATCTTGTAATATGACTGCATAGACGCGATACAGAACTCGTCAGCTGATCTGTGTTGTTGTTATTATTTATTGTTTATATATGATTTGTTCATTTAACGCTTAAGATTCATCGTAGTACTCAATTTGATTAATTTCAACAATGGAATGGATGAAAGTTGTTCGCTTAATTTTGCATATATCTCATGTTGTTTGATTCTTACTTTCAATCTCACCTATCTTGTTTTTAAATTTATCAAATTATCAATTCAACATCAAAGACGAAGACGTTTACCTCGACAAGTTCGAAAAATGACAGATAATGAGACGACACCACCCGCACTACCACCTTCACGGATGGCAACTAGGTCAACAACAACAGCAGCGGCTGTCGCTGCAGCTGCAGCAGTAGCAGCAGCCACTCGAACTACGAATAATAAAACTGGCTATGAACGTCTTGCTCAACTCTATCCACATGTTACTGATGATATTCATTTGCCAATGAGATGGAATGCAAAAGAAAAAGTGCAAACTTTGGTTTTACAACAAAATGATCTCGTTGTCACCTACAAAGGTAATTTATGCTAAGTCGTCGTTGAATCAAGGTCATAAAACTGTATGTTTTCAGGACCTGGTAAATCACATAAAGATGCAGCGAGTGTTCGTTCTGATTATCCTATTCCACCGTTGACCGGTATTTATTATTATGAAGTGAAAATTTTAAGCAAAGGTCGTGATGGGTATGTAAAAATTTGACCTATATAAACAAACAGTATTCCTATTCGAGAAATCATTGCTGTGAGGATTGACATTTCATTTATCAAACAATCATTGTTTATTCGTCGGACATTCTATTTGATAGCAGAAGGTTCTGAGTAACTACAAGGGAAAATCTGAGTTTGATTCATTGTGGTATGAAAAAAATAAGAAGATGTTTGTTGTATTTCATTTTCTACTCGGTGCTCTTGATCTTTAGCAGGAAAAAATCAAGAGTATTCGACTATTTGTTATACATTGGTTTTGCATCTTATAATTAGATATATGGGAATTGGTTTATCTACCAGTGATGTAAATCTCAATCGTCTACCTGGCTGGGATAAAGGCTCATATGGTTATCATGGCGACGATGGTCATTCATTTTGCTCATCGGGCTCAGGTATTGTCTACGGACCAACATTTACCACAGGTGATTATGTGGGATGCTGTGTAAATTTTCTTGAAAATTCTTGTTTTTATACACGCAATGGTTATAACATTGGTAAGTCTACTTGTTTCAATACATTCATCATGCTTGATCGTTTGTTTTTTAGGTACATCATTTCGAGATATACCGGTAAGCGATAAACTGTCTTCTATTAACTCGAAACATCGCTTTTGTTGATGCTAGGCGGATATTTATCCAACTGTTGGCTTGCAAACACCTCACGAAGCTATCGAAGCGAATTTCGGTTTGAGTCCATTTAAATTCGATATCGAAAAATATATGGATGTGAGTGAAACATGATGGAGATCGAAATAAATGTTGGTTTAATTCTAAATTCATGTAGGAATATCGAGAAAAAACACGTCGAGCGATTTTTGAATGTGTAGTAAAAGAAAATGAACTTCTACATCAAACACAACTACGTCGAATTGTTTCCACGTATCTAGTCCATTACGGGTATTGTGCTACAGCTGAACAATTCAATAAAAATGCCGAAAGTGTCTATGCAGATGAACTGAATTCAATGAGGAATCGGCAGCGTAAGAGGAAGATGATGAAAGGATAGTTGAATAAACCATTTTTTTGTGATTTTGTTTTAGTTATCCAACATTTGATCCTTGAAGGTCGTACGACTGATGCAATTTTTAAGACGAAAGAACTTTTCCCCACATTACTCAACGATAAAAATCTCTTGTTCTTACTTAAAGTCCGACAATTTATTGAAATGATCAATGGAACTGAAAGTGAAATTTGTGAAACAGATTCATCATCTGCATCTCAGTCAACAACAACGAATTGTTCATCTCCAAATAATTTCCTATCAGCAAATAAAAACAATTCGAATAATTCTTTGTGTTCCTCGAAAAAGAATTTGTCTTATTCAACTGCTGGACGTTCCTTATCCCCAATGACTACAACGCATACATCTACACGGTCTCGTTCCAATAGTCCATATACATCTCAACGAGTGCAACATAGTAATGGTACAATGAATTCATTATCTCATCGAACAAGTGCAAATAATCCGAATGAATCTTCACAGGGTAAATTGTTTGAACGCTATTTCTATTTCAAATCGCGTCGTTCTATTTAGAAACATCGTGTCAAATATCTGAATTATCGAATACTCATTCAGCAACGATGAATTCGAATACTGTAGTTAATCTAATGGATGTTGATGATAATCTATCTAGCAATAATACAGCCAATGGTTTTAGCAATCATGGAACAGTAAACCAGTCTCCTTCGACGACAAATCAGATCTCCAATGGTCATACATCAATAGACAACGATAATGCTAATCAACTTACCGATGGTATTGTAAATAGTAATGGATGTTCAGGAAAATCAACTGATATTCTTGACGGAATGGAGCATGATGGTTGTATAGATTCGAGTCATACCATAGATATGGATATCACGTCATCGGATGTGCAGAAAAAGTCAATAGAAAAAGATGATGATCAACTTCTCATGAGAATTCTCCAATTCGGCCGAGAGTTACACGCGCTTAAACAACATCTGGTAGTCGAACATGGAGAAAATCCACATAATGATAAAATTCTTCAGGTAAACCTTCGACATCACACACAGAGTAGTTCACGATTTAAGCATTTCATTGCTTTCCAGGATGCATTCAGTCTATTAGCCTATACAGATCCCAAAATATCGCCTCTTGCTCATCTATTAGAACCTTCGCAACGTGAAACGGTGTCCAGTGCTGTTAATAGTGCTATCCTTGGTACGTAGATGAATCCTTCCAATTAATCTAAATATACATTGTTTATCTTCGTTATTGTAGAAGCACATGACATGCCAAGACATCCTGCTCTTGAAGTACTTGCTGGTTATCTACACGAATGTGACAAGCTTATGCACAAGAATAACATACCAGACTGTGCCTTTATTGATCTCAATAAATATCTACGATAATAGAGATTTTAGAAGAAAAATCAAAATTTATCAATGTACATATAGAAATATTGTGGATTTATTTGATTCCTTTTTTAATCTTGTTTCGGAACACATACGTATATTCATAAACATTTGTTCATCGGCATAGATCATTTTCTGTTCATGTTATTTCGATGAAAAAATAGACTTTTATAAACTACGAAAAGGCATGTATATGTGTGTACAGTTTCTTCTTCTTTCCTTGGTCTTCGTTTCATGTTTTTTTTTCTGTGTTCTGTTGTCGATCGATTAGGTACATCAAAAGACAATGATTTTCTGTTCTTTCTATCATGTATTATATATGTAAGCACCTGTAATTTAAAAAAAAGAAAATTTTCTTCTTAAACTAGCTGTTTGTCTCGATGTACTCGTAACATATCTCTTGTTTTACCTAGAACAACGATCACTAGGATGAATCGATGTCTTTCAAGTGTCTGTTGTTCGCAGTAAAAATAAACACATGTTCCAGAATTTATCATCAGTACACAGCGAAAAACAAATATCTCTCTTATCTTTGATTATATAATTTCGTTTTTACTCGTCGATATAAGAACGTACACAAAATAGAATAAAGAACACATTAGAAAATGAATTGGTTACGAACAGCTGCGTCAGCGTATTCACACGTAACTGCTGATCCTGAATGGCCAAAGTATGAGATTCTGGAAAGTAATAAGGTACTGTATTATACCACAGGTGGTCTTTCATGCAAATCTATTTATGGAACGATTAGGTTTATGAAAAGCGACGATATCAACCATTTACCTGTGCAGCTTATGCATTTACAGCTACTGTTGGCGATGAACCTGTTATGTCAAATCTATGGAAATTAGTAAAATATACTCAGGGTGGCAATGTCGATGGTAAACTATCGTAATTTGCCTATTCGAATAAACAAAACATGTTTTTCTTCTTCAAAAAAGGTAAAACATTGATAATGTGTCTTCCAATTATGGTCAAAGTCCGTCCTTCGACATCAAATGACAGAGAGAACCACTTTACGCTGTTACTCATTCTTGATAAAGATATTCATAATAGTTCAGCACCGATTCCAAACATCGATGGTGTATTCATTTATCAACAACCGGAACGAATTTTCTATGCGAAACGTTTTGGCGGTTTTGCAAAAGAAGCAGATTGGAAGCGAGAAAGTCAGAGCATATTAGATATATGCAAAGATTTTGCAATCAATCGTGAAGAAGTTATTTCTGCAACGTATGACATGCCAACGAAACTGGTCAATCGGCATAATGAAGTTCTAGTTAGTGAATTGATTGAAAACAAAGAGAACGAACCAACCGATCCGGTGTCGGATAAATGAGTTACTCTTATTTCAGTATTATATTTCTATCTAATTCGTTATAAGCTTTCTACTGAAGAGGGAATTATCATGAATAAACGATATCAGTTACCGTTTGAATGCTGCATTTTCTGATAAACCTCAAATTATGAATATCTATCGTTTTTATTTTGATCGAAAGAAAAGTGCAAGAAATAATTTGAAAAATTCGATCACATGTAGGTAAATAATCAATCGATAATTTCGTAGGACGATGTTTCAATCAAAGATGGAGCTGTCATAGATGCCATTTGTTGACAATAGATTTTAAAAAGTTGTTCGGCTAATGATAAAACCTGTCGAACATCGAGTGTCTTCTGTCGTTGTTGAATAGCCTCTAATGCTTCAAGTTCATCATTAGCATCAAATAAGCACGAACGAAATAATGATATCATAGCGATGCAAACGAATAAATCAAATGAACATCCAAGTTCTTCATTGGATTTTGAATGTCCTTCCATAGACGTGGACGAATAACTGCTGATACCTTTCTGTTCAGCTCGTCGTAGTTGAATGTCGTGAAGAAGACGTTCGGCAGCTAAGGAATTCTCTTCAAGAAAATGGCTACAAACAACTTCGAAACATATTAATGTATCTTCTTCTTCGGCAAATTCTCGACGAAAACATAAAAATAGCCAACCTATCGAAAAATCATTAGAAAATTAGATGAAATCGCTTCGATACATACGATGGCAAAATGTCCATAATTCGACCTTGAGGGATAGAATTCGATCGTATAACAATTGATCAACGATTTCCATTAACTTAGGTAATTGGTTAATCTTATGAGCGATACCTTTTTCTGTAAAATGTTCACCGGATTGAGTTATGTAATACGCGAAGCAGAAATAAGCTTCATGTTCATTGAACGAAAATACATGAAGAAAACAATGAGCCATATCGTTCATGCCTACGAAACAAATGAATAAGGTCGACTATTCTATTTGGATGGTGAGTACTACCTTGCGAATAACCAATTGTTGGGTGGTACGAAGCAAATGTAACAAGTAAACGTGTTAGTGGACCATAGTTGTAATTATCTGGTTTTTTCTCTGATGATATGAAATCAGTTCGATGTAGATCTTTAGCAATAAGTCGTGCATGTCGATCCATGTCATTCCAATCTAGTTTAGGTTTATACGCTTCGATGCGTTGTTGAATAGAAAAGAAGATGTCGTTTGGACTAGATGGTTGTCTGACACTATTTGATGATAGATGTGGTAGTTGAAAGCGAACTAAAATCGAATGTGATATAGAGATGAAAAAGTAAGCGAAGAACTAATTTTACGTTCTTCTGGCATTTCTTTTTGACATCGTTCACACATAAATTCATAACACAATTTACGTTCAATATTAATCGTTTCTTGTTCTCTATTATAGAGTAGAATATCCATATCAACAGAGAGTTCAATTTGTCGATAATCTTACGCTTTGGAAACCAGAGGTGGATAGAAACCGAATAGATATTTCCATGCTTGTGCGCGAAGGCTACCATTGATTCCACCTAAACAGATCGATTTGTCTCAATGAATTTTTTCAAATTTATGTCGAAATCAGTCTCGGAAATATCTAGACCTACCTCTCACCTTTGAAAACAGCTTTTCTAAATTCATGTTCTTTCACCAGCCGTCCATCCGAATCGAAAAACGTTTGGAATCGTTCTTGATCTAGTAGTTTCCATCGCTGATCTTCTACATTATTATTATTCATTCTATCTTAAACTGAACATATATATTCAATAGTTTCTCCAATGAATTCACCTATTCATACTTTTATTTACTTTTTCAGATCAATACAAAATAGTTTCTAATATACAACGCGTTTGCCTATGTACACACAAAAAACACACACTAGACAATGCTAACAAAGATAAGTTTTCATCAGACGAATTATTTGCTGTTGTTGTTCATGTAGATAATGAACAGATGTTTTGGTATTTTCAAGATCATGAAGCCAGTGTGGATGTGCGGAGAATAGTTTCTCACAATGTAAATAGAAAAATAAATAGAACCAGACTTCGCTAACAGGTAATGGTCGGTTGGTATTATTCACACAGATGATATTCGAATACATTTCTTCAGCAACTTGTTTTGCTTCGAAAAACGTACAATTGGAGCCCGCACGTGCGATTGCATCTAATATGAAAGTTTCCTCAGTTGGTGACAGACTATGACAAACAAAGTTCGAGCACATAACTATGGGCTGTTCATTGGAATGTCGAAATAGAATCGATGGTGGTGGGTTACTTGATGGCTAAGGAAAGAGTAAGTCTTTTGCACAGAAGAAAGGAGATATTGAAATACCTGTTCAGGCTCGTTTTTAATCGTTATTCGACGTATTTTCCCATTAGATAAACTATGTTCATCTTCTGATTTTCGCTTTCGTTTTCCTTGTCTAATCATTGTTTGAATAAACTCTTGATCATTTTGTATGGAAGACACTGGGGCAAGTGAAGCTAGAAAAATCGGTAATGATTACTATTCGAATAAAATATCACTTTACGTACTATTCTCGTCAGCAATGACAGAATTCGAGTCTTCATGATCTTCCTCTCCATTCTCTTCGTTTTCTTCTTGCTCATCGTCATCTACGTCTTCGATATCTAATTGGAAAAAATCGCATGTGACACCTTTACGCATATTATCAGCTAATTTCAATCTTTCAGATGGATTGGAACATTTCAACACTTTCGATGCTTGTTTAACCGCTTCTTGAAACGATTCTAAATTTGCTAATGTGATGTTCATGTCGTATTGACTCGTTTTATTCTTTATCAGTATCTAATGAGGAAAAAAGATTCTAAATTCTACATGAAAATCAATGTGTTTCATACTTCGGCAGCTTTTAATTCCTGAATACGTTTTTTGAATTCAGCTACACCTTCGTACGGTTCTAACCATTTACGATCGATGGATCTAAAACACTCAAAGATATAGACATTAATCAACTTCCGATGAGTTTCTTACACTCCAAGGCTAAATGTTCCAAAGAAAAGGACTTCATAGAGAGTTCGAGTTGGTTTGTTGGTTTTATCCCATATGATACCAGGCCAATATGGATATTTTTTATATTTGCACCATACAACATTTCCACATTCTAATAAATGAAAAGCATGAGATTAAAAAACAGGGATGAGATCATTTACCGTAAGGTGATTGTTTTGGAGAATGTTGACCATTAGTAGAAGTAGAAGATTTACTACTTGTACTTGTTCTTTTTCGACCCGGAGGCATCTGAAAAAAAGACTGTCAATTATTAAATGCAGCTAGATTATTTATTTGAAAATATGCTGATTTTCTATAGTTATATGAAAATAGGTTCATTCAGGAAATTACAAAATAAACGGAATGATGGCTTTTCGATTCTTTGGATATTCATCTTTGAATTTTTCAAGATAAAATCTAAATCGAAACAAAAAAGAAGAATAACTGATTCTTTAATGTTTGCTATCTACGTACTGATGATGGTGGATTCCACGACCAAATGCTGTATTAATCCATGTGAATACGGCAAATGCTAATGCAGGCAACGTCCATGCACAAATAGCAAAACCTGTCCATTCAAGTGATTCAGCTAAGAAATTCGCACCCGAAACATATTCAAATAAGCCTCCTAGTGAACAAAAAGGAAAGATTTGATTGTCATCTTATTTTATGGCTAAGCATTACCTCGTGGAATCTTATAACCGCGATCATTATCGTCTTTACGTAGATTTCTCAAGATCGCATCCGATTGTAGGTTAAGAATAAAGCCAGTGAAAAACAGAATTGTGCCAGCAAGAGCACGTAACGAAAATAAATAATTCTTCGGGTAAGTATGATAAGCCAAGAGCTCTTTACCAATCGCATAGGAGTTCAAAGCGCAAAAAATAAATGCTAAGATAGTTGTAAAATACGGACTGTGTTTTCCACCACGAATCAACATTGGATAGATGAAAACACTAAAAGAAAAGAATGCGAAATATTTAGTTTGAATACATTACAGCATATAGAAAATTTTCTCGTTTTTTCCTTCACTTGGCACATACTCCTCGTTCACATATACGTTTCAGTATGTATATACTTCTCATGTGCTCGTAAACAATCATCAGTTCTCACATTACAGTCTAACATACCGTTGAAAATAATGTATAAGAAATAATCCTAGTATGAAGAACTTTGTAAATGATACCGATGACCAATTTGTATATAGAAGATAACATGTGACGAAGACACACGGACATTCTTGAATAAACCATGCCAGTCGAACGGGAACTCCACTGTTATTCGTATTATATCGTCCATATGGTGCTCTAATGCCGATAATTGTTTCTAAGACGAATACTAAGCTTGCACTAATAAACCATACATATGGACATGTATAAGTGACGAAAAGTCGATCGTTAAAAATATATTCTAACATCTGAAACAATGAAATAGTACTTCAATCTAATGATAGTTTCTGGATAAATAACATGCGAGTCTTTTTCACTGAAGTCTTGCCCATTTTTTATATATGATAGATGGGACGCGTAATTCATGTGTTTCTATACCGTCTGCATGACGTCATAATGCAACGAAGCATAAAACATTGACAATGTTGAACTAATATTCAATCAAAATTTCATCGCCGAGCTAGTGTCTCTCCGTCTACTTCAAAGATATTTCATACAGAGGCGCGATACTTATCAATGAGCGAAAGAGTACAACTCATGCTCCAGAATGAAAAGAATTAGATGTAGTCAATTCTAATTGTGCCTAAAACATCGCAAATTGTACCTAAACAATAAAAACCAAAGCTATAGTCGAATATAAATATAGATTTACCTTCTAATCATGTTGTATAACCCATCGGTGTCAGTGAAAGATGAAAACGAAATCGTCTTAGTACTGGTCTATTTTCTATAAGACGAGATATGAGCAAGGTATACTAACCGTGCATTTGGTCGATGTCGAAGATCTAGCAACATCGATTCGTACATTCGTTTGAGGATATCACATTATAAGTGTGAATAAATTTGTTGCCTATGAGTTGAAGAGATAGGACGAAAAAAAAGCAGAATCGTAACTGTGAATGAGACATCATCTTATATAATCGAATGAGTCATATTATATCTATTCGCCTCGATTCATAGCGAATGAAAAATGAAAGTTATTCTTAAAGGAAAGAAACTGTTTCGAAGATAATTATTTTCTTTTTCATGTATTCTCTTGTGTATTCTTTCAGATATTTAATCGATTTCTTCCTACCTCATCAATTCCTTGCAAATTTATGAGCGGCTGTCTGTTTTCTCATGTATGAATTGCTTTGATCTGCGTAGCGGTAAACTTTCGAATTGTATTTCTATTAGTATACCAGGTATTACCTGTGTGAACTCAATGTCAACATCAACGATCGTCGCCTCACCTGCAAAATATTGATTTTTACGTATCTTAAACCATCAAGATGTTTTCGATTATTTTATTGGTGTTCAGATCATCAGTAGAGAATAGAATCGATTCAAATCTAGAAAAGAAAAATAATGAATATTATCGTTTTATTTTTTTTATTGATTGAACTTTTTCATCGGTGATATCAATTAGTGTCTAAGTAACAATCTTATAAGGGCATATCTGCTTCACCTTATCTTGAAACAAATTTCAAGTTGAGAAGAGGAGAAAATCAAAATAGAAACACTTCACCATCGATGTGTATCCACATTGCGTGAAACTATATCGGTATATCGATAGAAATGCAAGACGAGATAAGTAAGACAACTGCGCGAATCAGTCGGTGTACTCATCGTCGTCTAACGATTCAACATGATATTGATGAAAATCATCGTAAACAAACATATCTGTCAACGCTACATGCTTACAAACATCAAGAACAATTATTTAACCGCAAAGTAAATCATCTGAGAAAGTGTTTGGAACAAAATGAACCATTCTACGCAGCTAATAGAGATAATAACCACGAGACGTACGAAAAACAATCATTGACATCGCCAAATTGCCTTGCGCGTGTGCATAATCATTTGCGTCTATTGAAGTTTTCATCGGAAACAGAAAAACGCTTACTAAGTTCAGCTTTACCATCAAAACTACCTCAAAGAAGACATTCAAATCAATATATTCCACGCCCATCATTGCCTCGAGCTCGTTCATGTCGATCAGCGAAAACTCCTTCATTAATCAAGTCTGACGTGTCAGAACAAAACACTTTTCAATCATATCTTCATCAACAAATCAACGACGAACAACTCAAACAATTGAACATCAACAAACGAAAAGGTTCTCTTCTCAAAGAATTCGATAAACTCAAACATACCATCGACGATCCCTACGCGACTCTCTCTGTCCTTGCGACACTTTCCCGAGCATTTCTTAGGTACAGTACTGAAACAGAATAAACGATTCGTTTCTATCGATAAACAAAAACTGAATGTTATATTTTGATTTGGTCTTATTTAATCAAAATAGCAAAACAAAAATGTGCATTGATTCGTTCTTTTTTTTTTCTGTTTATAAGATGGAAAGTAAAAACAGTTAGAAAACTCTTCTTTTTCATGTTTCAATTAAGCCACCGATTGTGCATTGGCGGCAATACGTGGCCATAAATCAGCACATTCTTTAGCCACAGGTCCAGTAATTGCTGAACCTTTCATTTCACCTTTGTTATTGACAATAACACCAGCGTTATCTTCAAAATAGATGAACGTGCCATCTTTTCGGCGAAATGGTTTACGTTGTCGGATGACGACTGCGGGCATAACTTTTTTACGAAGATCAGGCTTGCCTTTCTTTATCGTTGCTAAAACAATCGATCAGAATGTGAAAATAGCTTCGATAGAAAAAACAACGGTTAGTACGTACAGATGATCATGTCACCAACGCAAGCAGCTGGTAATCGATTGAGTCGAGCACCGAAGCCTTTGACGGAAATGACGAATAAGTTTTTCGCACCTGTGTTATCGGCGCAGTTGATCACAGCTCCGACTGGTAAACCGAGTGAAATACGGAATTTACCACCTCCGACACCACCACGACCTCTTTTGGCCGACATGATTAATTAATTCGATAGAAATCTAGAAATACGAACATTTATATATAAAATAACAACCAAACAAACCAAGTCCAGACTTAAAAGTGTGTTTTTCTATTTCTCAATGAAGACGCGAAGAAAAGAAAAGGGAGAGATAGTAGTAGCAGCAGTGACGACTAACAAACAAAACAAAACGAAGAAAAAATATAGAGAGAGCAAAACGAGAAAAAGAGACCATTTGTTTTCTTTTTTGTTCGTAAAGACAAAAATAATGTACAAGTTTTATACAACGAGACAGAGAATAATAAACTTTCATAGTAACAATGATTGTAACGAGCATCATTAATTGTTAATTTAATTAAAGCTCGATAGAAAGAAATGAAGAGAGCACAGCAGAGAAAAAGTAGAAAGATTTGCTAGCAATGAAAATGTTTGAAATAGAGAATATCACACACAAATATTTTTCTCTATACTCAAATGTATGTGCGTTCAACTAACAACATTGAGGTTTAATTGTGTTGTTGAAACGAATTCAGAAAACTATAAAACAAACAAGTAATCGTAGATACAAGATGAAGAAGAAAGGAAATCAGAATCGTCGAGCAGAAAAAAAAACGTCAGGAAAAAGAATGCAAGAAAGAAAACATAATGATCAAGAGATTCACATGCGTGCTGCCGTACGTACAGAAATTGTCGTAGTGGGATCAACTGTTGTCGTCATCGTGGTCATTATTGCAGTTGTTGTTGTTGTTGTTGTTGTCGTCGTCGTTGTTGCTGTTGTTGAATTCATATTAGGATTATTCAAACTTGGATTTTTCAAAATACGTTTCGCTCGATGGTCATATACATAGCGACAGAAGAAGATATTTTGATTGTCAACATTTTTCGACGGTAGTGGTCGATGCTGAACAGTGGAAGTATTTCTGTTTAACAGAGATTTCAAATCACCCACTGAATCAGGATGTTCGAAGAGGTCCGATGTCTTTTCACGAATACAATAACTAGAAAAAGAGATCAAATGGAAATGAATATCGAACCAAGAAATTTGAAATATTAATTAATTGTAAACTGATTCGAACGCTCTACTACTTCAATTATCTGCACACAATTGAGTTTAGCGATATTAATTATAATCATTCCAATTGCCAACCGGAAGTTCATATCCGATGTACTGCTCCAAAGAGAATCTCAAATCGGAACTATTACACATACATTTCTATGTTTTCAAGTAAAATAACGTGAACTCTTTTCTCCCTTTCATTTTTTTTCCAGAATGTGTGGATTTAATAAAGAAGAAGAAGAAGCTTTCTTACCGATTGTATTCATTAAGGTTGAGCACATAGCATTTATCTTCAATACAAGCTACATTCACACAGTCCCAGTACTTTGATGCTAACACTTCATTACTTAAAAAGTGTTCCTTAACACGTGCTGGCAGTTCACTATGTTCAGGATGATAATACCAAACAAGTGACATTTGAATTTCACCTACAATTTACATTAGATTTATATGATCATACGAGATTGTAATCTAGTTTTTGTCGAACCTGATTCTGGTTCTTTCCAAAACCATTTGACTTTTGCTAAGTATGGCGTTATGCCATAATGTTCAGCATTCTCAGGACGTAATAAGACACAATCATCGGATTTAATGATATCCTTTTCTTTGACGTGTCGAATTGATGAGAAACATTCGCGATAGACCGGCGGTTTGTCAGCCTAAAACAATTTCTTATACATATCGCCTGGAAACAATGCTTTCTACCGAGTTGCTTACATCAATTGACACTAATTTCTGCTCTGATTTGCCGAATAGAGCCCAATAATGAGAGAATTTTTGTTTCTTTCTCTGACTCGGGTTTTTATTTGATCCAAGTAATGTCACAGAAGATGGTGAATGCGATCGTTTTGAATTGGGTATATATGTTGAGGATTTCGATCGAACAGGCAAGGTAGAAGACGATGCTGTCCGCGCTGAACGAGCGTTTTTTCCTATTATTGATATAAGTGTTGTTGCACTAGCAGTCGCTGATACACTACGCCGTTTGTGATTACATTTTGCAGACTGACGTTCATCATCACTGAGAGCAGCTAATTCACCATTTGCGCTGAGAATATTTGACACGGGTGAGATAATGGTTGTAGTTACTCCAGTAGGATACGATAGACGTTGCCGTTGATTTAATGGACTAGTGCTAAGGTTGATAGCGGAGGTTTTTGTCGGTGAAGTGATGATTGAACTAATTGTATACGGAGCGTGATCACCAATAGAGTGAGTAGGCGAACTTAAAATAGAGAGAGGATAAATAGAGATTTTCGAATAGAACAAAGTTTGATTTGGTTAATTTACCCATTCGATTTGGACCCGGAACTAGCATGTCCTTTGACTGGTGAACTTTTTCTCGATGTTTTCCTATGTGTAGTTCCGTCGGATTCATTTCCATTGGTTTTCTTATTTGCCGATAAATGTTTGATTGAAAAATTTAAAGCTTCATTTTCTGTTGTTGCCGCTGATGACAAGAAATCATTTGTAGTTATCAATTGATGTTCTTTCTTAACAACATTATTTACACTCAATGGAAGGATAGTCTTGGTTTCAACAAGCTGCTCTTTATTCACAAGAACACATGACTTCTGTGGTGATAGTGGTACTGTTGTTGTTTTCGTTGGATTCGGTGATTTGAGTAACGAAGATGTATTTGACGATATGGGAGGATTCGGATTATGAATGTGATGATGATGATGAGTATGCAGATGAAAAGTTAATGCTTCCTTTTTTGGTGATAGCGATGGTTTTGGTTGAGGATCAAAAATTGGGATAAGTGACTGTTGTTTAGCATTATTATTCAAATTATTCGAATTGGTTGTAGATGTTGTTAATGTGGACGATTTCTTTTGTTTAGTTTCTAAATGTGTTGTTGTACGATGACGTGTGATAGATGTTTTATGATGAACAACAGGGGGCGGTGGTGGAGGAAGTGTTGATGAGGGTTGTATGAGACAATTCGCTTGTTGACCAAGCAGTGATGCTGATGACGGAAATGTCCAAGCTAGAGAAAAAGAAATTCAATGTTATAAATCATCAAATAGAGGAGAAGCAAGACATCAATCACTGAATAGGTTTTTTTAGAACAGTGTATGCAGTAGTAAATAGTCTATTGAGGAAATTAGAATGAGAGCCGTTTTTCGTTGATATAGAAAATAGAATAAGAAAAGCATAGAGAATTTATATGAATGAAAGAATATGTATGCGAATTGCCTGGAGATCTACATACCGATGGGCGCTGCAAGTCAATAAGACAACTTTTATTTTATCTGTAATAATCGAATTATATAGCACCGGAAAGAGAAACTAATTGTATATGACTTAATCTGGAAAAGCTTTTCTATAGGTTTTTTTTCTGACGCTTCTCATTTTAAAAATTTAACTAAAACAAATGACTATTGATAAAAGTGAACTGGTTGTTTTCTTATAGTTGTTCAGCTGAAGCATAAAAAGTGAAAGAATAATACATCATTTGAAAAGTGAAAGCATATATATATATACACACATCAAACAGGTTAACAGAAGCAAAGACATGCAAATTATTCATTGATGCATCTTACCAGGATATTGCCAACAAGGTAGAAGTGGATAAAATGGACGTAGATCAATGGGGAATGCAGCTGCTGCTGCGGCAGCGGCAGCGGCAGCAGCAGCCGCAGCAGACGGCGTTAGAAAGGTTGGATTCGTGGTTGAATTAACATTTGTTGCCGGAATTGGCGTCGAAACTGTTGATGAGTGTGGGTGATGAAGATGATGATCTAGTGAAGATGAAAGTGGCCGTGATGATAATGATGATGAGGAAGATGTGTTTGCTGTTTGTGTGCCAAGAACAGTAGGAGTCAGAGCTCCAAAAGAGTTAAGCAGAGGAGTCGATGATAATGAAAGATCTGGCGCGACCATAGGCGGAGCTAAATAATAAGTAAATCTTTCATGGATTCTAACCGTTAAAATCATACCTGGTACTGCATTTGATCCTTTTGCTGGTGTACGAGATTTTTGTATAAAATTTGTATTAGTATTAGTTGGCTGTTTTAATGAAGATCCCGACGATACTTGCGGAATCGCTTTGCCAGTTGATTTACTATGTGTATTGTTACTTGTTGTTCCACCTGTCGTAGCTGTACTCGTACCAGCAACAGTTGCTGATGATGAACCAGCACCACCGATGATTGAACCGCCATTGTTCGTTGCAGCACTTGTACTTTGATTGCTATTGCTATTATTTTGACTAATTATAATACCACGGCTGGATTGTACCTGATCATTTATTGTTGTAGTCGTTGACGATATCGACGAAGAAGCACCATGAAATGATTCGAGAGGAATTTCATGTTCAGGAAACGGCGGTGATAGACGATCATATAACGCTAATTCTTGCGTCCATTTTATTAGATTATCACGTTTAGTTGTATGGTACGGCGGTGTTGTGCCATGCATACGATCATGCTCAGCTAAAACTGTTTCTGTCAGTGATGGATACTTTGAATTTGATGAAACTGTCGTAGCAGTTGTCGATGGCGCTTGATATGTAGATTTTGTTGTCACTGCATTTGACGATTGAGCATATTCAGTTTTATTCGATACGTTTGTTACCGATGGTGCAGGTGCAGTCACACTAGATATTGATGGAGGTGGTGTAACTTTATGATTCGTTGCATTTGCTGTCGTCGTTGTTGTTGCGGGTACGACTGTAGGCGCTGGCGGAACAGATGGAACATTGAATTTAAATGGTTCTACCGATGGTTGTTCAGACGGATCAGGAATGATATCAGTATGGGAGTCATCTTTGTTTGTGACTGTACTTTTAGTACGGCGTCTTCGACTAACTGATGTTGAACGATCATTCGCTAGACTGAAGTTAAAACGGCTACGTTCAATTTCGTTTTGTTGCATAATCATAGCTGATGCACGCGAACTAGCTTCACGACGTGAACGAGTGTGAATGTTTAGTTCAATTTGAGCAGGTTTAACGTCATTTGTTGATGAAACATTGGAAACTTGACGCTTACGTCCATTTGCTGTTGCTTTTGTTTTTGTTTTCGTGCTACGACGACGTGAAGGCCGAATCTTTTCATCAACACTATTTTCTTCTTCACTTGATTGTTTTTTATCTTTCACTCTTTTCTTCAAAGGTTTTTCATCATCTTCGTCTTCATCTTCATCCTCATCTTCTTCTTTATCCTCATCGGCTTTGTCATCATCGTTTTGATTATCATCATCATCATCATCATCTGCTTCTTCTTGTTTGTCATTTTCTTCACTATTTTCACTGTCACTTTCGCTCGACGATGTTGTTGATGCTTTTACTACTGTAGCTTTTCGCGTACGCGCTGTGCGCGTATTCGTTGTTTTTTGTTTTTGTGTTACTTTGGGGTTAATCTAAAATTTACATTGCATAAAAAATTATTGTTACGAAAACTTCACAAATTCGTTATATCCAACCTTTGTCTTTTTCCGATTTGCTGCACTTGGATTATTTCGTGATACTGGGCTACTGTTTGTTGATCGTAACTGTCGTTTATTCGTTTGTTGTTTTTCATTTGCTGGAGGTGGCGAAAGGACATTGGTACAATACTGAAGAAGAGTTGCAGCTGTCAAACCCGAAAGACGTTTTTTCCGTGGCGTCGGTGTCGGTGTTGTGACAGTAGTTAGTCGCGTCGATGAACGTGTACTTGTCGATGAACGCTTTTGAAGACGACGTTTAGTGGGTGAAGACTTTTGATTAGTCTTGACTGGTGTTTTCTTTTTGATAGCACCACTATTCGCATTACTACGAGTGACTTTGCGAATTGGAACAGGTTTTTTCTTTGATTTCGACCTATTATTTGATTGAGAAAATGACGAAGAAGATGCAGCAGCAGTTTTAGCCGCACGAGCAGCAGCAACACGAGCACGTTGAGACATTAATTAGAAAGACGAGAAAAATGCACGCGTTATGACGAAAATTATTGAATTGTATTGGGTTAATTTTTACAAATATTGGTGGCTAATGCATCTGGAAATGGAAGAAAATTAATTTCGATATTCTTTACGAATCGATGATCATTTACATGGCAAATTTTCTAGACCATAGAGAATAAACAACAAAAAGCAACTGCCATTGGACTCGTTTATGAGTCCTAAGAGAGTTTTGAAGAGAAGGATACAAATGAACATTTCATAAGAAAAATATTTTTTATGATCATTTTCAGATATTATTTTCAAAATAATAGTTATTAATTTGAAAATATTCAAGATTGGGAATTATTAATGTTTCTCGTCAAAAGATGTCGTTAGACGTCAGTTGCTTCGAGTGTATATATGAAACATCTGAGATTGTTAAGAAAATAGACTTCTTTTACAATATTGTGACACCCTTCATGTATTGAGCTGAATATTTATTTCAGTTTTCAAAAGCCAGAAGAAAACACACAAAAAATATGCATTTAGAATTACTTGCACAAAAAGCGGAGAAAATGATTGTCCAAGTTTTACTAATCATTGAATTTATATACAACATGATATTGGACTTTGCTTAATTTTTTCGCGGTAGTTACATTTTAATATTACAATGGAAGCGACATTACTAGTTTCTTGCTATCAATCGGGGCGCCGCCTTCTTCTACAAAATAAAATGAACGATTTAATTATAGAGATGATATGTGGTTTTTCTACCTTCAAGAAGTTCTCTTGATCGGCACGAGGCGTGTAAATCTATAAATCCTCCAGTTTGAGGACATCTCATGACTAAGCGAAAGTCAAGTTGAGATTTTTTCAATTGATAGAGAGCAATCTTCTTTTTTGGAGTGTCACCTTCAAATGTACATGTAACTAAATGATCATCTAAACAATCCGAAAGAAATGAACGGTGTTGTCAGTTGAACAAACTCACCGTATAACTTTAATGTGTGCATCGCTTTCAATTCAGATTGCTTGATACGAGTTAGAATGAGGTTTGGAAATCTACAGATGACGGTAATAATAAAATCATAGGAAATCATTTGCCGGTTATACATACTGTTTTGAATGAGAACAAAGATCTTCCCTGGTTAGCTTGAAATAAATCCATTCTTTTTCTTCTGTGATGACAGAGAGTGTTCTTCTCTTTGGTGGCGAATACAAAAGTGGATATGGATGAATAAACGAACAGTTTTGATAGGGAACAGTAAGACGAGTGACCCGGATATAATATTCATTGTAATCAAACAAATTTAAAGGAAGCTAAAGGTATAAGAGAAGATGCAAATGACGCAACAGACATTTTTTAAAATCAATCGATAAAACAGCGGTTCATTTGTTCAAACGCAATCTGTACAATATCATTAATAACTATCTTATTTGAAGAAACGAAACGTTGCCATCTGCTACCAATCATGTTGTTTATTTCTAATGATAACCAATTAACGACATTTACACATACATACATACGCGATCAGATAAGGTATATCACTTCCTCTTTACGGCAACTACCGTAGTGGTTGAATAGTGATGTGTGTTTAAACCTAACCTTTTTTCTCTTCTGATTCTTTCTATGTATGATTCATTTTTGTTCAAAACTTACATTGATGGTCACGTGTCGTTTTTGTTCTCCCTTCAGATAACGTCCAGAAATATTCTTTTTCGTCTTCTTCTTCGTATGTACGATGTTACCATCGAGCGGTGAATTTGTAATTTCACTTAAGTATCGTACGTGGTAGATTGGACCTGGAGGATTGCTGAAGGATATTGAAAGACATGAATAATCATGAGAATCGACGATATACTAAATATAACGGTTTAAATGTAAAACTGGAAAATGGACCAGTTTATTAAACATACATGATAATTTGAAATACCAGTCGATTGAGAATCACTACAATTAGATGGAGAAGAAGAGGGGATCGACGATGATGCTGCGACAACTTGAACATACAAATACTATCGAAATCGTTTCTCGTACAAATAGTGCCGTCGCTTACCATGCGGTAAATCGAAACTAGAATTTGATATAAATTCATCAATGAACATTGATTCGATTGTTTCTTCTTCTTTGATAAAACTCAATGAAAATACGTCAAATGGGCGTACCGTTGTTTCGGCGTCCACTGAAACGTGAGAAAAATAATATCAAAACTGATATATGATCAGAAAAACTCACTGTCAATATCGGTCATATCCATCCGAGATAAAATATCTTGATTTTTATCGCATATAACAGCATCACTAATCCGTATATCTCGAACAAGTGGCGATTTGTCGTCCGCCATCCGTATCTGAAGTTTTGAATAATATCGTCCTCGTCACACAATGGCTGACTGTTTTGCCCAACGTTCAATTTATTTCTATGGCCGAACTAAAAAAATTGAAAGAGTTTATCAATTGACTTAGATAAATAATCAACTATCAAATCGATGTGTACTAGAAGATGACAAATGAAAAATGAGATGATTAACTTCTTCTGCTCAGTTGTTAAATTTCACTATGTAGATGGACGCAAAAGAAAACGTGTACATGCATAATTTATCTTTATATTTCCTCTGCTTCTTTTCTTTCCTTTCCTTCCCACTATTCGGCATAAATCTATGTGTGATTTTGCTTTCCCAGAGAGAGAAAGAGAGAACGAAAAGAACACTATCTTACGAATCATCTCGTCAGTCATGTGTGGAAAAGAATAGAGTAGAAATCCTGTCTGCCATAATAAAATGTATGAAGAATTCAGATTATAACGTGACTATAGAAATTGAAAATGGATTAAGTAGTTTATCGATGATTGATTCGAAAGATCTTCTGCTTCGTGGGTTGACCGAATGATAAGATTTGAATATTTCCATTCTTTTCAAAATTTGATTCATATGCTTAGATATCTAACACAGATATATCGCGTTACTGTTCATTTCATAACCTGGATATTGCATGATTTACCTAGAATTTCCAAATGTGTTTTTTTTTGTATCTGAAAAGAGAAAATTATTTGATATGGTTTTGTACAATAGAGAAGAAACGAGTCCAGTTGAATGGAAATTGAAGGCCCTTCAAAAAATCGCAATAGTCGAAAAGAAGCCCAACTTAAAGTGCACACGAATGCGATCTGTAGGATTATTATAAGGCATTGATCTGAAATTTTACAATATTCGTCGGTCGATATGAAGCGTTAGAATAATGTATTGTGACTTTTATTTGAGTGAAACTAAAAATCAAATATAAAAGGCACTACACAATTTAGAGATGAACACTACGTTCTTGAGGATGTTCTATTGTACTTTTATTTTATGCCCAATCGCCAATTTATTCTCGTTTATGGTTCATCTTCAGCGACACAAGCTGAGAAAACTTGTATATAATGGTCGACGTTTTTTGTGGGTCAACCCAGGTCGAACAATCCCATACTCGGATCCGAAACATGGATTTCCTGAGGGTCATCACAGAACATAGCTAAAAAGATCGCTCATAAAATTTGCAACAACCGACGAGTTTTTTCTAGTCGGATTCCAATGCAATTCCGTTTCCAGGGATCCGATCGGATTTGTTAACCTGGAAATCAGTTCGATATCTGAGCTTGTAAAAATATTCATGATGTAGTTGTATGTTGAGGGCGGATATAGAGTGTCAATTTGGAACGATGTGGTTACGCGCAGTGAGCTTTTCGGCAGGTTGAGGGTGTTGGTCATTTTTAAGCAAGTTATTCTTATTAAATTGATATGATACCATATCTATTGTGTCCATCATCCAGACATTCGCATTCAGTAGTCGACCTGAATGAAATGGAAATCGGAGAAGAACTGATAACATCATGCAATAAACAGAAACATACCATATTGAATTTCGACAGGTTCGTGAGAAGAGTTTATATCATTTTGTGAGGTTTCTGTACACAACGGTTTATGTTCTCCCCGTCAAATGCACTAGGAGAAGCAACTTTTGCTTACCACGAACAACACGCTGCTAGCAGAATCATGTATGATGTTAGTTCCATGTGTATAATCTGATCATTGCGCTTTTTTCTTATCATTGCATCCTATAAAGGTACTTTAGTAATATTTAATTTATGAATATGGCGCCGTTTTATGACCCATTTGGATAAAACTTCTGATATAAATTGATAGGCCAATCGCCTTTAATTAGACGAAAGGATATTTAACGTGGTGAAAAACTGATAGTCAACTAATTCGTCTTTATACGTTATTCAACTAAAGAGGGTGTATTTATCATATATCTTCTGAAGCGTAGTGACAAAACGATATGTTTATCGTCGTATTTTACTTATTCTTGGTACCGATCGAAGACGCAATAGTACAGGATCGTAAAAGAAGACTATTCTAAGATAAAATATGGACGCGTTCTTTTATACATGTGACGATTATTACGAGTAACTGTTTTGGGCCTGGGTAGTGAAGTTTTCAAGCAAAAGTAAAATACTCAGATCGAACAATCCCATACTTGGATCCAATATAGGATTTTATTAGATCCTACAGGAATTCGACGGTCTCGGACCCGAAACATGGATTTCCTGGATTTTCTAAGGGTCATCATAGAACATAGCTAAAAAGATCGCTCATAAAATTTGCAACAGCCGACGGGATTTTTCTAGTCGGATTCCAATGCAATTCCGTTTCCAGGAATCCGATCGGATTTCGTCGGATGGTCGGATCCAGCATCGGATTTGTTGACCTGAGTAGTATTAAAACTGTACTTACGGTTTAAACTGCATATTCGCTTGCGATAAAAAAATATTCTGAAAAGAAAATGAGACAGATATCGTTAATTTATAGGCTACACACGGACGGGTGAGTGAGAGAGAGAGAGTCGGTATTGCGCAGGATGAAATTCACATAAAAATGTGTAGAATTTTATCTAATAATGTCTATCGTGTATCCGATTAAGACGTGAAACGTGCTAAAATTCGTTTCTTAATAGCTCTATTAGACGGAATATTGTGCTTTACATTATTTTGATGATAGAAATCGTAATATATGAAGTGCATTACAAAAATTTCAGATGTTTCATTTTCATTTATTTATATGAATTAACTTTTTTCAAAGATTAAATCATTTCTGTTCTAGATCTGTTTGATAGATTTTTCCAGTGGTTATATGAAAAAATAAGTTTATAAGAATAAACAGCCAACCATATGTAGGTATATGGTATTTGCAAGTGGTTCTCACTTGATCTTCCCTCTTATGGCGCAAATCAATACGTGATGGCTCGCATTATGATAAATAATTCAAGCATTGGATCACGCACAATACTTTCATTTTAGATGCACGAAATAGCGATGCGTCGATAATTTTGATTAAGCTCTCTGAAATATGTTAAATTTTGACGCGTATCGTCTTTTTCGTTTCGATATCTTTCTATCTCAGTGGCAGAATACTGGGCAACACATCATAAATAGACGAAAATCAACTCTGGCAATTGAGGAGGAAACAAAAGAATTGATACAGTAGATGTTTCAGATATTTCGAGATAACCGAAAAGTTCCTTCAGCGATGGTAGCGTTTCTTATTGTACGATGGATAGAAGCACATGGATTATTCGTCTTCTCTGCATTCGTATTTGCTTGTTTTGATCAACCACGTGTACATTCATAGGCGTTCATCTCATTTCAAATAAAATAATCAGAAGCAAAGGCCAAGCAGTCAATTGATTAAATTATGCGTGAAATCGTAAATATTTCAATTGGACAATGTGGTAATCAGATAGCATCCAAAGTAATACAAATATATAGAATTGAGAAATATTTTTACAACGTTCTAGTTTTGGGAAACTGTTGCCAATGAGCACGGTCTCTCTCCTCTTGGAGTTTACGACGGCGATTCTGACTTACAACTTGAACGAATTAATGTCTATTTTAACGAAGCAACAGGTAAAAACTTGATATTTATTTGCGTAGTTTTTGTTAAACACAAGTATATTCATTGGTTCTAGGTGGTAAGTATGTTCCACGAGCAATTTTATGTGATCTCGACACGGGTGCCATCGATTGCATACGAGCTTCGTGTTATGGTCAAATTTTTCGACCAGATAATTTTGTTTTTGGCACCGTCGGAGCTGGTAACAACTGGGCTAGAGGTTTAATCCAAAATAATCCACTATCAAGTCAAAATAATCCATATTTTTTGTCTCGTAGGATATTACGGTGAAGGATCTGAAACGATCGACTATCTATTAGATAGTATCCGACGCGAAGTTGAAAGCACCGATTGTATGCAAGGTAATAATCAACCTATTGAATTATTAGTGAAAGAACTACTTGTCATCAGGTTTTCAAATCATGCAAGGTATCGGTGGTGGATCAGGTTCAGGACTTGGTTCACTTGTTTTGAATCGTCTACGTGAAGAATATCCTGATCGTATGATTGTTTCGTATACCGTCTTTCCATCACCACAGGTGTCAGAATCGATTGTTGAGCCTTACAATGCTTTACTTGCTACTCATTATCATATTGAGTCAACAGATATGTTAATATGTTTTGATAATGAAGCTCTCTATGAAATATGTACTCGATCGCTCAAGATTTCTACTCCAACATTGACTGATCGTTTGTATACTCAGGAACTGTAGTATTTGACTCTTATAAAATTTCTTTTTTCTAGTTAATCATTTGATTGCTAATACTATGTCAGGTATTACTACATGTCTTCGCTTTCCTGGTATGTCATCTCATAACAAAGAATCTTCTCTATTTTCTTCTTCATGTGATACTTCAGGTCAATTGAATGCCGACTTGAGAAAACTTGCTGTTAATATGGTTCCATTTCCACGTCTGCATTTTTTTATGTCATCTTTGGCACCGTTAACGTCACGAACTGCTCAGTCATATCGCACAATGTCTGTTTTAGATCTAGTTCATCAAGTTTTCAATCCTCGAAATGCTATGTGTGCTGTCGATCCAAGACAAGGACGATACCTTACAGTTGGTGAGCATTCATATGGCTATTCCCTGTATATACACATGATGCTAATACTGATGTTTGTTTTGCTAGCATTAGTCTTTCGTGGTCGATTGTCAATGCGGGAAATCGATGAGCAACTGTTAAACGTTCAAAATCGTAATTCTCAATATTTTATTGAATGGATACCGAATAATGTGAAGACAGCGGTGTGTGATATTCCACCGAGAGGATGTCGCATGTCCTGCACTTTTCTCGGTAAGTTAATTTCTGTTTCATATGAACTAATAAAGGTCTACATATAGCTTCTCGTTTCACAGCAAACAATACAGCTGTTGAGCAATTATTCAGAAAAATCTGTCAACAATTCTGTGCTATGTATAAAAGAAAAGCATTTATACATTGGTATACAGCTGAAGGGTAATTTAAAACTAAAATCGAATCAGCTCACTTATATTTTTTTAATTTATTACGTAGGATGGATGATATTGAGTTCACTGACGGTGAATAAATTTGTTGTACCGATGCTTTAAAATATCTCAATGAATATCTTCTTTTCATTATTTAGCGGAAGCGAGTTTAAATGATCTCATTAGTGAATATCAGCAGATCGGTAATTACGATACCAGTGAACAAATTGGCGAATCTTCATCTAAAGAACAGCTAAAACTGCAATGAATATCACACAATAGAACATTTCTATCTGAAGCCTTTTTGCTTTTATTGACGTTTAGTTTTCAACGTTTCTTTTACTATCAACATTAGTGTCGTTTGTATTTTTTACTTTGTAAATAAAGCTTCTCCTAAAGACTGTTTCTTTCTTTTTCTCTTTCTTTTACTCATTGTATAGAATGACATCTAATGAGTACTCACTGTTGGTTACTTTACATCCATTAAAAGATATCTAAACAGCTGGTTGACAACCAAAGATAAATAACGCCATTCAACGGACGAAGTACTTTCTGTTCGCCTTATCATAAAGTTCGCGAACGTAGTTATCTTCATGAATTATATCGTTTAGTTCACAGCATGTATTCGTTGAGATCTCGTCGAGCGAAAATTCTTCTGTTTTCTTCATCTTTTGCTGTAATTGCCTATCTTATTCGTCGCTATCGTCGATCAGCTTTATTGAAGAAACGTCGTGCACTCGTTATTTCAAAAGAATCACGCACTACTGATGCTTCATCACCATCATCACCCATTCGTAACGCACTCAACAAACAATTTTATCATCAACTTCGAGCTTTAATTCGTATTCTTATTCCAAATGTAAAAAGTGATTCATTTGCTTTGCTGATACTTCATTTAACCACATTAATCACCCGAACATTCCTTTCCATTTACATAGCACATCTCGATGGTGCTATTGTTAAATCTTTAGTACAACGAAATCCTCGTCAGTTTTTTCGAACCATATGCACTTTTATTGGCGTTGCCGTTCCCGCTAGTTTTATCAACAGCTCAATTCGTTTTATAGAATCAAAACTTTCGTTAGCATTGCGTACGAGACTAACACAACATGCATATGAAGCTTATTTCAAAGTAAATTTTCAATTTGTCTTCTTCTTGTTGTTATTCTTAACGTTGACTCTATTTTAGAATCAAACTTATTATCGCGTTACAAATTTGGACAGTCGATTGTTAACACCAGATCAAAATCTAACTGATGATATTGAAACATTCACGTCAACATTGACACATCTATTTTCACATTTAACAAAACCGTTTTTTGATATCGCCGTCATTTCATGGTCGCTTATCGCTATGGTTCGACAACGAGCAACAGCACGTGGTCTTAAAGGTATTTCGATAGATTGACACGATCAGACTCTTCAAATGGTGTTTTTCATATCGTTTAGAGGTTCCTGTCATGACAATGATCGTTTTTCTCATCACATTTACGGCTCTTCGGAAATTATCACCTCGGTTCGGTAGACTTGTTTCGGAAGAAGCACGCCGACGAGGTATACTTCGTTTCGCTCATACAAGAGTTATTGCTAATGCTGAAGAAATCGCCTTCTTCGATGGTCATCAAGTATGCTTTTCTTTGACTTTCTTCTGGAACAATTGCAAGTATAATAATGCTGTGTCTAGGTCGAGAAAAATTGGGTTTTGAAATTATATGATCAATTACGTGAACAAACCAATTTGATTATTAAGAAAAAACTGTGGTTTATCATGCTCGAACAATTCTTGATGAAATATTTTTGGCATGCAAGTAGGTGCTTTCACGGAAAATATCTTTCCTTATTTGAAGTTGTTTTCGTTTGTAGGTGGAATGATGTTTATTGCTATTCCTTTTCTTACCTATGATGGGCCACCAGAAACTGATGGTATATCGGATTTTTTGGATGCTTTGTAACTTGTAAACAAAAATTTGTTTGTAGATCCTGTTGGAGATCCACTTGGTATTAGCGCGCGTACAGAAGCATTTACTGTTAGTAAAAACTTACTGACATCCGGTGCTGACGCACTTGAACGAATTATTTCCTCGTACAAAGAAGTAAGATTGCTCTGTTAGAATCAAATATGGTTCAGACAGGAAAGATACAATTTTATTTTAGATCGCAGAACTTGCGGGACATACAGATCGAGTTTATACCATGCTTCATGTTTTTGATGATTGCGCGAATGCACATTATCAACGGAATCTAGTAACAACAGATGAAAATCATGATGAACATTCGTCATCTGTGGTTGCAAAGAAAAAAGTTGCAATTAATCAACGTGCAGGTTCGTAAATATCATTACTGCAGGAAAGCGTACTGACAAAGTTTGCTTTTTCACATTATAATAGAAGGCAAAATAATTGAATCTGACGAAGATATCATTGCTGAAGATGTACCCATTATCACGCCTAACGGTGATGTTATTGTTGAAAGTCTCTCACTAAAAGTAAAGATAACTGAATAGTTTAATCTTAGCATTCGATGATTCTCTTGTTCAGATCACACCAGCTATGCATGTCCTTATAACTGGACCAAATGGTTGTGGCAAATCATCATTTTTTCGTATTGTTCGAGGTTTATGGCCTGTCTACTCGGGTCGTCTCCATCGACCAGATCCATCCAGTTTCTTTCTTATTCCTCAACGACCTTACATGTGTCCAGGGACATTACGTGATCAGATTATTTATCCACATACAGTGGCCAATGCCTTTGTTGACGATACAAAACTAATGGAAATTCTTGACAATGTCGAATTAAAATATATCGTTCAACGTGAAGGTGGTTTGAGCGCTGAACGCGATTGGAAAGACATTCTATCTGGCGGAGAAAAGCAACGGCTTGGTCTAGCACGAATATTTTATCATCGACCACGCTATGCTCTGCTTGACGAATGTACAAGCGCTGTATCCATTGATGTTGAGGGTAAAATATATGAGAGAGCGAAAGAACTAGGCATTTCATTATTGACAATTACTCATCGACCATCACTCTGGTAAGTTAACTTTGCTAAATTATCGTGGTAATCACTATTTTTTCTTTGACTTTACCAGGGCATATCATACACATTTATTACAATTTAATGGCGATGGTCGGTGGACGTTTGAAATACTTAACACTGAGAAACTTTTGACATTGCAAGGCGAAAAAGAGCGTCTTGAAACACAACTAGCTGGCATTCCAAAAATCCAACAACGCTTGAATGAACTGTGTCAGTTACTTGGTGATGATACAACAGCACCTACAACAAGAGAAGATCAAGACCATGAGGGCAGTAATGATTATTAGCTATGCTTCGTCTCCGGTGATGGCGTTTTTTCTATAGTAATGAAGATATGAATGTTGTTTTTAATTTATTGTGTGTTTGTGTATGGAATGAAATAGTTTCAAATGATTTTGAGTGTATGCCAAAGAATTTATTTGCAAATAAATATCCATGATTTGAAAACTTTGCCCAAGTACTCAATGTTTGCTTGTTACCATAGAAAAACGCAAGTTTTTTCAAATAAAACACTTTTAAAAACGCGAACATATGCAAGACAATGCGATAACACCTACAAAGAGTGTTTTTGATTAAGATTTCTCTGCGAAAATGTGCCAACAGTTATTATATTACAATTGACGCATACAGTGTGTTAATAATATTAGACGTCGATACTTTCTCGATTGATTTAATTTTAACACCTACGTTGTCGCCCACTGCTTTACGATGTTTTATAAATAGTGCGCAAAGTACCTTTGGTGTTCAATTTAATTGCACATTATTGAAGAAAATATTGTGTCTCCACTTTTATTTCAATCTACATCAATAAAGTAAGCGTCGAATATTTAAATTTTCGTCAATATCATTGACTACTTCCTATTCTATTGTAGTATTTTTCGCGCAATGCATCAATTCGCTATCTTGATCCTTTTTGTTGCTATTCTTGAATTTAATCACGGATGTTATATAACCAACTGTCCAATTGGTGGTAAACGAAGTTCAGATCTGGATAATGAATCGTACAAGCATCAAGTTAGACATAAACACAACATTTCTTTTTCTGTTAAATATTCTTTTTTTTTCAATTTCAGTGTCCACGGTGTGGATTTGGTGGCCAGTGTTTTGGCCCATCGATCTGCTGTAATGGCTTAGGTTGTCGCATCGGTCATCCATCCGATGTTCGTCAATGCTCAAAGGAAAGCCATAGTCTCACACCATGTGTGATCAACTCGGCTGTTTGCTCCAGCGTACCGAACGGTCGATGCGCTGCTCATGGTGTATGTTGCGGAACAGGTATGTAGTTTGTATTTGTCGACGTTTCTTCAACCTTGGTTGTGATTTTAGAATCATGTCAAATAGATGAAAGTTGTTCGGAAGCATCAAACCAAGAAGCTGACAACTCAAGAGAAGAACATTTACCACATTCCCGATTCACACTTTTACAATGATGTGTTAATAAGTTTTCATTCAATAAATAAAAAGGACTTCAGAATTTCTATCAGAAACGCACGTTTGAAAGTAACACTCTAGTGTTATTCATAATGTGAAAGAGTATCGCTCTATTGCCAGCTTATCTTCAAATACGACCGTCTCGAAATGAAAGGAAGTGTGAAAGTATATTCGAACCTAACTTTAGCTGTTTCTATAGAGGTCGTTCCTCCTAACAACACTCTTTTACATTTTTACTTATGTTAACTATTCGGTGGAGAGTTGAGTGAGTTATTCTTGACGTGATCTGCGTTGTACATATTCTGATGACTAAAGAATGGCATATTTGAAAGGTCGGTAGAGGTCACTGGCTTGCATTGTGATGACATACGATCGCTCGAAAATGATTGGTTGCTTTTGTCATTCAATTCAACATCATGGACACCACGTGCATTGCATTCTTTCATTTCACCTTCCTTTTTATAGCCTTTCTTCTTCTTTGATTACATCGAACGAAGTATTCAGGAAGGTTGTACAGAGTTATTTGTCTTTTGTATTAAAATTGCATACAGATTTTCATGTCTCGCCAATATTCGAACCGTCCATTTGCACCTCCTCGTCATCGTGTATCGCTTCAAATGTGCGACTTTGTTTCTTATCCGACGGCACAAACGAATGATACACCCTCAGATAGTTCATCTTGGCAACTAACGGATACATTATCGTGTACACATCAACCAACAACTGCATCTTCTACAGCTCATTCAGTTTCGACGCCGAATGATTTTACTTATTTTCAATATCCACATCAGCGCCAAACACTTGACTCTTCTTCGTTGCATTCATCGAATCGTGAAGCAACTAGTAATCAACAAGTTCATCAAAGAAATGAATCTCAACCATCGTGTCATTTTAACTACTTGCAATCACATGAAGACGAGCCAACTCGGTCGTTACTCCCATTGAATGCTGTAACGGTAAAGGAAAACTTTTTTCTCAAAAATTATTCATCAATGTATTTTAGGCGGCAGCAAATGCAACAGCATCAGCTCCACACCATCGCCATTATCGTTTAGAAAGTCCATCGGCAGCGTCTTTTACACGTCGTCCCCCATGGTTTGATGATGAACAAGAAGATAACAATGGCATAACTCAACGATCATCTCATAATAATAATAATAATAATAATTATAATAACAATAGCAACAATCACAATCATTCGAAAAGGCAACGTTCATCTGCAATCAGTACATCCACATCTCAGTCATCACATTCATACCATCATCACGAACGTAAACGATCGAGACATGAAGGAATTAACAATGAAAACGATCAAACGAATCATCATTCACAGGAGAATGCTTCACATGTCCAACATCAACAGTATCGATCAGCTAGTCACCATCATTATCAACCATATACGTAAATGTTTCATTTCTTTTCTTTTCTTTTCTTTTCTTTCAACTATCTGTTTTCTTATCTTTATTATATAGAAACCATCGACATGTACAACCACAACCAACTTCGATGCCCCGAACATCGTATATCGACAATGTTCCTTCTCTTTCTCGGCCATTTGAACAACGTTCACAAGCAATACAACGAAATCGAATTGAACACGCACATGAAATCAATAATACCAATACGCATTACAATCTTCATCATCGTCCTATTCAACCATCACCATCGTCAACAACAACGTCATCGTCATCTGTACAGCCTCGCAATATATATCATTCTTCTGATCATCGACAATTTCTACTTGAATCACCACCTGTTGCTTTACCTCGTCGTCCACCAATTCCTCCTCCTCGTTCTTCTTATACGCAACAATCAAATCATCATCACCCTCACTCACATCATCATCATCACCATCATCGAAGTGGAATAACTTTCGAGCCAACACCATCACCACGCGGTCCACTCTTTCATCGAACATCAATGACTACTCATTTGCATCAAAGACCTTCACCTTCATTTCTTACCGATCTACTTCAGTAAGTACAACAATGGCTTATGAAAAAAAAGCAAATCTCTTTCTCTCTCTCTTTTTTCTCTAAAATAATTTTCAGCCGCGTTATCGATGCCCATGCTGCTTCGTACAGTGATAATCATAGTCATTATCATCATCATCCACCAACAGCATCAATTGATTTAATTGCTTATGCATGGATGTCACCTGGCCATGAAATTTTTTCATTACCAGCTGCATTTAGTATTCAATTTGGTGTAAGTTTTTCTCACTTTTTAACCGAATAATTAGTTTTCTACGATACGCTGATACATGTAGGACTTTTTCGATCTGACAATACCCGATGAGACACCCGTCGTTGGCCTTACCGATAGTGAACTGGAACGTTTACCAACAATGATCTATACTAAATCTTGTACAACTATTCAAGTTGATGATAAATGTGCTGTATGCTTAAGTGAATATATCGGTGGTGACAAATTGAAGCATCTACGTTGTAAACACTTCTTTCACAGTGATTGCATTGATCCATGGCTGAAGGTAAGATTCGATTTGATGATCTTTACATTTCAACCATATCTGAACGATTGCATTTTTCATTTTCTTATAGACATCAACTCGATGTCCGATCTGTCGAGGTGAACAGACCAGCTAATTCTCATATTGTTTCTTTTGTTCCGGCTCTTTCGTACATATTTTGTTTTCTTGTCAACAGATAGATTTTTCTTTCTTCGTGTCCTTTACTTTCCTTTAGATGCCAGATACGCACGAGTTGCATTATATCATTGTTGTTCGTTTTGCTTCATTGTTAGCTTGCTTGATTCTTGTTCTTCTTGAACTGTGAACATATTCTTCTATACTTCTCTTTGTTTTCATATATATATATATATATGTGTGTGTGTATGTATACATATTCAAGAACTCGCTTTTGATTTTCTTATGTGTCTATTGTTGCCCTTCTTTTTTTGTGCGGCAGTCTTTCAAACTTTACAAGAGGAAAAAAACTCAATATAAGATACTAACGAAGAAGAAAAAGAAGTGTTTTTTCCTTTTATTTTGTTTGCCTTTTTCTACTTCTCATTTTTCTTGATTTGTCTAATATCTAAATATACATATGAGAAAGTTGCATTATAAAAAGACTAAACTATATGCGAGAGGGAAGAAAGAGCAAATGTAAAAAAAGCAGATCAATTGAAAGTGATAAACATCAATATTTATGGATCATTGAACTGTGTCAAGGAATTGTATCAAGACAGAGATCAGACAATTGTTACAATAGTAATGTCAGATGCAGCAGATGCTGGCCCATTCTAATCTTTTATAGCAAAAATTGAAGTTGAATGCAATAGAAAGATCAAAATATGTCAATATAGATAATTGATACACACTGAAGAGACTTGAATGAGAGAAATACATTGAATTGTATATTATCACATCGAATAGAACAAGAATACAAAGCAAATAAGTCTTCATGAAAGACTTGGAATAAACGAGTATATAAAACATATCATTAGTGTTCATAGGGTATAGTCATCGTTTCCTTGCTACACATTCGATATATTTTCTATTGTAAATACAATCCTTTCTATCAATATAGTTTTATAAGAGGAAACAACGACACATTTTTGTGATATATAAAATTGGTTTCATACGATATTTACGTACTGTCATAAACCAGGTACAGCTAACTCTCATAGTACTATGATGCTAGTAACTGTTCATATGTATGAATCAATAGAAAAGGGGCGGTATTTAAAACGGATATTGCTTGTGTGAGTCATTTACTAAACGTTAAATAAACATGATAAAATATCCCTCAAATTATATTATAACAAGTTTGATTCAAGTAGATTTCAGTTTGTTTCGTGCTACACATTTGCGGACCAGTCGTCTAGTTTGACTAATATCCAGTAGTTCATCGTCTTTTAGGTCGATATTTGATATTTCTGTTTTTAACTTTGCGGGTTTCTCGACAGAAGGTACTGGTACAGTTGTTGTCTAGAACAAAAGTCATTTTCATAGAACAAAACACGACTGAGTAGGCACACTCACATCCATTGCTTCCTCTTCATCTTCGTCTTTTTCAGTGGAATCTTCTTCATCATCACTGATGATAAGGGCTAAACGGGCGCTCCGTCTTTTACCACGAGGTGTGTCAGGACGAGATTTCTTTTTAGTAGTTGGTGCTAGTTTTGCCGGTGTTTTTCGTTTGAGTGGTGCCTTCTTTCTACAATTCAACCGTGATTTACATTGAAATGCGCACAAAAATAGATTTTATCTTACACTAGTGGTGCACGCGCACCTGTGCGGACTGCTTTCGCTGCTTTTTTCCTCCGCCCTAGACCTGTTCTAGTTGCGGGGGCCATTGAAAATAAACTGTGCGTGAAAGGAGATTTCGTCCATTTCTGTCGAACTTCTTCTAATGTTGCCACTTTTGAAAGCTCTTCGGCAGCGGATGTTATTTCTGGAATATTCATAGTACCAGTTGCATTGTTTAGTTTTACTCGACGAGCTTTAGCACCTTTAGATGAATAAATAACATGTAATTCCACTTGAATACGACACTGGTTTGTCTTTTCTACTTACCTCCCCCTTGCATTACTTCATGGATACGACGAGTAAGTTCAGTTTCATCAACTGGACCACCGCGCAATGCAGCTTCGCGCATCACTTCTTCATGCACCTGCGCCAGTAGTCGTTCTAAAGAGATCTCTTCCTTTGCAGATCCAGTAATAACCGAAGCTAAGCTAGCGCTGTCATTCAATGGTATGTACTGGCCGCCAGTTTTGAAAGCCAGTGCCATAAAAAAATCACGATAAGGTGTAATTGCCGGTTCACAACCGACTGTGTATAATGTAATACTGTTTTCAGCAAGCTCAGCGACACATTTCATAGGATCATGTCCTGATGGATCGCCTTCAAAAGAAATCTTATGAAAAGTTGGCAATAACATAGAAGCTAGATGTTACCTTGAGGCCATGTATCACCGTTTTGGTCTAATCCGTGCGGAGGAGCATCAGCAATGAGAAGGGCAATCTTAACTGCATTCTTACGCCACGATAAAGTATGTACAGCTGCATATAAAGCAGGCGTGACTGCTTCTGGACCATCTCCACCTAGAAAATACTCTCTTTCAATAAAAGTATTCAAAAATATATCATTTCAGATCAAACCTCCGCTAGCAGAGGCTGTATCAATATGCTTTTTTGCTTCCTCTGCATCGTCAGTAAAGTCGTGAATTTGAGTTATAAATGTTGAATCCTGCGGTGGATGATCACGGTACAAAATTAAAGCTGTATTCAATGCACATCGTTCACTTATTATAATGTCCTCAATGATCTTTCTCATATTCTAAACAATTTTAATTGTTTTGGTCTTTCATGAATCCGTCTACATACATCTTGTGCAGATTTTATGTACGATCCCATGCTGCCAGTTGCGTCAATGATGAAAGCAAGATCTAATTCTGTTGGTTCATCGGATACAGTCGTATCGTTTGTCGTAGTTGCGTTTGTGTCAGTCATTATTTCTAGACACGGGTTATTTTCATGCGACATGATACAAATTTGTACTCATCTTACCAATTCGTGATGCAATATTCTTCGTGAATTGTGTTTCCAAATGTTCTCTGAATGAAATTGAGACGCATGTACAATTTTACCGAGTTTATATAAGTAGCGAACATGCTATACAGGTGTAATTGCACCATTGTTGAGAAACGATGTTGTCTCTCACACGTTGAAGTGAACTGCTTAGAGAAAAATTGTTGTGCAATACTCTACGACATACCTTTTTTTATTATTAAATTCATAAAAAAAAGAAGAACATCATTTATCTCTAATAGGAATTCATAGCAATGTGTGTCTCCTACATATTTTGCACAAAAAAAGGTCCATTCAGAAAAAAAAACACGAACTCAGATCAATCGGCAAGATAAGAAATGGAATGTATAATAATTGTAATAATCAGATAAAAGATATGTACAAAATACAAAAAAAAGAACACGGAATGATTCTAATTGATCAAGTGTATAAAAAATGAAAGCAAACATAAGAATGAAACCAAGATGTAATTTGTCAATGATCGTATTGCCGAATTACATCCATCACGTTCATCACAAAAGCAGTAGATGGGTTCATCCGTTTGCACGTACCATGGTCGATAAGCCAAACCCTTAGAACAAAATATAATTTTTATCTTCTGATCACTATTCAACATACCACATAGTTATCTGTAGCTGTCCAACATCCGTTTTCTCGAACTGTTGGCATTTCGGGTCTGACAGCTTCAATCTGATTGATGCAACCACGCACATAATTCATTTCGCCTGTGAAGAAAAAAAAAGCGACGTATATTTTTCCTATTCGTCAGCATATAATCATACCATCAGGTGAACGTTCAATGATTTTGACGCATTTACTTCCACCTGGTGCGACACAACGTTTCCAACGCATTAAAATCCAATCAACTTTAGCACCGCAACCTGGACGATTGCTATGACATTCATAGCAATCCAAGTAGAAACCATTTAAATAGTCAAACAGTTGAGGAACTTCGGGTTGAGCTATACGAAAAGAAAAAAAAAACAGATTTTATTTGAGAAGAAATTTCTTTTTCATTTTACCTTTATCCACAAAAAGTGAAAAGAAAATAAAAAAACAAATTGTTGAACTCCACATTCCTATCTGATCTTAACAATAAAAAAAAGGACGTTGAAGGTGAAAAGAGGAAAAAATTGTTTGACACAGTAATCAAATCAAACAACGCTACTTTCGATGATAATAATCGATGGTTCTATTGGCGGATGCTCTTAGCGAATGAAAATCAAGCATATGCACAAACAATAATAAATTGTCGTTGTCCTCCTCTATAGATAGTCGAAACATAGAGCCGCGAGCACATCTTACTGCTAACATGTCCAACGAAGGACTCGCACCGAATTCTATGAAGGTATTTCATGCGTTTTCTATTGAACTCATCGATTCCCTATTGTTATTTCAGGTACTTGGCGAGAGCAAATTACGCGCGTTTGAACAAGGCAGTGTTGCTGTGAATAGTCGTCCTACCTTATCTCGTAAAGAACGTGAAGAACTACGTGCAAAAGCAGAAGCCAGCGAAACAGCTGAAGTTTTAAAAGAATTTGTTGCTGCATTTGAAGAGCCAGTGAAAGCGAATAAAACCTTTGTTAAAGGTGGAGTATTTAATCCAGGTTCACATGAAGAAACTCCTAGTGATCGTGGAAAAACGTATCGACTGTCAACAACATCTCATCGGAAAGATGATTCATCGTCGAGTAAAGACAGTTTACAAGAAAAAATCGCCAAAAGTAATGCGGCTGCACTTGCGGCTGCAGCTGCTCTCTCAGCTGCTGGAGCTGACAGTAAACCAGTATGTTATATTTGATTATTTGATCGAGGTAGTGCATGTTTGAAATAAACTTTAGAAATTGAAAAGTGAACGTGAAAAGCGAAAATCAAATTTAGAAACATTCAAAGAAGAACTGAAAAGGTATACTCGACAAGTGTTGAAAATTTCCTCATGTCAAACTGTTCGGTTTAGAATGCAAGAAGAACGTGAACGTCGTCATGGTCAAAAACAACGAGACAAAGATGTAAAATCGACACGATTTCCACCCCCATCATCGTCGTCGTCACAACATTCAGATGTTATTAGTAAATGAATTGAACAATTTATTTATTATTGTAATCTTTCATTTTTATAGGTGATTCGGACACATCGCATCACGATAGTCGACATGCATCTGAAGATCCAAACACAACTAACATATTCATTAGTTCCATTCCACGTTCGGTAAGTAACGTAAGAAAACAAACTTGATTCGATTTCTGTCTGTTGTCGCATATGTTTTCCAGATGAATGAAGCAAGTATTATGGAACTTTTCGGTCGATATGGTCCATTGGCAAGTGTGAAAATTATGTATCCAAGAAGTGACGAAGAAAAATCGCGTGGAAACAATTGTGGTTTCGTCGCATACATGAGTCGGAAAGATGCGGAACGAGCGATGCATGAATTAAATAGTACACAATTAGATTCTGCAACGATTCGAATGAATTGGGGCCGATGTATGTCATTTATCTTAACAAAATATTCGTCAAGATTGACACACGATTTCGTTTACTTTCTAGCTGTTCATATTCCACCGCAACCTATTTATATTCCACCAACGCTAAGAGAACTGATTATGCCACCTCCACCATCTGGTATGCCATTCAATGCTCAACCGGATGCAAAATATCGCTCATTAAAACTACAAGACATGCGTGAAAAGGATTTCACTAAAGTAAGAATTCACTTTATCTAAACTCTTTGTTCACAATTAGTCCTTTGGATTCCATTGTAGCTGCTCGAACATGCAACTGTCCGAGTGATAATTCCACATGATAGGTTTGTTGATGAAAACACATGATTGGAAATCTTTTTACGATATGATTTTTCATTCTGTAGAGTTTTGCTATGTTTAATTCATCGAATGATTGAATTTGTTATTCGTGAAGGTCCTACTTTTGAAGCAATGATTATGCGTCGCGAAATCAATAATCCACAATTCCGGTCTGTATGACGCATTTCCATTCAATTTTTATCTTATTCTTGTCGTAAAAGGTTTTTATTTGACAATCAATGTCCTGCACATACGTATTATCGGTGGAAACTGTTTTCCATTCTTCAAGTAAATAATCGTGCTTTTCCTTCTAGAAACTAAGAATATATCCTTTCGTTTGATTCAATCAACTAGGGTGATAGTATAACCAGTTGGCGGACGGATACATTTCGTCTATTCAAAGGTGGAAGTTTATGGCTACCACCTCAACCTCAACAATTTACAGCTGGTATGCCCGATGAATTATTCGAAAAAGTCAGAAAAGAAACAGAGAATGAAACCAGTGTAAAAGCTGACTCTCATGCATCAGTGACTTCACATACCAGTAATAATAATAATAATAATAATGTGAACCACTCGAACAGCCAGAGTAACAAGCGAGGTCGACTTAGTCAGAGGTAGGAGGATCGCAAAAAGAAGTGTTTTTTTTACGCTTTATATGTATAGACAAAGAGATCATTTGGAAGATCTCTTACAAACATTAACACCCGAACGAACAAAGATTGGAGATGCAATGCTCTGGGCTATTGATCATGCTGAAGCCGCAGATGAAATCATTGATTGTATTACTGAATCACTTTCAATTCTTCAAACAGAACCATTTAGAAAAGTAAGCAATTGAAACGAAAACTTTTCTTTAATAAACATGTTTTTCTCCTGTTGTTGTTGTTGTAGATTTCTCGGTTGTATTTAATATCGGATATTCTCCATAACTGTGGTGTAAAAGTATCAAATGCATCATACTATCGTCGAGGGTAAATTTATCAGATTGAGCCAACCAGTATTTTATCTACAAGTGCTTTCAGATTTGAAGTTCGTCTGCCAGATATTTTTCAATATATTCATGACGGATGGGCAGCTATTGATGGACGACTTCGGGCTGAGCAATTCAAAGTATGCACAGAAAGATCGTTTGTAAAGAAAATCAGTATTCCTTGTTTCTCTAGCAAAAAGTGATGAATAGTTTTCGAGCATGGGAATCGTGGGCAATCTATCCAAGTGATTTTCTTATCAAACTTCAAAACATATTTCTTGGACTCGTGCGACCAAAACCAACCGCAGTAAGAACTTTCAATTATTTTATTCTACGTTTATGTATATGACTAAAAAATCTAGGAAAACGAAGAAAAGAAATCGAAAACCGATGACGATATCGATGGTAAACCCATTAATCTTGATTCGGCAGATGGTCGACCGTTAGCATTGGTTGCCGACTATGATGACGAGGAAGATATTGACGGAAAACCCATTTCAGTACCGAGTTCAACCATGGACTCAGATGTCGACGGTCGGCCACTGAGTGTTTCTCAAGAAGGTACAAATTTGCTTAAAATGCAAGGACTTTTCGACTCGATCCTATTGATTATTTCTATTCTAAGTCCGACCTCGATTCCAAGAAAAGAAAGCAACCCTTCCAACGCAGATCAAACCACGTTTTGTCCCAACAAAATGGGAATCAATCGATCCAAATGAGGTTGCTGCTCAAGGTAAATTATATTCGATGATTAAGAACCAATCAGCATGAGCTTTGTTTCAATTTTAGCTGTAACTATATCGAAATGGGACTTTGACCAAGAATCAGCTTCGAAAGGTGTTGAAAGTTTATACGAAGATCTTGCCGAGACATCTCGAACATCAACAGAAAATTCGAATTCATACAACGAGTGAGTTTTAAGAATGCAATATGAATATGACTTCATGGCAATGTACTTAATCATATTCTACCATTAAAGTGAAAAGATTAGAAATAATTCATCAACAAGCACATATAGTAATGAGAATACAATAGCACCCGATGCGTTATCCACATCAGATATGTCTGAAGAACGACGCCAAAAGCTAAGAGAGATCGAAGTAAGTTTTTGTAAAGGGTTCGTGAAATATTTATTTTTGATATGATCTTTTTCTTTTATAGATTCAAGTACTAAAATATTCAGACGAATTAGAGTCTGGACAACGTCATCGCATAACACATGGTCTTTCGTTAGCACAAGAAGTTCAAATGTATCGACAAAAGCTACTGGAAAAAGTTTGTGATACTTTCATAGAAAAATCTTCAGCTAGTGTAATTTTTCTGTCGAGTAGATCGACGAAGATAGAACAAATACATCTCCGGATTCATCTCGATCGACGAATCGAAGTTCAACATCACACAAAACTGAATATAATTCATCGCGTTATTCTCAACAACGAAGCATCGATGAGAAAAGTACGTGAGTGTGCGTCGTCAGAAAATTTCTTGTTTCATTGATGTACGCGATACAATTTACGTTGAAAAAGAAAAGACCCAGAAAAAGAACTCCTACTCCTATTCCGGAGAATTTATTTATGGTTAAATCACATGCTTGTATATCTACCTATCTCCAAATAGATCAAGATACTAGTTCGCGTCGCGACGATCCATCTTCTAAACACGTGAGTATGCATTCATACTTGATTTTCTCTTGTAAAACGGATGACCTATTCTAAACAATTAAATACGCAAATGTATCTCGGTAGTCGGAATCGGATACGAAGAGAAAAATGAGTGCAGTAATGACACGAGTTGAGTTTCCATTCTTCTTCTTATCTGTGTTCTATGTTGACAAGGAAATAGATTTCTGTTTCAATGAAGAGAATCCATATCACCATATGAGTTGCTAATTTTATAGTTGTAACTCGGAGAAAAACTTTGAATTTCTCTTTTTTTTTCTTCCCTGCAATTCATGTCAATCATCAAAAGAGGTCATTTATTTATTCTTCCTTTGGGAATACTGATGCTGGTTTGAATCAAAGAATAACATTGTCCGGAAATCGTTTGACAAAGACCAAATTTTTAATCTCGTTGTTTTTCTTTGTCTTACCGAACAAAAAAAAACCTTGAATCAATTTACTTTTTGTTCAAACATGAGATTTGATACTTGGGAACAGATATAGTTACATTCTCTCCGCATGATTTTGGTTAAAATTGTTGATTTAATATGCCATTACACGAAAAAAACATTTGTCTTTCGTTTGTTTACTATTTATAGAGATCTACTTCGCAAAGAAGTAATTCATCAAATTCAAATCAATCTGAGTAAGTAGGAAGTCAAGTTTCTTTGTCTTTTCTATTTAAAGGAAATTGAGTTCGACTGATACGTATCTTTTCTAGTTCCACGCGATCGTCCTCATCAAGAACAAGTTCTGATCATTATCATTATCAACATAAACGAAAACGTGACGATCGTTCTCCATCACCAACATCGCGCTACTCGCGATCCAATCGACGATAGATATCTCTAAGACCTCAAAATATCTTTTTTTTTCTTCTTGTCTTGTTATTCATCATGATGTAATTTTTTCTTTTCTTCAACTAACTCTTGTACGAACATACATACATATATATGTATATATAAATAGAGAAATTTGCGTTCTGGTCTTTTATATACTACCTGGTGGCTTAAGCATGTGCGTCGTACTGATTTGATATTAAACAAAGCGAAAAGGGTACATTGGAGTGGACTATTTTCAGGGATCGACATACATTTTGTTCTCTTTTCTCGTTTGATCAATAAGACCATTGAATATATTTTTTCTCTTCTCCTCCTTTTCTTTCCATGACACACAAGACCATTTCTCGTATTTTCTTTTACATTTTTCTCTTCTCTATTCGAAAGCGTAGAACTACATCAATCTTCTCTCACACATTCTCCTAAGTATTAGCTCGATCATTTCCTATTCAAAGCAGACATGAACCGACAGAAATACAAGAGACAACAGTTAGTATTCGATCGCGTTGAATTAGAGAAAAGAAAGCTTACTGCAGGAGTCACGACCATTTACCCTCAATACGTCGAGTGTAATAAGAAAGAGAACTCCACGCAAAAGAGAGAAAAATCTCCTCTCAGGAAAGATATTCTTCATAGTCATTTACAGCATCTGTTATTAAATTTAGTTTTCTTTATTGTCTTTTTTTCTATTATGTTTGTCCGTAGATAAATAAAATACGAACATTTGAAAAAAAAATGCATTTGGCGCCATCGACGGAAATCGGAAGCTAACAACGTGCATCTTGTTCTTAGCCTGTATTTTATATAACAGTTAATTGCATATTTGAAGAAGCGATTAAACGAATAATCATTTCATTTATATTCTTATTTGTGCCATCAATAAGCGAAAGAAAGAGACGAACACACGCGTGCGAGTGCGAGAAAAAGATAGAAAGCAAGAAGAAACCTATTCGAATGATACTTTTTTCTATACCACAAAGCAAAAATATACATCAAATCATCGTTGTTCGTGTGTAATAAATGAATGCGGCAGATACGTTTTCGACTGCGTACAACAATAACTTTCATTCTGGCAACTTTAATTATATTCATTCTTACCTCACTTTACACGGTTATCTGGTCAACTAATGAACTTGAACGTGAAGAAGAAGAACATCGTGATGTCCCTATTCCGCCCGGTGTTATTCCATTCTGGTCAGCAGTCAATCATCAAAATATCTACGATCTCCATGCAACACCATCAAATCCAGTATTTATTCGATCGTCAAATATAACACCGCGTCGCATTGAAGAGTTATTTCAATTGATACGCAATGCACGAGCGGATGAAACACATTCGTTAGACAAAGAAAAACTATTTCCGATCGATTCGGCATGGAATTTTGAGAAACTGGTCGAGCAACAGCAACAAGCAAACGCACAAGATGAGCCGAATAAAAATCCTGAAACACATGCTGATACAGCTGATTCAGCCAATAAGGCAGTCACAACAACAACAACAACAACAACAACTACAGTTCATCCTGATATAACTACAACTGTGAAAAGTGTTAGCGAACATGATAAAGTGCAATTAAGAAATTATATTCATCAAGCTTTAGCCAAATGGAAAAAGGAACATCAGAATGATAAGATTGTTACTCTTGCCAGCCTTGTACATGATGAATTATTACGTGATGAACCTTCGTAAGTTGATAGTTTTTTTTTCCAAAATCTAACAAATAACATATTGTTGAGACAGATTTTTCCATTGTCATATGCGGTTTTGCCATGACAAAATCGCTTTGCAATCTGATACATTTTCCAGTATCGCGTGTCATTTGCTTTCTTCCATGGAGAGAAGAAATATATTCGAAATAGCTACGACATAGTGATAGCAAATCATGTTCGCTCGTTTAGGCATCTAAGCTTTCAAGAGTCATAAACCCATATATAATTTAATGAAAGAGAAGAGATATTCAAATCTGAGATTTCTTATTAGTAGTTTTAAGAACTCTCGTATTGTCCTACTTACGAAATTTCGATAACAGTTGTTCTACGATTTGTCTGTTATGATTTCCTCGTTGGATAAGCACGTTGCGGAAGTAGAACCGGAATATTTTTCCTGATGAGACATGACCTTTGTTCTGAAGGAATGCTTGCAATTATTGGGTGCTTCAAAGTGTTAATATCTACTACTATTTTTGTGTGATGTGTATGAATTCTATCAAGTATAAACGAGATGAGATGTTTCTACCGCGATATAAATAATTGATCATCATGATCATCATCATTTCTTTAATGAGGTTTATCATCGATATAATGTGATAGTTCTCTTGCCATCAAAAATTTTGATTAATGAAATGTTCTAGAAAAAGAACGAGTGAAAATAGAAGTGTAATATTCTCTTAGGAAATTGAATACAACATGGTATGCATTTATGAAAACAGTGAACAATTTGCGTGTTTACGATCCACGTAGTCCAGAATTTCCTCGACTTCTTAACCATTTACAAAATGCGGAAATTATCGAAGCAAGTAAGAAACAGTTTTGTTCTGCCTTTAGCTTCTGTAACTGATGAATCTTTGTCAGGTGAAATGTCGCAAGGCACACAGATTAAAGTTATTTTTGATTTACCCGATGGTTTCGAAGCTCTGTTTAAACCATACAGGTAATACATTGACTATTTTTCTTCCTCTATTTGATCCTGTCGTAATTCAATCTTGTAGAGTGCCACGCAACTATCAAACGTTACCAGATCACTTCTACTTTAGTGATATTGAACGACATCATGCAGAAATCGCTGCTTTTCATTTAGACAAGTAATTGATTGCTTTTTTCTTCTAGACAATTCATCTTAAGAGAGCATTTATTTTTCATTGAAGAATTCTTGGTTTTTACCGGGTTCCTCCACTAATTGGACGATTAGTTCATATCACACGAGATATTCACGAACGAGCTACCGAAGATCTGGCTAAAACATTCTTTGTCTCACCAGGTAAGTCGAACGCAGGGCAATTATTTACTCTATTGTATATCTTCTGTGAAATTCATAGCGAATAATACTTGTTTTCGTGGCCATTGTTCATATTATTGTGACACATCACATGCTGTTTGTGGGAAGCCGGGTGATCGATTAGAAGGTTCTGTGCAAATTCTTCTACCACGGCCACCAGAAGTAGAATGGCATAAAATTACTCATCCTTACCGTCGTTCTTATAGTGCTATACGAAAAGCTAAATGGGAAAACAACGAAAATTACTGTTACGATCATGTTTTCCTAGGTAAATCAACGTGTGTTGCATTTGTCGTGTAAAGAATCTTCGTTTTTTAGATGATGATTACCATAATCGTCTTTTATTGGATATGATGGATTTATCAGCATTTGATTTTCTCATTGGTAAATAGTTTTTCTCAATTTAATTGATGACATTTCAACATGACAGATTTCCTATTTTCCTTCAATTGATAAATGATCTGCTATAAACTCGATTAGTTTTTTCTATCCGGAATCAAATGAATGGAAAATATTTTCATCATTTTTTTTAGGTAATCTGGATCGTCATCATATGATGCGTATTGGCTCATTTGGTGCTAACACAGCTTTAGTTCATTTGGATAATGGCCGAAGTTTTGGTCGATACGATCATGATGACTTGACAATTCTTACACCAATTCGACAGTGCTGTCTATTTCGTTATTCGACATTTGCTCGTCTCTACCGTGTTTATCGGCAAGGACTTTCAACTTTACTTTCACGTTCGTTAGAAAACAGTGAACAACTAAAAAAGATTCTCGTTGATGAACATCTTCGAGCTGTTGATCGACGCTTAGAAATCTTATTCGAGCACTTGGAAACATGCATTAAAACATATACAGTCAAAGGAGTCATGATTGATGATGGAATTGATTGAGTTGGACCAGTGTGATCAATGATATTTGCCATATAGAATTCCGGCAGTGAAAATCTTATTTTTCTTTCCAGTTTTTTTTTTTGTTTATTGCTGTTGTTTTTTCTGCCCGAAGAGATGAAGATTTTATTATTTATAAAACAAGGAGAAGAGAAGAAGAAGAAGAAGAAGAAGAGCAGAAAAAATGAATACTGATTCTAAGAGATGATGCTTATTATTTTTTATTATGATTCCTCTCACGAAACGATCATAATATGGCGTTCTTGCATATCTTTATAATCAGTTTAAGAATCAAGTCTACATAGCTACGAATGTTCTACTGCATGTTTTGATAGGAAAACTGTTGGAATAAAACTCTTTTGATTACGGTGTTTTTAATCCCCAGTACCATGGCAATATTTAGGTAGCAATAGACCATCAAACAGATGAGTTAATGTAAAAGTTTTACAGGTGAAATATATATTATCTGCCGAAGGGTATGTATTGCAACAGTATTAAATGACTGGGTTTTGGAACAAAAATAGATTACATCCATTCACTGTAAAGCAATCGGGATACTGTTCGAAAGATTTACAAAATCATCCGCTGTTATTCAATTCTGGTAGTTGTGAATTGTCGCAGAACTAAAATGACAAATCAAGGGGACGGAAACTGATTCATTTGATTCAGACAACAGTTGCAGTATAATCTGAGCTTGATAGAATTATTTCTGTGTTACTACAAATATTGTGTGAGATGTGAAACTGTATCGCAGCAAACAAATATTATATAAAATGATATTTACATTTTATATGGATATGTTCCACGAGAACAAATGTTAATATGTCTAATAGATAATAGAACCTGATTGCGTTTAATCTGCACTGTCTCGTAAAACAAAGAAAAACATATAAATCGGTGACAACATGATCGATTGTTATCATAAATGTCTAAATATCTCGTGCTGTATTTCAGTACAATTCTTTATTCGCAATAAACAAAATGAAAAAAATGCTCCATAATTAAAGTACACAAAAACAATACACACAACAATAGTTGCTATAGTTTTATTATGGTCATGATCACCATCATTATCAATACCCCCCACTAGAAATTCATACATGGCCAACTTGAAACTTGAATTCAGCCATTCAACTACTAATTCATTTATTATACTTGAATAGTTGAGTGTGAAGATGTGCGTTGGTTATTGAAGGAGCAAGGATCAAGCGAAGGTCAAGGACAAGCCTGAATAATTGAATTCAACTTTCGAGTTGGACATAATTGATACCAACGGATATAACAGTACCATTGTGACATTATTCAGATTATTTTTCAATATCACGCGTTTTACACAATCGACGATTTCAAAGCGGCACGTAATGACAATTTTGGGAGGTTTCTATCTGTTCGTTCGTGCAATGATATTGGTCAACATCACAATAGGCTTTGGCCATCACATTGGTGACACTGATCTCTTTTTATAAATATACTCAAGGCGTTATATATTGACTTGAAAGAACGTCGCTTCTTGTTACACTTGGTTTTGGAACTGGTGGGCTTTGATATTATCGGTATCGTTCTGCAAGAAGACAGTTTTTAAGTACTTTTGTTGTTTTTATTTTATCTTCTGATAAATTTCTTATTCTTGTTCGCTCCATTGACATTCTTTTCTTAAAAATAGCGATAACTGATTCAATTACCGATCTTACATCAGTAAAACAAACAACACATCAAAACTGGCCAGTGTGTATACCGTCACGTAACGGGCATTTACGGATGATGCTAAATCTCGATAACATATCAGACAATATGACTTTTTCATCTTTTTCTGTTATAGATTCAAACATAGTCTGAAGTAGAAGATCATAAATCTTCTGTTAAAACACGTCATCATATGCGACTCGAGGTATTGAACAAAATGATGCTAATAAACATCCTGAAGTATATGCTAAAACTCACTTGGACAATGGCCGAAATTATAATGGATATGCTCATAATGATTTAATGATTTTAACATTAGTTCGTCAATTCTTAGAAATTCTATTTAGTGCGATCGTTATTATTTGTATAATATGTCATTCTATCAGTCAAAGTGTCGATCTTCTCTTTTTTCTGTTTGAGAGATTACAATTTTGTTACTTATGAAACAAGAAGAAAATGAGCATTGATTCTAGGAAATGACACATGTTTTTGATTTTGATTGCGATGGTTTCAGTCGATTCATTGCTCCGACGAAACGAACGAATTGATCACGATATAGTGGAGTATGATATTTCTGTTGATAGCGTTCTTTCATATCATTATATTCAATTTGCCAATCAGGTCGAAGACATTGACTATAAAGAAGCAAATCTGTACCATGCTTGAAATCATATATATCAACTAGTTCACGATGAATTTGGTTATCGCTAAACCATTGAGAAATTTCTTTGCTTGTCCATTGTTCAACAGGTTTTTTCAATGGTTTGAAATCTGTGAGAGTAGGAATAGGTTCACTAGGTTTCACTGTACTTTCCGTCGGTTTTGTTTCAGTGACTGGAGGTGGAGGAAGAGGTTTAATTTCTTCTTTTGGCGCAGATACTGTTGTTGTTTTATCTTCAAAAATCAATTTCAGTAATTCTTTCATTGTATCTGCAAATGGCCGTTTCTCAAAGCGAATATACTGTGGACCAACAATACGTACGCCTAACCACCCAGATGCTTGAAAATCTTTTTTCACATATATGGGAATAAAACGTTTCTTCAACGAATCTTTCGCATACATCACTTCTTGTCGACATGATTTACTATCTTGATATTCTTTGGACATTAGAAAGAGCACAACATTTGCTTTTTCGATAGCTTCACCGATTTCTTCCCAAAAGTCTTCTGTATGGCAATATGCGAAATCTACCCAAATATGTAAGCGATTATCTATATTAAAAATCAAAGCACGCTTTGATTTCAATATTTCGTGAACATACATTGAGCTGACCTTTCTTTAATGCGTCAACTAATTGACGACAGAATTCTTGATCTGTATGGCAATAGCTAACCATTACACGTGTTTTGTTTGTTTCATCAGTAACCGGTTCCGCTAGCGTCGTTGCTGTCGATTCCGCAGTAGTGTTTCGAACGAGTCGTCCTAAGCGAAAACAGCAATGCAATTATTTATTATTCTACTCTTTTCCGCATACCTGGATTATCTTCGTCAAGATTCCATAAGATACCTTGAGCTGCTTTGGGTATCGATGACATGTGATTCGGTACATATTGGTCAACTGATCCAGCAGTATTATCAACTGCTAGAGTTTTGATTGTTAGTAAAAACTGAAAATTCTTTTTCAATTCAGATAAATATTTATCATGAAATGATATGCTCCATATAATGTTAAACAGAGCTATCAGTGTTAATTGATCTAAATCATCGTCGGTAGCTACTGCAGCACGAAATTTAACTAGTAAATGACAGAAAAATTGAATTTTTGTTGGTGCTTCCATTCTTTGTACATTTGATTCATTTAAAACATAATTGAGAATTTCATCATGAATACACAATTTCGTTAAAACAACAATTGGTTCACTGACGTGAAAGCCTCGATATTTATTCTGTACAGATTGTCCAGCATCAACAGCTAACTGCATCAATTGATCAAGAATTTTGCGAAGATTATCCAAATCTTCATGATTTTCTTTTGGTTCGGTTAATAATGATACAGCCATACAGTAAACCAATCGTAATTCGGTATACAATTCGTCTTGATTGTTTTTGTTCGGATCAAGCACTCGTCTCTTGAAATCTTTAAGTATGGTTATACCATTCGCATCGTTTAACACTTTCACACCTTTCTCATGTCTTGCTATGTTGTGTATGATATGTATACATGGTTGCTGCATTCCTGATGGTATGTCTTCGTTTGCAATCCATTGTAATACATATTTTGGACATTCCGCTTCAATCAAAGTTGGAACTAAAATCGTATCGTTGGCTAATGACCATATAAAAGTAAATAAAGAATCAACTGCCGTACGTTTTTCAGTGAAATCAGAATTGGCTTTGTGACAATCAATGTATTTCAATAATGAACGTAGAATTGGAACTTGATTTTGTAGTTCATTTTTTTTGAAAACAATAACTTCGATCGTTATGGTAATATAACTGGTAATCGTGCGCAAAACGTATGCAATCAGTTCAAATAGAACAAGGCTGATTTTTTCATTGAGAAAATCAGTTATAACAGGTGATGCCAATAAGTTGAAAAAGCGAAAACAGATAGTCCGTGCATAAGGCGGATCGTTTTCTATTATCGAACGTAATTCGAGCGTTTCTGCCGACAAAATTATAATGTGAATAATATCTAGAAATCTCTCATTGGAGAGAATATTTGGTAGTTTTGTTATTGAAATAATATCATTAATAAACCTTTCCAATGTTGTTTGCAGGATATCGAAGATCTCTTTTTTCTGGTAGAATTTTTCAAGACCTTCAAGTTTAACTTTGATGGATTCGGTAAGTTGTATAATATTTGAATCAATTTGATCATCATCTTCGGATTTTTTTAAAAGACTTTCACGGAGATTGGATAGTAATGTTGGCAGATCGGGCTCTTTCTTCAAGTGAATTTTATCTAGCAACGAAACAACTAAATAAAAAGCATTGATTATTAATATTTGGTGATGGCAAAAAGAAGTCTAGTTCCCATAGTGACCAAAATAACAGTAGTTTGTTAGCTTCGATATGATTGATGTATGAAACTGAACTTGGAAAAACATACCTTGAATTGTTCGTTGTCGTGTTGGACGAGATTCATCCATCGAACAATGTACAAGTAAAGTATTTGCAACACTGTCACTCCGTGAATTCGAATCGTTTTTTTTGCGTATGTGAGATAAGGTATGTATTTATATCGTTCTCTTTCTTTTCATAAACAAATGACATATTCATGACACTTTCTCCATGGTGAAGAACCAAAAAGTAATCTATCAGAATGTACTTCAAAATATTTTGCATAAGCAAAAGTTTGTCCTGAACGTGTGAATGTACTTTTTGGAGAAGAAAGAGCAAATCATAGGATTATTCTTGTTTGTTTATATGTATATATAGATTTGTTTTTATTTCGTACACGATGATCGTACAATTCATAAAAAGGAAAGAAAAAAAAACTGAACACAACATAATTTAAAAGACGAAATCAAATCGAGAAGATGTGGATATTTTCATGGCAGAAGAAAAAGTAAATGTACAGTTCGAGTCCTAAAACATTACTGCGTTTCGCTATAAGCAGCTGGTTGTTGCTGTTGCGGCGGCATCATGTTTGGTGGCATCGTATACATCATATGTACTGGTTGCGTTTGTTGTAAATTGGGATCAACATAATATGCTCCTGTTGCTTGTTGTGGAATATAAGGCATGGATGGTTGAGTTTGTGGAGGTATTTGATTATTATACATTTGTGAAGGTTGATACATCATTGGTGGTTGTTGTTGTTGTTGTAAACTTGGATGACCTGGATAATATTGTTGAGTTGGAATTTGTGTCTGTTGGTACATTTGATTAGCTAGTTGAGCAGCATTTGTTTTCGCTTGAGCTGCACGTATACGACCTTCTTCCATCAATCGGTGATACAAATCCATAGCTTCGCGTAGGTTTTTATTCAATTCTTCTAATTGAACATGCTTACGATCGACTTTTTCTAGTTCATGATCGATCAATGGACCCATTGCATAACATGTGTCTTCCAGCATGAGCATTTCATTCGAATCGGCCTCGATTTCACCGGTTGGATCAGCATTTTGCAACATTCCTAAGCATCGATCGATAAGACGTTCATCGATCACGACTTGATCTTTAACAATTTCATTCTGACGTTGTTGTTGCTTTTGATTGATATCCTACAAATTCGGTCAAAAACGATAGTCGAACGAGTAGATGAATTTCTTCGACATGCTTACATTAGCTGTTCCGTTTGATTGACTAGGCGAATCAACTTGTTGTTGAAGATTTTTCGTAACGAAATTAGCTGGAAATAGACCTTCAACACCATTGTTGATACCTTTCCACCAATGTTGGTCACTGTCATCCGTAATAATCAAAATGTCGCCTGCTTTGAATGTCACTTCATTGTCTTCTGCCGCTTCGAAATCATATAAAGCTTTCGCTTTCTTTTCATTACCAACTGAACTTGTTATTGTCGATGCCGATGTCGGATTTGTTGAAGAAGATGGTTGCATCGATGGATAAAGTGAATTTGTAGCTGTTTGCTGTGGTTTTGATTGATTTGCTTCTTGCATCGATAAAGCAACTACACATCAATGGAATACGATTTGAAAATATACTTCTCCAAACAGAAAATAAACTTACTAGCTTTAGCAAACTCTTCCTCTTCTCGTTTTGCCAATAGATCATCTTGAGTTTTTCGTGCTGCAACTCCTGCCACTGTTGTGCCTGCTGAGGATATCGATTGATGATTAGGTCCATCAATGAAGGTGTAATTTTTCTCTGTTATTAACTTTTTATATGTTGCACCGAGCATAGCATACTGAGCTTTGTCTTTAAATTCTGGATCATTCATCCATTGTTTTAATAATGAACCTATACGATTACGTACAATGTTTTCCGTATGTGAATCATCAATAACTTCAACGAGTGCATTCATTGTTGCACGTGATGTAAATGCTTGATGAAATTGTTGACCACAATTTTTTACCGCTGCATCGAATAATGTTAAAGCGTTCATTTGTAGTTTCGCCTTACGAGTTTGTTTCAAACGTTTCACGATTTGATCAAGTAATTCATTAGGTTTTACTTGACCATTTTTAACGTAGTCACATACCTCTACAATGAAAAGAAAGAAAAGTGCTTTTCCAAACATTATTAAAGTCGATTATAACTTACCTAAAATTCTATCCCAATTCTCTTCAGTGTTGTTTTCGTTTGTTGCTGCATCGAGAGCAACTTGAAAAGCTTTGGCTGCCATCGTGTTCTAATGTTCACTCAAATGAAATAAATAAAAGTCGACATATTTGTATATATCTACAAAGAAGACGTATATGTATGACTCATTGTTATCTCGACGAATCACAAGCTTTGCCATACTTTTACTCATTTTTAACTCGACAGCTCTCGCTAGATTACACAAACATCTATTTATCTGTTCTTCTTTTTCTCAGCAAGAAAAAAAATCAAAAGCACACTCATTTATTTCTGCTCGTAATCAAATGATTAATCAGCGATATGCGATTTTATTCGAAGAGATGATGATCTTCCTACGGTAAATATGACCGAACAAGAGTCATGTTATTATCTGTCGAGTGATAAAGTATCATGACGCATGTAAAAGTAAAGTTTGGCACACTAAACAACGCTTCTCCAAAATCAAACAAAAGAAAATATCAACGATGTTTTTTCTCTCACTCTCTCTTGCGTATCGTTACTTGATATGACATGTAAAATAAAAGCACCAATGATAAAACAAAACAACTAAAGTAATAAATAACTAAAACACACAAAAACAAATTCGATATCAGTTTGACGGAATGTATAAAGATAGTTTTTGATTGTTCGTCATTTCTGTTTAAAGTTCACTTTTGAATTGTGAATGACTCTCAATGAATTTCACTAAATCATCTAGATCACGATTTCCTTCGTATTTCACGGGTTGGTTATTCATTGGAACGAGATAAATCGTGGGAAAACCAGCTACTTCAAAACCTTTAGGAATATCATTAGCCGTTGCGTCAATTTGAGCAACAATGAGATTTGATCGACTAGCATAACGTTGAGCAAGCGCTGCATACGTGGGTTTAAATTTTGTGCAATGACCACACCTGAAATTCATCAAAGATGGTGAGATTGAATGGCAAAACTTGATCCTACCATGGTGCATAGAAAAAGACGAGGACATTTTTCGTTTGATCTTGAACAACTTTTTCAAAGTTCTTGCCAACTAAAGTTTGGATTCCATTGACAATGGGTTGTTTGGGTAATGTTTGAGATTTGATATAGGGTTTGACTTTTCCTTTGATTAGTTTATTGATAAATTCTTCGAATGATTCCGAAGTAAATTCATCATCATCTTCCATACGATATTTCAAACCATCTTTATCGAAACAGCCAACATTGATATCTTCACCAGATTCTTCTAAGCCGAATTCTTTCAATAATGACGACATTTTTTCTTCATCAGCAATAGCAAAAGTGTATTTGTCCTTGTAATCATTTGCAACTTTGAGAATTTTGTTTCTCCAATATTGTGTTCGTTCACGATGATCGAACGAAAAATCCACGTCATAGATAACGACACAAATTGGTCGGCGAGATAAATAAGTGGTTCGTTGATTTTCTTGTGTGAGCACACCAACTAATGGCACTTGGTGCTTCGTGACAAATTCTTCGAATTCACTTTCGAGTGCATTAGCTTTGGTGAAAACTATTTTGTCTTTTTCGTATTTCGATCGAACATCAGAATGCTGTTGAAGAACAATTGCAGGTGCTTGGACACCATCTAAAGCGGAGATCTTCTCAAATGTATGACCAAATTGAAATGCTTTTCGATGGTGATATGCGTAATCAATAAACAATTTATATAATTCATCTTCATCCGATTGAAAAACACCAATCAGAGCAGGTTGATCGTTTTTTCGGAATAGATTTTTGTAATCATTCATATTACGTAGTTCACGACTTGGTAATGACAAAAGTTCTTTCATTGTCGAAACAATTCCTTGCTCACTTTGCTCACCATCATAAGGTGCATATTTTCCACCTTTGCGATACACAATTAATGTCGGATATCTGTAGAATACTAAAGATGAGTACCGATCGAAGAAACACAAGTTGATCTTACCCAGTGATATTATGTGCAGCTGCTAATGCTGTTTCCACAGTGCTATCAACTTTGGCTAAACGAATTTTTGTATCCTTTTTCAGTGATGTTGCTGCTTTTTCGAAGTTTGGTTCCAATCGTTTACAATGACCACACCATGGAGCATAAAATTCGACTAGAGTTAACTCTTCTTCTGTAGTGAATGTCTCGAAATTATCAACCGTAAGAACAACAACATCCGAAGGTGGCGGTGTCCAAGTTGGATCAGCATACTTTTTGACAAAATCAGCGATGGCTGATGCAGGTTGACGAGGACCTTCATATTCTACTGGCTTTTCGCTATTCTTATGAAAGATTTTTATGGTAGGATATCCTTCAATTGAATACTCGCGAGCTAATGATTCTTCTATCGTTGCGTCAATTTTGGCAAAAGCAACTGGATTTGCAGCATCTTTCATTAAACGTGCAGCTTGTTCATAATGTGGCGCTAATTGTTTACAATGCCCACACCTTGAATAAGAGAGAGAAGAAAAAATTCGCTTGAGTCAACATTTGTCTCGCATTGATACTTACCATGGTGCATAGAATTCAGCAAGAACGACGGGATGTTGTTGAATAAATTGTGTAAAATTACTGCTGCTGAGATCTACGACTACATTTGGACCGGTCAAAGGCGCATCTTCACCTTCCGGAACAGAAAATTCATCGAAGGCAAATGCTAATAAGAATGTCAGAGCTAAGATCACAATCGAACGCATTCTACAACGAATGAAAGAAAATGAGATTAATACTAATACATAAAAATAAAAACGTTAGTTTTGAAATTAACATTTAAATTAAATGAAAAACAATAACAACTACAAAAAAAACACGATGTCGAACAGAATGCCTTTTCTTTTGACTATTAAATTTAATCGATAAGTTTTTTTGCTTTGAAATAACGTCGTAAATAGAGGACTTGCCAAATGGCTAAGCTCATGAGGCAAATCATCGAGAAAATTGAGAAATAAAGAACTTTATTATTGGTAGATTCATTTGTATTACGCATTTCTTCTTCACGTTCTTTCATATATGCAAAATCGGACACGATTGCAGATGACAAGTCTTCCAGACGATTCAATTCAACCTCTAACGGTTTGAGTTTGTTGGCTTTTGCTAACGCATCGTAATCTTTGGTTTCCACGCCGTGTTTGATTTTAATATTAACTTCTTTGGATGCTTGGAAACCTGATAGATGATGTTTCTGTTGACCAGGAGGTAATTTTGTTTCAACGCAAATATCAAAAATATCGTACTCTTCCGTTGTGAACGCAAAATTGCCTTTGACGGCATCTTCCTTGTTGTAGAGAGTATGCCCTTTGGTATCTTTTACTTGAAGATGAGTAGGAAAACCAGGTACAGAAGTGATATCATAATCACCGGTAACGATCGTGTCCTAATAATGAAAAACCAAGTGTGAATTGAATGTTCGACAAATTTGATTACTGTACTTTATGAATTTCTTCTTTCAGACATTTTTTTGTACTAATTGGCAGATGAAAACTGATGCAATAAATAGAATTAATGAGAGAAAACCAAAGAATAACAAAGGTAGAAGAGATTTGCATCGTGGGAAATTGAGATTAGGACAGAATGACGATCAACAATTGACGCTGTTCAGCTGCGAAAGCTTGATTGCTAGCTTAACACGTCAGGTCACGGTGTGTTGCTCATCAACCAATCATAGCAAACTTACTTGTATACGGCTGAGAACAAAATTTATATTAAATTTATAACGAAAAGAATTTTTGTTAAGAGATTAACCGTTGATCAATGTTTCACACTATTCTATAGATGGCGATGGTAGTCGAAGTATAAAAAAAAACAAACAAATGAACGGTTTTTGTACTTCGAATGTTGAAAACTCTACGGAAGTTAAACATTCCTCACCTCCAAAATAAGTTTGAACATGTAAAAAGGTCATCCGATATCACAGTAGGTAGAAGGAAACATTTTAAAATAAAGACATCGTTACTTTCATAACAATTTTAATATCAAAAACGAAACTAAAAAATGTATCTTCTCTTTCTCAACGTCTTGGGCAAAAATCCATACAGAACACATCATTGTTCATCTATATCACGACCTTCAATTTAAATTCGCGGTGGTAACAATACATATCGATCATCATGAACAGTTAATGTTCCTGTTTTGGATTCTACTAATGTCGAATTATTACTATCATCATGATCGTCCAATAATTTTCCTCGACGATGTTCAATGTGTTGAGATAAACTGTTGATATGAATCTTTCGTTGTAGTTGCCAATTCTCCCACAGAGTACAAATAAGTTCACCAACAAGGACGTTGTTCATATTCGCTGTGATGATACGTAATCTAAAAAAGTGAAAGATGAAACTATTTGTGTAAAATCCGAGTAAAACTTACAATAGGATTCCGTCCTGTCGACAATAGCTGTCAACAAACGTTCGGAGCAGTTCGATGTCATAATTGTTTATATTTTCCGAATAGTAATCAACTCCATTTGCTTTGAGAAAACAACGAATAAAATCCTTTCGTGATTTCAATGTAAAATAATGAAACCATTTCAATAAACCGTAGATTGATGCAGCTGCAACAAATGCCAACCAAAACCAAAGGAATAGAAAGATCTAAACATTCAATTCCTCTCAATTTAAGACAAAAACAAACATTATCCCTCCCACTTTCTCATTGTAGATATTGTTTGGTAATAAACATTGAACATCATACGGCTGAATATTATCTCCTAACGTTCTTAAAATAAATCTGCACATTGTGATACGAGGAAAACGTTCAACAGCTTCGATTTCTTGTCCATAGAACCATTTCTTCAGTATTTCCAGTCCATACCATTGGAATCCATTACCAAGAAAAACATTCAAAAGAAACAATTGACCAACAGCATTAGCAATATAAAGTAGTTTAACAATAATATAACCAAAAGCTAAATAATTTCCCGAACGTCGACCGACTGTACAACATAATAAGCACGAAAATCGCTTCCACGTACTGTATCTATGTGTAATAACAACGAATATATTTACAAACAACGAGAAACCTTACATAAATCCATGATGATACTCTCGATGGTAAGTCAAAGCTCGATCAATATGTTTCGCCAATGACGACATCGCTTCTTTTCGCTGTTCGCTATTTAATGGGTCCATTTCAAGCATACTATTTGTAATCACTTTGGTGTCGATACCACAGCTTCGATTCAATTTTCGCCAGATAAATCCCGGAATATAGAACAGTATCATCATTGTGAATAGAATGAACGGTACCCACTGATAATACGGACTGAAAAAGAAAGCAAAATACCGAGAAATACAATTTCAAAGTGGCGTTTGTACGAACATTCTCTCTGGTCGTTCTTGATTTCGATTTGGCAAGGGTTTATCGAATGGTAAGTAGTATGACGAACTAATCCAGCAGACCCAATTGACATAATCGACTTTATATTGACTATCAACCATTTGTGTAAAACAGTGAATGGGATTTCCAACAAAATTTGTCGAAGTTATTATGATGAAACAAACACCCGTGAGGATCATCGAATATCTTCGACTAAGTCGGTCATAGAAATCATCATTCTTGGTTCGCGGTAAACCTAGTTTATGAAAAGCTTCGACAACAGCATATAGCATATCTTTTTTTTACAATCTACGACTAGTGAAATGATAATCGCACTGTTCAGCGTTATTCTTTTACTATTTCGATCTAATGAAACATATGCATCAGTAGATTTCACACGTTCTTCGTCTCTCTCTTTCTTTCTTCTTTCTCCTTTCTTTCAGCGAATGTTTACCTCCCAGAAGATCGTTCGAATCAGCTTCACAAAAGTTTTATTATTACCACTACAGAAACAGAAGAAACAAAAGCAGTTGGGAAACATAGAAAGATAGTAAACCAAAGAAGTAAATAGCTATCAAGTTCTGATCAATTGAATGTATACAAGACAAGAAGAATGAAAAAAAAAGATACAAGAATGAGGCAAAAAAGAGAAAAAAAGAAAGTACCAAAACAACATTATCATCATCCTCCTTTTTCAAAGGGCTCATTTAATGTCTTTCCTTTGCTTTTGTTTAATCATTTGAAATGTTTAGGATAATATGCCGGACATAGGGGGTAATAATTTCTCATTGCCTTCGCCAGCACCAATCTTTGTGAGAGGAGTTTTAACACCTAGGCCAATAATTTGACCACCATTGTCCGATTCTGGTGAAGCGTTAAAACGAATTTGGGGCATAACTTTCCAATTATCCCATAAGGCACAAACGACTTCACCAGCAATAACATTATTTGTATTCTTTTTGATAATACGTAGAAGAAGAACACCATCTTGACGACAATAACTATTGACGAAATCTTCAAGACGTTTGATTGGTGCTTGATCATGATCATGACTGGAGCCGATACCAGTCGATGATGATGTTGTTGATGGCGAAAAATAACGAATGTCATTAGCTTTCAAAAATCGACGAACGAAGTTTGCTCGAGCATTCGATGTGAAATAAAATAACCATTTGAATAAACCATAGATTGAAGCAGCAGCAACGAAAGCAAGCCAGAACCATATCAATAAAAAGATCTAAATTAAATTCGGTGTTTCCAATTGAGACTCTTTTTCAAATTCTTACCTTTTCATTGTAAATATTAATTGGTAATAAACATTGAACGTCATATGGTTGAATATTATCACCGAGTGTTCGGATAATAAACTTGCACATAGTTATACGTGGAAAACGTTCGACAGCTTCCATATCTTGACCGTTCATCCAGCGTTGAATGGTTTCTAGACCAATTAAACTAAATCCACGTCCCATAAATACATTCAAAAGAAACAATTGACCAACAGCATTTGCAATATAAAGTAATTTCACCAAAACATAGGTTAATGCTAAATAATTGCCAGAATGGCGACCAACACTGCAGAAAAGAATTGAACCAACACGTCGACGGATATTATATCTAAATGCAAATTTAAAAAAAAAGACGTAGTATGATTTCAATCAAAGAGTCGATGAGAACATACAGTAAACCATGATCATATTCTCGATGATAAGCTAAAGCTTTATCAATATGCTTAGCCAGAGCTCGTACAGCCTTTTCGCGTTTTTCTCCGTCCATTTGATCCATATCGGCAACCATTTTGGTAATCACTTTTGTGTTGATTCCACAAGCTTTATTCAAATTACGCCATATGAAACCCGGCAAGTAGAAAAGAAACATCATGCAAAGAAGAATGAATGGTACCCATTGGTAATAAGGACTAAACGAAAGTAATCATGACTTCATGTTTTCCGAAAGTCATTCGTTTCTACATACATTTTCTCGGGTGGTTTTTCATAGCGTGTCGGTAAGGGTTTTTCGAACGGTAAATAGTACGACGAACTTATCCAGCAGACCCAATTAACGTACGCTGTATGACTACCAGCGATATTCTGTGTGTAGCAATTAATTGGGTGACCAACAAATTGTGATGAGCTGACAATTAAAAATGATACACCGAGAAGTATCAATGAATACTTGCGACTAAGCCGGTCATAGAAATCATCATTCTTGATACCCGGCGAGCCGAGTTTACGAAATGCATCTGTGACTAAATAGAGTGACATCTAAAGAAAGAAAATTCGATTTATTAATTTGATATATTCGTGTAAAAATTTTGAAGAAAGTCAATGAGCGAAGATAGAAATCTAGCAAAATGAGGAAGTGGACAAAGAATGGACAGGTCAGTAACGCGTTTGCTTTCCTTCTCCTTCTTCTTCGCTTTTTTTCTCTTTTCGTACATACACATATAAAAAGAGAAGAAAAGAAGATAGACGGCGCCGTCTCTGCCATGTGAACGTCTCGTCTCTATATGGACAGCGAGAGAGAGGGAGAAGGGCAAAAACATCGCTGTTGGATATGTACATATACAGACATGCATCTATCAACCAATCTTCTTCGACACAAGAAGAACACAAAGAAAAATGATCAAGTGACCGGTGGGTCGTTCTGTCGTTGTCATCCAAATAATACTAAAACGAAGGGAGGTGTTCTCTAGAGGAGAGAGAATAATTCGACTTCTCTCTCTCTGTTTCTCTTTACTCTGTAGTATTAACATATATTCAAACAGCCAGTTGTCCGACCAATACTGATTCATTATGTACACGCTGTTAGCGCGCGTACGCCAAGTGGTATTCTCTCTCTTCTTCTCACATTTACATATATAGTTACTTATTACAAACGGAAAGGATGAGAACACCAAAGAATACATAAGCATACACGGCTTTTAAACATAACTGTGAAACATCACACTTAGATCATATACAAAAGAAAGGAAGAAATCACTTCTGATTTATCTTCTCGGTAAATGATACGATCAAATAATAATATTGTATAACAATAACAGTAGTAGTTAAATACGTCATGATCAAATCATTCAAAATTTTAACTAATGCATAATCAGCAAAAATTCAAAAATAATACTCTTCAATGATAGACGATCGAGGTATGCATAGCTAATGAAGAAAAATGTGACATCCATGTTAATAGCTAGTATTAGAAGAAAATCACAGACGATTTTTTATTATCTTTCAGCATCGATAGTGGTTATGTAATAGTGATTAGAATGATAGTGTTGAGCGTTTCTATGTTCTCAAGAAGATATCGAGTCGTGCTGAAGAATAAATCAAATGTCAAGTAAAACAAAACGATAGTTTGTTGAATTATTTCGAAATACAATCAAAAGTCATTGCATAAGCCAAAGACACTTACCACTGTACGAATCAATAATGTCTGATATTGTTATTCTTCTTCGCGATGTGCTTGAAAATGAAACGAAGAATACAATGCTTCTAATATACAGATTCGACAATGGTATTTGCATGGAGGTTGGCACATATGTGGGTGTCGGACGAGCATGACTACGTGTCTGATTGTACATAATACAGAACAAAGAGAGAGCGAAAAGTAATTTATTATAGGAATCTTTGATATGTGTATCTTCGAAGACAAGCATATTGATATCTGTTAAATTGAAGTGAAGAAATGGGGGATAGCAGGCGCATAGCAAAAATATTATTTTATGCTGAGAAATATGTAACTAACTTTGAAGTATGTAGATCTGCGAGGAGGACAAAAAGTCAATCCGTCAGATAAGATTTATCTATGAAAATGGATCATTCATTTTTTATTGTTTACAAGAACGAAAAAAAAAACACATAAAAATAACTTTCTTGAAAAGAATTACACTTTGTATTAATCACTTTTAAGAGTAACTTGAAGTTTAATACAGCCAAGATGAGCTTCACTCGAACCAAGATCGGCAGTTATTCGATATTCACCGTCGCCTACAGCTGGTAAATGTCCTTTGATGTCGATAACAGCATCGGATATGGTATAAGTCTTAGGAGGAATTGGGCAGCTGCAGGGAATACCATACTTTTCAAAGTATTTGGGACAAGCTGAAGCCCAATCTTTGCAGAGATCTCCATACGTACAGGAGCCAAAGTTATCAACACATGGAATTTTAACAAAGAAGCCGCCCACTTTTCGTTCCATGGTCAATGCAGCCTGAAATGAACGGATGAACTGGAGATTTTGTTTTCACATTTCAGCTCTACATACATGAGTATCGCTTGGAATTGTTGATGCAACATTAACAGTGAGAGTGAGAGTCAAATTACCTGTAGAATGGAAATATAAAAGCTTCAATATTTCTCAAGAAAATATTTGTACCAGGTACTAAAACTGGATCTGGACTAGCTGAAAGTGATTTAATTTGAATTGGATCACTACTTGGTCCGCAGTTTTGCCATGAAAAAGCTGTAACTCGGAGTTCCTACGAAAAGAAGACGACAACACATCATATTAAGGAATTCACCAGTTCCGTTGTGTTTACTTTTTGCTTGTTAACAAATGCGTTAGCACCACTAAGCGCTAAAAGAACAGTTATGAAAAGTAAATGCATGTGAAAAGCTCCGGTCCGGTACGAGAGAATTTGAAATCTAAGGGAAAATGATGAGTTTGTGCCTTTTATTTATGATAAATCTTTAATGTTCTTTATCTTCCAAATAGATAAGAATGCATTTGTGTGGATAATGAAAACTGCATAAATAGAAGAGAAGTAGAACGACTTGCTTTGTTATCAGAAAAAGTAAATGTATTTTTTCTCAAGTATTTGCTTATCTAATTCTGACTTAAAGTCAACTAATGGATACCATTTAACATCGAAAGATACGAAATTCAGAAGAGAGAAAATTATTTCTTCAGTTTGTATTGCCTGGAAAACTGAACTTGTATGCTAAATTATCAGGTCTAATTTAAGCTTATCTACTATTAATCTATAAAGGAAAATCAGTGAGGCATTGACCACTGAGTGATTCATCGATGGTGTTAGAAAGTACCTTTGACTGTCGCAAATATTTTTGAATCGTTTGCATCAGGCGATCCAGGTGTAAAAACACCAATTATTGCGATTGAAAAAAATGTACTCTAGGTATTCTCAATGCAGTATTGGTCATTGATCCGTAGAGAGCGAAAACTTATCTAGAAAGGTAGTTTATGGACATGAGTGACTTTTATTATTTAATTTTCTCTCTCTCTCGCCACATGTCTCTTTTACCTGTCGTCTATATACCCTCTCTCTCTCTTTCTCGCTCGCCTTCGGTCTTTGGTCTGTGATCATCTTTGACTGCTTTCTCTTTCTTTTACTGTTTACCATTTCTCTCTTTCTCTCTCTCCCTCACCTGCTCGCTTGCTCTCTTCCTCCCTCATGTACTCTCACGCTATGGCCACTAGCCGAATTTGGCTAGGTTTATGGTGCTCCTGTATACCTGTCTTTCGTGTTTTATTTTCTCTTCTCTCTTTCTCTTTCTCTCTCTCTCTCTTCAGGTACGAGTATTTATACAGTGCCTGTTTTAACTATTTCTCTATTTCAAATCGAGTACTTTCTGCTGTCGTACCGGTAAGTAATTGGTTTGCTGTATTTATGCAGGAGATTTTTGGGGTGATGATGAAACGAAAACAAATGTGCTATTTCTCCTAGACGAAGTATTGTTATTCGTTTTGGCGATTGTTTACACTGTATTAATTATTGATTAATCGAGAAGATTTATTTCTTTTGAGAGTAGCCCGTTCTCTTTGCAAGGTATTATGATGTTTTTATGCGCTCTATGCAGATAACAAAACAAAATATACACCACTAATCAAGCGTAAAACGGAGCAATTTGAGAGTCATATTCTAGCAATGTGCTCCTAATTTCCAGGTAACACCACTGAAGGTATAATTCTTACAAACAAACATCGATAATGAATATTTCAAAAGACTATTTATAACCTTTTCGAGCGAAATCTGCTTATATGTATAGAGAAATATGCATTGAGACTACACTAAACGTAAATTGTACTATACATTTGTATTAACCTGCTAATGTCGTAATTGTTTTTAGCAATGCACATTTGGATCTATTTCCAATTGATTGGTCTTATTACCGTCTCATTGATTACAGCACAGGAGACACAGGAAACGGTGGAAGAATTAGTATGATTATAGCTAGATATATATTCATTTGATGATTGATATTCTTCTGAACTTTTCTAGTGTATTGCACAAAACGCTACTTATGCATTGTGTATAGTTAATGGTGAGAATGTGACGGTTGTTTCTGAATCGTATTCAATAGGAACACTAGCGACAGAATGTCACGAACATTTCTTGGAGGAAGCTCTTGGTAAACCGGCCTGCGAAGAAGAGACTCACACTGATCATGAAGGTCCAACTGACGCTCAGAGTAAGTGGAAGCAGTGATTAGACTGAAAACATTTCTGAAATCAATTCACTTAGGGTACGGTTATGGATTTCTTGCTGTATTTGTGATATCGGCCATGTCACTGGGTGGATTGCTAGCTTTTCCGTGCCTTTATAAAGTTTCTTTTCAATATGTACTAGCAACATTCACTGCTCTAGCAGTGGGCACACTTTTTGGCGATGCGATGTTCCATTTAATTCCATTTGTATGTGATAGTTTGTATATAACATCGATCAAGTTATAGGAATACTTTCTTTGACCTAGGCACTTGGCCTTCATAGTCATGAGAGCGGCGAACACGAACATGAACATGAAGACAAAGACTCATCTGTAACTGTTGAAGTTCATCAATGGAAAATGTTTATTGCCGTAATGAGTATGTATTAAGTGAACAGTGTAAACGAAAGATACAGTCTAATTTATTGTGATTTTTAGTCCTTTACGGGTTTTATTTATTGGAAGTATTTCTACATTGGATTGCACACGCTCGAGAAAACAAAGTAAAAAAGATTCATTTATTGACGTTCATCTTCTTTTTCTATTTTATTCTTCGCTTTGCAGAATGCTGTGCATACACAGGGTCATAAGCACCAGCATAATTATATTGAACCTCAGCCAACATTAGTATGCATTGGAAGAAACTGTACTCACCATAAAAGCGAATTTCAAGCAGAGCCAACAGAGGATGTTAATTCTAACCACAATCATTCTCGCAAAAGTATATATGTGCATTAGGAATGTTACTCTCTATAAGAATGATCAACTTTCTTTTTAGCTACTCGAGTAACTGGATGGATGATTATCATTGGTGACGGTATTCATAATTTTGCTGATGGTTTAGCCATGGGTGCGGCATTTAGTGAAGACCTATTGTTAGGTGTGACAACAACCATTGCCATTGGATGCCACGAGCTGCCGCATGAATTCGGTAAGTATTTTAGTATGAGATACGATATGTTATATTGGTATTGTGTAATTTTTATAGGTGATTATGCTGTTTTGATTCAATCGGGATTTTCTCATTGTAAAGCTTTGTTGTGGAATTTCATTTCGGCGACAACTGCATTCATCGGCTTCTTTGTCGGTGCGGCAGTTTCGACAAATGAAAGTGCACGACAATGGATATTTGCTGTTACAATTGGCATGTTCTTGTACATTGCATTAGTCGATCTCGTAAGTTTTCATGAGTGATACTAATATTTATCATTATGATCGATCGTTTTCAGTTGCCGACATTACTACCAGAAGGACGTATTGAATTGAAGCGCTTCATTCTCGTAAACATTGGCTTTCTGATTGGTATTGCAATCATGTTCGTGTTGGCCATATTTGAAGATAAACTAATTGATTTAGGACATTGATCTTTTCTTTTCTCAATTCATATTCTGTTCTCTATTGACTATCCTCTCGTTATGAAACAAGGTGTAGTGCTTTCGAAAATTGGTGTATGTCTTCATTTTTTATACTCCTTCAAATAAAACCTCTATGCTGCTAATCTTTATCAAACAAACTTCGATCGCTAGTCTCTTGTGTACTCTAGAAGACCATCACGTCGGCATTTTCATTTATCAGAACCATCCACAATCGAACCATATTCATACATGAGATAGCGCTCTTTACATTTGTCCAGTGCGAAATTATGTATACCGGATATAATCAACAAAATAATCGATTTAACTTATTTTGAACGAAAACATTCGATACAAATACTTCTGTTTTCACTAAGACTATGAGTGAATATTAGTTAAACTTGTCGGATAGAAAAAGCATACCTTCATGTACAGAACATGTTATCAGAAGATATTCTGTTTTTTTTTTATCTGATTAATGTACATAGACTCTTTTCTAGACAGGTTGAGAGAATGTCGAAATTTTCTCAGGTATTCCTTTTCTCATAAAGAAAGAAAAATGTCTTTCTGTGCATGTCGTATTATAACAGATTCGAAAAATTACAGATAAATGCATGTTGAATGTATGTGGAGGCGTTGGGATACAACTATTTGTCCACATAGTTCCGACATAATAAACAGTTGATGTCCACTGTATATATATACAATCTACCTTTCGTAGACGGTAATTAGTTTTACAATCAGGCTAATTTTAGGTTTCAGATATGCTTTCACCATTCTGGATGTGTTCTATCGTTTTCTTTGTTCTCCTATTTTTGAGCACAATCGATGCATCAGTAAGTCTAGAAATGTTAGCTTTGCGATGATTTCTATTTAGTTACTTTAGTGTTTTCAATCAAGTGTAAAGTATACGCTTTGTGCAGCACAAGGTGGAAGTATAATTCCTAATTCAGCAGTGTTCGACGAAGTCGAGTTGGCAAACGAATGTCACGAACATTTCGTTGAAACACTTTTGAACAAATCATGTGATCATCATACAACACATTCAGAAAAAGAACATCGAAAGCCATCTTTTGTTCAGCGTAAGACATTTTTTCATTAAGACAACCAAACATTCGCTCCCACTGGTTTTAGAATATGTTTATGGTTTTATCTCTGTATTCATCATATCAGCATTATCATTGGTTGGTTTATTGGCATTACCTATTCTCTATAAAATATCATTTAAATATGTGCTCAATTTATTCACTGCAATTGCCATTGGTACTCTTTTTGGTGATGCGATGTTTCATCTGATTCCAATTGTATGAGTTCTAAAAAACGCTATATTCTTCAGTGGAAGCATTTCATATCTTGTTCAAATTATAGGTTTTTGGTATGCACTCGCACACTCTCGACGATCACCACCATCATGATCATCATAACCACGATCACTCTCATGACGATCACCATCATGCAACTGATTTCGTTCCAAGTTATCAATGGAAAATTTTGTTGGCCGTATTTAGTATATATATCTAAAACATCTATAATATGCTCAAAAATTTCTTTTCATTTTTTTCTAGTTCTTTATCTCTTTTATTTGTTGGAAGTCTCCCTTCACTGGTTTGCTCATTACAAACATGACCGTGTAAGATCAAATATTTCTCCGAAGAGATGGGTTCAATTAAATTTGTCTTTACAGAGTTCTGGTCATTCTCATGGACATCATCATTCACACACGAATGCTGAAACTTGTCAATATTCACGTGTCCAGATGGATCCGGATATTGAGCATAGTCATCTCCATCACAATCACACACATCACAATTTACATCAACATCTGAAAACACCATCAATCTATTCAAATGCCAAAAGTCAGATGAATAATACCAGTGCTCCTTGTACGCCATGCGTTTATTCAAATGATCAAGATCTTGGTACCAATCCATTCATAGACCAGAAATCGAAGGGCAAACTGCTCGATGACCAATTATCAACATCACCAAAAGTTTGCAATTCAGAGTACAGCGCAAGTGTAGATAACATGAATCCTATTCTTCGACAACTAACTGGTACGAGTACAAACGTGACCAATGTAATAAGATCGATAAATTTATTCTAGCGATTAAATCAACTGGTTGGATGGTTTTGTTTGGTGATGCTATTCATAATTTTGCAGATGGTCTGGCAATCGGTGCAGCTTTTAGTCAAAATGAAATGCTTGGTCTTACAACAGCCATTGCCGTTGCTTGCCATGAATTGCCACATGAACTTGGTTAGTCATTCTTCTTTATCAAGTATTTTGAATTCAATATGGTCATTTAGGTGATTACGCTGTTCTATTGAAATCTGGTTTTTCACATTGTCGAGCGTTACTATGGAACTTCCTTTCAGCAACGACTGCAATTATTGGGTTCTTTATGAGTTCATGGCTCTCAGTCGATGAAAATACACGTCAATGGATTTTTGCAGCTACCATTGGCATGTTTCTATATATTGCATTAGTCGATTTAGTGAGTGTTCTCAGAGTTCTTGTTCGATCGCATTTTGTTTTCTTTTAGCTGCCGACATTATTAACTGATGGAGAAATTGAACCCAAAGAATTTTTCGTTGTTAACATTGGATTTCTCTTTGGGATCAGCATGATGTTTCTTCTGGCAATATTCGAAGATAAAATCATTCATTTGGCGATTAAATAACCTTTTTATCGTATATTTTAATGAGAGAGAATTCTGAAAAAGTGCTTTATATCGTTTTAAGCTGAATAAACAATGAAAATAGATAAAAAAAAACAAGGATGAGATGCAAAATAATAATGTCAGATCTATGTTTTGATTATTTCTTGACTGTTAAGTCAATAAAAACACATCCAAGATGACTTTGACTTGAGCTTATATCAACAGTAGCACGATATTCACCAAGCAATTCCGGAGGAACAGTTTTTTTAATAACTACATTTGCATTGGACACGGAATATGTACTCGCTGGAATAGGACATTGACATGGAAGGCCAAATTTAGCAGCAAACTTCTACGATTCACAAATAATGATAGACAAGTTTTGAGTAGGAGAAGGTGAATNAAAAACACATCCAAGATGACTTTGACTTGAGCTTATATCAACAGTAGCACGATATTCACCAAGCAATTCCGGAGGAACAGTTTTTTTAATAACTACATTTGCATTGGACACGGAATATGTACTCGCTGGAATAGGACATTGACATGGAAGGCCAAATTTAGCAGCAAACTTTGGACAATATTCAGCCCATAATTGACAAGCATTGCCATAGTTGCAGGAGCCGAAATTATCAACACATGGGACTTTGACAAAGAATGGTCCGACTTTGCGTTCGAGTGTAACGGATACCTGTGAAAAGATGTGTATAGTTTCTATCGAGGAAAAGAATAAAAAATTACGTGAACATCTGTTGGAATTTGAACTGTAACAGCAGCTGAACCGGTAATATTAAAACCTCCTGTCAGATTTAAAAAAAAAACAAGTTCGGCAAATGATAGCAAGGTTACGAACACTTTTACCTGGAATACGAATGGGATCGGGTGTGATTGAAAGACTGTTTAATTGAATAGGATCTGCGCTCGGACCACAGTTTCGCCATGATAAATTCAAATCCAAGAATTTCTATGTCAAAACAAACAATTCAATAGTTCGCGTCACTAAGAAAATCAAAATATCTTTACTGGAAAAGTAAATGCATTATTAGTCTGGAATGTAACAAAGATCAGTAAAATGGAAAATAAATTATTATGAAACGTCATCATCTAGAAAAAGAAAATCCGATTTTTGAAAACTAAATGCTAATACGAATTGATCACATAGAGCTATCATGAGAAAGAAAATTCTTAATAAAAGAGTTTTATGAAATTATTTTTGGACCAGAACCGATTTTTGAAAACTAAATGCTAAAACGAATTGATCACATAGAACTATCATGAGAAAGAAAATTCTTAATAAAAGAGTTTTATGAAATTATTTTCGGACCAGAACCAATTTTTGTCAGGACGATTCGTTCGAGGACATTGGGCGCTATTGGCACATTTATCGAAGGTAGTTTTGCATCACTATTTGCGACATGCTTATGAACATTGTTATCCACCGTTGGATAGATGTACTTCAGTAATCTTAAGAATTCTTCGGTATGTTCTTCGCGAATAAAACAGAACGGGTTTGGTCCGGCATCAAATGTGTAAGCGACTTTCATTGCACCATTTTCATCCGTTTTATTGTAAGCATGAACGAGATCAATCAAGTGCTTTGATTGTTCATTTAAATAGATGACGGGAGGATAGGTATCCATACAAACGGCGTGAAATTGACTACTATCCATCATGACAATCTTTGCAAACGTGTTGAAATCTTTGATTCGAATTGCTTCGATCAATTTTTCGATTTTATCATTAACTGTAGCAAGACGCGCTGAGAATAGCGTCGATGTTTCTCTCGTACGTTGCATAGCATCAGTTGACGAAACTGGTTTTTTACTTGGATTGAAGATTAAGATGATTAATCGAAGATCTGGCCAATGTTCCATTGGAAAGAGACATGATGAGAGACATTCACCTTCGCTAGACCAACGAACAAAACCTCCATAAACGCTCCGTATCGCAGAACCACTACCGATTCGTGCTAGATAAGCAGCAGTTGCATCAGGATTGTCCAGATTGAACAGTTTCGTTAAGGCGATAGCTAAACTTGCATAAGCCGATGCACTGGACGCTAAACCACTTGAAGCTGGAAATGTGTTCTGCGAACGAATTTCTACAAATTGGTTTTGCATATCTTTTGCACGTCGACGAACTTCGCCTAGAACTTTCTGCATTCGACTAGAGAGTTTAGTTTGTAAAACTCCTTCGAAATAGAATGTATCACATGCCATCGATGGTGATGTTGAAACAGTTGTATATGAATGCATATCAGTTAGATCAAGAGTGATACTCAATGAATCATTGTCTGGTAAGATTAATTCTTCATTTCGTTTACCCCAATATTTGATAAGAGCAATGTTTGGAGAAGCTTGACAAGTAACGGAACGAACACTAGTATCGGTAGACATGGTTTTATTATCTAGAAGAAGAAGAAAGAATTCTCTTAAACTTATTTGGAAGAACTAGTTGATTTTCCGCCGGTTTTCTCAACAAGACGAATGTTTCGAATTTCAATGGATTTACTCAACGCTTTACACCTGAAGAAACGAGAACATCAACAGTGATTCATTTACTTTTCACTTCTCAACTACTCACATGTCATAGATAGTCACGGCAGCGATCGTCACACCGACCATCGCTTCCATTTCCACCCCAGTTTGATATTGCGTTGAACAACTACATCGTACAAGAACTTCATTCTCTTCATGTCGATGTTCATAATCAATATCAATATGTGAAAGTGGAAGTTGATGACACAGTGGAATCAAATCTGCTGTACGCTATACAAAAATCGAAATCTTTGTTCCAAGAACAAAACATGTCGACGAACTTTCGCAGCGAGAATGCCAGCAATTTTCGAGCACAATCTCGCATCACCTTTCTTGGTTGTCACATTAAAATATGATTGATACGTTTGTGCGTCCGGAAACTTCACGACGGCTTCTGCGACAGCATGTCGCTGAGTTGCAACCTTTTTACCTATGTCGACCATGGTCAGATTTCCATCGGATGTTATATGCGAAAATGTCGATGATGGCGCGATTTGGTGACGATGAAAAATCAAAGAAGAACGTCTCAGTACTAATGATAACATCATCTTTATCTTGAAATAAGAAAAAGAATACGAAGAACAGAACAAAACAGTAAAGGTTAACAACGAGTTTTATTCATTAATTGTTTTTTTCATTTATTCACTCAAAACAGTCGTTTTTCTTTTCTTCTTCGAATTCGAGCTTGATGATGATCTAAAAATGAGCGAAATACACATGCAATCTGATGCTGTTCGAATGAAAACAAACCGATCTGAAGGACCTCTTGTTGATTTTCGTTTAAATTGTGACCAAACTTCGTCATTTTCGATTTCATCAGTATTTGTTTCCGTTGGTTTCTCGTTTTGTTCTTCATGATTGGCGATCGTATGCGATGAAAACAATACTGATGTAAGACGAGACTTGAGAAAGAACTAATGAAAAACAAACAAATACTTGTCAGCATAGAACACACAATTTCCAATTACTTTTGATATCTGTCGATGGGTTTCAGCGTCATGAATACGAACATATTGGTCTATCGAAGCTGATGCAATCAATGGCAATGTTGGATGGGTTTCTATAGCACGAATACTACCGATTACACCTCGGTATTTGTGAACGATTGATGAGAGATGTTTGAGATCGAATTGCGCCATTTCGCCTTGAGTATTTCCGACGAGAAAACGTCTAGAAAAACAAAATCATCAATCTTAACAAATGAACATTGCATAGACAAACTCGTTGTTTGAAGAGTGTAGTAATGCAAGTGACATGATCGGGCATTGTTCGAATTCAATCTCTTGAACAGGTCGACGTGCACTCGATTGTGGATCGTAGAGACGAATCTAATTGCATCAGCATGAAATAAATGAAACCTACAAGAACAAAATCTTACTTGGTGATGTCCAGTAACAACAAGACACCGATTCCGTTCATCAAGAAATTGAAAATCTGTTACCCAAACAGGCATACGCAGTCGAACAGTATTTGGTCGGACCTGAATACTAAAATGTGTTTATATCATTGAAGAAAGATTCATGCATTCTACATTTTTTGCTTGGAAGATAACTGCTTTATTTTTTGCTTTCTCATTCTTCATCAATTCCTCGATCGACCAGATTTTCAAGTCGTTTTCTTTTCCACCGGTTCCAAAATGTGTTCGATTGAAGGGATTGATACGCAATCGACAGATATCTGGGCCAGCATTTGCTTCAATCTAACCATCAAAGCAAGCAGAATTCACAAACTTATTCATTAATAATCTCACTTCGGACTCAAGAGATTCATTACGAATACGATCGATCGAGAGACATCCATTTTCGGAACATGTTACAAATCTATCTTCACCCAAATAAGCTAAACCTTTCAACGGACTCGCACGTTTTATGGTGCCAATCTGTTGTATTGATTCTTTGGCAAAACTAAAACGTAAAATATTGTTCTTTTTGGTGGCAATGAACGCCTAAAAATACATCATTCTTGATTCGAAGAACTTCATTACGCTTTTCGTTATTTACTTGCATATAATCGATCTCATCGTTTGCTAGAGACCATTCCAAAAGGGTTATGGCATCAGCATATGTTTCAGCTGGTTTATGGATAACATAGATGCCATTATTTGTGGTATCAATTCCTTTAACAATACCACTTTCACAACCAGCTAGAAGATTAAAACGAACGCTCATAATGATCTAGAAAAAGAACAATTATCCAGCAAAATATATTCGAGCGACTTGCAATCATTATAGTTTAAGATCAAACATGCACGTTATGTTTAGTAAGCAAGTTATCTTATCCCTCTGTGAATCGTTTCATCGCAAAGTCATATATGAGCATCTAGAAGAAGAAGAAAATGTCGTTGTTTTGTTTTCCTATTTTGACAGAGTCTGGAATAAAAGAACTTGATTTTATTTTTGTTTTACTTCATAAGAAAAAGAAAGAGAGTTAACAAACGAGAAGAACATCCTAGTTTATTTCGCTGTTGTCGCTGCTGTTTTCGCTGCACCATGTTTATTGAGTTCTTGTTTCAATTGTTCGATTAATGGTGTTTCAGTCACATCATCATCCCAGTGTTCTTCCCATAAACGTTTATCTTCGTTATCTAAATCTTCTTGTGACCATTCTTCAACGGGAAATTCTTCGAATTCATCATCTTCCTCCAAACTTGTAATATCTAATTTCTTGTCTTTTGTCGTGGTTTCATCTTTACCACTAGTCGTTTTCTCTTTATTTTCGTCAGCCTTCTTGTTTGCACTGGACGTTTGTTGAGTACTCATCTAGAAAAAAGAAAATCATCAAATGAACAATTACGTTATATATGCATATACGATTCTCTCTTTTCCTTACTGCTTGTGTTACACTCTGGTTTTAATTAGATATGATCGAAAATAAATAAATGAATAGTTTGAAGTTACTGATACAGACAACAATCAAAAAATGCAGAGAAGCGCAAGATAAACGTGGGTTTTTTTTTATACAAGTAATGAAGCAAAAAGAAATGATTGGTTGTGGAATAGAGAAAGAAAAAAAAACAGAATTAGAAATAAATAGAAGCTAATATCGTTGCGAAATGAAAATTTGTAATGTTTTGAAAAATCAAACGATCTGATAACCGGAGTAGATTCATGAACGACTGTTCGATTTTGAATGTTGAATAAGCCATTGAAGTGTAATGTCTAAATATGAAGAATTTCATGAGGAAAAGAAGTGGTTCGGTTGTGAATTTACCAATATTTTCTTTTTCTTTGCATGATATGGAATAACAGCAGATTTCGCGATCTTTTATCGGTGAAAGTTCCCTAAATTTCAAATGAAAACATTCGTTTACGTGAATTTTCAAACACAAATAATTACAATCTTTGAATAAGCTCTTGAACTTCGAGTGCATTGGGTAAATCACGTTTATTGCCGAGTACAAGAACTGGTATACCTTGAAGTTGAGGCTTTTCTAACAAACTACTGAATTCTTGTTTAGCCGCATCAAGTTTCTCATGATCAGCTGCATCGACCATGAATCTAATTTCACACACAAAAGCTACTAAACAAACAGAAATCATTTATTTCTACATACACAATCGCATTGACACCACGACAATAACGTTCCCACATACTACGAAAACGAGGTTGACCACCTAAAGTGAGGAAATAAGCTCTAAGAAGTATCGAACAATGATCAACGCATACCGATATCCCAAATCTAAACGAAAAATGTTATAGAAAACTTTTGAGGAAAAACTTTGATATTTCTTACTTTGATCGTTACATTTCCTTTCGTGACTTTTCTCATGTTGAATCCAACGGTGGGTATCATATCTTCGGAATATTGACCTGATGCGATTAAATTAACAAATGTTGTTTTGCCAGAGTTTTGTAAACCGACAAGTGTCAATTCCATTTCTTCTTTCCAAAATAAACTTTTGAACCAATCGAGAACGCGTTGAACGAAAGCGAACATGATTCTAAATCTCAAATGGCAAGGTAAGAATTCCGATCTGAATTGAGAAAACAAATGATTAAGGAAGAAAAAATTGCTGTTTAATTTTTTATTTGATGATTCATGTTGTGCACACGCGACGTACGTTTCGTTCGATACCAGACATTGTGAAAGAACAAATTCTTCCTTCGATTTATATAGACGAACGAGTGGCGCTACTATCTGAACCAACTTTATCAATGTGCATTATTAACTCGTAAAATAACAAACACATCGACTAAGAACTGCAAACAGTTCGACTATGCTTAGATGAGAAAAATGCTTTCTACATTTTTGAACAAAATGAAAACAAATACATTAAAATTGTTAACAACCACCTAAAGGTTCTTGACAAATTCCAGACAGACAAACGAGTTCATCGACGCATTCGAATGTATTTACACAAACTTGGCTTTGTGTATGTGCTGGTTGACAGATACCGAACCGACATATACCTTGTCCTATGCAACAAGGTGTCGAGAAAGGCGTTGTCGAACATGGCGCATAGAGAGGTATACATTGTTTACAAATTCCATCAATACAAAAATCATTAATATCGAAACATTCACGATTAAGACGACAGGTTTCTCCAGTTTTGTAGAGCGGTGTACAGCGACGTCGATAACATCGTGAACCGCTACAACAATGAGCTGCAGATGAACAAGATTCACTTGATTGTCGGCACGGAACACATTTGCCAAGATAACAGGTCGTAGTCGAACCATTAGTAGATAGACAATCGACAATTGATTCACATGCAGATCGAACGTCAATAATCACATTGACCATTGACGATGCACAACGAAGAGTAATGATGAGAAGAAATATTTCTAGTTTCATGTCAAGATCATCGACGACAAATGATATAATATCCAGCATTCTATTACAGGCTTCAATAACTATTATTCTCTATAGTTCTTTTTGTCTTGCATTGTTTTGTTTATTTGTTATTCGATGTTCCGTGGGAGACTATGACGATATGGATGAAAGGAAGAGAAATTATTGTCGGTTGGCATGTCCGATGAGAAGATATATGACATCCTGTTCTTTTTTTTTTCTCTTACAGCATAGTCTTCTCATCTTATTTCTATATACCATGCATCAAATACAAAAGTCCTACTCGAAGATCATTCATCGACAACATCTGCATCGAATTACTTTTGTTTTCTAATAACAGACAAACAATTAGCTTGATTTATAACGAAAACGAACAGGAATGCAAAGTCTTTTGGATAAATAATGAATGATGTCCAACAATTTGATGTGCGTGATATGTTCATCATTTTGAACCATTCTCTAATCCCTACATATTGTCTCTCTATTCGAATAAACAGATGGTATACATACAATGCAAAATAGAACAACATGAGTTTTGACTTCGAAATAGCATCGAACAGGTTTGATGGGAATTGTAAGCTTTTGTTCGTTTAACAATCATAAAGATTTCTTTAAGTTAAAAAAACCGATCATAAAATTGAGAAAGACAAAGCTGTACACTTTTATATCTTTATTCTTCAACTAATCAAACATAAACTATTCTTAGATGAGATAAACAATGTCTACTGATCATTCTTCTAATTGTTCTGCTTACCTCGCATCAGAGTAAAAGAATGAAAGTTTGATGTCGATTCGAATATAAATCAATTGTCATAATATACAGTTTTGTTCTCTTGCTCTCTTCTACGATAAATAATGACTATTGAGATAAAGAGATTTGACTTGAATGTATATGATGATTGTCCTCAATCATCTCTTCTAAGAGTTAAAGTGAATAGTTACCATAATATATACATAATCGAGCCGGGAACAGACATTCATTTTGATTAGACAATTCGGTTTTCGACTTCAGATGTTCAAATTCGTGTTTGTATGTATACATCTTTCGATGATATTAGCGAATCGCGTGCCTCGACAATCGCCGTTTGCTGATGGAATTCAACCGCCTCTGCACAAGCACGAACCACGCCGGGTCATTCCCACACATGCTTATTTCAAATCAGAATCGTTTGTATTCGTCTTCATTCCGAGAACTATTCGATGAAGTTTTGTTTCTCTAGAAATTATATGATCGTCGGACCGAAAATAGTCCGGCCATTGGATATTGTTTCTGTTTGGGTAACGATTCTAAACAAAGACTGGTCAGCTATAACTGTTGCTGTGTCATTATTCAATCAAAACGAAGAAATAGCAGCGAATGAACAACGTTTAATACCAGAGATTCCCACTGCAGTGGAATTTCAAGTTCCACAAAATGCACCGAATGGATCCTATAAGATTTATGTTCGAGGTACATTGCCCAATAGTCATCTGGTATTTTACAATGAAACAAATGTGATATTTCAAATGAAATCTCTTTCAATTTTTATTCAATTGGAAAAACCAATGTATAGACATGATCAAAGAGGTGAAGTAGATCAGTTTGGCGTTCGAGAAACGTGAATGAAAATAATCTTGTTTTAGTTCGATTTCGATGCATTCCAGTCTACTCAGATCTACGTGGATATTTCAGCACGGTTGATGTTTATATCATAGTAAATGATCAAATGTAGGATTGATCTGAGAGTTTTGATTTGATTCGATTTGATTAGGGACCGATGAACAATATTTTGCGACGTTGGCATAGCTTGCAAACAACGTGGGGTTTGTTTTGTGTTAGGTGATCGTTTTTTAAAAATGAATTTCTTATGCTTGTTAGGTTATGTGGAATTATCCTATCAATTTGCATCGTTTATTGCTTTTGGAACTTATAGAATTCGTTGTGAAGCTCAACAATCAATATCTGAAAGATCATTTCTAGTTGATTTTTTCTGTATGGCTACTTTTCTTTTGTTTGGACCTTTCCTTCTCATTGAAGTTCTCTTTTAGTACAAAAAAAAATTGAGGTCAATATTTCTTTACCCTTCTTCATCAATGTCGAGTCGCCAACAATCAATGGCATTGTTTCAGCAAAGTAGACGCTTCATATTCACAATTTCGGAGATTATTTTTACTTATCTTAGTTATACAACTGGTCGTGGCGTCGAAGGTTTGATGCGGTTGACCGTGCGACTGAAAAATCGTGACGAAAGATTTGAACCAGCAGTTAATATTATTCCCGTTCCTGATGCACCTGGTACGAAGCTTGATTATGGTTATGAACCAGTATGTAACCAAGCAAAGTATTCCGAAATAACTTTTTCGCTTCCGGATAGTTTACTGGTCGATCAAATTTCGCGATACCAATGACTGAAGCAACGCGGCAGTTTGGGGATTTGACCAATCGGGAATTAATCTTTACGGCTACTGTGTTCGATCCATTATGGAATGAAACGACAAATTCGTCATTTCTCACATCGTTTTATGCAACTGACTATCGAATTAAATTTCTCAGTAGACAATCAGGGGTATTTAAACCTCAAATGGCTTATTCGGCTCATGTAAATAACTTCGAATGATAAGAGAAAAGTCACATCTTTGTATTACTATTTAGGTTGCAGTATTGAATGGTGATCAGAGTCGATTTCGGATTGCCGATTTTGATCGTAACACCACCTATGTGCGTATTCAGACAAATTTCGATGTCGGTTCATCACTTGCACCCATCGATTATCCAATACCTGACGATGCTATCATTACACATCAATTCATTGTTCCAAATCAAAATCAATCGATGTATATGTCTATTCGAGTAAAAACTTATTGACTTTTTCGATGTGATAAAGGGCAGATCACTATTCTTCTAGGCAGAATTATTTGTTAATAACGAGTTTATCCAAACAGCATTCATTGAACAACGCTCCGTTCGCTATCGATCACCCAGTCGTACATATATACAAATTACAACAACTACAACCGAACCTCGAGTATGTTTTACAGCGAACTCATAAAATCAAATGAGAATTTTCGCTTTCAGATAGATAATTTCATGGTTTTCACCGTTAATGTTAGTCGTTACTGTCCGCAAGTTCATTACCATGTAAGTTTTGTTTGCATTTGAAAATTTCTGATTATCGAGTTTCCTCATAGATTATATCAGCAAGTCGAATTGTTTACGCTGATACAATTCAAATGCGTAATACTCTTCAACAGACAGTTCACGTCGCTGTTACACGGCGTATGGCTCCATCCGCACATATTCTTGCTTATTTTATTGATTATACTGGTGAACTCGTAGCTGATGTTATTCATTTTCATGTTAATATTACATCTGATACGGTTACACTTAATTTAACGGTCAACCAACGGAAAGATCTTACTGGTGATACAGTAGAATTACTTGCCTATGGTCCTCCGCAAGCAAGAGTGGCTTTCGCGGGAACTGAATACGCACAACATCAATTGTATGGTGGAAATGATTTCCTTGAGTTAGATGTACGTGTGAAAATGAGAAGTTATCGAAATGGAAGTTATTTTTCTATTGTAGATCTATAATGAATTGTATGAATATGATGTTTCCGCTCATCCAAGTCCGAATATGACATGGTATTCGAACTTTTTAACACCATGTGAAAAAGTCTATCGTGTTGGTCAATCAGTGGCAGCGAATGTTTATCAAGTATTCCGGTCAGCTGGCCTTTTTCTTCTCACCGACATCGATATTGTCATTGATGAAGAACAAGAAGCACGATTTTGTATGGAACAAGGAAATCGTTTTACTTGTAACGATGGATCGTGTTACACAATTAGTGAAAAATGCGACGGCGTCTTTAACTGTTTAGATGGCGCGGATGAATTGGACTGTTTGTATAATTCGTAATAATTCGACATGAAAAACAATATTTTTTTTTCGATGGTAGGTCCTGAAAAACGCGGTCCATTGTTTACACCGATTAATAAGCGTTTATGGCCTTTTTGGGAACGGTTTTTCACATTTTCAATGGCTTGGGAATCTACATCAACGTATCCTGATGGTCGAGCTCAAGTGACTGTCAGTGTCCCTCATGCCATTGGTACATGGATTCTATCCGCTTTTTCAATTAGTCAACAGACTGGTCTTTCAGTTTTACCAAATGTTCTCATGGTAAAGCAATATCACTTTAAAGAACATTAATCTTAAGTGATGCTTTGAATTAGCTTGAGGGTACACGCAAGTTTTTTATCGCCGTGGAAGTTCCAGGAACAGCTCGATTGGGTGAACAGATTGGTGTTCGTGTGGATGTATTCAATTTTCAAGTAAAACGAATAGAAGTAAGGAAGTCATGTTAGATTATTTGAAAGAAATGGATTGTTGCGTAATCTTGATGTTTATTTAGGCATTGATTATTTTACATGCGTCATCCAAGTACCGTTTTATTAATTTGGATCAACATGGCGGGGTTTCCTCCTTCGCACCACGAACATCCGAAGGACAACATCATGTTCTTCTCATTGTAATGATTACATCATTGAATCAATCAAATTTTCAAACATATTTCCTTAAATATTTTTAGCTGTATCCAAGTAGTTCAAGGCGTATTCATATACCAATCGTACCTCTAACAGCTGGTTCTATTGATGTAACTGTCGAAGGCATTACTGGAGTAAAAAGAGACATAGAAACACGAACGATATCAGTTGTCGTAAGATTTTTCGTTTCTGCAAAGAAAATTATCCTGCTGTTCTTCAATTATTCTAGTACGAAGGAATTATAAACCACTATTCAACATCAACATTAGTTTCTCTCGAACATAGACCGCGACAGATGTATGAATTCGATATAATTGTGCCCGAAAACTTCATATTACCCTTACATAATTATTTTATCTATGTACCCGGTTCGGCTAAAGCAAATATTTATATATCAGGTACACGTCTAATCCATTTCAATTGCTGACTCAACAGTGATTCTTTTCAATAGGTGATGTTGCTGGACCTTACTTTTGGGAAGGGCCCGAAAAAGCTTTAACATCAGATAATCTCATTTATAAAACAGTTGCGCCTGCTGAAGGAGCATTGACCGGTTTTGCCACAATGATGTACAATCTGGTTTACTTGAGACAAGGTCATGGTGGAAGGGGATTCGATCAATCGAAATTGGTACAATTACTTGACCTCGCGAATATTGGTAGTTTAAATTTCAGAAGTTTCTTGCCAATGTCAGTGTGATTTATTTTAGAATACAATCGTTTGATGGCATTTTACTTTGACGATCAATCCGATATGGGAATTCATGATGGTGCATTTAGTAATTTCGGTTGGAAAAATGAAACAAGTGTATGGTAAAGAGAATATTCTATCAAATATTGATGAATATTCATATCCTGTCACTTATTTTGAGGTTAACATCATGGGTTCTAATTGCATTGAAAGACGCGGCACAAGCTGAATGGGAACAATATAATCTATTTATAGATCCACGTGTACGCGCAAAATCATCCAAATGGATTATGACACATCAAAATATGGATGGGTCGTTTAAAGAACATAGTAACATCCTTGATCGAGAAAAGTTCCAAGTAAGACTTTTCACAAGGTTCATTGTCATTGTAATACAGTAAATGGCATTCCATTTAGTCTCTTCTACACTCTAATGAAACTGACTTACCGTTAAATTTGTCACTGACAGCTCAGGCAGTCATCGCTTTAAGGATGAATACGGATATCAATGGTTTAATTAAAGATGATATGAGTGATGCGATTGATCGTGCACGGAATTGGCTTGAAATACACTATCAAGTAGCTCATATGTTTCTACTCTAATCTAGGCAACGTTAATTTTGTTTAGAAAATCGTCGATTCGTTTGAATTAGCTATTGTTACGTATGCATTACATGTTGTCAATAGTCCAGAAAAGGATACTGCTTTTAACATACTTGTTAGTCGACAGAGAACAAGTAAAAAGATGAAAATACTCTTTTTGGTTCTTATCCAAACGAGCTTTTCATAGGTGCTGGAGGAATCTATTGGTCAAATGTTGAATTATCATCGAATCGAATAGTATTTCTATCGTTAAATGAACGTTTAGCACCTAAACATGAATCTGAAGTTGAAGCACATGCTATTGCTTCGACAGCGTTCGCCCTTTTAACATATATTTCACGCGCACAAACATTATTAGGAAAACCCATCGTGCATTGGCTACAAACTCGACGAAATTTTGTTGCCGGCTGGTGTTCTAGCTACGATTCATTTTTCGCTTTGAAATCTCTAGTGCAATACGCTATTCGACGTGGCGATACAATTCAACAGTATAATTTACGTGTGAATATTTCCTCGTCGGATGATGCATATCGAAAGATTGAACCGGTTTTCATTACTGATGAGAATATTATCGATGTACAACAACGATCGATCGATAAAGTCTACGGGCGAGTATTGATCGATTCGTATGGAACTGGATATGCACTCTTACAGGTTAGTTCGCAATTTGAAATAATCATTTGCCGAATGGTTGTGTTTTTTTTTGTGCGAATTAAGATGAAAGTAGAAGCAAATGTTGAACATCCCGAAATGATTCGCCCTGTTGCATATGAAGCATTTCATATATCTCTAAATGTTGAGTTATCAAGTAAATACAATCACAGTTACTTGTTATACAAACCATGTGTAAAGTATGTACTTAGAGTCTTGGGAATGTATGAATTTCTTGCTTGTTTGTTTCTAATCGAAAACTAGATGGTTACCTGGTGCAACGAAAGCAAAACGATCGGGTTGGTCAATATTCATGATTGAGATTCCTACAGGCTATCGAATCGAAGAACGCTTTTTGAAAGATTTAGTTGGATTCGGTATCGTTCGAAATCTCCGTGATGCAGAAAACTACCCGAACTTTCTCAATTTTCTCTTTGAATTTGTGAGTAAATGAACATTCTAGTATTTTTTCAAATGATTTCCATTAATCATCGATTTAGTTTGATACAACTCCTATTTGTTGGCAATTCGAACTAAAGCGTTACATTCCTGTGGCGAACATGACACGATATTATGAAATGAAAGCATACGAATGGCATGAACCATGTAAATATTGGATTTTCAATAGAATTTTCTTAACTATTCTCATTGAATTTACATAGGGAGTGCCAATCGATCAATGTATACACTGCGAACTCTCTTCGGACTAGATATCTGTTCTGTATGCGGTTCATATCAATGTCCCTACTGTCCATACTATGCTACAAGTCCATTTCTTGATCTTTCACTGTTTCTGCTTATTTGTCTGATTGTATTTCAGTTACTTTACATAGAATAGTTAAATTATTATGAATATTTTCTCTCCTGTTTCGTTTTCCTTTTGTTATAAGCGTATTGTAGATTGTGAATACAATCGCTTTTCAAATCTAGTTGATCATTAAATTTTATTTGATAATCATTGCCATTCGAATGTTATTTGAATAAACTGAAGAATAGTCTGAAAGCCATGCAAGTGTTGTTATTATTCACCATCGATGTCTAATGTGAGAATAGAAATTGAATATCTATTCGTGCTGTTGTTGACGATGGAGTGTTCGCATTTTTGTTCACACTCTTCGTTTACTTATACTCAAACGATGCATTTCATCACAATCGACAATAGATCGGTACTATACCGCACTTTTCTCTTATCAAAAGTGAAGTGGTACAAATGTTCCTATTGTTGTTTTACATTCGTCAACTTGATGCTGGGATATATCAAGGCACAGCATGTCGAGACGCGCTCATGAGCGTAATCGACCTCTATCATATACATCTCCTAAGTGACAATTATAGTCTGTATAGACATATAGAATAACTTGATACATGTGTATTGAGAGACAGACACACGTGCTGGTATTGTTATCGAAAGACTAGAGGATATGTTATGTCGTGGATTTGATTAATTGATAAATTAAGCTTGAGAACGAAGCGTATTAATTGACAAATCGATTTAGAGAAGCTTTACAGGAAAGAAAATATTCATAATAATTTAACTATTCTATGTAAAGTAACTGAAATACAATCAGACAAATAAGCAGAAACAGTGAAAGATCAAGAAATGGACTTGTAGCATAGTATGGACAGT